GAGGATGGGCCGCGCGGCACGTGTTCGCGTGGGTCTCCGATACCGCCATCGCGGCGTTGTCTGGCCTCGTGCTGTTCGCGGTGTGGCGTGCGCCTTCGGCAACGTGGGGTGGACCGGCCGCGTGGTCCCTGGGTCTCCTGGCTACGATCCTCGGCCTCCTCGCAATGCAGTCGGTGTCGTCTTTGGCGAACGCGGCGTTGCCGCGCAACGCAGCGTGGGCGGTGGTAACAGCCATGCTAGTTGCGTCCCTGGCTCTGGTCGGCGCGCATCAGCCGGCGTCGATTCCCGCGGGCGTACGGTGGATCCAATACGGGCTTCCACTCACGTACGCGTTCCGCGCACTCATCGTGCTGGAGCTCGCAGGGCGGAAGGTTGGTCTTTGCACCTACGATCCCGCACAAGCACTCCAGCTGGTCGAGGAGCTCCTCACGACGGGCCAGGAGCCCGCGGTCGACCCCTGCGTCTCAGGGGACGAGTATCTGGCGGCGATGGATCTGTCGGGAGTCGAGCCGCTGGCGTGCATCTGGATCCTGCTGTGCTTGACCTTTGCGTTGCGCATGATGGCCGAGGCGGTCGCGATCCTACCAGTCGCCGCCGCGAAGCAGCGCGCCCTGCAGCGGGCGCTCTTCGGCCGCACTGTCGCGACGAGCCGCGTCGGTCCTGCTGAGGGTTCGCAGTATGAGTCCGTCGAGAGTGGCCAGGTGCCGGCATAGGACGTCATGCAAGGCCGTCTGGGACACCGACAGGAGTCGGACCTTCAGCTACGGCACTTCATGCCAGTCGCAGGCGCAGCACGGTCTCAAGGACGAACGCGACCAGAGCTCACTGCGGGAACATTATTTCTCTATTTGCATCTACTTCACTATCACTCCCTCGTATGAGTGCCCAGGCCACATCAAGCGGCCAGCTCGCTCAGACAGGTATGGAATTGATACCGTTCCATGTGTCCGAGCGTTCCGCGGAGCGAAGACATGCACTTCCATGACACAATGCGTGCTGCATACACTAGAACCCGAGATTTCGCTTCCTCGGATGTGAGTAAGTCTCAAGATGTGCTTTAGGCTCGCCGATGTACCACAACGGTCACTCAAGCGTTACAACGTCTCGCGGCGGTCCCGGATCCGCGGACTGGGACAGCCCAGCACAGACATGGTCGCACACGGGCCAGGTACGGCTGGTGGTGCCAACCACCGCCGCGCACCAGCCCCGCACACCTGCTCCACACCGCGATCTACCACGTGGACCGCCGTGCCCTGACGCGCCTGCGCGTGGAGGTCACGAGACTGCGAATTTGCACGGCGGCCATGTCAGACCAGGAGCAGCAGTGGCATTGCCAGGCAACACCTCTGCAACACTTATCGGTTCTCCGGGGACTCGCGCGGAGGAGTCCGTTTCCGACCCTCTCGACCCCCCCGCATCCACCAGAGTGGCTCGCTCCTGCCAAGGGCCAAACCTGGTCGTTGCCGGCGACTCCGCTGTCGGCTGCGACGCTTGCTGCAGCCCAGCGGCATCTCCTATTGGTTGTATTGCCAGCCTGGGCAACCAGTGGCGCCGTCCTCCCCCGAGGACGGCGCACGGGCACAGCTTCCCTCTACCGCTGCGGGAGCACCTCACCGGCCGCATCCGCTACTCGCGGGCAGTTCTGAGTCGTTTCTACCCACGGACCGCATTATGACTACCTAAATCGTCTGTCTCACGCGTGAAAGCACCGCTGCGGCCCCTGTGACGTCCACGGCCGCCCCCATGCCCAGCAGCCAGCTGTTGCCCGCCAGTTCGCAGGGTTCCCGCGTTGTCGCCTCCATGGGGGGCCGCGGGACTCGGCGCGCCCGCGCAGCGACGGCTGGGCCAGGTCAGGTCGTGCCTGTGCCTGTCCTGAGCCACCGCCTTGCGGAAGACGACCACGCCGAGTTCCTGAGCAGCATCAGGATGCCCAGGGCAACAAGTGAGTGCGCGAGGCGCACATCCGCAAGAACCCCGCCGCACTGCGCTGGTACACTTCCAAGAACACCGAGGAGTGCGTGCTTCGCCGCACGATTCGCACGAGGACGGTGGGCGGCAAGACAGAAGCCCTGGTGCAATGGAGCGGCTACCCGGCCGACGAGAACCGCTGGATCAGCACTGATGGCATCAAGGACATGAATATCAATGGATACGCCGTCCGGGACACGCAGCGCGCCACGATGGCGCCTGACGATCTCCCCGCGACCCAGTCCTTCCACGCCGTGCCCGCCGGCATGGTCGACGCGGAATGCAGCGGCGGAGACGCCCAGGACCCCGAATACGTGCCCCCGGGCGCCCATTCGCTACTCACTGCTCACATGGATGCCGCTCAACGTCCGACCTCCGCCACCACCGGCTCGCAGGAGCTCGCGACCCAGCCTGCGCTGCTTGGCGTCCCGACGGCCACACAGGCGCCTCCTTCGTGTGACATCTGCATCTTATCGGCTCGACGGTGTGGAGGAGTGCCGCCGGCACCGCGCCCAGCCCGCACGCGCCGGCATGCGTTCCGCACGACCTCCATGAGGAGGGACCGGTGGGTCACATCGAACAAGTCGCTTCTAGGCAGACGGTCCTGAGTACAGCAGGCGATTCGGGGTGGATTCGAGCAGGTAGGGCGATTCGATGGCCCCCACGGTGGCGCTCTCCAGCAATATCTGCTTGACCTCCTCCGGGCGCAGCGCAGGATCGTCTCCGAGCAGCATGGCAGCGGCCGCGGCGACGTGGGGGACCGCCATGCTGGTTCCACTCGCCCAAGTGTACGCGGAGTCCGAGGCGGCCTCGCAGCGTGCGTCGGCGCCGCACGCGGAGTACACGTCGACGCCGGGAGCAAACAAGTCAACGCAGGGGCCCGTATTCGACCACTGATAGATTCCTTCCACCTTCGTGACAGACGCAACAGGAGCGGCGACCGTCGCGCGCGAGCTGTATGAGGCGCGACGTGTATGGAGCTCGTCAGTGACGATCACGAGTCGTGTGGTCGCACCTGCCCCGCGTGCTGCCTGTCCGGGTAGAACTTGTCGTCGAGGTCCGAAGCCGCGACCGTGATCGTCTCCGGCACGTTCGCGGGCGCGACGAGGCACGAGTCGACCCCGCTGTTCCCGCTGGCCACGACCACGACCACCCCCCTGGCGATCAGCGCCCGCACGGCGTCCTCGAGCGCGTGCGACCACCGGCCGACCGGGATCCCGAGGCTCAGCGTGGCCACCGCGGGCACCACCGCACGCTCCGCCACCCAGTCGAGCCCCACCACCACGTCGCTGATCACCCCGCTGCCCTCGCAGTCCAGGACGCGCACAGACACCACGCGCGCCGCCTTTGCCATGCCCACCGACCGGCCCGCCGCCGTGGCCGCGACGTGCGTCCCGTGGCCGTCGCAGTCGTCGTCGCCGACGGCGTCGACGATGAAATCATACCCTGACGTTGCGCGAGACTCCCCCGTCGTCCAATCTGCGAACTCCTGGTGCGTCGTCCGCACGCCCGAGTCGAGCACGTAGATCGTGACGTTATCGCCGGTCCCGCGCGACGTCGCGGATCCGAACGTGAACGTGTTGTCGAGGGGCAGGTGCCGCTGGTCCACGCGGTCGAGGTTCCAAAGCGCAGCAGGGGCCTTCTGCTGCTTGGGGCCGAGCTGACGGAGAAGGCCGGGGTCCACTCGGTCGTGCAGGGGCTGGTTCGCGACCTTGGGAATCGCTGAGGCCTGGTCGCTGCGCGCCGCCTTCTCGGCCCGCGGGAGGTCGTCGAGGGAGACGCTGGGCGCGGTGCTGTTTGCGAGGGCGCGCGACGACGACGAGTCGCCGCTGAAGGCCGACACGTGCGGGTGCGCGTCGTGTCCGAGGAACTCCCGCCCCAGGCTGCGCGAACAGGAGACAGTGCGGGATTGCTTGACAGCGCCAGGAGGGGGCGGGCTCGTGTTCCGCCAGCACCTGCGTTTGGTGCGCACCTTACGCCCGGAGCGTCGCTGGGAGCGGCCCGCCGTCTTGCCACGTGGCGGTCCTCTGCGCGGCCGACGAGCCATTCCGTTCCCGACATGGTGACGATTCCGTCCTCCTCGATGTAGGCGATGCCTCCGCTCAGGCACTCGCTGAGTCTCGCGAGCTCCCACGAGAAGAACGTCCCCGCCAGGCCGGTCAGCGCGCTGGTGAAGGTGCGGCGACACGCCCGGGGCATGCGACATTCGTCCCGCCCACGCAGCAGGTGCCCCAGAGGCCGCTTCCCGCACACCTCCAGAACGCGGTCCTTCCACGACGCGTCCCGCATCACCACAATGTAAGGAACGGCAGTCTCCCTGCGTGCCCCGAACCGCTCGACATCGACTGGGCGACGAACGGCGCGAGATGCGTGCGTGAGGGGCGTCACGGCCACCAAGGGGCGTCGATACAAACTTGTTGTTTGAGGGCACACTCACCCCGGGAGGCTCCGATGCCACAGAACGCCGCGGCAAACCGGAAGCAACGATAGGATCAGCACAGTGGCGATCTTGCCGACCCATCCGTGACTCTCTCTGGCCCGGACGGTCGCCGCGGCTTGCCCCCTTGGAGGAGAAGGCCCCATCGAAACCGGGGCGGCAAGAGCTTCTTTCGATACAACGGTCTCGGACTCGACTGCAAAAGTTATGAATGTGAGTTATTCGTTGACCACGGTGCGGAACACGGCGTATTTCGAGCAGACGCAAGCTTGAGCCACCTACCCCCTTTCGTGCAGCGGCCACGCGACCACAGGCCAGCAAACGCCACTTCGCACGCCCCGGGGCGGCAACAGAGAGACATGTTCGGCGTCGAATCGCGGCGAGCGCCTCATTTGATCCGGCCTCGCCGGGCCCCGCGAGAACGCCCCCTCCCGCCAGCTCATTCCACGGTGGCACACCAGCGCCGTCCGTCACGACCGCCGCCGCCAGCCACCGGCCCCCGGCCTTGGTCAAGCGACTCACTCACGAGCCCACTCTCACAGCACGCGAACGCCGCCAGTCACAACACCGCCGTCCGTCCCTCACCACACCCCTTTCACGACGCCCCGCCCCCGTCACCGCCCGCCCCGCCGCCAGCCACCGACGCCCCGCCACCTCCGCCGTCCCCCCCCTGCTGCCCGCCCGCCCCAGGCATCATCATCATCCCTGCCTGCCCCCCCCCTCCCGCGCCACCTGGAACCATGAACCCGCCAGGCCTCGCCGCCGCCGCGCCGCCCGCAGCCGCGCCGAAGGCCGCGGTCGGCGGCGCAAGACCGCTCAGGAACGACCCCGCGCCCGCCGACCCCCCCCCGCCCTTGTTGAACCCCCCCACCTCGACGTACTTGTTCCGCCGCACCCCCCCGCGCGTCGGGGGCTTCCCGGCCGACCCCGGCGCCGGCGGTCCGGCGCCCGGGGGTCCCTGCGGGCCGTTCGGCGCCGCGGGGACGCTCGCGGGGATGCCCGTGGGCGGCGGGGGCGGCGGCGACAGGTCGGGCACCTCCTCGCCCTCGACGCGCCAGATGCCGAGCTTTTCGTCGTAGAAGAACTTGGACTCCTCGCCGAGCTTGACCTGCTTGTCGCCGCCGCGCGCGAGCATGCCCGAGAGCCCGCGCCCGACGGCCCCGACGATGTTGCCGAGCCCGAGCGGAGACGACTTCTTCCGCGCCGCTGCTGCTGCGTCGCCGGACGCTGTGTTGCGCGCCGGAGGCTCCGCGCGGCTGCTGTCGCCTGCGGAGGGAGAAGGAGAGGTCGAGGGGGTTCGGGTCGGGGGGCGCCGCTGCCGGTGGAGCACGCACGAGCAACACATCAGTGGTGCGCCTCAAAGCAGCAACAGCACAGCGGCCGAAACAACCATGCGTGTGCCCGAGGCCGACGGCTGGAGCCGTGCACGTACCATTCGACGCACCGCCCGCCTTGTCCGGCGGCGCCGTGCCCTGCAGATCGCTCTGTGTCCTGCGATGCATGCCGCCGCCAGATATGCCAAACTCGTCTTGTGACGCGTCGTGCCCAGCCGCACCGCCGCTCGTCGCCGGGCCGAACCGCTCGCTCCCGGACGGCCGGGACGGCATCGGCGGCTTCCCCGCGGGCGACGCCACCGCGACGGCGTCCGGGACACCCCCCCCTGACCGCATCAGGCGCGAGATCCCCCGGTCGAGCCACCGCCCGATCCCGGTCAGCGCGCGCGACGCGGCGCCCTGCTGCGCCGTCGGCACCCCGAACGCCTCCATGTGCACGCGCAGCCGCTCCACGCTCTCCAGACCCAGGCTCCAGCTCACCCGCAAGTGTGGCGCGGGGGGGCCTTGGCCCATGGCTCGGAAGGCGGCCTCCACCGCCGCAAGGTACGCAAACGCCGGCTGCAGCGCGCCGATCTCCACGAGCTGCATCGCGCGCACGACCTTGAACGGCAGCAGCGCCGGGAGCGCTGTTTGTGGCCCCGGCGACGCCAAACAGCGTTCAAAGACCTCCGTGCGACGGATCGCCTGGACGGTCCACCAGTGCATCGCCGGGAGCGCGTCCGGGCCGCCGGCGACGCGGTGGTCCGCGCCCAGGAGCATCACGCGCGCCCCCGGGCTCTGCGGCTCGGGCGGGCACCCGGCAAGCAGCAGGCAAGTGTGTGCCGCCAGTAGGTCCCCGCGCTCGGCGAGGACGCGATCGCCGAGGCGCGACATCTGCTCCGCCGCACCGGGCAGTGTGCCGTTCGAAGCCAGGACCGCGAGGTTCTCCCGCCACGACGCGCACAGCTCCGGGAGGGGGGGGGTGTCCCCAGCAGCGGCCGCCACCGCCGGATCGTCGGCAGGGTGCGGCATCGCGGGGGTCTCGCCCGCGCTGGGCCGCGCGAAGCTCGCGATCCGCGACAGGACCTTGCTGCCCGCGCTCCCCGTGCTCCCCGGAGCCTTGGGCACGTGCTGCGACGGCCCTGCGGTCGCGGCGCTCGCCCGTGCAAACTTCGCCTGCAGCTTCCGCCCCGCGCCGCCGTCGCGCATCACCTCCGGCCGATTCGCCAGCATCGCGAGCAGCGCGCGCAGCGGCGCACCGGGCGCCAGCCGCGCCGCCACGGCCGCCGCAGCGTCCTCGAACCTCTCAGGCGACGTGCGTGCGGCCAACACGAGCGCAATCTCCCACAGCCCGCCGCGCAAGGCCTCCGCGAGCGCCTCGTCCGCGAGGCCCTCGATTGCCAGCTCCTGTACGCGCGCCGCCGCGGCCGCCTTCGCCTCGGCTGTCGGTTCGTCGTCAGACGCGCAGGTGAGCGGCGCAGGACAGTTCAGCGCCAGCTGCGGCCGCGACCCCGCGGGGTCGGTCTGCGCCGCGGTCGTCGGGGTGCCGCAGAGCGCGAGCGCGACCTCGCGGGAGGTTGCAGGCTCGCGCTTGCCCCACGCACTGCCCCGCCCACTTGTTGAGGTCTTGCACAGGGCCTCCAGGAGACGCCAGAGACGCCAGCGGTCCTCTGCGGCGCCGAGGGCGTGGGATTCCGCACAGGATCCGTCGAGGCAGGTCACGGCCATCGCGCCGGCGAACTGCGCGACCGTGGCGCGCGGAGCGTCGCTGATGGGGCCCGGGGGGAGTGCTGACGCCCCCGGGGGCAGTCCCGAGGGATCCAGGGCCTCCGCGAGCGTGACGGTGTGGCCCGTGAGGGCGTGTAGAGTCAGGGTCCCGGCAGCCGCTGCCTCGGGGGTCGCGTGCCCCGCCTCGCCCGCGCCACTGCCGCCGGCAGCAAGCACGCGGGGCAGTGTCGTCACGGCGAGCGGGCCCGGCCGCAGCCCGGCGCTGTACGACGTTTCCAGCGAGGACTGCTGGCTTGAGTTCGGCGAGATGCACGCCAGCATCCCGCCGAACCCGAACGCCGCCAGGGGCATCGGCGGCCGTCCGTTGGGCGTCGCCGCTGCCTCATCGAACGAGCGCGGGCACGCACGCAGCGCGTGCTCGTCGAGCTGCGCGGCCGGCTGCGCACCTCCGTAGCCCTGCTGCTGACTTCCGTCCCACGTCTCGCCGCCCGGCGCGCCGTACCACGACGGTGTCATGCCAGCCTGTGCAAAGCTGTGCACGCCCGACTGCGGGACCATCATCTGCGGCTGCTGCTGCTGCGGCTGCTGCTGGGCGTGCCAGCCGGAGCTGTTGGACGGCGGGCCCGACGCTTGGTGCAGTGCGGGCCCCGGGGGGGGGTGTGTTGGGTTCTGCGCATACCATGAGTGGTTCGAGGTCGGGCCTGACCCAGGGGGCGCCGGTGCGCCGTGCTGCGCCTGGTTCGCGAACCAGCCCGAGCCCTGCGACGCGGATCTGGAGTCCAGGACCCCCCCGGACGGCTGCTCGGCGTGCGCTCCCTGGGGACACTCCCCCCCCCAGGACGCATGCGCGTCGCCCGCCTGCCCGCCGCTGCTGTACGCCTCATATGCCTGCGCATCTGCGCCCTGGTCCGGCCCCGCGGTGCCGGCGCCGTACCACGCGCTCGCGTCGCCCGCCCCTGACGCGGCGCCTGCATCCGGTGCCGCTTGCTCGCCGTACCACGCACTCTGCGCGTCGCCCTGCTGCCCCGAACCTTCTCCGACGCCGTTGTACGACGCATCCCCCGCGTTATACCACCCCGAAGCGTCGCCCCCGGCCACCCCGCGTCCTCCGGCGTCCTGCACCTGCGCGAGGTCGCCGTTGGTGCTCCACCCCGCGCCGTCGTGCTGCTCGGCGTACGCGGCTTGCCCGTCGCCGGCAGCCATGCTGTCGAAAAACGCCGCGTCGTCCGCCTTGGCGGCCCCTGCGTCTGCCGCCCCGTCCCCACCACCAGCGCCCCAACCCGGGACGCCCTCCTGCCCGCCCGAGACATTCGACGCGCCCCCCTGCCCGCTCGGATCGTACCAGCCGCCCTGTGACGGCTCCGCGCCGGCCTCCGCGCCGCCGAACCAGCCAGCAGCCCCCGCGTCAGCGCCGACTCCCCCCCCACTTGCGTTGTACCACGCCGCCTGGTCCGCCTCCGTGCCGCTCCCGTACCACGCGTCCGGCGAGGCCTCCGCACCCTGGCCCGCCGCCTCCGTCTCGGACGCGTACCAGCCGGACTGCTCCGCCGCAGCCCCCCCCGCACCCTGTTCACTCCCCCCGTACCACGCCGCTTGCTCCTGGCCTCCCTGCGCAGCTTGCTCAGTGGCACTGTTGTACCAGGCCGCGCCCGCGTCCGTGCCGTCCACCTGCGCGCCGCTCTGGTCGTACCACGCGCTTTGACCCCCCCCTGACGCGCCTGCGTCAGCAACCGAGTCGAACCAAGCGCTGCCGTCAGCAGCCCCCTGCTGCCCTTCCGCGGCACCTTGCGCGCCCCACCAGCCCTGTTGCTCCCCGGCCTGACCGTCCTGCTGCCAACCGTCCCACCCAGGGCTCGGCGTCGTCACCTCCTGCTCCGCATCGACGCCTGTTGCAGCCACGCCGACTCCGAGCCAGTCGTCGCCGCCGTCGTCGCCGAAAATCTCCGCCGCACTGCGCGTGTCGTAGTGCGGTTCGGGAGCGGGTCCGTCCAAGTCCGGCTCGCCCGCAGCAGCGCCCTCTGCGTGTTGCGGCACTGGCGGTTGCGATGCGGTGGGCGGCGCGCCGGCCGCGTCCTTCTGCGCCAGGGCCTGCGACACGAGGGCAGGGACGTCTTGAAGGGTCCGGAAGGACACGTCCAGCTGGTCGGGCTCCGTCGCAGGCCGCTCTGTTGACTCCCGGGCAGATTTCGAGGCCCTACTCGCCCGTTCGGGCGCTGTTTCGGGCGCTGGCGCCTCTGTGGCAGATATATACGCTTCCTCCTGGGATCTTTCGGCGTGCGTATCCGCCCGCGCGTCGCTCGCGGGCGCCTCTTGCAAGGACCCAGACGGCTGTTCGCTGCTCTCCTGCTCCACCTTGAGCTCCACGGCCCCGTCGCTGTCGAGCTGGAGGGTCGCAGAAAGCCTTGGCTCGAGCGTCTGCTCCGTCTTGGCCCCTGCGTGTCGGACGAGTGTGTGGTGCAGCGCCTGGTTAGCACCTACACACCGCAGCGCATGGAGTGGGGTGCTGACCGTACGATCCGTTAGCGCATAGGGGACACAAGCGCTCTGAGGAAGGCAGCCGTTTCCACGCGTGCATGCACGGCGTTGTCGACAAGACTGTTGCTACACGATCTCTCCGCGGCGACGCTCTCGTGCAGGGGCGGCACGCGTGTCTGACCTGACGGCAGCGGCGAGTCGAGTCCGCTGATGTCATCCCCGAGATCGCTTCCCAAGTCGAGCGCAGACGTACCGGAAAAATGGCTGTCCAAAGCTGCAAGCACCAAACAGAAACAGCACGTACGGACTGCCAGCTGAGCCGACGAGCAGCGACGCAGCCGGCCCCCGCGAGACCTTGTGCCGTTGCGCGCAGGCGGCGCAGACCGCGCAGGCAGTCGGCCCCGGCGCGCACCTTCGAGCTCCTCTGCAGTGAGCTCCTGATCCCACTCGTCCCCTGCGCTTTCTGCGTCCACGTTCGCCGTGGCCATGGCTGCCCGGCGCGACTCTCACCGGAGGCCTCCTCAAGTCCGGCTGAGCGGCATCGCTTCGACGCGCCTGCGACGCACGGTGGCCCGGTCTAGCTGCCACCTACCCGCATAGCACACGGGCGTCGTGCGGGTGTCTACCACGTCGCCTACGAGCGCTCAGTCGCCTGATCGCGTAGTACGCGCCCACACCGCGCGCCGGCGGACATGGGAGCGGCCCGAGCGGCTGCGCGGGGACCTCGCGTCGGACTGAGGCACTGATGGCGTGGACGTCAGGTTAGGTCCCGGGCGAGGGGACGGGAAGCAACGCTGCGGGGACGACAGGCCGGGGCAGAGGCCGCGCGGCCCAGTCCGAGGCGGCATCTCGCCACGCGCCCGAGCGCAGGAGCTGCGAACAGCGAGCTCAGCGCATGAACTTGTCAACGGAACAGCGTGGAGAGCACGCCGGAACTTAGCGTTTCTGCATCCTTGCGGCGAAGCAATCGTCAGGGCGTACGTGTGGGAGCCCGTGCGGGTCGGCTGGGTCGGGGTGCGGGATGGCACAGTGGCAGGAGCCTCTGGCGGCACCGATTTCGCTCCCGCCAGAGGTGCAGGGCATCGTGCGTGGGACGCTGCGACTCGACCTGGGACCCTTGGCATGGAAGCGATCCGGGCAGCCCGAGAGGGTTGCCGTTGGAGTCAAATGGTACGAGCGACGACGCTGCGTGCGTGCCACCACAGCTACTCCGCCCGCCGCGACGCCCGCCGCCGTCGCTCCGGCTCGATCGCCGGCGTTTCTCACTCCCGATGCGAAAGTGTGGTCCCCGGGCCGTTTCACACCCGGAACGGTCCACGCAGCAGCGCACGTTTTCGTTTTTGCACACCCTCCCGCCAAATGCCCGGCAGCGGCGCGCACTGCGCGTCCCCGGGCCGCGGCGCCCTGCCGTCGCGCCCTGCGAGCGCCCACTCGCTGCATATCGTGCCTGCGTCCTCGGTTCACCGTCCACGCTGGCGTGCCGCCGCCGCAGGTGGGGCGAGCAGGGCTACGGCACCGTCATCACGGTGGGCACGTCCACGTGCGAGAGCCTGGCGTACAAGATCTGTTGCGGGCCGCACAACTTCGCGAGGTACCTCCGGGACATGCAGCACCTGGAGCTCCACCTCACGGACGCCGAGAACGGGCGCCCCGTGGGCGTGGTCTCCGTAGCAACGAGCGCTCTCGACGCCCACGCGCCGCTCAGGGGCGCGTTCACGGTGCACGGCGCGCACGGGCGGCCCGCGGGGGAGCTGCACATCGCCCTCTCGATGCAATACAACTCCGTCGTCACCAGCTTCGAGATGAACGAGCACTTGGTGGAAACCGACGCCATGTTGCCGCGCGCGCCGGCGCCGCAGGGCCCGGGGACCGGCGCGCCTGCCGCGGCGACGGCGTCGTTCGAGGACGAGCCGCGCTTCGGGAGCCCGCGGGGGTCCGCCCCGGCGTGGACGGCGGTTGTCTCGCAGGACGTGCCCCTTGAGCATGCACGCAGCGCTGCCGAGGCGCCCGCGACGCCCGAGCGGCCCGTCACGCGCGCGGAGCACAAGCTCATGAGCCCGCTCTCGCCTCATATCCGCGTCTCCACGGTGCGCCCCGCTCCACCACACCACAGCACATGCAACCATTCGGAATCATATCTTGACGTTTGCGATCGAACAACGGCTAGGAGCTGCTCCCTCGCTGCAGGAGGTCGAGCGCGCGATCGAGGACCACACCGCGCACCTGAGCCCCGGCGCCGCCGTGGTCATCGCGCTCGCGGAGGTCATCGCACGGGAGCGCGACCAGGTGCGACGCGCCCGTGGACGCCGCACCACGCGCGGCCGTGTCTCTCGCGAGCTCAGTGACGGCGCTCGGCCGCGGTGCTCAACCCGCTCGCACGCCGGGGCTCTGGACAGCGCCGCAAGCGCGCGTTGACACTCGGCGCTCCTCAATCGCCCGTCTGCAGGTCGAGGCCCTGTGCCGCGAGATGGCCTTCGAGCGCTCGCGCTCCCGGCAGGCCGCCGCCGCCATCGCCCTGCGCGACGTCCCGCGCCTCGTCAAGCGACTCCTCCCCCGACCCCCCTCCAAGGAGCAGCTGGCCTTCCTGTCCGCCATGATCGCCGCCGGCGTGGGCGGCAACGCCGACCCCGCCACGCCGCTCTCCTTCGACCGCCTGGCCTCGGAGGCCGCGGCCGCCGCCGCCGCGTGCCGCGCCGCCGCGCAGGGCCCCGGCTCGACCGCTGCCGCCGAGGGCGCAGCGGGGATCGTTCTCGCGCTGCAGTCGTCCGGGCTGCAGCTGCAGAACCTGTTCCGGGAGCGGGCGTGGAATCGCGGGGGCGAGATCGACCTGCTCGACGCGCTGGGCGTCGCGCGCGCGGCCGCGCCGGCCGCCACCGGCGACGAGGTGCGGCACCTGGGGGCGATCCTGGAAGCACGGTTGCATCGGGAGCCCGCGCGGGGGCACACCGTGTCGCTGGAGTGGCTTCGCGCGGCGCTGAAGGCCGCGATCGAGCCGCTGTCGCTGGCGGAGTACGCGCCGGCGCACGAGGCGGAGGAGGTGGTCGCAGAGGGGGTGTCTGCGGTCGAGGAGGGGGGGAGTCTGGAGGAGGGTGCCATGCCGGGAGCGGGACGGCGTGGGCAGCTGTCCGCGGCGACGCGGCGCCGCATCGAGGCGCGCGAGCGCGCGGAGCGCGAGGCCGCCGAGCGCGACGGTGCGCCACACACACCCCCGCGGGACCACCCACGGGACACCACGACGGCACACGTGCACGCGCCGGAGCCGGAGCCAGAGCGCGAGCCCCAGGCGCAGCCCGCTGCGGCCCCGCGCGAAGCATCTTCGTCGCGGCGCGCGATGACGGCCGGGAAGGATCCTGCACCGGCGCAGCTCGCGGGGGATCCGCAGCGCGCGCAGCCCTCGGCCGCGGCACCGGCTCCGAGACCCGGCCCAGACAGTCATCTTCCTGCGGCCCCAGTGGCCGCGGCTCCGCGTGCCCCCGAACCGGCTGCCCCGCGGTCTCCGGAGCCAACAGCGTCAGCGCCAACCGTGCGCGAGCCGGCCACACCGCCGTCGCCGCCGCCGGCGCCGGGCCCTGGGGGGCCGCTGGGGGACATATTGCAGCGCGCTGAGGCGCTCCGGCGGGCGATGGACCGCACGCTGGGCGCCCAGAGTCAACAAAAGGACCCAGGGGAGGTGTACCTGATGTCGCACGCCCGCGTGGGCGGAGGGCCACCGGGCAGGGCGGCGGCGGCGCAGCCGGAGGCCGCGGGGGCGGAGGCGGCGGAGCCGGAGGCGAGCCTCGCGAGCGTGGGCGTGAGCACGAGCCGGTCAGACTCGCACGACCGGTCGGACGACTCGATGCTGAGCGCGTCCGCGCTCGCCGAGGAGGCCATCCTGGAGGAACTGTTCTTCTACTCGGGGCGCAAGGCAGGCAAGCGCGCGATGCGGGCCGCGGAGAAAGACGCGTCTCCGGCCAAGCACGCGCGTCGCTCGCCGGCAACGCGCGCCCCCGTGGCTCACGACTCGCACCCGGCCGCGAAGGCAGAGGGCGCGGCGGTGACCGGGGCCGGCAGCCCCTCCAAGCAGGCAGCACCGGCGCCGGCCGCGAAGCCCGCCGGCGCGATCGTTCCAGTGGGCGCGCCGCTGCAGCCAGTGCCTGGCGTGCACCTGAGGGCGCGGGTGTCCCTGAAGGCCGCGGCCCCCCTCGAGCGCGTTGGCGACGGCCTCGACAGCTGCACGTACGCGGTCGTGAAGGGCTTCCGGTGCGCGCGCGCTCTTGTGGAGGTGCCGCTGGACGCTTCGGCGGCGGCGCGCGTTGCGGAGGTGGGCGGCGCGGTCGCGAACGAGGACGCGGCGGCCCCGGGCGAGAGCACAGGCGCGCTCCCGGTCGCGATGCTCGACGCGCTGCTGTCGGACGCGGCGCTGGACGGGGGGTCGGTGGCGGTGGTGGAGCTGTGGCGGCGGACGTGGTCTGCGGGCGGCGGCGACGAGGAGGTCAAGCTGCTCGGACTCGGCCGCGTGGCCGTGCCGGCGACGCCCGTGCTGCGCGACGCCGCGTCTCGCCTTGCGCGCGCCGCGCAGGGGCCTGGCGACGCGGTCCCGGCCGACGGCGCGCAGATCTTCGCGGGGAGCGTCGCGATGCGGAACCCCGTGACCGGCGCGGACGTGGGCGCGCTCGAACTCGAGCTCGCGGTGGAGAAGGTGCCAGAGACGCAGGCGGAGACGGCAAGCGTCGACTCGCAGGACGACGATGAAGACAAGGAGCCGGAGGGGACGCGGCACGTGTTCGAGGTGACCCTCGAGGGTCTCCAGCGGCTACCGGACGCGACGGAGTACCGCCGAACGGGCGGAGCGGTGCCAGTCGGGCGGTACGTGCGGTACAAGTTCCCGGGGGAGCCGGACCCGCTTTACACGCGCGCCGTGGCGCCGGCGCCGACGATGGAGATCGGCGCGACCGCGCGGCACAGCATCGTCCTCCCCGCGGGCGACCGCGACCTCGCGGCGCACCTCGCGCCCCTGGGAGGCGCGGCGGGCAAAGGAGCGCCCCCGCAGTCCGCGGACCTGTTCTTCGAGGTTTGGACGAAGTGGGAGGGCCGGAAGGACACGCGGCTGGCGTGGGCGTCGCTCCCGATCGCGGACGCGGTGGACCTGGCGAGCGGGGCCGCTGATGCGGCGCCGCGGGCGCGCGCCTTCGCGCTCAGTCTGACGCCATGTCGGGGGACCCCTGAGTCAGGAATCCTGGCGCGGCGCGCGCAGGCGCCGATGCTGCGCACGGCGATCGCGTACCAGCAGTGGCCGGTGGCGTCGCTCGCGCAGGCGGTCGCGGAGCGGCCGCGGGCCCCGCCGGCCGTCGCGGTGTCGGTGCCATCCGAGCCGAGGGTACGCACGCAGCCGGCGGAGGCGGCGCCGGCGCCGGCGCCGGCGATGGAGGCGCCGCGCGTGCAGGCGACGATCCGCGCGGCGATCGTGCGCGCGTGCGGGCTGCAGGCGGCGGTGCGGGCCGCGGAGCAGTGGCTCGGCTCTGGGGCTACGCGCGCGCTCGGGCGCGCCTCGCACCTCGGCCCGCACTCGTTCGCGCGCCTGAGCATCTTCCCGGACGACCCGACGCTCGACCTGCGCCTCCCGCCCATCCGCACGCCGTTCCAGGCCCAGAGCTTCACCCCCACGTATGACTTTGAGCGCGAGTGCCCGATCTCTATCGACGCCGACGCCGCGCGCGCCCTCGCCGCAGGCTCCCTCCGCGTCGAGCTGTGGCACCACTGCCCGCGCTCCGCGCGCCCCGCCGCTGACGAGAACTCCGCGGCGGCCCCTCGGGAGGTGTTTTTGGGGGCGGGGTCCGCAACACTCCTCCCCCTCCTGATGGACGCCGGACGCATCCTCGCCTGGGTGCCCCTCCGCAGCCGCCGCGGCGACCCCGTCGGCGCCGTCCAGGTCCACGTCGAGCTCGCCGTCCTCGGCGGCCTGCCCTCCGCGACATCCTCCCTCCTCGACGTCGTCGCGCCGCTGCTGCCACCGCCCTCGCGCGCCCTCCTGCCCGTGGGCCGCGCGGACCTCCCGATCGGCCGCCTCGTCCGGCTGCACGTCTTCACCGAGCAGCTCGCGCTCCCCCTGAACTCGGACCTCACCGTGGAGCGCCCCCGCGCTGCCACGTACCACGCCGAGTGGACCATGCCTGGCTCCGGCGCGCTGGAGGCGACGGCGCAGCGTGGACCCGTCGCTCCCGCGGCCTCGGGGCAGCAGTGGAAGGTGCCGCTCCGGCACACCGCCACGGAGCGCGCCATCCTGGACAACAGGCTGTACCACGTGTTGTTGTCGCAACCGCTGGTCGTGGCCTTCTTCCGGCACGACCCGCCGCGGGCGCCGGGGCTTGAGGCGCCCCCTGCGGTCGGCGTCGGGTTCGTCGAGGTGCCGCTGCTGCCGCTGCTGACGCAGCACGCGCACGACGTGGCGCTGACGTCGGGCCGCGGGCGGTGGCTTGCGGGAAGCTACTTGCTCGTGGATCCGGCCGCGAAGAACCTGGGCGCGGCGCGGGTGCGCATCAAAGTGCTGCTGGAGATGCCGAGGGGCGCAGGCGAGGACGCCGAGGGCGCGGTGGCCGAGGAGGACGCGACACGAGCGGCTGCGGACCGCGTGGCTGCGGGGCACGGCGACGACGATGGCGTGGGCGGGGAGGGGCCGGGGAGCCCGAGGTCGTCGTGGGGGAGCGACGTGAGCGTCGAGCTCGGGGAGGCCGGTGCGCTCGCGGCGCTGCGTGGGCAGGATCTGGGCGGAACACCCCCGCAGACCCCCCCACGCAAGACGGTCGTGCGGGCGCCGGCGGCGCGCGTGGTCGAGGCGAAGCCGGCTGCGGCGCCCGCAGAGAAGACCGCCAGCGCTCTGCCGGAGTTCCTCGACATGTCGTCCGCGGCGCCCAAGGACGCACCCGCTGCGCCGGCGACCCCTCCTCGCCGCGACGACCCGCCGCCGCCGGCCGAGACGCCACAGAAGACGCATCTGCCGCCGGACGCCGGAAGCACGACGCCGCAGAAGGCGCTCGTGGTCGTGCCGGACGCCGGGGTGCCGGTGGTCCCGGCGGGCGAGCTGGACCGCGTGGTGGTGTCGGTTCGCGTCGACGAAGTCGCCAACATCCCCGCTGACTCCGGTGCGCGGCCTTCGTCGTTCTACGTCACGTGCACGTCGCTGGCCGAGCCGGCGTCGAGCGGCGACGCCGCGGCGGAGGCCGCGCCCCCCGCGCACGCCGTCCCCTTGCAGCCGTCGAGTCAGGGCGGGTCGTTCAACGCGCTCCTCTCCCACAGCTGCACCGTCGAGCTCGCGTGGGACCTCACGCGCCCCGCCACGACCCTCGCCGACCCCCCGGGCGTCCTCATCAAGGCGTGGACCGTTCACGCCGACGACAAACGCCCCGAGCTGCTTGGTTGCGCCATCGTTGACGCCTCCCTCCTGGCCATGGGGGTCCCTGAGGTGGCCGGGTGGTACACTATCGTCTCGCACCTGCAGCGGCAGCGCGGGCAGATCAAGGCCGCGGTCGCCCCGATCGCGCCGCGGCCGCTGCGCGTCAAGAGGGAACTCCCCCCCTTCCCGCCTGTGGCGTCAGCGATGTTCTACCCGGAGCCCTCCGCGGTGGCGTGGCCCGCGCTGCCGTCGCCGAAGGACGTTGCACCGGCGCAGGACACCGCGCTCGCGCTGCGGAGGTCCGGGGACGGGCACACGCTGCATGTGCTGTCGCCGGTCACCGGCGTCGACCTACACCTCGCCGACAGCCCGGCGAAGCTGCTCGCGCCCGCGGCGCACGCTACCTCGTCGTTTGGGGACCTGCAGGACGCGCTCGTTGAGCTGGAGCGCATGGTCGGCGCGCTCGCGGCGGGGAAACACCCCCAACCTGACAGGACTGTCGGGGGAGAGTCCCCGCGGCGGAGCTCGTCGCCCGTTGGCGACGCGCTCCCCGCGCAGATGCATTCACCGCCGCGCAGCCCGCGGTCCCCGCGCGGCGCGCAGTCCCCGCACCGCGCCGTCCCGGCCGACGTCATCAACGTTGTCCGTCCGGGCAGCCCTCACTCCCCCCGGCGCCGCTTCCGCGCGCCGGCGCCGCTCACGCTAGGCCTCGAGTCCGCGAGCGCCCCACCCGAGGGCGTTCCGCTGCGCATCGAGGTCGGCCGCAACGTCAGCACCGTCAGCGACTCCAGCTGGCTCAGCGACGAGCTCGGGCGCGCCGTTGCGGACGGCATCGGCACGCTCGCGACGTCGACGGAGCCGTCGGGGGCGGAGCGCGCGGAGGCGGCGCGGGGCGCGAGCCGCAGCGGGCACAGCGACGCGCTGGCGGTGGCGGAGATGGGGACGCCAACGGGAGACGAGAAATTGATACATATGGCGCAGGAGTTCTTAGATAGGGTGGAGTCGGCCGGGGAGCTGTCGGCTACGGGGTCGGGGCTGCTGCCGGACGAGGTGCGCCCGCGTACGCGCCGTGCCCCCCGCACCACAAGCCCCCCTGTTGACGTCAAGAGCCTTGCGAGCTCGGTTCGCTGGTACAAGCGTTGCGTGCACTCACAACCGCGCACCGCGTGCCTCATCTCTGCAGCATGCTCAGGAGAAGTTCTCCGAGTGGCTCTCGCACGGGTCACAGCGTGGATCCGCGCAGGAAGGCGCGCAGCAGCAGCGGCGCCCCCAGCAGAGTCAGGACGTCGCCGCTGCGCCTGCTGGCGCGGACGAGGGGCACGGAGCACCCAAGCAGACCGAGCAGGACGTCGCCGGCCCGTCGGAGCCGGCAGCAGCGACGAAAGCGCCGCAGGCGGCGCCCAGCACGAGCGCGGCGGCAGGGGGCGCGCCGGCCGAGGAGGCCGACCCGGGCGTGCGCAGGAGCATCAAGTTCCCGAAGTACGACTTCGCGGCGTACCTCGCGGGCGCGGAGGGACGCGGCGACGGAGACGAGAGTCCTCCTCGCGGCCCCAGGCTCGTGTCAGGCACGGGCATGCGCTACGAGGTCCCCTGAGCCACCCGTGGCAACGTGTGACGCGCGACGGACACGCAACGCTCCTGAGTCAGCGCGAGTACAGACCGAAGCAAACGCGGCACCACGAGCAGCGCCGCACTGCGGGCGCCCCGTGCCGGAACACGTGCCTCGCGCTCACACCGCCGCCTTGGCCTCGAGCTCCTCCTCGAGCTCGTCCAGCATGTCCTCCTCGTCGTCGTCGTCGTCGCCGCCGAACAACTCCTCCGCGTCGCCGCCCTCCAGATCCAGCGTCGTCTCCACGCCCCCGCCCCCGCCCGCGCCCGCCCCGCCCGCGCCCGCCTCGTCCTCGCCCTCCGACTCCGACACCTCCTCGCCGGCCGCCGCCCGCGCCGCCCGCCGCGCCCGCCGCGCCGCCCGCTCCATCGCCTTCTCCTCCTGCGCCTCGGTGTCCTTGCCCTCGCGCTCGTACTCGTCCGTTGCGCCGTCCTCGTCGCGCGCCTCGAAGCCCTCGGACTCGTAGATCTCGCGCCCCGTGAGCCGCCCGGCCTTGACGCGCGCCTGCTTCTCCTCGGCCCACTGCCGGCGCTTCTCCTCCCACTTCCTGGCGTGCCACTGCCGGAAGACCTCCTCCGTGATCTTCGTCGTCGCGTTCACCTTCCGCCGCTCCTCCTCCATCACCTCCGTCACGTCCGGCGCGTTCGCCGCCTCCTCCTCCAGCATCGCCTTCATCTGGCTCTTCAGGACGTAGCCCGGCGGCAGCGCGTGGCGGTAGATGCACTCGGGGCCGTTGGGGCACTTCCAGAACCAGCCGTACTGCCGCTTCTCCACGGCGTCGAGGAAGTACTTGCAGATGATCTTCGTCTTGTTCGGGCGCCCGTTCTCCGCGCCGTGCTTCTGCTTCACCGCCGCCTCGAGCGTCTCCTGGTCCCAGTCGTCCATGCCCTCCTCCTTCTCCTCCTGCTTCTCGTCCTCGTAAATATTCGCCTTGGCGCCCTTGCGCTGCACGCCCATGTCGTGCGAGAACTTGCACTTGTCGCCCTTGCGGCACTTGCCGTGTTTGAAGAACTCGCACAGCACCGACTTGGGGTCCGTCCCGGGCGGGAGCTTCGGCTGCACGATCACGTTCGCCATCATCTTCTGCATCTCCAGCTCCATCTGCTGCTTGGCCTTCTTCGCCTCCTGCGCGGCCTTCCGCTTGGCCTCCTCCTTGGCCAGGTCCTTGTTCACCACGCTCTTCTGGAGACCCTCCACGAACGTCTGCACCTTCTTCGACTTGTTCTTGTTCTTCAAACCAAATGTCTTGTCCTCGACCGCCTGCGACCGGGAAACGCCCCGCCGTGAGCGCCAGCAACGGCAGAGTGCCCGCGCCCTCTGGAGCGCCCGATGTCCCTCTCGGCCGCCGCTGGGCCGCGGTCGTGCGCATGGCCGCCCCCTCGACGCCGAAACTCTGCCGCAGGCGCGCGCACAAGCGGAGACGGGGCGCCGGGGCCGCAGCGGCGGGGTCGGCAGCCTGGGTGCTCAGCAGCCCAGAAGGTCGGCTGTGCGGCACGGCCGGTGCGTGGGATGGATCCTGTGGCGGGTGTGCGGCTCCGCTTGCGTACAAGGAGCGGTGCGGCGGTGCAGAGGGGGGCGGGAGATCAGCTCTATGCGTCGGCGCCGGCCCCCGTGTACAGAGCGCCTCGGCGCGGGGCCGCCGGCGCGCGGCGTCTCAGAGCGGTTTGCGCGCACGATCTGCCTACTGCTGCAACAATATTTGCTGGCCGGTGGTGGCACGGGGGAATCGCGCTCCAACGCCGCCCGTGCCCGCCCAGAGACGTCGGGAATGATGCTGGGGCGAAATGCGGCCGCGCGGCGCGACCCGCACCTTCTTCTTGGCGTCCTGGACCCTCTTCATGGCCTTGATGTCATTGTTCTTCTTGGGCGCCATCCTTGACGTCCTTTCCTGGCGCCGGCTGCCTGGCCAGTGCGGTGGCGGAGCCCAGACACTCTCTGGGGGCTAGCTACCAGAGTGCGCACTCAGGGCCCTGTGGCGGTGCGTGTTCGCCGGGAGCTTGGTCCCTTCTGCGTGCGCCGCGCGAAGTCGCGTCGATATCACAACCATGACGTCGGCAGGGGCCGCCCCGGGCGAGTCCTCCCTGACTGGTGACTCCGCCGCGCGCCACGGGACCCGAATGGCCGGTCCGGAGCGAGGCGGACACACTCACGTTGCTCATCACCCGCGCTTCGGCGGCGCCGAGTGCCGTTTCACGGCTGCTGCAGCACAGGCTGCAGGGCGTTGGCTTCTGAGACCTGCGCAGGCGTTTGGCGCGTGCGAGCTGCTGAAGGTTCAAGAGCGCCGCGTAGGGCGCTCTGGGTCGAGTTCCATACGGGAACGACACCAGTAGGCTGTGGCTTTGCAAGGGGAGTTCTTCCGCTGCCGCGGCGCGAAAACGAGGTCGAGGGAGAACAGGCCTAGGCGCCGCGCGTGGGGCGTTCCTGCCTGCGACGGGTGCTAGGCGGGCGGACGGGGCACCATGGGCGCACAGAAGCCGAAGGGCGAGCTCGGGGAGATCCGCGCGAGCCTCCAGCAGCTCGCACAGCGCGGCTGGGCGGACCCTCAGGTGCGCTCGCTCGCCCTCCGTCGCACCCCGCACGGCCCCGGCGCGCGCCGGCCCGCATGTGCGTCTTCTAGCGGCCGCGCTCAGCGGTCGCTCCGCGCCGATCCCGGCACGGCCCGCGCGGCGCCGGCAGAAGCCCACCTCGCTCACGGCGCCTCGTGTCGCGGCCCGCAGGTCAACAACGAGCGCCGCGAGCTCTTCCGGCGCATCATCCACTACATGACCATCGGCATCGACCTGTCCCCGCTCTTCATGGAGGTCGTCAAGCACGCCGCGGGCGCCCATGACCTGCCCATCCGCAAGATGCTCTTCCTCTACATCTGCAACTACGCGCGCGCGTCCCCGGACCTCGTCGTCCTCACGATCAACATCCTCCTCAAGGACTGCCAGTCCGACGACCCCACCGTCCGCGGCCTCGCGCTCCGCTCCCTCTGCTCCCTCCGCGTCAAGGACGTCGTCGAGTACCTGGTCGGGCCCGTCCGGCGCGGCCTCGACGACAAGCACTCCTACGTCCGGCGGACAGCGGTCATCGGCGTGCTCAAGGTCCACGCGCTCGACGCGCGCGTCGCGGCGGACGCGGGGCTCGTGGCCAAGCTGCAGGAGATGCTGGCGGGGGACCGGGACGCCCAGGTCGTCGCGACGTGCCTGCAGGCGCTCGTGCGGATCCCCAGCGCGGCGCCCGTGCCGGGGAAGGCGCTGGTGTACGGGCTGCTGAACCGCGTGCCCGCGCTGCCCGAGGCGCTGCAGTGCGCGGTGCTGTCGTTCGTGTCGCGCTACCGGCCGGGCGACGAGTCGGAGGTGTTCGACATACTGAACGCGCTCGAGGACCGGATGCAGAGCTCGAGTCCGGGCGTGCTGCTCGCGGCGTCGCGCGTGATGCTGCACGCCACGCTGACCATGCCCGCGACGCACCAGCAGGTGCTGGAGCGCATCCGCGGGCCGCTGCTGACGCAGGCGTCGTCGCAGTGCCCGGAGATCGCGTACACGGTGCTGTGCCACATCAAGCTCCTCGCGCAGCGCGCCCCCTTCGCGCTGGCGTCCTCGTACAAGCAGCTCTTTTGCAGATACTCGGACCCAACCTACGTCAAGTCGCTGAAACTGGACATCCTCGCGCTGATCGCGAACGTCGACAACGCGTACGACATCGTCACCGAGCTCTCCGAGTACGCCGCGGACGTCGACCCCGCGCTCGCCAGGGGCGCGGTGCGCGCCGTGGGGGCCATTGCGCTGCGCTGCCCCGACGCGCAGGGCATCGTCGAGCGGCTGCTCGCGTTCCTGGGGCTCGGGCGGGACCACGTCGTCGCGGAGACGCTGGTGCTCCTGCCGGACCTCGTGCGGCGGTACCCCGACGCGGCGAGCCTGATTGTCGACATGGTGGGGGGCACGAAGTTCGAAGAGGTCGTCACGCCCGAGGCGAGGGCCGCGCTGCTGTGGCTGCTCGGGCACCACGGCGCGCAGGTCGAGGTGCGTGTTGCTCGGGGCTGCCGGTGTTGTCGCATGCCACGGAGTCCTTTTTCGTTTTCCTTCGCGGGCGAGCAAACAGGTCTAGTATGGTGCGTGAGCGTCGCAGCGCGTGCCCGTGCTCCGTGCAGGACGCGCCGTACACCATGGAAGCCGTCGCGAAGCACTTCGCGACCGAGGAGGCCCCCGTCCGCCTCGCCCTCCTGTCTGCCTGCGTGCGCCTGTTCTACGGCCGGCCCGCCGAGGTGCGCCCCGCGCTCGCCGCGGCGCTCGCCGCCTCGGCCGACGACCCGGACCAGGACGTCCGCGACCGCGCCGCGACGATCGTCCGCCTCCTCCGCGCCGGCCCGGACCAGGCGCGCGCCGTGCTTGCGCCGCTGGAGCCCGAGGGCCGTGAGTTCGAGGAGGGGCCCGGCGAGGAGGCGGCGGACCAGATATTCGAGGAGTTCGGGACGCTCTCCGTCGTGTACAACGCGCCCGCGCACATGTTCGCGTCGGAGCCGACGGAGATCTTTGACAAGGGCGACGGCGGGGAGGATGAGGCGGGCGCGGGCGGCGCGGGGATCGGCGCGGACGCGGCGGGCGCCGGAGCGAACCCGCAGGCGGACCTGATCGACGGCGGGGCGAGCTTGCTCGGCGAGGCGGACCGCGTGGAGGACGCAGCGTCCGGGGTCGACGCCATGGCGCTCGGCGGCGGGGCAGGCAGCGCGCAGGCGGGGCCTGCGCTGCTGGATCTGGAGGACTTGCTCGGCGGGGATGATGCGCCGGGGCCGGGTGCGGCCGCGGGGGCGGGCGGCGGGGGCGAGGTCCGGCTAGCGGAGCCCGCAGGGGCGCCGGGGGCGGGGGGGGAGTATTTGTCGGACTGGGCGGCGCTGCCGGCGCTGTCGACGCAGACGTTCGCGGTGGAGCCGACGGCGCTGGTGGTGCTGGCGCACGAGATGGACAGGGCGGTGGCGCATGTGGCGAGCCGGGGGCTGGCGACGGTGGGGCGGGCGGGCGCGGTGCCGAAGATCACGCTGCAGCTGTCGGGGGCGCTGCACGGGGGGGGCGCGGGGTCGACGGTGCTGCTGGAGGTGGCGATCGACTGCAGCCGCAGCGAGGCGCGGTTGACGGTCAAGGGCCGCGGCGGGGGGCCCGCGGGATGCCAGGCAGCAGAGCGAGCCATACAGGCCGCGCTGGGCACGCTCGCGTAGGGCCGTGACGGCAGACACGACATTCCACCTTCCGTCAGGGCAGGGTGCTAGGTCAACCGCAGGAGGTGTTGGGTGTTACACGCTGGCGGCCGTTCGCCGTCGCTTCTGCGCGCCTTACGCCGGCACGGAGCCCTTGATCTTCTCGAGGACCATGTCGTCGCAGGTGAAGTCCGCGGGCTTGATGTAGCGCCCCTGGGAGTAGTCCTTGTCCCACGAGTCCTTGAGGCCGTCGACGAGGCCGAACTCGGGCTCCCAGTCGAGGTCCGCCATGGCCTTGTCCACGGAGGCGAAGAAGTGCTGGTCGCGGAAGGGGAAGGCCTTGAGCTTGCCGAAGTCGAAGTCCTTGGGGTTGTACAGCACAATCTCCGGCTCGGGCTTGCCCGCGGCCTGCGCGCAGGCCTTCGCGAGGCCCGAGAAGGTCACGTTCTTGACGCCGGAGATGTTGTAGATCTGGTTGAACGCCTTCTCGTTGCCCATGCACTTGACGAACGCCACGGCGAGGTCCTTGATGTGGCCCAGCTGCGTGATCTGCATGCCCGAGCCCGGGACGCACACGGGGCGGCCCGCGGCGATGCGGTGGAAGAAGTACTCCTCCACGGGGTTGTAGTTGAGCGGGCCGTAGATGTACACGGGGCGGAGCGACGTCCACGGGATGCCCGACTTGGCGAGCACCGCCTCCGAGTCGAGCTTGCCCTTGTGGCGGCACGCGGGGTCCGTCGCGTCCTCCTCGCTGCGCGCGCACGGAGAGAAAAATAAGACACGTTCGCGAAGATCAGCATCACGCGATTCGCGGCCGCAACGCGTGCACACTTCCGTGTTGGTTGCTGACGACGAAAAATGAGCCCGCAGGCGCTTGTCCGCGGCCTCCAGCGGTCCGGAGCAGCTAGCACTCCTGCCACGCGCGCGCGAGGCTGTGCGCCGCGCGCCGCGCCCGCCACGCGCACAGGCGGCCTGCAGGTGCGCACCGGTGCGGCATCTCGTACGACTTCAGGTAGACGCCCGCGGACGAGCAGAAGATGTACTGCTTGAGCGTGGCCTTGGTGGCCTCGAGCACGGGCTCGACCTGCACGGCCTCGCGCGCGTTGCAGTCGAACACCACGTCGAAGTTCTCCTGGGAGATCTTGGCCTTGAGGTCCTCGTAGTCGTTCCGGTCGCCCGCGATGTGCTTCACCGAGGCCTTGAACTTCTCGAACGACTCGTCCGTGTCGTCGGGGATGCGCTCCGCGATCGGGGTCTTCCCGCGCGTGAAGAGGTACACCTCGTGCCCGGCCTCGACGAGCATGCGGGCGAGGTAGACGCCGATGAAGCGCGTGCCGCCCATGAGGAGGATCTTCTGGGGGCCCGAGAAGCCGCCGGCCATGGTGGCCGCGGCGCGGACCGCGACGGACTGCGCGCGCGGGCGGGTGATGGCGCGCGACACCTGCAGAGGGCGGGGGGCGGGGCGGGCGGGTGGGGGCCGGGCGGGGACGCGGGCGCGCTGGAGAGGAGCGCAGTGTGTCGGGGGTGCGGGGGTGGCGCGGGCGCAGCGTCGGTGGCGGTGCGCGCGGGCGGCGAGCAGGGTGGGTAAGGTAACGGATTGTGTCGGAGGCGGTGCGGGGGTGGTGGCGCCTCTGAGGCGCGCGATGCCCAAATTCAGCGCAGAGGTTTGCTGAATTCCGCAGGGGGGGCAGCGACTGCGCGCCGGTGCGCGCCGCGACGCCCTATCGGGGCGAGGTCTACTACGCGAGCGCCGAATATGCGGAGAGCCGGCCGTGCGATGCTCACCGCGGCCGCGAAAGAAGCAGACTTGACGCGAGACCCGGCCACGACGCGCGCGGGGCGCGCCAGGCCCGAGAACGCGGGCGTCGCCGAGGCCTGGCGCCCCTGGGTCGCAACCGCCCCCTTCATCACGCTCCGCATCGCAACAGTGCTCGCCATCTCGCCCAGGTGTGCCTCGATCCCAGAAGACCAGGTGTGCGCGCGCGGGGCCGCAGAGGGGCCCGTTGTGTTGCGCCACGGCCCGAATCGCTAGGACATCCCCCGCAGCATAGCACCCCTCCCACGGACTCGACATTGCATCTCGTCGCGAGCTCACGGGCGCACGGCGTTCCCGAGCTGTCGGTCATGGCTGTAAGGGGCGCGCACCAGCGCGTGGACGCGACTTTGGCGACCGTTCGAGCCTCGCGCTTTTGTGGGTGATTGCACCCTCCACGTGCCGCGCTGAAAGCGAATCAAAGACGACGTTACGCGAACGAGAAGGAAGTCCGCCCTGTCAGGTATCCAGCTCGTGCCGCGGGCCTGCATGCCTCCCACCGGCAGGCGCCCGAACGCAGGGCTTGTGCCGAAGAGCACGGGTGATGACTTCCTGGATCTAGACGACTTCCTGAGCTTGCGCGACATCGAGAGAGCGGGGAAGACGCGTCTGTCCGTCGCAGCAGAGGGGTACTACTCGTCGGGAGCCGATGACGGCGACGCGGCAGCCGACAACCTGGCGTGCTTTCGGCGCATCCGTCTGGTCCCTCGGATGCTCCGTGACGTCGGGAACGTCGACGTGTCCACCACCCTCTTCGGCACGCGTCTAGACTGCCCGGTCGTGGTCGCTCCCATGGCGATGCAGCGCATGGCGACGCCGGAGGGCGAGCTGGCAACCGCCAGGGCCAGCGCGGCAGCCGGCGTGCCGATGTGCCTCTCCACGATGGCCACGGCGGACTTGCGGGAGGTCTCGGCGTCCGTGCAGGGCATGGAGGACTCGGCGCTCTGGTTCCAGCTGTACGTGCTGCGGGACAGAGACTTCTGCGCTCATATGATTCGGGAGGCACAGACACTCGGGTACCGGGCTCTGGTGGTCACAGTCGACGCCCCCGTGCTCGGGAACCGCGAGGCGGACCACAGGAACCGCTTCACGCTGCCCGAGGGCCTGCGCCTCAAGAACCTAGAGCGCCTGCAGAGGTGCGAGCAGCCAACCACGCCGCGTGCTCCCCGATCCCACGTCGAACCCGCACCGTCTGACAGGTCCCTGCACGGCGGCGGCCACGCGTGCAGGTACGCCGGCGCCGGCATCGCGGACACGTCGGAGGGTTCCGGTCTGTCTGCCCTCTTCAAACAGCAATTAGACCCCTCCCTGACGTGGGAGACGCTGCTGCCCTGGCTGCGCTCCGTGACCACCCTGCCGATCCTCGTGAAGGGCATCCTGCACCCCGACGACGCGCGGCTCGCGCTGCGGCACGGCGTCGACGGCATAATCGTCAGCAACCACGGGGGCCGCCAGCTGGGGTGCGCCGTGGCCGCAGCGGACGTCCTCCCGGCCATAGCCCGCGTGGTGCAGCGCCGTGTTCCCGTGCTGGTCGACGGAGGCGTCCGGCGAGGAACGGACGTGCTGAAGTGCCTGGCGATGGGCGCGGACGCGGTGATGCTGGGGCGGCCCGTGCTGTGGGGCCTCGCGTGCGGCGGCGAGGCCGGCGCCGCGAAGGTGCTGGCTATCTTGAGACACGAGCTCCGCACGGCCATGGCGCTGTGCGGCTGCGCGACGTTAGGCGACATCACACCAGACCTGTTGCTGCATGCCGGTGCGCGGCTGTGACGGACGCCGCGGTGTCGCTAGTCTCCACGAGCTGCGTGGGCCGCGCGTGCGTTTGCCACGGCGGCGTCGCGGAGCAGCGCCATGTCCGCGGCGCACGCCACCATCGCGTATCCAGGCTTGGCGGCGCCGCCGGCGGGGCTCTGCGGGGGCGCGTACCCGCAGAGGAGCTTGTTGCAATCTTTCGCTGACTGTTCTAGCGCGGCGATGGCGTCCTGGACCCGCTGGTTGGCCAGGTCGCCGGGCAGCCCGAGACTGCTGCTGAGGTCGAGCGGGCCGATGAAGACGCCGTCGATGCCGTCGACGCCGAGGATCTCGTTGGCGTTTTGCACGCCGCACTGGTCCTCGATCTGCGAGCAGCGCGCGACTCGAGCCCGTCGTGTTTTCGTGCGCGGGTGATCAATTACTACTTTGTGTTCGCCCAGCCACGTGGAGGTTCAACGTTGGTGTTTGTGGCTCGAGTCAAAGCACGCGGCTAGGTCGACTGCGGTCGTGCGCGGGACGCTGCTGTGCGGGCGAGACAGAGGCACGCGGCGCGGCATCAGTGGCGGGGACGAGCGGGATCATCGTGCCTGCGGCAACAGGAGAGTCCGTTCCCGATACTCAGATAGGTACTTGGGGTCCGTGCCCCATCCTGACGCGCGAATGAGCGGGTACGCGACGCCGCGCGCGCCCAGGTCGTGCGGGTAGCGCACGGACGCGACGAGCGCGTCGGCCGCGTCGACGGTGGAGATGAGCGGGACGATGAGGGCGTCTGGGCCGAGGTCGAGCGCCTTCTTGATGGACGCGCGCTCGTCGGACGGGACGCGCAGCAGAGCCCACTTTCCCCGCGCCTTGATGGCCTGCGGGCGGGCGCGGAGCGGGCGGTGGGCGGGCGGGGGCGCGCTGGGCTTGAGAGCGCAACTGCGTCGCTGGCGCAGCGCGTCCCGACCACGGCGACTTTTGATATTCAGGTCTGAGAGCATCGAGAGATCGATTTCGCGTCATACTTGACAAAAATGAGCAGCGTTTCAGGGTCACCGGCGATGGACGGGCTGTCTGTTGCCAAAGCTGCGGAGCGCGTCGTTGCGCCGCAGGACGACCCCGGCGGACGTGCGACGATCGGTTCATGCGGTGAAGATGCAACGTCATCGCATGGCGACGAGCTCCGCGCCAGACTCGCCTGTATCATGCACAGCGCGGTCTCGAAGCCAATTGGACTGTGCTCCATGTCCACAACCAAGAAATCATAATCCGCGCAGGCCATCATCTCTGCGACTAACGGGCTCCCCGACATCAGGAACGCCCCGTACTTGGGTGCGCCCGTGGCGTCCCGCGCGCCCTGAAGCTCCTGCCTCAGAGCCATGCGGGCGACCTGCCTGCAGCGCGGCGCACCAGCCGTCGGCGGTGCCCGCGAGGGGCGGCGGAGCGGCCCGCGGCCCGCGCAGGCGCAGGAACGGGTCCCTCTCGCCGTGCCGTGCAGGCAGGGACGCATGCGCTGGCGGAGAAGCGCTCCACTCCCTATTTGAGCGCACGACACCCCAGACTTGGATTCTCGATCTCGAATCAACGCAGACACGCACGACGCGCGACGCGTGCTCACCGGCGCGCGAGACTGGCCGCGCACCGCGCAGCGCGTCCCGAAGACCGCGTCACACACGCCCTGGCTCAAGCACCACACAACACTCCCCCCGGTATAACGTCATCCGAGGCTCTCGCCGGGCGAGGCCGGGTGGCTGCTCGCGGCCTGCCGGGCACGCAGCCACGTCCACAGCGCGGCCGTCGCGAAGTGCACGGCCACCCCGACAGGCCCGAGCGTCCCGCAGAGCAGCACGGTATGCCAGCACGGGTGTTTGAGGGACTCGGGGTGCGAGGCCGCTTCGCTCCCGTGGGGCTCGGCCTCGGGACGCGTGTGGAGCGGCCACTCGACGGCCTCCACGAGGGCCCAGCGGGCGGCGAGGACGTTGACGGTGAGGATGTGCAGCCAGAGGGAGGCGGCGGTGAGCGGCCGGGCGAACAGCGTCGACATCGTTTCGACGGTGGGAAAGAACTGCGGGTTCCAGCCTGCGCGGGGAGCGGGACGTGGGCGCGTGCGGTGGGCGTCACTGGCGCGTGGTGTCGCAAGCGGCGGGCGGGAGCGCATTGTCCTGGGAGGGCGCCGTGCCTTTCAGGCCCTCTTCCAAGCTCCCCGGCAGTATGAGCTGGAGTGTATCTGGCTCCCAGGACACCGCAAGCAGCGCCGCGTACGCCATCGCGAGCGGCAGCGCGCAAGTTGGTTTGCGCACAAAGGAGAGCACGGGCTTCCAGAGCGGGGCCACGGCCATGCACACGACCAGGCACCCCGCGTAGACGGTACTCGCAGCGATGACGCCGCCCACGGGGTCCAGAGCCTTCGCCACCACGCGCCCACGCGCTGCGGCCTCCCGCCGGTGGCCACCTAGGCTCCACCGGATGCCGCAACCCCGCTCCGTCGCAGCCTGCGGACCGCCGTGCATCGCGGCATGTGCTCGATGCAAGCGCATCGCGCCGATGTGCGGGCGCGCCGCCGCAACAGCAGCACTGAAGCAGCAGACCGGCGCCATGGTCGACACTGCGGCTTCCCTCGCCCTGTGCGGCGCGAAACCACCTTGAGTACGACTACAGCCTCACGCACGTGAGTGCGTCTGAGCGAACCGACCCTCCTCCGTGCGTGTTGTGACGCGGACCGTGCGCTGGAGCGTGGTAGAAGACATGAAGCCCCTGACAGGCCGAAAAGGTGCTGTATCTGTGCCGTTGTTGCGTCTCGCGCGGTGCTGCGCGCGCAGAGTGTAGCTTGCTCCCTGTACATGCCGCAGCATATTGCGTCTGGAGGACATTCTTCTCGGACAGCGCGTGAGACCCGCACAAGTGGCACGGAGGCACCTCGCGGTCTGCAGCGACGCGTCACCTGGGGTCGAGGGAGGCCACCTTGTAGAGTCTAGTGCAGGAGAAACCCAGTGGGATATGGGCGGACTCAAGCACAAGCAGAAACTGCGCGGACGGAAGCCACAGGGCCGCTCCAGAGATGCTCGCCAGGTGCGTTCGCTCACGGCCCCGGAACGCACCCAGCCGGCGGCACGATCCACGAGGCTTAGCTCGCCCCATCACAGAACGCGCGCAAGGCGGCCCGGAGCCCTGCGGTCCCCGGCGCTGCACGCGAGAGTGCGACGCGACAGCCGCCAGCAGCACCGTCACGGCGCCGCCCTCCGCGCCGCCTCGGCGCTTCGTTCCGCGGCCCGCCGTCCGCACCTCGCCCACCACATCTCGCGCCATGCGTCCGGCCGGCCGAACCGGCGGGCCCCGGCTCGCTTGCCCGCAGCCGGACGCCAAGCGCGGAGCGCGGCGGGGGGGCGCCGGCGCCAAGACCCCGCAGGAGCTGTTTGCGGAGGCTCAGGACCGCCTCGAGCTCGGCGACGTGGAGGGTGCCTTGAAGCTCATGGCGGCTGCGTACAAGGCGGGCCCGGGGGACCTGGAGATCGCAGATGCCTACGGGGCGCTGCTGGCGGAGAGCGGGGGCGGCGAGGCGGCGCGGGCGGTGCTGATGAAGAGCGTGGAGCAGTCCCCGGACGACGGCCACGAGAAGTACATGTACCTCGGGCAGCTGTCAGGTCCGTCGCCCGGCGCCGCGGCTGCGTGGACGCACTGGTCTGCACATCGCTGTTGTGGCGTTGCACGGCCGCATCACCGCCCGCGCGCACCGCGGCGGGTCCACGCAGATGCCGGGGACGAAGCGGTTCGGTTTTTCGAGAAGGGCGTGGCCATTCTGGAAGCAGCGGTCGCCTCAGCGCCGCAGGGCGGCAGCGGGGACGACGGCGCAGAGGACGTCCGCGCCGCGCTCGCGTCGGCGCTGTGCTCGCTCGCGGAGCAGCTCGTGGCCAACGCGCAGGACGCCGACGAGCCGGGCCTCGAGGCCGCAGCGCCGCGCTGCCTCGAATTGCTTGACCGGGCGACGCAGCTCCACCCGGCCACGCCGGAGCCGCTCCAGGCGCGGGCGTCGATCGAGTACGAGCTCGGGCGCACGGAGGACGCGCTCAAGCACCTGCGGGAGTCGATGGCGCGGTGGTACAAGCCAAGACCTGGGCAGGGCGCGGAGGGCGGTGCAGATGACCTGGCGGACGATCTGGCCGAGTGGGACCTGGACCCCGACGCGATGCCGTCGTACGAGTTCCGGTGCGCCCACGGCGCGCGTGCCCGCTCAGCGAAGCGCTTGCGTCGGCGCACCACGCGCGTCTTTCCGTGCAGCTTTCGAACAGAGAGGACTCGGGATGTGTTTCGCGGAACACGGCAACGGACCGCCACACGCGCCGCGCGCCTGGCCGCATGCGACGATGATTGGTGCGCGGGCCGCTGACCGCCCCCGCTGTTCACGTGCTCGCCGTCCGTGCAGGTTCGAGTGCGCGAAGCTGCTGCTGGAGCTCGACAGCGAGACGGCGACGGCGATCTCGGTCCTCGAGGGTCTGCTGGCCGAGCAGGACATGGACGTGAACGTGTGGTACCTCCTCACGCTGGCGTACTACTCCGGGGGGGACTTTCCCGAGGCGCGCGAGTGCATGGAGCACGGGGCGAAGCTGTGCGCGAAGCTCGGGGCGGACGAGGCGGCGCTGGAGGCGATGTGGGGCGAGCTGCGGTCCGCGCTGGAGGAGGGCGAGAAGATAGTGGCGGCCAAGATGCAGGAAGACTGACTTTGGTATTTGGAGATGCACGCGGGGACTCGGGGCGCCGGCCGCGGGTGAATCTTGTGGGTCACATCGCTGCAATGCCGCGTTCGAGTGGTGCTATGTTTGTGCAACGCTGTCGATGCACATGCCGGTCCTGACGTGTGAGGCGTATGGCGCGCCACGGGGGCGCCGCATGGCTCGGCCGGCGACCGCCGCGGGACGCGCGTGTGGAGAAACACGCTCGCCGCTGGTCTGGGGAGGGGAATGTGCGGAAGCAGCAACGGGGATGTCGCACGGGTCGTAGGGGGGGGGTATTGCGTCTGTATCACGGAGTCGTGTCCGGGTGCAGTCACGGATGGGATCGCCGCGAAGCCGGTCGTCGGCACGCGTTCGTCCGGTCGACACGAGGTGCCGTCTCGGCGTAGGCGCGGTCTGGACCCCGCACAGCCCCTGCAGGGGGTCGGTGGCAAGGACCGCCGCCGACCGCGGCGGCACGGCTTCCGCAGCCCCTGTGCCGGTGCGTCTGGGGCCCGGTCCGGCGGCTCGCGAGGGGTGTCGCATGCATCGAGTTGCAGAGCAGGCATCAGGGGCGGTATGGGTCGGGAAGACCACGTCCAGTGCACGAGGGGTGTTTTGGGAGTCCTCGCATCACGTGCTCGCTTCGGGCGGGATCCGAGGGCCGCAACAGCACCACGAGGAAGCGCCCGAGCGGCCGGACGGGGACTGGTTGACGTACGTGTCGGCGAAGAGTGGGGGTGGTGGTCTTATCGGTCCTAAGCCGTAGGGGGGGGGGGTTCGACGTGCGAAGAAACAGGGACGATGTTGGGCCGTGGGAGGGCCGCGTGCATAGAGGTACGGAGGCGGCGCGGCCATGCGCGGCCCGCCAGTCGCATATACACCGGACGACTGGGTCCCTAGGACCAAGGGGGGGGGGGAGTTAGTCCTGACGTAGGGGGGGCGTCCGTCACGAGCGCGAGGTCCGCAGCGGGCTGGCCACGACGGGCGCTCGGTGGAAGAGCGCGTCCGGGAGGTCCGCCGGCGGCACGGCGCGCGCGACGTTGCGGAAGCGCGGCGTGCTGTACTTCTCGCGGATGGCCGGGAGGCGCGCGCCCTGCGAGTCCGGCGCGCTCCGGAGCGGCTCCGAGTGCGTCACGGCGCGGTAGACCTCGAAGACGACCTCGCAGGGCCCCTGGAGGTCGGCCGAGTGGTAGCCCGTGTAGTGGTGCGTGGTGGCGTCCCAGAGGCTCGCCGGGTCGATGGGGGTCTCGTCGTGGAAGGCCATGACCCAGGACGCGAGCAGCACGACGGCGGCGGCGATCCGCGACGGCGGCACGTGCACGAGGCGGTAGTCGAGCAGCGACGCCTCGGCCATGTAGGACGCCAGCATCTCGAGCGTGGAGCGCGCGCCGGCGGCCTTGACGAACCGCCGGAGGAAGGTCTTCGTCGTGGGCGTGGTCAGCTCGAACTCGAGCGTGTCGAGCACGCGCGTCTCCATGTCCAGCACCTCCTCCCGCGAGTAGGTGTTGTCGGTGATGTAGCAAAACTCGTCCACTTGCGGGGCGTAGATCTCCTCGTACTTGGACGCGACGAGCATGCACGCGACGCCCACGAGCTGGAGCTGCGAGCGCATGACGTTCACGGAGGACAGGAAGCGGTCGATGTAGTTCACCGCCAGGTAGAAGGTGTCGGACAGCAGGCGGTACTCCTCCGCCACCTCCACGAGCCAGTCCACGAGGATCGCGCGCATGTCGCGGTTGATGTCCGTCTGGGTGGCCATGTAGTCCCCGCGGGGCAGGCGGCGCAGCTGCGGGCCGGGAGGGCGGGGCGCGAGGAAGGTGTGGGTGTGGTGCTGGAGTGCGTGAGGCGCGAAAGAGCGGGGCAGGGTTTCGCGGAATTTTTGGCGGGGAGCGAAAGGGTGGCGCCCGGGGAGGGCGGGGCGGCCGCGGGGATGGCGCGCGGGCAATGGCAGGCGGGGCGGCGGCCATGGGTGGGCGTGCGGGACGTGTCCGCGCGCGCGTTCGCGCGCGGGCGGCGCAGCAGCGGAGCGTGAGACGCTGCCGCCAGCGGTGGGCAGGTGCCGTCCGGCGCGGGCTGGGGGCGGGCTGCCGCGATGCGTGCGGCGGCGGAGCGGGGTGGTTGGCGCGGTGTGCGGGGAAAGGTGGGCAGGGTAACGGACGCGCCGCGCCGCAGCGCGCGGGCCCGCGGGAGGAAGTTGGAAGAGGTTGGGTGGGGCGAGGGGGGGCGCTTTCGGCCGCGTGGGGCGCAATCGCGACGTCAGGGGGCGCGTGTCACGGCGAGAGGAATCGGACAGGGTGTTGCGCGGCTGCCGGTCGGCGGCGCGAGCGGCGCGGGCGACCGGAAGCAACCGAAGTCGGCAGTGCTCGTCGCGGGAGCCGTTTTGGCGGGGTCGAGAGCGGTCTAACTGCGACAGGGGCGACAATCATCGATGAATCATAAAGCGCGCTCACCTCACGGTCGCGGAGAGACGCCATTATGTCGCCAATGTAGGCTGTGACCATTTGGGGATTGCGCGCGTCGCGCAAGTCAATATCCTCCACAATGGGCGCGTAGACAGGACCCTCGTTGCACTCAAGACCCTGCGCCGTCGCGAGATCCGCCGTGCGCCGTGCGCCGGGGCCGGGCTCCGCCTGCTCGCACTGCCTCTGCTCGTGCACGCCGGAGACCTGCGCAGGGAGGCCGAGTCGCGCGCCGTTCATCAGCGCACCGAAATGATCATTCCGTAGGCTACTTTCGCGCTGACGCATTGCGTGCGACCCCACCGTGCGCGCGCGTTTGATCATCGAGCCGCCCTCGGGGTCGCGCGCCGGGACGCCGGGGAGTCGATTGCCCTGATCAACTGGCTGAAAAGCACGCATGTGAAAGGTTCCGTGCGTGGGGGGTGAGCCCCTGCCGCGGAGAGGGCCGACAAGCCCGCCCGGCGCGCTCTTGTAGCACGATGCACCGGCCGAGCTGACGCAGGCCGCGCGGGCGGGGGCGCGGGCCCGCCGGCGTCGCGGTCGCGCTCTCCTACGAATTCCTCACCTGCATGTTCGCCCGCAGGGCGTCTGCGGCCGCAATCACCCCGAGCGCCGGGCGCTTCGCATTGCCTCCCGCCACGTCCATCTGCACGCGCGGGGGGAGGGAGCCGCCGCACACGCGATCAAATCGTCGCAAATCACGCCATTTCCGAACGCCGGGCGCGCGGCTCGCTCGCGGGCCGCGCGGGCGCTCACCTCGAGCGCGCTGCAGGGCCCAACCTGGGTGCTTGCGCGCGACCTGGTCACCGGGCCGTTTCCGCTGTACGCGAACGCCATTTCCGCAGTCCTACGGCTCATGCCGGCCTCGTCCGTCCCGGAGCATGTGCCCGGGGCGCCCGCCGCGCCCCCGCTTCACGCCAGCGCGGCCGTTCCGCTGGCTGTTGGTAGAAGCGTTTGAAAGGGGAGCTTGGCGCCACTGGCGCGCTTGGACCTGGCGGCGCCGTTGGTCCGCGCAGGCCGGGCCCGACGGCACGCGCCGCTCGCGGCATGATGTGCCCATGTGTTCACGGCGCGGTTGGCGCGGAAGCGCGTCCGGGGGCGCGGCGCCGGGGCCTTGCAGCGGCAGTGGTTAAAGTCGCCGGCTCCGTGCGGGCAGGGACGGGATGCTTGGACGCGCGTGTGCGGCGAGCTGTGATGTTCATTGAGCGAGGATTGCGTCGCTGTGGCGTCACGAGGGAAGGCCGGCCGAATTCCGCGGCGGTCGCTGCCACGGGGGCGACGCGCTACAACACGCCGCGGTCGCTCGCAGCGGCGCGCTGCGATCCAGGCACTCCGGCCGCGTGCGGGCCCGCGAAGGAGTGCGCGGGCAATGGCGGTCGCCGGACAGCGGCGTGCGCGACGCGTGGGCCCGTGCGGCGAATGCGACCTTGTGACCACGCCGCCCCAACGCTGCTACCGCCCTCCCGCCCTCGGACGAACCCCAACCGCGCCGCTCGGAATCGCCGCCGTCGATGTCTGACGCGCAGCGCCCCGAGAGGGCCGCAGCGCCGGTTCCCGGGCCCTGTGTCGGACTCGTGCCGCTGAGACCAGTACACCTTTCTAGTGTGGAAGATTGCACGTGAGAGCGCGCCGCCCGTGTGGAGCGCGGTGGGCGGCCGGCCCTGCACGAAGCCCTTTGTGCGGTTGAGGCGGTGGTGGGGTCGGACGTGCGTCGAGCGCCTGGCACGTCGCGGTGACGCACGCCGTGAGAGGAGGAGGTCGCGGCGAGGGTCGCGGGCTGGCCGGCGGAATGCGGGGCGGCGGGGCGCGCGGGTCCGGCGCGGCGGTGCGCACAGACGAATGCGCGTCGGGCCGCGTAGGAAACGGGATGCGTTGCGGCTGCGCGCCTGAGAGCCGGGCGCAGGGGCCCCGGGCAGGCAGGGTGGCCCTCGGTCGCGTGGTGCGCCCCTCCGCGGCCCATTCCATGCGTCGGTCCACGGATCTGATATGGTCGGCGTGCTGCGACGTCGCACGCGTCCGCCCCGGCCACATTTCCCGGCCGCGCGCGCACGTGCCCGCCAGCAGGAGCAAACTCGTTCGCGCGGGCTCGCCGCGTCGCCGCCGGCGGTCTCGCGGGGCCCTGCTCGGACGCGCCCGCCCTGGCCACGCATGCACCTGGCAGCCTGCGCACCCCATGCAGCGGCGTTCAATGAACGCCAGCCTGGACTGTATACGTATGCGTGTGGGCACACTTCGGGGCCTGCCCTTGAGGCGCGCGGGCGCAGACCGCGGCGCACGTGCGGCGGTGTGTCGTGCGTGGTTCCGGGTGCGGGCGGGGGGAGCCGCCTCGTGCTCTGACCCGGGGGCAGGCGCGTTCCGCTCTGCGGCGCCGCGCTGTGCGTGTGGGCCGCGTGATCGCTCCCGGCGCGCCGTCTGACGCCGCCGAGGACCGTGCCGGTGGCCGTGTCGATAGGTCTGGGTCGCGGTCCGTCGAGGCGCCGGCGGGCGGGACCTTTGCGCGGTGTGTAGCGCCTAGCGGCGGTTGACGGCGCCACTGGCCGCCAGGACGTCCGCCGGGGTAGAATCCCGCAGCGGCTGACGCAGACAACGCGTCGCTGCGTGCGGCTGACTGACGCGCGCGGCGCGCGGCACATCGTCACGACACAGAGCCTGTGACGCACAGGGGTGGCAGCGAGCCCGGTGGGCCGTGCGGACGTCTTACGGCGCCGTGCGCACGCAGGAACCAGGAGCACGGAGGTGCCCCCGAAGGCACGTGCTGCCGGCGTCGACCAGGGCGCGAAACCGGCCGTGGAGTAGCCCGTCGCCACAGCGGGGCCTGCTGCGTCAGGTGCCTGCGTGTTCGGAGCGCGGGTGGCGCGGGGGGGGCGTCCGCGTGCGATGCGGAGGCTCCCAGCGGCGCTGGTGAAAGTCGCGGGCTTCGTCACCGGCCACACGCGTGCTTGTCATACCCTGTTGCATGCATGGTATAAAGGACGAGGGGCTGGAGGCGCTCGAGGGGCCGCGACGGGGCTCCCGTGCGCCGTGTTGACGCAGAGGTGCCACGGGACCGCCGTCAGAGCAGCTGGCGCCGGCGAGAGCGCTGAGAGCTGTCCGTCGGGCATCTAGCAGCAGGATACGCGGTGTCTGTAGCGGGTGCCGCGACCTGAGATCGCGCTCAATCGAGGTTTGACCGTTCCAGCGAGGCCTGGAGGCTGATTGTCGGCGGTGGTCGGGGGCGTGCTGGCCCGGGCAGCTACGCGCCGCTGGCGCTCCAGAGCGAGCGGGCCCGGAGGAGCATGGCGGCGGCCCCCACCCTGCGATCGGCGGCCCTGTGGGCCGTGCTGTGTATTTCGGCGCTGCAGGGCGCGCTAGGCGTGGAGTTCGATCTGAAGGGCCAAAGGAAGTGTGTCTCTGAGGACATTGCAGACAAGGTGGGGCGGGGCGCTCACTCGCGTCAGTCTGCGTCTCTCCGGCGACACGAGGGCCCGCGATGCATTACGTAGCGTGCGTGCATGCACCCGCGCTGCCGCGCGGGACGGCGCCGTGAGCGTGCGGCGCGCACGGGCGCCAGAGACGCTGCGGTGTGGTGTTTCTGGTGTTGCGGCGACCACGCGGAGCGAGGGAGTGCGTGCAGGTGTTGGTCGTTGGGGACTTTGCGCTGTTCAATGCGACATACGAGGGGGGGGAGGGGGAGCCGCCCATGCAGGGCGTCAAGGGGCAGGTGATCGTAACGGGGCCGTCGGGGGAGGAGGTGGCCGCCGAGGAGACAGAGGGCAACGGGAAGTTCGCCTTCACGACGACAGCATCCGGTGCGTCACCTGCGGCCCCTGTGCGCCCCGTGTCGGCATGGCGGTGCTGAGCAACTCGAGTGAAATCTTGCGGGCCCCCGCAGGCGCTGCATCTCGCCTGAGAGCAGCGCGCGGTGCATTCTGCATACAAATGTCCCTCTCTGCAACGCGCTCGAGGCGGAGCGGCGTCGCATGCGCGTCTCCGCGGCGCGGCGCCTGCCTGTGCACTTGTGTGACGACGCGCAGCGGTGCGGTGCCGCTGAACCGCGCCGGCGCGGCCTCGGTGACACGCAGGCGAGTACAAGGCGTGTTTCCTGGTGCCGGACCCGGAGGCCCAGAAAGTGGCCCGGGCGTTCCTGGACTGGAAGACTGGCGTGGCGGCGAGGGACTGGGACGCGATCGCGCGCAAGGAGCACCTCGACGACGTGACGCTGGAGGCGCGGAAGCTCGCTGAGATCGTCAGGGTAAGCGCGCGCGGCCCGCCTCCGTCCGCACCGCGCCGCGACGGTTCGAGGTTCGAGGTCTTTGATTGACCGCAACCGAGGCCCTACCTGACGACGGGGTGCGCGCAGGAGATGCACGAGGACATGGCGATGATCAAGATACGGGAGGAGGAGATGCGGGACCTGAGCGAGGCCACGAACACGCGCGTGAAGTGGCTTGCGATCCTCTCGCTGGCAGTCTGCATCGCGCTGGGCGTCGCGCAGGTGCTCTACCTGCGGCGGTTCTTCAAGCGCAAGAAGCTCTTGTGACGCCGCGCCCCCACGCAGCGACGGCCCGCTCGGAACCACGCGCCGGCTCAGCACTGCTCACACACGTACGAACTGCGCAACGATCCTGCCTCCCCTGCCGCCCAAATCGGCGAACTGCGCACCGGCTCGCCTCACGACCGGAGATCGAACCGCACCTGCGACTTGGGGCTCTTCGCGACTTCTGCGTCCGTCCCCGGCACCGCCTTGCGCCCGAAGAGGTGCTGCAACCAGCCGCGCGTCCGGCTTGTGCGCTTCGCCAGCTCCTGCTCGTCCGGGGCGCGGCCCCTCCGCGGCGGCCGCCGCGGCGCCGCCGCGCTGCCCCGCCGGGGCCGCGGACTCCCCCTCTGACTCCCCCCGGGGGAGTGCGCCACGAGCGTCGACTGCGAGCTGCTCCGCTGCTCGGCCTCCCACGCCGCGAGCGCCCCGGAGGCGGCCTCGGACGCGTCGTAGAACTCGAAGTACGCCAGCAGCACCTTGAGGTGCTCCTGGTTGGCTCTCTTCCGCATGTCTGGCCCTTGGTCTGACCGCCAGCGGAACGGTCCCGGAAAGCCCGCGCCGGGGCCGCGCGGGTGCGGCACCGTGCTCCTCAGCGCCGGCCCCCACCGCTGCAGGAACTCCCACACGCTGTCCTTGGCGAGCGTCGGCCAGCCGGCCACTGCGCTGACGGTGTCCAGCTGCTCCCTGCGGCCCGCTCGCGCGACCGCGAACAGCCTCTTCCTGTCCTTGTCGGCCGGCAGCGTGGCGATCAGAGCCGCAGCGACCTGCTCGCGGAACGACATCCACATCCCCGCGGTCACGAACATCGTTTGGCTGCCCCGAGCTCTTCGCTGTCCCGCGCAGTCACGGCTCCTCTTCCCGGGGGCGGTGCGGCGTCGTTTCGCGTCGTCTTGGTTCAGAGGGACGTCGTCGTCGTCACTCGGTGGAGTTCGCGGCCGGAAGTGCGCGAACGGGGGCGGAACGGGGCCGATTGAGGCCGGGTCGGTCACCAGACGGTTCGCTTGCTGTGGCGGTCTATTCAACCAGGGGAAGGGGGAAAGCCGGGAATCACACCCCCTGCGAGGCACCGGGCTCTTCGTGTGCGCGCGTGCGGCGTGCGGCCGCCACTCTTGTGCGTTGGGACCGTCTTTGCTCGGCACGTCGACCCAGCGGGGCTGCTGTATCGGCGAAGGAGCAACGTGTACGGGTTTGGTACAGGTGCGCTGCGCGCGGGCAGGGCGGTCTTGCTGCCTCGCTCCGCACCGCTACCCAGTACGTCCAGCAAGAAGCCGCCGTGCGCGTGCCGCGTGGCTGCTGGCCTGCGGGGCGCGCAGAGACGCCACGAGACCACGCGCGTGTCGCAATCGTCGTTTTCGTGTCGGTCGCGCGGTCGGTGCTGCACCGTGAGGCTGCATGTGCCGTAACAGGACTGTTTCGGTCGCTGCAGGCAACGAGGCACGTCGCACGATGGCGTTCGGGTCCGGCATGATGCTGCGTGCCGTTGTTGTTGCCACCGTCGGCATGGCGCTGCTCCTCTCCGCCGTCGCCTTCTCCGTCCCCTCTGAAGGTGAGTCGTCTATTCACGCATCCTTCACATTGCATGACACGTGCAAGGCGATCCCGGAACCGCGACGAAATCGACCGGAACTGTACGTTTGCCATTTGCAGCGAAGCCGGTCGTCGCGCCGCCTGAGCCCGTCGCGCCCACCCCCGGCGTCGCTCTGCTGGCATACGACGTCGCGAACGTCCTCGACAGGGCGTACGAGCGCTTCAACGACGTCGTGGTGCCCGAAGTCGGCATCCTATCTTGGGTGGTGTTCGTGTACGGCGTTTACGTCGCTTGCTCCCTCACGTGGTTCGGCGTGGACGTCGCGACGCGCACGCTCGTATTCAAGGACCCGGGCGGCGAGCTGTACGCGTTCGCGCTGCTCGTGGCGACCTTGCCGTTTTTCCACCCTGGAACCTACGACTACGTGCCGACCCGCGCGTTCCGCAGCCTCGGCTGCGCCGCGATCGGCCGCGCGCTGCTCGGGTGTTTCTTCGACACGAGCCGGGCGCTGACGAGCCTCGGACGCCCGTCGGGGGCGCGGCAGCGCCCACGTGGCCTTGCGGGCATGCTCGCGTGCATCCTGAGCGACGGCGTCGACGAGGACGAGTGGGACTGGGGGTCGCGCAACGCGAACGACAGCCGCTCGCTGCAGTCCCAGCTGCGCGACAGCTCCTCGCCGAGGAAATTCACCGGCCGGGCCGTGACGTGGGGCGGCGCGGAGATCGTCGAGCTCGCCGCCGACGTCGACGACCCGCAGTGAGGATTTAGACGAGGCGGCTGGGCGACTGCGCGGCGCGAGCGTCGATGATTGCGCCGCAAGTGTGACCTCCGTGTTTGCCACGTGCGCTGACCTGGCCAGCGAGGGAGGGTGGGGCGGGACGGAGTGCAGCGCGGGCGTGTTACGCAGAGCGCCGCCCTGAAGACAAGTCGACCGAAAGACAGTTTGACTTCCTGACTTGGGGGGGGTGTGGGAGAAACAACCCTCCGCGGCCGCTAGAACGGCGCTGTCCAGCGCACGGCGTTGCCATGTTGCATCGCGGCACCGCGTCTCTTTGCGACCCGTGCCGTCTCAGCCCCCTGAAACCTCTGAATCGTCGAGTGGCAGCACTCTCTTGGTGCCAGGATCTCAGCACAGGGCAATGGCGATGGGTCACGCCTTCGCCGCCCCCACGGCGTTCTCGTGCGCCTGTTCGCTCAGGCTCGACCGCGTGTCGGCCTCGCGGGGCAGGCCGCTGTCCGCAGCGCGCCGCGTGCGCTCTCCGCAGCCCCAGCAGGCCTCGCCGGGCCGCGTGCGCGCTCCCTCGCGCCTCACGTGCCGCTCGTCGCAGGTGGACGGCAACACGAGCTCGCTCGTCACGGACATCGACTACATCATGACGGGTGCGAGCTGCCCTCCGCGTTGCCCTTGCTACAACATCCAGCCGAGCGCGCCTGCGGAGCCGGAACGATCGACCGCGTTCCCCCGATTCCGCTCCACAGAGATGAAGGGCGTCGACATGGCGCTCACGGAGGTCTACGCGTACTTCGAGCGGTCCGAGCGCGGCCCGAAGGGCCACCCAGACGCCGACATGAAGCAACTCGGGGCCACGCTGCGCCGCATCGTCGACGAGGGCTCCTCTTTCGACTCCTCCGAGATCGACCTCGAACAGGGGCAGGCGATCAAGGCCGCTCTTCTGCAGCTCTGGGGCTGGCGGCGCCGCGGCGGAGGGATGATGGAGCCCACCATTCCGGCCCACCAGGTGCGCGCCCGCGACGCGCTCGCCGCCCAACTCACCCTCCTGTACGGCCTCCCTTCGCTCTCCTACGCGTCGCGGACACCCCCGCCTGTCTTTCTTGTTCGGACCTGCGCGTGCGGGCCTCAGAAGAGCATCGAGGTTTGGGTGTCATCCGCAGACGGCGTTGCGGGACATCCAGGGGCTGGACATCGAGACGGGCGAGGAGGTGGAGGACGACTCGGACAAGGTGCAGTCGTCGCTGCTGGACGGCGTGGACATGACCGAGGAGGACAAGAAGGAGCTGGGGCGCGTGTTTGGCGGGTTCGCGATGGGCGCGGTGCAGTCGGTGCTGTGGAACGGCATCTTGCTCATGGTCTTCGCCCTCCTCTGGCTCAACTTCCACGGCTGAAAGCGCCCCCCAGTCACGCTGTGACGCACTGCTGCTGCTCATGGCACCGTCGTCTCCGCCAGCCACGTGCGGTGGGCTTCACAGGAAGCAGGGCGCCCTGGCGGTGCGCAGCTAGAACGGCAGGCCCGTCCAGGCCCCCTTCTTCATGCCCTTGCGCTTCTCGGGGTCCTGCGCCACCTCCCCGCGCTCCTTCGCCGCCGCCGCCTCCGCCTGCAACGCCGCCAGAGAACGGCATCACGCGTGGGGGCCCGTGGCCTCGCGCTCGTGCCGCGCCAGTGCGGTGTCACGCTTGGTTCGAGCTGCCGGTCGGGAGCCGCGGCGTCGGTGCAGGTGCGCGCGTTGGCTGATGGCGGGTGGCCGGGGGCGTGCGGGGGCGCAGTGGGGCAGGGACGGCGCGGGGGGAGAGTTTCGGGGCCCGGATGGTTCGAGGGCGCGTCAGTCGAGGATTCTCGGTTGTCGGCTCACCTTTTGCTTCTCAAACGCCTCCTGCTTCTTGGCCTCCTTCTCGGCCTGCTCCCGCGCGAACGCCTCCGGGTCGCGGCACCTGTTCCACACCAGCTGCACCTTCGTCCCTCCGTCGATGTCGCTCAGCGGGTCCTTGCGCATGCGGTGCGCGAGGGACATGGAGATGACCCGGTCCACGTCGTGCAGCTCCACCTCCGTCCGGCCCTCGTACGCGACGAGCGCGCGCGCCACGCGGTTCACCGTGATGTCCCCGCGCAGCCCGTCGATCTCGAGCGCGCTGCAGCACTCGCTGATCTTCAGCTTCAGGTCCGCGGGCGTCGTCACCTTGGTCAGCGACGCGCGCGCCGCAACGATCTTGTCTCGCAGCGCGTCCATGTCCGCCTTGGCCTCCTCCGCGAACGCCTCCGCGTCGCGCTCGTACGCCATGCGGTTCTGCACCAGCTCGACGCGCATGTCGTTGTCCATGATCGTGCCAATCGTCACCGACATCCCGAACCGGTCCAGCAGCTGCGGCCGCATCTCGCCCTCCTGCGGGTTCCCCGACCCGACCAGCACGAACTTCGCGGGGTGGATGATCGAGATGCCCTCGCGCTCGACCGTGTTCACCCCCGACGCCGCGCTGTCCAGCACCAGGTCCACGAGCGAGTCCTCCAGCAGGTTCACCTCGTCGACGTACAGGATGCCGCGGTTCGCGCGCGCGAGCAGGCCCGGCTCGAAGGCCTTGACGCCCTCCTGCAGCGCCTTCTCGATGTCGATGGTCCCGCAGATGCGGTCCTCCGTCGCGCCCAGCGGCAGCTCCACGAGCGGCGTGCGCATCTTCAGCGCGGGGAGCGTCTCGCCGGCCCTGGCGCGCGCGAGGGCGTCGGGGCCCATGAGCTTCGAGTCGTTCGGGTCAGAGTTGCAGAAGTCGCCCTCGACGACGTCGAGCTCAGGCAGGAGGTTCGTCAGCGAGCGCACGGCCATCGACTTGCCCGTGCCGCGGTCGCCCATGATGAGAACGCCGCCTGCGTGGACGGGGGGGTCGGGGCGGGGTGAGGGCGGGGTGCGGGCAGGGAGGGAGCGTGTGTGGCGCGGGCGAGGGTGCTGGCGGGTCGATCGCACCGATGGAGGGGTCGACGAGGCACAGGATGAGCGCGAGCTTGAGGTCCTCTTGTCCGACGATCTTCGTGAAGGGGAACGGCGACTTCTTCTTGGTCTTTCCGGACACTGCGGGCGAGAGAGGGGACACCACGAATTCAGCCGCTGATGCGCCGTTTTCGCGCTGTATGGAGCGAAAAGACCGCTGTGACGAATCTCTTCGCGTAGTCCATGATACAAACAAACTTTGCGCTGAGTTTTGAGCGAGATGCTGGTCTGTGTACGCGGTGACGTGCAGATGTTCCGGGCGCGAGGTGCAGCTGGTGCGCCAGGCGCGCGAGGGGGGCGGGGGACGCACGCGCTGCCACGGCCCCAGCCTCAGCCTTCACCACCAAGCTGCTGCGCGAGCGTCCTTCGGCCTGCAGAGCCGGGAGCGCACGGCCCTGGGCGATCGGCTGGCGTGATATCACCTGTGATAGGTTGCGCGCCGTGTCGCACGGAGAGGCTTCGAGAGCGTACTGCGTTGCGCGCGCGGGCTGCCATCGGGACTGTACCTGCGAGCGGCGCGCAGCGCGCGGGGAGGCGCCGGGAGCGCGGAGAGGCGCAGCGGCGAGAGAGCGACCCGCCAGCTGAGGGCGGGCGAGTGCCGGCGCAGCGGCCCCGAGCAGCATCATGGTGCGCGGGAATCACTAGCTGCGGCTATTTCTCGGTGAGCTGGGCGCTTTGTCCCGTGAAGGGCACCGAGACCGACCGCCGGGGGGAAGGGCGAGCGTCCGGATGATGAGCGTGCCGTAGCGATGCGTGCGGGTGCGTTCGATCGGCGACGCTGCTCGGAATGACACCGTGTATACAGAGTCGCCACATGAGCCGCGCGCCGCTCGTGATGGAAGCCCAGGCGGGACGCTGTCCGACAGTGTCGACGAAAAGGTCCCGGTCTGTCATGGGAGCAACTCACTCCGGGACTCCGAGTGACTCGTCACGGGGACCACCGGGCTCGGGTGCCGCTGGGCGACGAGCTGTCGCGCAGTTGAAGCACTTGGAGCGCCACCTGCTGTTCGAGGGGAAGGAGAGGCAGGACGGGCGTGCGGGCCAGTTGCACGTGCCGCCGGAGAGGCTGGCGAGGGGGGGCTGCGAGTCGGGCGACGCACTGCTCTGCATGGAATCCTGCTGGCCGCCGCGCAGCATTGCTCTGCGATCCTTGCGGCCGCGCTGGGGGGGGCACGCACAAAGCTTCCTCGACGCAGCGGGGAACAGTTGAGCCGTCCGAGCCTCCGGAGTAGGATTCATCCGACGGTCTGTTCCCGATCTGTGTGGTTGAGAGGGATCGAATGCGGGCTCGTGCCGCGAATCAGTAGCGTTGAAAGCGCGGAACATCACATGGGTGAACGCGGCGCATGCGGCGCCACGTAACCGCCCACCACGCTGGTGAGCAAGCGGCACTGGAGCGTCTTGCCCGAACGACTCACTGCAGGCAGGAGGCACATGTTTCACCGCGCACGGCCTTCCCTGTGCCTCCTTTGGTGCAGCGGCCTAGTCCCTCGACAGTTCTCGAGGCCTGGACGCCGCCACGACGATGGATTCCATGCGCGTCCGCACGACCGTGACAGTGCTCACGGCTCTGGCGACCGTGATCCTCGGTCTCGCGTTGTTCCACGGGCACCCGAGTTCTCCCCCTGGACTGCTGCTCGCGCGCACGCAGCAGTCGTCGCCCGGACACTGCCCGGCGCGTGCTGCCCCGGGCGGCCCCACGCAAGCCGGCGCGGAAGCCGTGTCCCTCTGGTGGGGGGCGTTCGCCGTCGCAGGCCCCGGGGTGTTGCAACTCCCTGCGTCGGGCCTGTCCGATGGCGCAGCGGCGCTCACGGCTGGGGGCGAGCTGATCCGAGACAGCAGCTTCGCCATGCAGCCGGGCAACGACGAGCCATTCGAGCTGGCCGACGGCTGGTCTGACTGGCCGGAGGTTCCGCTGCCGGGCGAATACTTCTTCCTTTATACCAACCAGTGGGCCTTGAACTACCAGCACTTTCTCGCCGAGCTCGCTCCGAAGCTCGAGGTCTACCTCTCCGTCCTCTACCCACGCGTGCGCCTCCTCATACCCCCCCTCCTTGACACCAGCCTCCTCAGAGAGGTCCTGAGCACCCTGGGCGTCGACGTCGGACCCGCGGAGCACACCTGCGGCGCCACCGAGGAGGGCGCGTGCGGGCCCGTGCCGCTCGCGATGTGCCCCGAAGTGCGCTACAAGCCGGATGTTCTCGCGACGGCTTCTTACTCGGACATTTACGACTCCGACCACTCGCTCAAAGTCAGGTTCCTGCGCCGGCTCCGCGCGGCGCTGGGGCTCCCGACTGCTGGCGCGCCGAGCGAGCCCCGCGCGGGCCGGCAGGCGGAGCTGGCGGGCTGCAGCAGCGAGGATGGCGCCGCGCAGCCGCGGGTGGTGTTCCTGTCCCGGAGAGACAGCGCGGAGATCGGGGCGGACCGGATGGGCAACGCGGCGGGTGCGGCACGTGTCGTGATCAACAGGGATGCCCTCGTCGACGCACTGGAGACGGCAACAGGCGGCTCTCTTGCGGTGGTGGAATTGGGCAAAGTGAGCTTGCAGGACAAGGCCGGGGCTGTCGGTTGCGCGGACATCCTCGTCACTCCGTTCGGCGCGAACCTGATGAACCTCTTCTTCGTTCCCCAGCCGCGCCACGTCGTGGTGGTCGTAAACACGCCGTACGTGCCGGCGATCGACTGGTTCCGCGGGGTGGCCGCGGAGGTGTACGCGGATCCACAGGGGACCACGATGCACGCGTTTGAGTACCCGAGCGAGGGCGATGACAAGAACGCCCCCTACGAGGTGGACGTCGCGCAGGTGGTCGGGCACGTAGAACAGCTGCTGGCGGGGGGGGAGTGAGGCCCGGGGCTGCAGCGGGTGCACGAGAGCGGCGCACAGAAGGGTGCGGGCGCTCGAAGTGCACACCGGATAGGCTGCTTCATGCGGTGTGAGCTTGCACGATTGACGGACAGTTTGTTGCTGGCCTACGGGCGCGTGTGTGTCGCCGGTGGTTGCTGCGGTGGGCCGCGAGCTGCCTTGCACGGCGCTACAGAAGCAGCACTGAGGTCGCCCGGCCGCTGAGCCCCCGGTGCGTACCAATGAGGCTGGACAGACACATCGGTTGTATCTCCTAGCGCTCGCACGTCCCACACCGATCAACCACAGCACCGGCACGACGCCTCGCAGGCCGGACACGTCCGTCGCTCGCCGCAGGCGACCCCGCCGCGTGCGAGGCTCGAGTCCGACACATGTGTCAGGCGTACAACACAGGCGTTTGCCGACGACGAGGCGTCTTCATGGCCGCGCTCCCCGCCCGCGTGCGTGCAGCAGCTCTGGCATCCGAGCACCATGCACCCGGACAAGTGCTCGTTCCGGGCGTCCTCGGCCCTCTTCTTGCGGGCGGTGGGGCTGTGTTTTGCCTTCGCGTTCGCGAGCCTGTGGGCGCAAGCGGCGGGTCTCTACGGCCCCGAGGGCGTCACTCCAGTTCATGTGGCCGTCATCGCCAACACGAGCTCGCTGTTTGGCGCCCGGACGTGGGCGCAGCTCCTCGAGAGGTTCCCCAAGACGCTCCTGGCCGTCCTCTCCGGGGCCACGGGGGTGTCGCCGTTTCAGGCGCTGTCGTTGACATGCTGCGCGGGAACCGTGCTCGGCGTGCTGGTCACTCTAGGTGAGGCCGGGCCAACCCTGTGCCCGCGCATGCAAACCTGGCCGCGAACCGTCGCGGCCGCGCCACCACGCGGTCGTTCGGCGGCTGCGAAGTCGTCTTGCTGCTTCGAGGTCGTGGCGCGCGTGACGGTGGCCGCGCACCCTTCCTGGTCGCGCCGTGCAGGCCTTACCACTCCGCCAGCCTTCTTCGGCCTCTGGGCGATGTACGCGGGGATCTTCTCGAACGGCGGGCAATTCATGACGTTCCAGTGGGACATCCTGCTCCTCGAGGTCGGGTTCGCGGCCGCGCTCCTCGCCCCCTGGAAGCCACAGTGGTCCTACCCTGCCGCTGGCCAAGGCACTGAACCCCGGAAGGGGCCGCTGCTCCTCCTCCGGCTCATCCTCTTCAAGCTGATGTTCATGAGCGGCGTCGTCAAGGTGCGCGGCGCCGGACCCAGCGTCCGAATCACGTTCGAGCTCCCCCTAATTGACAGACGAACAAACAAACACCACGTCCCTTTCTCTATCAGCCCATGCCTCCTTCGTGCGCGCAGATCACGTCCCGGTGCGCTAGCTGGTCCAAGCTCACGGCGTGCCACTACCACTTCGCGACGCAACCGCTCCCAACCCTCCCGGCGTACTACCTGCACAACCTCCCGGGGGTGTGGCTAGGCGCGTCTGTCATGGCGACCCTCGCGATCGAGCTGCCGCTGACGGCGCTCATCCTGGTGCCGCAGCGCCACTGTCGCATCGTGGCCGCGTGGCTCAACAGCACGCTGATGCTCGTCATCGCCCTGTCGGGCAATTACAACTTCTTCAACCTCCTGACAGCGGTGCTCACACTCCCCCTCCTCGACGACGCCCACGTGGCCTTCCTCGGCCTGGCGGCGCCGCGCGCGGCGCCCGCGCCGAGGGAGCGGCCGCCGGCGTCCGCGCTGGCGCGGGCCGTCGCGGGGTGGCGCGTGGTCGACGACCAGGTCGTTGTGTGGGGCGTGGTTCTGTTTTTCGCGATCGTCGCGGCGTTCCTGGGGCCCTTTGAGTTCGGGGGACCCGCGGGCTTCCGCGTCGCGTTCGGCGTCGACGCCCTCGAGGCGTTCTTGCGCGTGGCGCTCCCTGTGCTCCTCGTCGCGGCTGGCCTGGTGCTGCTAGCTGCGGGGGCATATGATGTCGCGAATGCTGTCCGCACGCCTTCCGCTGGTCGCGGATCGGCCGGCCGAGCGGTCTGGCCGGCCGTGTGCGCCGGTCTGGTGCTTCTCCTGCACGTCGGTGGGGCGCCCGGGGGCCTTTTGAGCCTGGATCGGTCAAATATGCAGCTGCAACTGCGCAGGAGACCCTGGCTGAAGTCTGCGCACGAGGTCGTGGCTGGGCGGCTGCACGCGGCGGCGGGGTACGGGCTGTTCCGGCACATGACGGGCGTAGGGCCGAAGGACATGAAGAAGGAAGGGAAGCAAGTGGAGCGCCCGGAGTTGGTTTTGGAGGTCTCCGAAGACGACCTCAACTGGTATGAGGTCGAGTTCAAGTACAAGCCCGGAGACGTGACCGCGGCCCCGGCGTGGGTCGCGCCGCACCAGCCCCGGCTGGACTGGCAGGTGCGCGCCCCCCTACCGACCGGCTCCTTGCCACTCGAGGATCCTCGACCTCCGCTTGCACGCAGCACTCACAGCCCGGTCGCGGCCCACGGCGTGCTCGCAGATGTGGTTCGCGGCGCTCGCGGGCAAGCGCGCCATCGCCACGCACCGCTGGCTCCTCGGGCTGATGCGAGGGATCGTTGCGGGCTCGCCGCCAGTCCTACGCCTCTTGTCGCAGTCGACGCAGCCCCAGGGCTCGCCGCTGCTCGCGCCGCTGTCCGGCGGCCCGCCGCCGCGCCGCGTGCGGCTGGCGCGGTACGCGTACGACTTCCACCAGCCGGAGTGGGGCCGGCAGCGCACGTGGGACGTGTACTGCGAGTGCAGCGTGTTCAAGACGGAGACGCCGGTGAACGCGACGGTGGCGTACTGGCGGCGCCGGAGGACGGAGGAGCTGGCGGGGCCGTTCGCGCGCGAGCAGCTGGAGACGGCGTGGGGCGCGGGGCAGGCGCCGCAGGGGTGCGCGGCCGTGGGGTGGCTGCGGAGGGTGCCGTGTGGGGTGCTGGCGGGCGCCGCGGAGGCGGCGGCGGGGCTGGAGACGGTGGGGCCGTGGGCGGCGGGCGTGGCGGCGGTGGGCGGGCTGGTGTGGCAGCGGCGGCAACGGCGGCACGCTGCGGCGCAGGGGGATGGCGAGTCGGGGAAGAATCGAGCGAAGACGGAATAGGGAACGCCGACTGGGAACGCCTGCGACTTGTGACGACGCTGCGGAACGCCTGGCGCGTGAAGCAACGCCTTGCCGCCTTGATCAGGACGATAGCACACCCGCATTTCGTTTCATGTGCGGGTGGCCCATTGCTTCTTTTGCGAAGCCCACACAGCTCAGCGCGGCCCGCCGCCGCCGGAATTCGAGCTGCAGAGCGCCGGACGGCACATTGCCCGCATCAAGTTGCGTCCACTCAACAGTGGACAAATTGTTCTGTGCCAAACTGCGCGTTTGGCCGCGAGGCTGTCGCCGCGGAGCCCGCCGGTGAGGTCCGGGGCGGCAGACCGGTTCGTCCAGCAGTGAGGCCGCGCCTCACGTCTCGCGCGGTGGTGTGCCGGGAGGGGTCGCCTGTGTGTGTCAGCAGCCCCTCCGTCGCCGCGGCCTCCGTTGCCTCCGAGGCAGGCGTCCCGCGCGCAGAACTGGACCCCGTCGTTGTAGGAAGACCGCGGATCCGCGTATCGTTCGACTGGGCGGCGTTGCGGGCGGGCTTGCAGCGGTCAGAGGATCGGCCGCTGAGGCGGCCCTGGCGCGGGCAAGATGGCCGCGAGCACGCGCACCCATCTGCTGGACCTTCCAGACAGCCTCCTTGCGCGCGTCGTAGACCAGCTCAACAGGGAGCAGGACGCCGCCTCGGCGTCTGGTCGCCCGCAGGATGCAGAGGACAGCCATCCTCTGGACCCAGCGCCCGAGGCGGACGCAGACGGGGGCTGCGCGATCAACAGGCTGATGCTGTGCTCGCGAGACACGCTTGTGCGCGTCCTGACGTGCTGCTGCCTGCCCGTGGAGCTCTCTCCGAGCGTTCTGTGGATCCTGGTGAGACCCCTCCGCCTCCCCGCGCCTCCGGGCCCTGCAGCGCAGCGTGCTGGCCGCGCACGCGTAGCTGCGAGAGATCGGCGCTCAGCGCGGCCGTTGTACCGCATGGTTCGCTTGCACGGAGCGCGCTGCGCTGCCTCGAGGACAGCTCGTTGGAGTGGAGCGACCCCGCAGAATGCCGCTCTGACGCGCCGGTCTGTGCTCCGGATCGCAGTCGTCGAACAAGACGGGCCGGGAGCTGCTGGAGAGGATCCCGGAGAGCGCGAAAGTGCGCGTGCGCGTTCATTCGCGGCGTAGGTATCATGGGAACGGTTTTCCGTTCCGCGACGAGATCCTCGACCAGCTCGACCCGGGCAGCGGCGGGCTGTCGGACGACAACGACACCGAGGACGGCGCCGGCGCGAAAACAGGCGGCGAGACCGGCGCACAGCAGGACACGCCGCGCAAGGTGTGCCCGCATGGTCCCTCCACGCGCACCACGCCTCGCGCGCGACTATTCCGCCCCCTCGCAGCACGCGCCCCGCTCTCCAGCCACTCACGAACGCCCTCGCGCCGCCCACGCACCATAATCCGCCCCGGCGGCGCCACTTCGCGCCGCGCACCCACACCAGCACGCTCCATCTCCTTTCAGTCTCCAATCCTCGAACCCCGCGCCCACGCTAGCTCCCTTCCTACCCCACCCACGCAGAAGGCCGGCAAGTGGCGCCGGCGCCCGCCGCACCCGATCACCATGATCACCGGCTCCCCGATGCTCGCCTCGCGCATCACCGCGCTCGACGTCACCGACCGCCCCTTCGGCGTCAACCGCTCTGCCGCCGCGGTCGCCGCCAGCCTCTCCGGCGGCGGCGGCGACGGCGTCAACGACTCCGACTACGACATCGAGTACTTCGCGCCCGTCTCCACCGCCGTCGCGGACCGCCTCGGCGGCATGTTCCGCGACGGCCGCCTCCCGCGCCTGCGCTCCCTCGCGCTCAACGTCTGCACGCGCGACACGTGCGCCGTGCTGTGCCACCTCGGGCGGTGCAGCCTGCAGCTCGAGCAGCTGTCGATCATCGTCCGCGACGACGCCGGCTCGCACAGCTCGTACTCGCGCCGCGGCATGTCGCAGCGCGGCCCGCGGCTCGGGGAGGCGCTGGGCGCGGCCGTGGGCTCGCTCACGTCGCTCACGTCGCTGCGGCTGCACCTGCGCAAGCCGCGGTCGTCGATGTCGGTGATGGGGTCGTACACGCGGTCGGGCACCGCCGAGGCGGTCCTCGCGTTCCTCGCAGTCTGCCCCGTGCTGACTCAGCTCCAACACCTCCACCTGTCATACCTCGTGGTCGACCGCCAGTCGAGCTCGTCGCTCTCCGTGCTGGCCGCGCACGGCGGCGCGAACGGCCACGACGCCCCCGTGCCCCCGGACGAGATCGGGCTTGCGAATCTGCGCCATTTGAGCAACCTCAAGTCGCTGCGCGTGCGGCGGCACCTGCTCAACATCCCGCGCACCGAGATGCCGCCCGCCGGGGACGCGCCGGCGCAGCGGCTGCCGCGCGTCGCGGGCGTGGGCTACCTCTCGCGCCTCGAGGACCTCCGACTGACGGGGGTCGACATCTCGACGCTGTCCTTCAACCGCCTGTCGGGGCTCACGCGGCTGGAGCTGCGGTGCGGGCCGGGGCCGCTGGGGCGCCCCGTGCAGCTGTCGTCCGCGCAGCGCGCCGGGATCCGCGGCGCGGTGAAGCTGCGCGAGCTGTCGTTGTCTGGGATCGGGAACGGCGACTTCGTGGTGTCCCCGGAGCACTCGTCGCTGACGTCGCTGGTGGCCGAGGGCGTGGTGATGGAGAACGGAGCGTCCGGGGCGCTGGAGTGTCCGAGCTTCTGCCCGCCGCGGTCCCTGCGAAAGCTCAGGCTGGTGCCGCACCGTCCGGGCAACGGCGGGGGCAACGGCGCGGGGCCGCAGGGCGGGAACGGCGGCAACGGCGGGCCGATCGTGATGCCGATGTTCGCCGGGGGCGGCCCGATGGCGGGCGTGCTGGCTGAGCTGGCGCAGATGATGCAGCCCCCCGGGGGCGACAACGACGACGGCGAGGCCGGGGACGAGGACCCGGGCGGCAACGACGGCGACGGCGACAACGACGGCGAGACTGGCAACAACAACGGGAACAGCGGCAACGGCTCTGCGCCGGTCGCGGAGGCTGGCACTCCCCCCCCGGATGCCGCTGCTGGGCAGCCTGCGCCTGCGGACGATGCGCCGCCCCCGGACGCCAGGCACCCCAGCGTGCGCGCCTTGGGGCGCGTGCGCGCCTTTCGGCGCGAAGTTGCAGGTGGCGGAGGCGGCGGCGGCGGCGGCGGCGGCGGCGGCGGCCATCCTGGCTCGGACTCCAACGTCGCAGATGGCAACAACGCGCATGCGCTGGGCGCCGGGCCGAGCGACAACAGCACCGCCGCGACGGCAGGTGGGCCGTCGCGCGCGCGGATGGGCGCGGCGCTCGCGTCCCGCCGGGTCCTGGGCCGCGGCGGCGCGGCTTGCACAGCCTTGCGGGACGACGTGCCGCGGCAGTCGCTGCCGGGCACGCCGCGGGCGGCAGCGGCGCCGGCGCGTCCACTGGCGCCGCCGCCGGCGCTGGTGTGGGCCGAGCACCGCCGGCGATGCCGGCGCGGGGCCGAGCGCCCGTCCGGCTGCGCGTCGCAGCCGCGCAGTGCAAGGCGTCGCGACGGCGCCGGCCACGCAGCCGAAACGCACGCCACCGGCGGACGCGATGCTTGTGGAGCTCGGCCAGCTGAAGCTCACGCACCTCGACCTCGCGTTCGTCCTCCCGCTCGTGGCGCTGGAGCCGATCGGCCGCATGGCCAGCCTCCAGTACCTGGCAGTGCGGATCGCGGCGCCGCGGGCGCAGGCCGGCGGGAACGGCGCGGGCTCTGGCGGGTCTGCGCGGCCGCCGCTCGTGGCGCCCCGCTGGGACGCGAGTCCTTCGCCGTTCCGCCCGCTGCTGAAGCTCACGCGGCTGCGCGTGCTGTCGCTGTCGACGCCCGCGCCCGCGACGCGGCGCGTGACGATGGCGGACATCACGGGACACCCGCAGCCGCATGGCTACAACATGTCCGGCGTGTTCGAGTGCTTCCCCAAGTCCCTGCGCGCGCTGGTGCTCCGCGGCGTGGAAATACACCCCCAGACCTGGGACCAGCTGTCGGGCCTGAGTCAGCTCGAGTTCCTCGCGCTGGTGCTGTCCGGGCCCGTGCACACCAAGGCCTGGCACGCCATCGCGAAGCAGATGCCGAACCTCAAGTCCCTCGTCGTCTGCGAGAGCCTCAGGCGCCCCAGCGACCCCCTCTGCGGCGTGTGGGCCGGCCTGGCGGGGATGCTGCGCGCGCGCACGGGGTGCCACGTCGCGCTGGTGTACCGCCACCAGGCGCGCCCGCAGCACGTGCTGGGGGGGTTCCCGGGACTCCCCGTGGGGGGGTCCGACGCGGTGCTGTTTGCCAGCGGCGTGCAGCAGCTGGCGGTGCACCCCGTGCCCAAGTCGCTGTCGACGTTCCTGCCCACGATCGAGATCCACGGGTCCTCGGCACACGTCCGGAAGCTGATCGACTTCCTCGGCGTGCTCGAGCCGCCGGAGTCGGCGCAAGCGGGCAACGACAACGGCAACAACCCCCAGGGCGCAGGGCCGATCGCGCTCAACGGGCTGCACGGGGTACGTGACCTCCTCGCGTGTGTCGGCGCGCCCGTCGCGCCGACTCGACCGCCTGCTGCGCCATGCGTGGCTATTCTCCTCATGATTATGCTTTCAATACTTTTCGTGACTCTGCGTCCAATCAGGGCACCCACCTCGTTGTTCGCGTGCTGTTGCGCTGCGCAGTTCGGGCTCGGAGGGCTGGAGATGACGTTCGAGGACGAGGAGGACGACATGACGGCCAGCGAGGGCAACGTCTCGCCGCCCCCGGAGTTCCCGTCCGAGCTGCAGAGCGAAGGCAATGCGCAGGTCGAAGAACTGGGCGGCGCGGGCGACGGTGCGGGGCCCGCGCCCTGATGACGCGGCCGGGGCCGCGGCTGTATGGGCCTGCCTGCGCGGGCGGGCCGGCATCGGCCATGGCGTGACAGTGTCATGCTGGCAGGGGCTGCGCGCTCGCGCTCCTGTGCGGTCCGCCTGCGTGGCGCGCTGGACGGAGACGCACGTGTGAATGCTTTGTATCGCGAGGAACGTTGGCTCGGTGGGGCCGCGGGGGGGGTGTTGCTGACCTGACGAGGCGAGTTTGTGTGTCCCGTGTGGCGTGCCAGGGTGTTCCCTGCCGACGATTGGGGCGCGCCGCAGGGATCCTGGGCACAGGGCGCGTCATTCGCGCCGCTGCCCCCTCCCGGAGCTCCTTCGTGTGTTGCTGGGCATCCGGTGGAGCGAGCTTGCAGCAGGAAGGCAGCGGGAGCTGGGCGGCGCAGCTCGTAGCACGTACTTTCCATCTCTAGGAACACTTTCGGTGCCAGCAGCCACCACGTTGAGCAAGGAACAGGCGCATTCGCGGGCCTAGAGTGCATGCGCTCTGGGACCAGGCTCAGTTCATGCACGTGTCGCGCCCAGCGCCGCCTGATGACGCGCCAAGCGAGTCTCACGCGTGACTCGTACGCGTCGTGCACTTGGATCCCCGGCCCGTTGCTGCACGCGGTGGCGGCCAGCGGTCTCTTCCCAGATTCCAAAACGTTCCCCGACCTCTCCCTGCGCCCCGGCCGAGACGCTCCTGGCGTCATCAGGGCGTTCGAAGATCTCATCACCCGGTCCGGGGACTCCGGAGTCACTTCCACGCTCGCACGACACGAGATTGCGGACTTCGTGAACACGCACTTCTGCGCGCCGGGCTCCGAGATCGTGGAGGTGCGCCTCCCACGACCTTCCCAGTAGCAGATCCCCCACTTCTCCTCGTGCAGCTCGCAGAAGTCGCGACGTCCGAAACGGCCCGAGAAAGGCGGAATCGCGCGCCGAGTGTCTGCGTGCATTGTGTGCAACACGTCATCACGTCATCGTGGCGCGGAGCGTTCCGTGCAGGCCGTTCCCGAGGACTGGAGCCCGTCTCTTCCGGCGGAGTTCACCGAGCTGCTGCACAGCAAGTGCGCATCGCAGGACCTGTCCAGCTTTGCAACTTCTGTGCACGCCCTCTGGCGGCAGCTCACGCGCCGCGTCACGGAGGACGCATCCGACCACGCGGACGCGCCGGCCTCGACGCTGATCGCCCTCGACCGGCCAGTCGTCGTCCCCGGAGACAGGTTCTCAGAATGCTACTACTGGGACTCCTTGTGGGTGGTTGAGGGCCTCATCGCGAGCGGCCTCACGAAAGGTGCGCCGCAGCCTGACAATCCACGTACCGCTGCTGCTCCAGCGCCCCGTCCGCAGCGGCACCACCCCGCCGCTGCGCGTGACGCTGCCAAACGCCATCCGCACATCCTGAAGCCCGCTGACGGAAGCACAGTGCCCGCACGCCCGTTCGCAGCGGCCGAGGGCCTGGTCTCCAATCTCCTGAGCCTTGTGGCCAGGTACGGCAAGGTCCCGAACGGCGGGCGGGACTACTACTTGAACAGAAGTCAGCCACCTGTTTTGGCCCTCGCTGTCGAACGGTGCGTCGCGGCGCTGCCGGACCGCGACGCCCAGGCCCTGCGTCGCTCCGCGCTGCCTCTGCTTGTCCGCGAGCACGAGTTCTGGACCTCCGGGCCGCACCGCGTCGAGATATCCGCCGAAGACCAAATCGTCAACGCGCCAGGCGTCCCGCGCGAACTCTCCCGCTACTGGGCCGAGTGGGACGTCCCGCGGCCCGAGTCCTACGAGGAGGATCTCCGCGCGGCCTGCCAGGCCGCCGGGGTCGACCCTGGCCCTCCGCCCCGCGGCGCTGCGCCGGGGCGAGGCTTTGACATCTCCTGGAGCGAGGCTCGGTGGGTCCTAGGGCGGCAGCGGCGGCTCATGCGCGACGTCGCGACCGCCGCGGAGTCCGGGTGGGACTTCTCGGGCAGGTGGGCGCCGGGCGGGTGGAGCGGCATCCCGAGTCTGCGCACGACGGCCGTTGTGCCTGTGGACCTGAATGTGTTGCTGGTGAAAGGGGCGTGCAGTATCGCGCGGCTTGCGGCGGCGGAGGGCGACGACGCGACGGCGGGGGCGTTCGGGGAGCGTGCGCGGCGGCGGATGGAGGCGATGGAGGCGACGATGTGGGACGCGGGGGCCGGGAGGTGGGGGGACTTGATGGCGGTGGAGTCAGGGGGGAGTCGGGGCGACGGGGGTGGTGCGGCGACGCGGTCGGCGCGCGGGCCGTACGCGTCGGACTTCTGGCCGCTGTGGTGCAGTGCGGACGCGGACGTCCTGGGCGCGGGCGACGCGGGGCGGCTGGCAGCGGCGGTGGCAGCGCTGGCGGCGTCAGGCCTGGTACAGCCCGGGGGGGTGTCGGCGTCGCGCGAGATCACCGGCGAGCAGTGGGACGCGCCGAACGCCTGGCCACCGCTGCAGGCCGTGGCCGTGGACGGGCTCCTCGCCGCAGCCGACGCGCTAGGTCATGCGGGGGACGCTGCGGCCGCGAGGTCGGCGCGGGCGCTGGCGACCGACGTTGCGTCGAGGTTCCTCGGGGGCGTGTGGGACGCGTGGAGGACGGGCGGGGCCGGGACGCCGCTGCACGAGAAGTACCGGGCGGACGAGCGCGGGCGGGGGGGTGGGGGGGGGGAGTATCCGAGTCAGATGGGGTTCGGGTGGACGAACGGGGTGGTGCTCAAGCTCCTGCGAGCCGCGGAGCTGTGGACCTTCGACCCCGCGACTGGCTTCAGCGCGCCCCCGGGCCCTGCAACACCTGAGTGAGCACAACAACGGGGGGGTGTAACGTTCCGCCTCAGAGGGATGCACCCCCGACGAGGCAGGCGCAGGGCGAGCAGCGCGCCGGCGCGGGTTGAGTCAGCAGTCGCCAGCGATGGCGCCCCCCCCGGAAGCGCGGCGGGACCTCGCACTGCGCTCTGCGTGAGCCCGGCCAGCACGAGCCGCGCACGCAACGGCGCTAGCACGCCCGCGCGCCACGCCCGTCCGAGCGCAAGGAGGGGAAGGAGAGGAGGGAGCGGGGGTGTGTATTTGGGACCTTGCGGTGGTTGCCGACGTAATATAGCTGTCTCCTTTTGGCGTGCAAGTTCTCACATGGCCGAGCCTACGCCGGGATGCCGTCGTCCGCGAACGTGCCCGCGGGCACCTCGAACACGCGCAGCACGGGGTTCGCGGGGTCCTTGGCGATCAAATGCCGCCCGCCCTTGAGTCCCGTGAACATCTTGACAAAGGCGCTGGCAATGCCCCACCCGATCTCCATGCGCAGCGCGATCTGCTGCGCCAGGTCCGACGGCTTGATCGGCTGCGTCGCGAGCAGCACGTGCGTCGACGGGTCCTTCATCGACCGCCGCGTCACGTAGCCAAACTTGATCAGGTCCACGCCGGCGAGCAGCGCCTGCGTGGCCCACCGCGCGACCTTCGCGGTGTTGTTCTTGATCTCCGTGGCCAGCACCGCGCCGCGCTGCGTCTCCACGCGCCGCCGCCAGTCCCCCGGGCCCTTGGGGGAGTACTCGGGCAGCGCGTACAGCGCCAGGGTCTGCAGGTCGTTGCCCTTGGTCTGCACGCCGTCGACGCTGCACCGCACCACGAGCCGCGTGCCGTCCGAGAGCTCGAAGCGGCGGTACCGGAACCCGCGCCGCCCGCACGCCCCGTCGAACGGATCGGCCCCCGTCTTGCACGTCGCCGGCAGCGGCACGGGCTCGCCGTCGGCCGTCGTGTGGTGGCGCAGGTCGTCGCACACGCGCGTGGCCTCCTCGTTCAGCGCCGGGAGCGCGTTCACGTTGCCGGCCTCCTCCTCCACGGGGTCGGGCGCGGTCTCGTGCGCCGTGGCGCGGTCCAAGTGGGACCCGTGGCGGCGGTCGAAGAAGAGCGCGTCGCCGCGCTTGGTGACGACGAGGTCCCAGGGGTAGACGGCGCGCGTGGCGCACATGAGCGCGGACAGGAGGGCGTCGGTGATGAACACGTCGCCCTCGCCGTCCTTGGCCAGCTGCTGCATGATGGGGTCGTTCGAGGTGGACGGGGGCGGGGAGACGCCCTCGGACTTGCGCAGCACCATCTCGAGGCGCGCTGTGACGCGGTCGTTCGCGCGGTCCCACTTGCCGACCGCGCCGGCCGAGTAGAGGTCGTCGCACGTCGTCGGCGGCTCGTGGCGGAGCTTGGACAGGAGCGGGACCTGGAGCGTCTCCATGAGGGTCCAGTCCGCGGAGATCTCGACCGAGGGCGAGTAGGTGACCTTGGGCTGGTTGCGGTCCTGCGCGGGGCGGGGAACGAGGCAGAGGCGGGGTGGGTGGGCGGGCCGTGGGGGTTTCCGGGGCTGACGGCGCGTGGTTTCGCGGGGCACGTGCGCGAGGGGGTCGTACGTTGAAGAAGGGGCGGCGCTGCTGGCGCTTGGGGGCCTGCCGGGGCCCGTCGTGGTGGTGCCCGCCGCGGCCATGAGCGTCGCCCCCGCGGCCGCCGTCGCGGTTGCCGCGGCCCCAGGCGCCGCGACCCTGGTTCTGGAACCGCCCTCCGCGCCCTCCGCGCCCGCCACCCGGCCCACGCGCCTTGTGCGCACCTGCAGAAGGAAGCGAGCTGCCCACCCTTCAGAGCCCGCTCCCGCGCTGTCGCGCCCGCAGCCGCGTTTCCAGCGCCGGAACAGCGCCCCCAGCATCCACGGGAGCATCCACGAGCACGGCGCCATCCAGAGCCCGGCGCGCGCGGCTCCCCGAGCCGCTGGCCCGCAGCGGCTGCTGCGCGCCGCTACCGAGGCCCTGCCTTCACGGCGCGCGCCCGGGGGCCCACGGCGCGGGATCACGCGACGAAACTGGCCGGCGGGGGCGCGGAGGGGCGCGGGAACGCACCGGTGTCGACGAGTTGGAAGGTGTTGTCATCAGTGTTGAAGAAATTGAAGACCGCGTTGACCTGACTCTGGTTGTGGTAGTTCCGGGAGTACTTGGACCCCGAGGAGGTCCAGTCCGCCGCGCGCCCGAGCCTGTCGCCCTTCCCGTACGGCGCGTAGGGCACGTCCTTCAGGTGCTCGGGCACGGTGCACGGCCCCCACCCCTCGGGGTTGTCCTGGACCTCAGGGAGGACGAACTCCATCGTGTCCGATGTGAGAACGCGAGATGGGTCGGCGCTGGCCGCTGCGACGCGGCGCGGAGCCGCGGAATCGGCGGCGCGCTTGGGCGCTCGAGGGGCGGGAACTGCCGCGGATGTGACTCTGTTGCCGCAACGCAGCTGCCCAGCGAGAAACGTGCAATTATGCGAGAGGCAGGGCGCGCGCAGATCTCGGCCCCTTGTCCTGCGCGCCACGCACGGGCCACAAGCTCCCTCTACGTGGGTGGGGATGTCGGGCGCAGGGCGTTGCCGCCCGGGACGCACCCGCGCGCCATTGCGAGGGCGCGAGACACCGCCCGCACATGCCGCCCGGACCGCCAGACACGAAAATCTCCGTCTGACCGCGACCTCCTGCTCCGGAGAAGCCTGCCCCGAAGCCGAGGGCCTTCGCGCAGCCCGTGGGCCCGAGGCGGAGCCACCGACGACGGCGCTCCAAGCTCCGTGACCGAGAGCGCCTGGCAGCGAGGTCGCCAGCCGTCAAACAGCGCCAGGGGCTCCCGCGGCCCGCTCGTGCAGAAACAAGCGCAGCATGGCCACCCCGGCCGACCTGATGAAGCTGGAGCCGCAGCAGCTCGAGTCGATAGCGGAGACCCTCGAGAAGGACATTGAGCGCTTCGGGGAGTTCTTCGCGCAGCTCTCCGGCGCCGCGGGCACCTTTGCGAGCTCCCAGCAGGTACATGTAGTGCCAGCGCCCCGCTCCGCTCTTCCGGGCCGACCGCCGCGCCTCGCGCCCGCCGCTCGACAGACGCGCCCCAGTGCTCGACCGCGGCGCGGTTGCTCCGACGTGCAGGCTGTTCTGGCGCTGAAGGACGAGAAGCCTGGGAAGCCAATGCTGGTGCCCGTCACCTCGTCTATGTACGTCAGGGGCACTCTCGCGGACACGTCGAATGTCCTCGTCGACATCGGAACTGGTGCGTCCCGGAAGACGGGCCCGCCACGTCCGTGCGGCGCCCCGGGAGGCCTCGGGGCGCGGCGCGGGAGCTCGCGCGCGGGAGCGCCGCTGCCGCCCCGCGGCGGCCACACGCCGGCCCCAAACGACCGCCACCGCCGCGCACAGTCATCGCCGAGCCAAGGACTGCGTTGTCGCTTCCCTGCGGCCGCGCACCCGGGCGGGAGAGCCCCGTCGTGTTCGCACTGCAGCGCTTCGCTGCGTGTCGCGCCGACAGCGCGGGTGTTTCGCTCCGCGACGCGCAGGGTACTTCGCGGAGAAGGACGTGAACGCCGCGGCGGACTTCTGCGCGCGGAAGGTGAAGATGCTGCGCGGGGAGGCTGAGAAGGTGCAGGCGGTGGTGCAGGCGAAGCAGCAGCAGCACATGCAGATCTCGCAGATCGCGCAGATGAAGCAGCAGCAGGCCGCCAAGGCCGCGGGCAGCTCCTAGGCAGCGGAGGCGCCTGTGAGGGACGATTCAGAGACCGACTTGCGCTGTGCGTGCGTGTACCCGCCGGCCGGCAGCGGCGGAGCACCCGCACGGTGAGGGCGTCCCGGCGACAGCGCCTTCCGCGGACTTGCGCGCAGCCAGCGCTCAGCGCCGCGAACGTGCGTGCAACGCAGGCCACTAGCGCTGCTCGCTCCATCGGTACACGGGCGAGCTCCGTCGCGGCGACCTCGCGGGAGGGGCGAGCGCATGCGCAGCGAGACACCGACACCGGGCGAGACACCGCCGCTCTGTCAGCCAGGCGCGGTCTGGTGCAGGCGTTTGCAGTCACAAAAACAGTGCCCGCGGGCGGGACGTTGATCGCGGCGGTGGTTGCGGTCCGAGGGCCGGGGATGAATGGGCGGAAGAGGAGGAGGAGTGGGGGACAAGAGAGGCGTTCGGAGAGGTTCAGGGCCATGCTCCGCACGCGCATCCGATGGAGAGGGTTGGGTGGTGAGGGCAGTCGCCGCGCGTCGAAATAGGGCTGTTCTTCCGCGACGCTGCGTCGAATAGATCGCGGAATTCGTAGGTCCGCTGCGTGCTGCGAAACCCGCGCTGGACTGTGCGCGGGCACGCGCACTAGTTCGCGAGAGGCCAAAAGTCGTCCACGACAGGCAGTGCCGGCTAGGGGCCCTGCCGTGCGTGCGAGCTCGACTCGGCTCAGCCTGGAGCTCGAGGTTGAGTGTTGCAGGGGTCGAAATGGGCCGGGGGGGGGGGGAAAGGGCAAGTTTCGGCCAGCTACAGTCCTAGACCGGTGGTACCGAGAGGGTGACAGGAGGGCGACGAACTCGCTAGGGCCTCTCTGGAGGCATGCTGTCGCTGTCATTTCTACGCGGCTCTGTCCTGGGCGGAACAGCCGTGCCGGGGGGTGCACCAGTCCCTGCTGGATACGGTTTGGGCAATGTTGCAGTCGGGCAAGGGGGCGGGCGAGGGGGAGTGCAGGGGGGAAGGGGGGGTGTTGTATGCGTTCTCGCAGGGTGGCAGGCGCGAGCACCGTCCGCGCACCCCGCGCCGTTGTAGGCCGTAAGAAGAGGTTTCAGCGGCGCACCCTGCACGCTCCATTCTGCCGCTTCGTACGCTATGTCAACGCGCAACTCGGCACCAGGGAGGGGGTGCGGGGGTTGCCGCGCACCGGTCGGTGCCGGGACGTGGGCGGACCCTGGCAGGCGGTCTCGTGTTTCCAGGATCTCTGCGTGCAGGCAAACTGCTCGTCTGACGCAAGGGCGAGTGGGTCGCGGGTCACGGCCGTGCCCGGACGCCAATTCGCCCGCGAAATACAAGGTCGCGTGTCTGGGAGGGCGGGGGGACGGGGGGGGAAGGGGGAGGGGGGGTTTGTGCACTTTACTTTAAGGGTGTGGGCAGATAGACGGGGCGTGCTCTTCCACACCGGCGATGCGAGCATGACATCAGTTGGGGTAGGAGGGGGCTGGGGTAGGAGAAGAGAGACAAACAAACAGATGACAAGCAAACAGCAGGATCTGGTTGTGTTCGAGACACGGGACAGGTTCGAGGTTCGAGGTTCTGGGCACAGGCGTTGGTATTTCCCTGGAGAGTTTGCCGAACAAGTCAGGTGCAGGCGTCCTCGCGGGTGCTGTGCCCTTGCAGGCCTGCCGGTTGCGTGCCGGGCGGCCGCCAGTGCTAGAGGTGGGTCGCCGGCCTCGGCGGGGGGGGCGGCGGACCGACAAGATAGAGTGGCGTGCCGTCTGGGCGCGGATCTCCGCAGTGCGGGGGGGGAGAGCGGAGTTTTGCCACAGAGGCTGCAGTCCCGCTCGCCGCGCCTCAGAGCAGGCAGGAGCCGTCGTCGGGGAAGTGCGCGAGGCTCGCCGGGGGCCGGTACAGCACCGGATCGTCGTCCTCGACGTAGCAGTCCCACCCGCACGCGGACTTCTCGAACATCGTCGGCGGCTCGTCGTCGCCCGCCATGAGTTGTTCCATCGCGCGGCCGTCGCGGCCGCCCCCGCGGCCCGACTCGAGCGGCGGCGCGCCGGGGCCGGCCCGGCTGGGCAGCCCCGCGCAGGGCGGCGCGATCTCGAGCGACCCGACCGTCTGCGGCTGCTGCTGCGGCAGCTGGTATGCGCCTGGGTCGGTGCCCCAGTGCGTGGTGTGCGGAGCCGGGGGCTCGTGCGAGTAGTGCACGGACGGCGCGGCACTGTAGGGCACGTGCGGCCCGTAGCTCCCGTTGAACGTGCGCGACCGCTCCTGAAGGAAGGCCCGGCGGTCAACGCCCGCGGTGTTCGTGCCCATGTGGAACGTGTTGTTGCGGGCGATCGCCGGGCCGTGCGTGTCCTCCACATATGAGCCCCCGGCGTGGTAGCCGTGCAGCCTGCGGTCGGGCGAGCCGGGCGCGTCGCGCGTGGGAGCGTCGCGCGCGCGACGTGCAGCGCTGCTGGCGTGCTGCGGCGCGGGGGCGCTCGGGGCGGCGCGCACCTGTCGAGGTCGTGCAGCGTGATCTCGTGGTGCGCGTCGAGGCCGTGCTCGTCGCCCGGGGGGCCCATGCCGTGGCGCGGCGAGCGTGTCGCGGCGGTGCGGCGCGCGACGCGGCGCGAGTCCCAGCCGTCGGCCTCCGTGCCGACCTCGCCCGCCTCGATCATGGACCGGGCCTCGCGGGCGCGCTGGCTCGACCGGCGGGTCCGCACCGACCGCGCGCGCGCCGACGCCGCGTCTACCGGCTGCGTAGAGTCTGAGAGCATGACCTGGCCCGACCCGGCGCTGTTCGTGCGCGCGCCCGTGAAGTTCCCGTCGCTCGCCTGACCGGGGATCTCGGAGAGGATCGGCGCGCCGGACTGCGCGGCGGACGGCGGCGAAACGCGGAGTGGTGGTTGGGCTATGTGTGCGCGGGGCGCAGGGGGGAGAGGACGTGCCAGCGTCGTGTTCGGGGGCGGAAAGGCGATCTTTTGGCCGCGCGTCGTCTTTTGCGGGGCGCGGGGCGGCAAGCTGCGGCCGTCTCGGGAGGAGCGGTGCGGTCAACCTAGCAGGATGTGGTTGGGGGCGTGTCCTCCGTTGGCCGAGGCGCAGGCGCCCACCTGGTCGATATTCTTGATGTCCTTCTCGGCGCGCGTCATGTGCTTGATCGACCCCACGGTCCATATGTTGGCCGTCTGGTCGCGCTTCCGAGGCAGGTGGTGCCGCCCGGCGCCAACCTGCGCGACATCGCCGGTGAGAACCACGCACCGCGCGTCAGTGCGCTTCCCAGCGCGAATTCCAGCCGGACTGTCGCCAAAAGGGGCGCCGGCCAGCGCCGAGGGGCGCGAACGGGGCAAAAACCTCTCCAACCACCTCGGCCCGAAACGCCGCGGTGCCCGCACTGTTCGGCGCGAGCTTCGCGGAAACGGCGCCCTCAGTTGCCGCTCCGCGCCACGTGCGGCGCTGCGCGACGCGCGGCCCTCGAGCGCGGCCGGACGCGGAGCCGTTGTGGCCACTGGTGCGCAAACGCGTGGCCTGGACGCGCGGCCGCCCCGCGGCATGTCGGCGTGCGGCGCTCACCCGTGCATCAGGGGGCGCGGCTAGCTTCTTCCGCAGCCAGGCGCCGTTGTTGCTCGCCGAGGGGCACTTGAACACCTCGATGAACTTGCGCCTGAGCTCTGGCACGCCCATGCCCTCCAGCGTCTTCATGTCGATGCCCCCGCCGCCGACCCAGGTCGTGTGGCTCCTGCCCATCTTGGATTTCCTCTGTCTGCGCGCAGGCAAGGGGAGGCGGCGGGCTGCGCGGCGTGGGCGTTCCAAGCCGGGGGCGGGTCGGCGCGCCCCGCGAGGCCACTGCGCGGCGGGCAAGCGCGGAGCTGCGCTTAGTTGGGGAGAAACTGGAGCGACGTGGCGGGTGCCGGGGTGAACTCATGCGCGCAGACCGCAGGACGGCGCGGTCGCGCGACGAGCGCGAGCAGCGGCCGCGGCGGCCCCCACGTCGCATATCTTCGCGTTTCCCGCCGCCCGAGTCGGCAAACGGTTCGACAGAAAGCGGTCGCCGCCCGAACAAGGCCCCAAACTTAGCGAGAACGCGTTGCGGACGGCAAATCGAGATGCCCTCATCTGAGGGCGCCGCTACACCGCTGCTGCAGGGCCGCCCCGCCAAACAGCGCCACGAACGGAACGTCATGCAAACGCTGGAACGTCCGCCTCGCGACGAAACGCACCTCGTCTCTCGATCGCCCGAGCAGCTTGGGCTTGTTGCGAGAGCCTGGCTCTCCGTGGCCTCGTGGCGCGCTCTCCGCACACGTCGCGTCTGAGGAAGCTAGGAACTGACTAAGCCGGCTCCGACGGCTGAGTCTCCCAGTGAGCCCCGGAGCGTGCTCGATTCCGCGGGCGAGCGACGCCAGATCCGGGTCCCGTTTCGCACAATTCGCGGCGCAGGTTGCCGAACAAGCGGCGCACGTATACCGGGGAATCGGTTGCTCGACGAAGCAATCGCGAGCCGCGCCCCGCGGACGCCGTCTGACGACCCATGGCCACTCGAGGGCCTCCCCTCATACCTCACCAGGGCTTTGCGGGATGTGGCCAGCACACGCGGTCACCGCCGACGCCATGGGCGCCACGGCCTCGCAATACCTGCTGCCTTCTCGGATCACGGAATCGCGGTCGAGGACAGGGTCTGCCGGCGCGTGGGAGGGGCCCAGAGCCGACCACCGCAGCGCCCCAAAAGTGTTTCGTGCGGTGCGGGCGCCGGTCGCCATAGAGCGCGTATTTCTCCCTCTCTGTGACCTGTGTGTGTTCAAAGGACCCTAGAAAGCGCACTATTGGGCTAGAACGGTCTCGTGGGACCGCGAACGGCGGCTGCTAGTGCTCGCGACGTTGTTGCAAGCCCGTGACGCGGAACCCTCCAGCGCAACGAAAGGACGCGCCGCGATGCTGCGCCGCGATGCTGCGCCGCGACCGGCGTCGCGCACGCACCGCGTCGCCGAGCGGACGCGCGTTGCGCTGCCGACTCCCTGCGCCTCTCTCAGCCGAGCGATTGGCGCGCCGAGGACCACAGAAACCCATCTGCTAGATCACTCGTTGGATTTGCTGTCCGCAGCCGCCGCCGACACCCCGCCGCCCCGCACGCGCCCACCCGCACCGGCACTGCCTCCCGCACGCCCGCCCGCGATCCAACCGACGCCACGTCGCGCCTACGCACTGCGCAATCCTTCACACCTTGCACGGGCATGTGTGGTGGTGTGCACAGCAACTGCCGGCGTCGATCTGGCGATGATTCCTGCCCCCGCAACCCCGCAGACGTCCGTGCCTCCAGGCGCCCCCGCACCCGCCCGGCTCGCACCCTGGACTTCGCGAACAACAACATCGCCATCGCCGCCAGCGACACCACCCCCTGCCTGCACGCGCCCTGCTCGCCTGCCGCGCCCGACGCCGGCCGCGCGCGCACCCGGCCGTCCCGCGCGCCGCACGTCGCGCCGGCCGCGGCGCTCAGGCGTCGCCGCCGCCCCCGAAGTTGCCGCGCTCGTGCGGCAGCACCGTCTTGGTCTCCACCTGCCGGGAGCCGTCGGCCTGGCGGCGGAAGAGCGACTGCTCGCCCCTGCGGCGCTCGACGTCCTTCGGGTGGGACAGCGCCGCGCGGTCCTTCTTCATGCGGACGTTGGGCAACGCATCAAGCACTTCCTTTGCCACCTCGCTCGTCTGGCTCCCGAACGACGAGCGGGACAGCGTCTCGTCGTCCCTGCACGGCACAGGCAGGGTCGCAGGCGTGGGTCGGCGGGGCGAGGCGCGTCGCGGCGGGCGGGCGCGCGGGGCGGCTGCGGTGCGCGTGGGCGCGCAGGGGCGCGCCGCGGTCGCACCTCGGCCCTTCGACCATGTACCCGCCCGCGCCCTCCTCCATCAGGAGCTGCTGGTCCTCGATGGCCACCTGCCAGCTCTCGAACAGGTCCAGGTAGAGCGTGTTGTCCGTTTCCTCCAGCTGCAACGGATCCTCCGCGAACGCAATGTAGATGGTGTTGCACATGGCCTCGAGCGCGTCCATGACCGCGAGCGACGCCGCGAAGCCCGCGAGGAACGCCGGGAGGTACAGCGCCACCGCCAGGTCCTCCTGGCCCTCGAGGAAGACTTCGCCGATGACGTAGGCGACGACGAGCGTGGCGCTGCCGACCATGAGGCCCGCGACCCAGGCCGTGGCGCCGAGGATGTCGTCGATCATGATGAGCGAGAGCGACGTCTCCTGGACGACGGACAGCGCCTGGACGGCCGCCGGCATGAAGGCCTGATTGTGGAAGGGGATGTAGCTGAACGCGAAGGTGTTGAACGGGCGCATGACCGCCTCGAGGATGAGCGCGGCGGCGGCCAGGAGCTGCAGCCGCGCGGAGACCTGCGTGCGGAGGAACCCCGCGGCGATGCGCAGGACCTTGGTGAAGGAGACGAACACGGAGCCGAGGCCGACGGAGCCGGAGCGGTTCGTGAGGGAGAGGCCGAAGGAGTAGAGGAGCGGCGCGCGGCCGGCGTCGACGGGCTTGAGGCGCTTGAAGTACCACAGCCCGGCCATCTGCGCCGTGGCGACGCTGTACGCGTTGCGCACGAACGCGATCGAGTAGAGCAGGAGGACGAAGAGGGCGAAGTCGACGGCGTCGCCGTAGCGGTTGTTCAGCCGCGCGTACAGCGCGAGCCAGCCGTACAGGAGCGCCACTGGCAGCATGGCGCTCGCGAGCGTCATCGGAACGAACTGGCCCCAATACTGCTGCATCATCATGCCCATCGTGTCGAGCACCATCTCGCCGTAGTCGCGCACCTGCGGCGGCGGGGCGGACGCGGCGTCGGGCACGGACGTGGCGGCGGGACGGCAGGTGCGCGCACGGGTGGGTTCGTGTGTGTGTGTTGGGGGGGGGTGTCGTGCGCACCCGCGTGCGCACGAGCGCGTAGAAGACGAAGCAGAAGAGCGCGAGGAAGCCGAACAGGATCGCCATGAGCGAGCCGACGGGGTACGCGGTGACGGCGGTGACGGCCGCCAGCATCACGCCCGCCGACACCAGCACGACGTCGACGATCTTCCGCGTGGCCTTCGTGGTGCACAGCACCATGAAGAGCACGTTCAGCGCCAGCGGCGCCGCGGTGATGATGGCGATGTAGGGCAGCCGGGAGTCCCCCGCGTCCCCCGCGCGCCCAAACAGCGCGGCGTGCAGCGTCTCGCGCACCGCGCACGACTCCGTCGCGTTGACGCCGAGCGGCTGCCACATGACGCCGGGCCCGCCGCTCAGCTGGTCGTTGTTCACGAAGGTTGTGGTGTTGCCCGCCGTCACCGCCGTGGCGTAGCACTCCCGCGGGAAGCCGCTCGCGTCGTTCTTCGCGATGTCGATCGTGTACCACGACGCGAGCTGGTTGTTCACGAAGCCGCCCTCGCACGGGTCCCTGCGGCGCGCGCTCGCACGGCGAGACCACCTCAGCGCACACACACATGCGGATGGTTGGACGGACCGAACGAGAGCAATGCGACGCGAGGGCGGCGCGCCCGCGGCGGTGCGGTCGCGCACCTGGTGCAGACGAAGTCCGGGGGCCGGTCCGCGGAGAAGCCGATGTATGCGAGCGCGAAGATGCCGCCTACGACAGCGAGGGGGATGAGGGAGAACAGCGCGTCCTTCCAGCGCCAGAAGAGGAGCGTGATCCAGGGGAACTCGCAGATGCCGCCGTCGTCCGCCGTCCCGGCCGTGGAGCCTGCGGGCGCGGCGGGAAACGCGGCAGAGGTGCGGTGGAGTGGGAGGGCTGGAACCGAGGGGTGCGGGCGCTGTGCGGGGCCGTGAGAGGCCCGCGGTGCGCGAGAAGGTCGGGTGAGGCGGTTGAGGCCTCGTGGCGGATGGATGCGGCGCGGGGGCGAGCGTGCGCGCCGGGAGAGCCGATGCAGAGCGTGCAGCGGGGCTTGCGGGGCCTCAGCGACGCAGGCGGGGCGCCGGGACGGCGCGCGGCGGAGCGAGGAGGTGATGTTGGGTGGCTCGGTCGCTGCGCGGCCCGCACTCCGCGCGGGCGGGGCGGGACGGGCTGCCATGCGCTGGGGAGAGTGCACGAGGTCGCGCACGGGGACGCACCGAGGCGCTTTCCGCCCTTGCGTTTCGTGGTCTTCCGCCTCCTGCGCTTCATGGCCTTGCCGTTATTGTTCGCGACCGTGCTGTCCGCCTGCTTCCGCGGCGACAGTGGCCCTTCCCCCTGAGACAGAGCGTTGAAGTCCCTTTCCGGGATGTTGGAGAGCGGCAGGCCATCCCCGTACCCCTTATCTCCGTACGGCACTACCTGGGGCATTTCGCCGCTTGTCCGCGCTCAGAGGCGCGGCTGTCGGGCGACAAAGGGCCCTGCTGAACCGCAACGGAGTGCGCTCCAGCCGCGGCCCGGGAGGGGATCAAACGCCGGCTTGGCTGTCCCCGGGTATGCTACAGCTAACGAAATGTAGAAGCGCCGCCTTGCAGCGGCCGAAAAGGCGCGGCAGGCGCGGCAACAAAGCCCGTGCCTCTAAGAGCAAGAGAGGGGGCCGTATTGCGCCGCAGGGGCCTCTGCAGGCCGCATTCTTCCGCTGTCGCGCTCTCAGAAGTCTACGAGGCCGCTCGCGACGGAACGATGCTCTCTACGCGCCCAATCGACGCGCTCGAATCGGGAGCTGCAAAGAACGCGGGCGTATCCTCGCTGCGCCAGCGCCAGATATCCACTCGCGCACTGAAGCTTCGCTGAAAGTCATTCTCCGCGCCCTCCGCGCCGGCCCATGGTCGCCGAGGCGCCGCGCTGCGCCCGCGACGCCACACCCCCCAAACACACATCCCTGCACCATCGACGCACCTCCCCGACCCTTCCAACCCCCTCCCCGCCCCACCAGCAAGTCGCCGCCGCCCACCACCTCGCCATGCGACACACCTCACTGCACCGCTGCACTTGTCATCACAACACCCGCACCGCGGCCCGCCTATTCTGCAGCCGCCTCCCCGCCCTCGCCCTCGCCCTCGCCCTCCCCCCCGCCCTCCTCCGCCGCCGGCGCCGGCGCCTCCGCCGCGCCCAGCGCTCCCAGCAGCTCCGCCGGCGACACGGGCGACAGCTCGCTGCCACCCAGCGACCGGTACAGCGTCAGGATCTCCTGCGCCGTCATGTCGATCCCGACGTGCTCGAACACGCGCGCCACGTCCGCGACGCTCAGCGGCGCCGACCCCACCGCGGCCCTCAGCGCCTCCGCCTTGCCCTGGGCCGCCTCCTTGCACGCGAGGCTGACGGCGTCGGCGTCCGACATGGGGAACGCGTCGGGGTTGGCCTCCATGTACCGCAGCGTGAACTCGTCGGCGTCGAGGATCTGGAACGCCCGGCAGTGGATGATGACGGCGGCGCCCACCCAGAGGTCCTGCGCGAGCACGGGCTGCGTCGTGCCGGGCTTGAAGACCTCCTGCTTCTCGAGGAACTTGCCCCCGATGATGCCGGAGTTGCGCATCGGCGGCTCGAAGATCGACAGCGTGTCGTCCGCCGTGTAGTACGTCAGCACGAGCCGGCGGTCCGCGTCGGCGGCCGCGAGCGGCGCGGTGCCCTCGTACGCGATCATGCGGACGCGGAACCGCAGGACCGTCTTCTCGTTCAGCATCATCTTCCGGAAGTCGCGCTTCGGCGGCTTGGGCAGCAGCGTCAGGCAGTTTTGCATCGAGTCCGCCAGCGAGCCGTAGCCGTTCCACGGCGGCACGACGAGCACGTCCTCGGTCGGCGCGCGCTCGCGCACGTCGATCGGCGCCGTCTGCGCGGCCGTGCGCCCCAGGTTCTTGATGCTCCAGTCCCGCGTGAACTTGTCCGAGTCAAAGATCTCGAACTCGCGCCCGAACACCGAGATCTTCGCGCCGATCTTCAGGTGCTGCGGCGCGAGGCAGTGCGACTTCGGGAGCCGCGAGAGCGCGTCCGCGCGGTGCACGTTCGGCAGCGGGAGCCGCGTGCGCCGCAGGAAGAGTGGGAAGGGCTCGCGCCCGTCGTTGGGCTCGTGGACCTCGAGGATCTCCACGGCGTGGTCCTCGAGGTACATGTGGATGATGTACGGCCGGCGCTCGCCGCCCGAGACCCCGCGGTCGTCCCAGATCGCGTAGTACCGCAGCACCGAGCCCGACTTGGTCAGGAAGTCCCCCCTGGTGTCGTCCTCGAGGGCGGACGAGGGCCGGCCGAGGCGCGCCTCGACGAAGCGGGTGAGGACGTCGTTGCGGGGCTTCGGGGGCGCGCGGGTCTTGTGCGCGCGCGCCGCGCGGAAGGTGGCGAGGGGGTCGGCGGGGTAGTCGACGCTCGCGGGCTGCGGGTCGCCGGCCTCCTCGTAGAACGCGCGCGTGAAGCCGTCGCAGTCCACGAGGAGGAAGACCTTGCCGTGCAGCTCGAGCGTCCCGCCGACGCGGAAGTCCGCCGTGCTCACGAGCTCGCCGTCGGCCCGGCGGCACGCCCCGCGCTTGATGAGGTTCCCCTGCGGGATGCCCGAGTTGAGCGTCTTCTCCTCGAGCACCTGGATCTCGTCCTTCGCGAGGTAGTAGTAGATCACCACGCGCCGCACGCGGTGGTTCTCAACCGGGTCCTCAACAACCCCCTCCTTGAAAAAGCCGTAGAACCGCAGCACCTTGCCGTCGAGCGCCTTCCACCTGCGCGCGCGACAGACCAGCACGCGGCCGAGCGTCGGGCCGCCGGGCGCGGGACCGCGGGCCAGGCCGGGCGCCCGAACACGCAAGGGCGCGCTACCGGCATGTAGGCGTGTTGGCGCGCAGCCGGGCCGCCGGGCGGCCCGGGGCCGGGCGTGTGGGCTGCGGGGGCGCGCGTGCGCACCTCGGGACGCCCTCCGGGACCATGTGGCCCGTCATGTTGAGCGTGCCTTTCGGCACGAGTGCGTCTGGGTGTACGGCCTTGGGCGGATCGACGACCATCAGGGGCCCGCCGCCGTCCGTGTGCAGCGAGCTCGAGACCGTCAGGGTCTGCTTCTTGTACAGCGCTTGGCCCTGGTACACCTGCGGCGCGGAGGAGGGGCGGTGCTGCATTGTTGCCCTTCCGTTGCGAGTCGCGGGGCGGAAGAGGGCGTGTGCGGGGGCGGCGGGGGCGCGTCGGGGAAGCCTCGAGGCCGTGCTGTGCCGGAGTGGGCCGCGCGGGCGGCCAGGCGCAGCGAGGGGGGCGTGCGGAGGCGCATGTGCCTGGGCAGCTGCTGCCGGGCGGGCTTGCAAAGGTTTGCGCGCTCCGATTCGCGCTCTCGCGAGCATTTCTCGACGCGTGTGGGCGGCGGCGGTTTTCTTCACCCGCGTCGGGCGGGGAACCGCGGCCGCATGCCCCGCGTTCGGGGCGGGCGGGACGGCAGGCCCAGAATATCGGGACGCCCGCTGGACGTCGCGCACAGCCGGGCTCGAGGCGAAACCGCTCGGCTGCTCGATACTTCGAAACTCAGAAAACCGCGTGCGGCGGAAACGCCGCGCAAAATCAGCCTCACGAGCGCGCATGCCGGGGAATCAGGCCGCAGCACTGCCAGCTCTGCTTCGGGCCCCACCGGAGCCGTGACGCACGCGACGGGCGGGAACTCACCGGCTCGTGGACCCGGAACCCCGGAAGGTTCGGCAGCTGAAAACCCGCCATCGCGGCCGGGCGCGAACGAGCGGCGCGCGCCTCCCCCTGCCTGTGAACACACGTTCGCTGCAAGCGCGCCGTCCCACTGGAGTCGCGGAGGCCGCAGCGGCTACGAACAGCACCGTGAGCCTATCGCCGTGCCCTGCGCGCAGTGCCCGGACGCGGCCGCGGACGCGCAGACGTGCCCGGCGCGCTCCTGCTGCGGCTGGTGGAAGCTAGAGGCCCCAGGGGCCGTGCTGGTCGTCCTGAGGGTCCCCCGGGGCTGAGCGCGCGCGGGGACGCGGGCGGCGCGATACTTGACGCTGGGGTGAAGCGGGAGGTCGGAGTTTCTGTTCGTGCGGTGCGGAAATCGCTGTTGATCTGTGGCGAGTCGTTTGTGGGCCTCTTCGCGCTCCTGCGGGGTGCGGCTCGTGGCATGGGGGAAGGGCGGATGCCGGGGAACGCGACAGTGGCGCGGGGGGCCGCGCCGGCGGCGGAGCCGTTCGAGGTGGACCGTGAGAAGACGTGTCCGCTCTTGCTTCGAGTGTTCCCAACCATAGGCGGCCACCACCGACTCAAGGACTACGAGAAGCGCGGGGAGGAGCCGAAGAACGAGCTTCAAATCTACACCTGGATGGACGCGTCGCTTCGGGAGATCACGGAGCTCATCCAGGTCCGCGAACGCGCCGCCGTGGTTGCTCGCGAGGCGGCAGGTCGCGCCGCGCGGCACGGCGGGACGAGATTCTGCGCCGACGGACGGCGTGGACGTCGACCGAGGCAGCTGCATCGCGCGCGGCCCAAATGCGCGCTCGGACCGCCGCGGGCGACGCGGAAACCCCTCGGGCGTGCCTCCTGGCCTGCGTGCAGATGGTGCACCCCGCGGCGAACAAGCCGCACGCAACGCTCTCGTTCGCGACAGTGTACCCGGACAAGAAGGGAATCAACGTGTTCCACCCCATCGGACGGTGCCATGCGAGGTACGCCCCCAACAACAAAGTATGAAAAACGTAAGAGCCTCTGCGAGTGGTCGTTTCGTTCGAGGGCACGCGATCCGCCGCCCTCGCGCCCAGCGACCGCCTGGGGCCGCGCACTGCCCCGGGCCGCGCGTGCGAATGCGCGCCACGTAGAGACGGGCCGCGGCGATGGTCGCCTGACGGTGGCCGCTCGCTCCCCGCTCCGCCCTGCGCCGCAGCAAGCGCGGCCGGGACGACGACAAGACCCTCAAGGACCTCAACTTCCAAATCGGTGACTTCCTCGACGTCGGAATCTTCCTGTAAACTGAGAACAACTCCGAACCCCCCCCCCCTCGCCCCTCGCCGCTTCGACGCTCCTGGTCGCCGCGTGGGCGCTACACGGCATGCGATTGCGTCGCCGGCGCCCCGCCCGCCCCGCAGCGCGCGCCGCAGCGTCACGTGCGCTCACACGCCCACTGCCGCCGCTAGCTGCATTGCGCGCGCCAAGAGCGCCGGATCTCGGGACACGGCGACGCCCGCCGCGAGGAGCCCCGCGCCGAGCACCAGCGTGAGCGGGTCCGTGTTTTCGAGCGCCCCCGCGAGCCCCGGCTTCAGGGACTTGCGCATGATGAGCCCGTTCAACCGCGTGGCGTTGAGGCCGCCCGACACGACCTCGTACTTCGGAACCTCGACCCCGCGACTCTCGATGCGGTACCCGAGCTTCTTGTACAGCTTCCGCGCCCCCCTGCGCGCCGCGACCGCCCGCGCGCGGGTTTGGGCGGAAGGGGGCGACGCGGGGGGTATGCGGCCGTGGCGGCGCGGTGCGGGCCGGAACGCACCTGTTCTTCTCCAGTACGACGAGCCAGATCTTGTCGTACCCCCACTCCCGCGCCTCGTCCTCGCAGGCCCGCATCAGGGCCTTGGCGAGGCCTCTTCGCCTCGCATCGCTGCGCACAACCACATTCGACACCACCGGCCGCAGATCGTCCGCCATGCTCGCCCGCTTCATGTCCTGCGCGAAGCGCGACCGGGCGCGGCCGGCGGCGGCGTCAGATGCCGCGTTGCCGCGCGCGCAGCGGAATTCCAGGCACGCGACATGACATGCGTTGTTGCCCCCTGCAGCGCCACGGAGGGCCGCTTGCGCCTCTGTGCTGCGCGGGCCTGCGTGCGCGCGGGCTTGGCGGTGTCATCTCACCGCCAGGGAGGGTCGCATTTGCCCATCGATGAACGGCGTGGCCACCACCCCTGCAGCAGCGACCAGCCCCGTCTCGTCGCGCACTCCGAGGACAGCCGATTGCCGCCCCGTGAATCTGCGGAGCGCTGGGGGGGGACGAGGGCGCCGATGACCGCCGTTCCCGCCTGTGCGGGCCGTGGGGCGAGGCCTGGGTTTGCAACGCGTGCCCGCACAGAGCGGTGCGTGGCGCAACGTACCGCGACTTCATGTCCGCAGCTTGCTCCGTCAGTAAACGACGCGCTGGACCTGACAGCAGGCGGTTGTCGTCCGTCTGGTAGAAGCTATCGACCATCAATCCAGCCACCTCTGCACCACGCACCACGCACCACACACGCAGTGCCGTCAGCGCACATCCACGCCAACGCAAAGGTTCTCACTCTCAACTTCCTGCAACGGCCGTTCCGGTCCCATCGGACCGCGCGCGCACACACAACACCGCCGTCTCACGCAACGGGCGGGGCGGCGAGCGGCACGCCTCGCCCGCGGCCACCGGATCCCGCGGCGATGCCGCCGTCCGGCGCACAGGCCCGCGGCCGCCTTCCCGGGGCTTGCGAGCGCGCACGCGACGGCACGCGCCCAAGCCCTCGCGTCGCGGGCCGGCCTGGTCCCGCCGCGTGCTGGTCGCTCACCGCTGTACCGCCCGGGCCCGAGGCTGACGACCTCCGCGTCCACGCGCTTCCGGGCCGCGCACACGCAGGTCCGCTGGCCCGCCGACCGCCGCTCCATGCCCGCCGCGTCGCGCCGCGCGCGGCACGGGCGGGCCGGGGACGACGCAGCGGAGACGGAGGCGCCCAGCCGCGGCGCCGTGCGCGCGTGGGGCGCGCTGCAGGCCATGGCGGCGGTTCGTTGTGCGCGTGGCTGGCGCTGGAGGCGCCGGAGAGGCGCGGTGGGGCGGCAGGGAGGCCTGGCCGGGGGAGTGGGCTGGCATGGGGTGGGTGTACGTCAGGTGGCGCTCGCGCGACGGGGGAGGGGCCGGGGCTCGTGAGGGCGGGCGGGCGGTGGAGCGGGGCACTGCCTCGTTCGCCTGTAGTGTTTATCGAAGGTTGAGGTTGACGCATTTGCGTGCAGTTCCCGGCAGTCCATGCGGAGTAGGCTCGTGGAGCGAACGGGCCGTCTGCTCTCTTTGTTGGGGTCGGAGTGCCGCGTCGTTGCGCCGGCTGGGTTATCTGAAATGCGTGCCATGATTTCCGGCGCGCAGCCGCGCATGGCCGCGGCTAGCCACGCGCTGCCGAGGCGCCTGGTGCCGATGGTGCAGAGGGCGCCCGTTCACTCTGCTCGCGTCGCCCGGCCCGTCTTCCTCCAGGCGGCTCGCAAGGACAGAGCATTCTCCGCGTCTGTGGTGAGCGAAACCCCGCCAGAAGCCACTGAACGGCGATTTCCGGCGATGCTTGCTCTGTGGCTCCCGGCCGCTCGGCGCTCCCCGCGCGCCGCATCGCACCCCGAAGCGGAATTTCGGGTCATGCTCCACATCACCGCGCGTTGCGCCGCTCGACCTCGACGCGCCCCCCCGGACGCGCCCCCCGCGACGGTCGGACGACCCAATGGCTTTCGCCCGCGGATCCCTCGCCCGCCAGACGGCGACGTGACGGCCGCGCCGCGAATTTCAACACACCCCGGTTTCCTCGCCCCGTTCCGCCACCGCTCTCGCCGACCGCGCCCCCGGTGACCGCCTCCCCCGCACACCCGTCTCCTGTGGCCGCCCCTTCCCGCCCGGGCCCGCTCGACCGCGCATTGCGTAACCACCCGCCGCGCCGCCCCCCACAGATCCCCCGCGCCACCGCCGCGCCGCTCTCCGCCCCGAATCCGCCCCACCCGCGCGGCCCTCGCCGCCAGCCCTGCCCCGCCGCCTCCACACCCTCATCATCCGCCCGCGCCGCGTGCCCGCAGACCGACGGCCCCGCGGTCGCGCCGGAGCACGACGAGATCGAAGTGAAGGTCGACAAGGAGTCCTTCTCCGACGACGAGCTCGGACTCGAGAGCCAGGGTCTGTCGGAGCACCTTATCAAGGCTCTGAAAGCGCGCGGCATCGACTCGCTGTTCCCGATCCAGCAGGCCTGCCTCAAGTACGCGCTCGACGGCCGCGACATCATCGCGCGCGCCCGCACGGGCTCCGGCAAGACGCTCGCCTTCTCCATCCCCGTCATTGAGCACCTCCTGCTCGAGCGCATGCCCAACCTGCAGCGCCGCGGCGACGCGCCGCTCGCGCTCGTCATGGCGCCGACGCGCGAGCTCGCGAAGCAGGTCGAGAACGAGATCGAGTCCGCGGCCTCGTTCCTCCGCTGCCTCACCGTGTACGGCGGCACGAACATCTCGGCGCAGGAGCGCGCGCTCCGGAACGGCGTGGACATCGTCGTCGGCACGCCCGGCCGCCTCATGGACCTCGTCGAGCGCGGCGCGCTCCGCCTGGACGAGGTCCGGAAGGTCGTGCTCGACGAGGCCGACCAGATGCTCGACATGGGCTTTCGCGAGGACATGGACTGGATCCTGAGCCGGATGCCGGAGGAGGGGCGGCAGACGCTGCTGTTCAGCGCGACGACGCCGCACTGGGTCAAGCACGTCGCGCGCGACTTCTGCACGAACCCCGTGAACGTGGACCTCGTGGGTGACCGCGGGACGGGCACGCTGCCCGACACCATCACGTGCCTGGCGGTGCAGGTGCCGCGCGACGCGAAGCGCTCGGTGCTGCCGCAGCTGATCATGGTGTACGGCGGGATGGGGAAGACGATCGTGTTCGCGCAGACGAAGCGCGAGGCGGACGAGGTCGCGGCGGTGATTGCGGCGTCGGTGCGCACCGAGGTGCTGCACGGCGACATCAGCCAGGCGACGCGCGAGGTGGCGCTGAAGCAGTTCCGCGACGGGCGCGTGCGGTGCCTCGTGGCGACCGACGTGGCCGCGCGCGGCCTCGACATCCCGCACGTGGACCTGGTGGTACACTACGAGGTGCCCAACAACCACGAGAGCTTCCTGCACCGGTCGGGCCGGACGGGCCGCGCGGGCAAGGACGGCACGACGGTGCTGATGTACACGCCGTACGAGAGCCGGACGGTCGACGGAATCATGCGCCAGACGCACACCAAGTGCCAGTACGTGACGGTGCCGTCGCAGCAGGCCATCACCGACGCCGCCGCGCTCACGACGGTCAAGCGCCTCGACGAGTGCGACGACGACCTCCGCGAGATGTTCCGCGACCGCGCCAGGCTCCTCCTCACCGAGCGCGACCCCGTGGACCTCCTCAGCCGCGCGCTGGCCGAGATGTCGGGCCTGACCGGACTCCCCCCGCAGCGCTCGCTGCTCACGATGCAGGAGGGCCTCGTCACGATGCGCCTCACGGGCCCGCAGGGCTCGCTCCCGAGCCCCGGCGCCGTCCTGGGCAACCTCCGCAGCGCCCTGGGCGCCGACGGGGACGCGCTCATCTCCCAGATCGGCCGCGTGCACACCACGACGACGCAGGCGGGCAGCGTCGCGATCTTCGACGTGCCGGAGGACAGCGAGGCGGAGGTGCTGACGGCGGCGGAGGGCCTCGGCGAGCGCGGGATGGAGCTGGCAAAGGCGGAGGCGCTGGCGCAGCACGAGATGCCGCAGCGCAACAACGGGCGCGGGCGCGACGGCGGGCGCGGCGGGAGGGGCGGGTACGGTCGGGGGCGGTCGAACTCGCCCGGGCGGTTCAGGCGGAACGGCCCGGGCGGGCGCGGCGGGCGCGGCGGGCCGCGGGGGGACTGGGGCGGGCGTGACGACCGGCGGAGCTACGGCGGGGGCAGCCGGTCGCGCGGCGGGAGCAGGGACGGCGGTTCGTGGGGGGGGTCGGACAGGAGCTTCGGGAACAAGCGGACGGGGTCGTGGGACCGCAGCAGCGGCGGCGGCGGCGGGCGCGGCGGCGGGGCGCGCGGCGGGAGCGTGCGCGGCGGCCTGGACGCGTTCGACTCGGACTGGTAGACGCTGGGGTGGGACGCAGTTGGTGGGGGGGGGCAGCGGACGGCTGTTTGGCGAGAGAGAAGTTGCTTTTATGTTTTGTGCGTGAAAACGAGCTCGGACCTTGAAAGATGCACTCCGCGTGTGCACGGCAGTTTTAATCCGTTCGCTGTGAACACACTGACGTCGCTCGCCGCACTGGCGCACCGGTGCACTCGCCGCCCGCGGGCAACTGGGGCCTACTCCGACTTCCAGAGTCCAGCAACATGCTGCTCTGCACCGGCCGCCACACACAACGGTTGGCGGCGCGGCCTGCGCCCGACGGCCCGCGAGGCGGCCAGCGCCGTGACAGGTTGGTCCATGACAGATGTGCGTGTTCGACCATTGATCAACCATTGTCATGACATCTGCATAGCATCATCATCTCGTCATGCGTGGCTACTTCACCGCTGTCGTTGCTCTCGGCCACCCACTTCCTGGTCAATGGTTCTTCGTTACAGGCAGCGCTTTGAATCGCTGCGCTTGCGTGCCTTCTTTCCTCGTCTGGAGCCGCTCCGTCACTGATACGAGCTACAGCCGGGCACGTCCCACGCGCCTCAGTAGTCGTCCTCGTCCTCGTCCTCGTCCTCCTCGTCGTCGTCGCTGTCAACATCCACGTCATCGTCTTCGTCCTCCCCCTCCGCCAGCACCTGCACCCTCGACCCCCCCCCTGCACTCCCCCCCGCCTCCTCCTCGTCCTCGTCCTCCTCGTCCTCCTCGTCCCCAACACGGCTCGGCGCAGCCGCCTTCGCCGCCTCCGCGCGCTTCTTCTTCGGTTGCTGCGCGGACCCCCCCTTTGATTCCGTCGACTCGCCCCCCCCGGGCCACCCCGCGACGGCCACCGCGTACCACGCCCCCGCGGCCGCCACGGCGAGCGCGCCCAGCCCCCCCACGACCCACTTCAGCGCGCCGGAGCCGCCCTCGGTCGCGGAGCGAGGCGGGCGGTATCTGTTTAGCATATCCAACAGCTTGCTCGGCGTGCCGCCGGAGAACATCTCGACCTTCTCCCCGTCCCTGCAGCGCGCGGGCGGCGTCGGGCGCAGAGCGTGGCGCGCCGTGCGGCCGGGACGGCACCGCCAGCGCAGCGAACAAGCACTAGGTGGCACACAACGGCGCTGCTGACGCGGAGGGTTCGCGTGGCTGCCTGCGGCAGGCGCGCTGGGGACGGGGCGTGTGGCTGCGAGCGCGGCGCACTTGAAGACCGCGTAGGTGGGCAGCTTCTCGACGCCGGCCTTCTCTGCGACCGCGGGGAGCTTGTGCACGTCGATGTCGCAGAAGACGAACCCCTTGTTCTTCACGTCCTTCGAGATGTCCGCGTAGATGGGCTGCATGTGCTTGCACGGAGTGACGTTCGCCTGCACGCACGAGGCGCCGCGACGGCGTCGATGGTCTCCGTCAGGGCGTCCACGCGTCTGGAGCCGCGCACGCGCATTTCTAGGTGCTCAAAGCGAAGGCACCTCGTAGTATGTCATGTGATCGAGCGTGTGTGATGGAAGCGGCGTGGCGTCCCGGCGTGGTGCCGACGAAAAGCGGCGACGACCCGCACGCGGGTTGCCGGCCGACCTCATCCTGGGCGGCCTGCGCTGGTTGCGGGTCGCGCGCGGCGCACATTCCCGCGAAAACGCTATTCCTCATGATGAGAACCACGTCCCGCCCGCCTCTCGATCGCCTCGCGGCCCGCACAGCGGGCCACGGGGGCAGCACAGGAGGCCTGGCCCTTCGCAGCCACCGGCGACCACGAATCCTCGACTGCGAACGCACCGCTCCGAACATCACGACGACTGGCTTGCTTCCCGCGCGCTTCAGCACCGCCTCCCACCCCGACACCGTCGTCACCTTCACCACCCGCGACTTCAGGTTCCGCACGCGCTTCGCGCGCCGCCCGCGGTACTGCATCGCGCCTCACCGCCGCGCCGCCCACACTCTCCACCTACGGCGGGCATAAACAAGCGCCCCGCGCGCCGCCAGCTCCGGGAACCACGGCCAAACCGCCGGCCCTCGCTCCGCCGATTGCCGCACGAACGCCCCTCGCGCGCCCGGTCGGCCCGCCGCGGCCGCGGCGGCGGCGCGGGGGGTGTGCGGGATGTCTGCCCGGTGGTAGCGCAGGCGGCTCGGCGGCTCTTTGCTGCGGCTCGGCTGGCGCGCGGGGCAGTTCTGGGCCGCGGCACGACGACCCAGTTTGCGACAGTCAAGATGGTGGACCACGCGGACGACCTATGGCACTTCGCCGAGGTGAGGCTAGTGGCTCGTTGGTTGCGCGCTCTCGTGACCGCGTAGGAGCGGGGACACGGCCCCGCGGTTGCGTGATGCTGCACAATGATTGTTTTTCCATTGCGACTCCGTGCGCCGCGGCCGCCGGAGCGCGCATTATCCGGCCGAAAGCGGATGGCGACTGCAAAACCTCAGACGCTCCGGGAAAGTCGCGCCTTCCGCGGCTGCGTCCGCGTTTTCCGCCTGCCACATTGGTGGACATCGCGCTCCGCGCACGGCGCGCAGACATTCCGCCCCGCGACGCCGGGCGGGCGACGTTCCCTGTTGCTTTGCGGCGACCCGCGCCATTCCCAGATCCCCCGCTCGCTCGCCGTCCTCCCGTCGCCTCGCTCCTCGGGATCACCCACGCGAGCTGAACGCGCCGCGGGGGTCCGTTTCGGCCGCGCGTGCGCCCCCGCACGGCCGCTCATCGCCGAGGCCAACCAGGGCCCCCGTCTCGCCCCGCCCGGGCCCCTCTCCGCCACTCTCCCGCGCTGCCCCCCGCACCTTCATCCCCATAATCCGGGCACGCGCGGTCAACGCCAATGGCGCACCCGGCGACCCCCCACCGCGGCCCCTCGACTCCATGCCACTTGCGCCCCCACACCCGCCGCCCCCGCCGCGCCCCGCGCCATCCCACACCATCCCCACCCCCACCGACCCCTTCACGCCCCCCGCTCCCACCGCCACCCCCTCTCACCCGTCCCACCGCCGCCACCGCCCCCGCCCCTCTCCACCCGCACCCCGCTCACGTGTGGCCACCCGCGCACACCGCCGCCGCCCCCACGCCCCACGTCCCCGCGACGCCCTCGCAGGACTACCCCATGGCGCCCCTCGACGAGGACTGCCGCCTCCTGGGGTCCCTCCTCGACGACACCCTCCGCATTGAGGTCGGCGACGTCCTCTTTGAGAAGATCGGGCGCATCCGCGGCATGGCGCAGGCGGCGGCGATGCTGTCGCAGAACGCGGCCGGGGACGCCTCGAAGATGCTGCACGACATGATGGAGCAGGAGCTGTCGGACATGCCGCTACAGGAGGCGCTGCCGACGGCGCGTGCGCTGGGGCACTACCTCAACCTGACGTCCGTGGCGGAGAACTTCCACAACGTGCGCATGCAGCGGAAGGCCGCGATGAACGGCGGCGGGCGCTCGCTGGACGACGTGCTCGGCGAGATGCTCGGGCGCGGCATCACGCCGCAGGCGCTGTACGAGCACATGTGCAAGCAGTCGGTCGAGATCGTGCTGACGGCGCACCCGACGCAGGTGAACCGCCGCACGCTGCAGCACAAGCACAACCACATCGCGAAGCTCCTCGAGCGCAACGACCGCATCGACCTCACCCCCGAAGGTGCGCACGCCACACGACCAGCCGCGCGCCGCGCCCTGCGCGCCCGCGTCGCGACGGCGGTCTCGCGCGAGCGAACGACGCGCGCGCGTTCCGGTCGAGGATCCTCGACTGTGGGCGCCAGCCGCCGTGCCGCCCTGATGACCCCCCGCGCCCCCCCCCCTCCTCGTCGCCCGCAGAGCGTGAGGGCGTGATCGAGGACATGGTCCGCGAGATCACGGCGCTGTGGCAGACGGACGAGATCCGCCGCCGGAAGCCGACGCCGATGGACGAGGTCAAGGGCGGCCTGCACGTCATCGAGCAGAGCCTGTGGACGGCCGTGCCCAACTACCTGCGCAAGCTGAGCGCGTCGCTCAAGAAGCACACGGGGCAGCCGCTCCCGATCAACGTCGCGCCGATCTCGTTCGGCTCGTGGATGGGCGGCGACCGCGACGGCAACCCGAACGTCACGGCGGAGGTGACGAAACAGGCGACATACCTGGCGCGCTGGATCGCCGCGGACCTCTACATCAAGGAGGTGGACGTGCTGCGGTTCGAGCTGTCGATGTCGAACTGCTCGGACGAGCTGTTCGCCATCGTGCACCGCATCCTGCGGCAGAAGGGCGCGGAAGCTGCAGCAGGCAAGACGACGACCAAGGATCACACGCCGCGCCCCAACAGCAGCCGCGCGGCCGTGCTCACGCGCGGCGCGAGCCCCTCGATGATCCTCGGCCGCCCCTCCTTCATGCCGGCGATCCAGGGCGAACGTGAGCGGCCCGCGCGACACGCGCTACTGCAGACGCACACACGCACGCACCCACTCCTGCTCGTTTCCCCCCGCCCCTTCCGCACGCGCGTCGCTCCCTGCACATTTCCCATCGCCCCGAGCGCCCCCGCCGCGCCTCACCGCACGCCTGGGCACCGCACTGCTCCGCAGGCGACGCGTCCACGGGGATGGCTGACGTCCCGCCGGGCGCGTTCCCGACGGGTGCGACGCCGAAGGCGAACGGCGCGTCCGCGCAGAACAACTTCGACCTGCAGCCCCTCGCGGAGGGCCTCACCCCGGAGGGCGGCACCTCCCCGCACGAGGTCCGCTCCTCGTCCGGCGCCGGCAACGCCCCCGCGGCGCACGGCGAGGACCTCGAGGAGCTCCCCGCGCAGTTCCTCGGCGCGGACGGCTCCGGCTACGTGAAGCACTACCGCCACATCCGCGGCAAGTCGCTCACGCGGTCCTCCATGGACGCCATCATGCGCCCGCGCATCCCGGGCCTGGCGCCGTACCGCCTGATGCTCACGGAGATCCACGACCGCCTCGTCGCGACGCGCGAGCACTACGAGGCGCTCCTCGCCGGCCGGCAGCCGGACCACGAGGTGCCGATCTACCTCAAGGCCGAGGACGTCGCGCAGCCGCTGCTGGTGTGCTACCGCTCGCTGTGGGACTGCGGGAGCGGCATCGTGGCGGAGGGGCGCCTCGCGGACCTCCTCCGCCGGCTGTACACCTTCGGGCTGCACCTGGTGAAGCTGGACGTGCGCCAGGAGTCGACGCGGCACGCCGACACGCTGGACACGATCACGGAGCACCTCGAGCTCGGGAAGTTCTCGCAGTGGACCGAGGAGGAGAAGTGCCAGTGGATCATCTCGGAGCTCAAGTCGAAGCGCCCGCTCATCCCGCACGGCATGCCCATGTCGGAGGACGTGCGCGAGGTCCTCAACACGTTCCGCATGGTCGCGGAGAACCCGGAGTCGCTCGGCGCGTACGTCATCTCGATGGCGCACTACGCCTCGGACGTCCTCGCGGTCGAGCTCCTCCAGCGCGAGGCCACGCTCGTCGCCGCCGGCGAGCGCGGCCACGCGGCGGACTTCTCCTCGACGCTGCGCGTGGTGCCGCTCTTCGAGACGCGCGACGACCTCACCCGCGCGCCGGAGACGATGACGATGCTGTTCAACAACCCGTGGTACCGCCACCACCTCGCCGAGCACCACAACGACAGCCAGGAGATCATGCTGGGGTACTCCGACTCCGGGAAGGACGCCGGGCGGCTCGCGGCGAACTGGGCGCTGTACCGCGCCCAGGAGCAGCTCACCGAGGTGTCGCGCAACGCCGGCGTCAAGCAGACGCTCTTCCACGGCCGCGGCGGCACCATTGGCCGCGGCGGTGGGCCCATGTACCTGGCCATCCAGTCGCAGCCGCCGGGGAGCGTGGAGGGCCGGCTGCGCGTGACGGAGCAGGGCGAGATGGTGCAGGCGAAGTTCGGGCTGCCGGTCATCGCGCAGCGCAACCTCGAGGTGTACACGACGGCGATCCTGGCCTCCACGCTCGCGCCGCCCAACCCCCCGCGGAGCCAGAAGTGGCGCGAGATCCTCGAGAGCCTCGCCGAGTGGTCCTGCGAGGCCTACCGCGAGATCGTCTTCCGCCACCCCAAGTTCGGTGCGTCACCCCCCCCGCACTGAACGAAAGACTGCCCGGGCGCGCAGCCGTGCGCGCCTGGTGCGGGGAGAAGCGCACGGAAGCAGAACACGACCCCTTCTGGCACTTCCAGCTCGACTTCCTCACCTTCGTGCGGTGGGTTGAGGAAGTCGAGCTGGAGGTACCAGAATGGCGTCGTGTCCTCGTTTCCCTGTGCTTCCTACCCCTACAGCAGGTGCACGGCCGGAGCATTGCCATGCCCTTGCTCGAAGGCTGCACCGCCGATCGCGCGCGCACAACGCCGCGAATCCCAACAATCAACAACAAGAGTTGTGTTTTTTCCTTCTGTTCCCTTCTCCCGCTCCCCCCTTCTCCCTCAACTCACCCCGCCCCACCCGCGCCCCCCTCCTCGCGCAGTGTCGTACTTCCGCCACGCCACGCCCGAGGAGGAGCTCGTCAACCTCAACATCGGCTCCCGCCCCCAGCGCCGCAAGAAGGGCGGCGGCGTCGAGACCCTGCGCGCCATCCCGTGGATCTTCGCGTGGACGCAGAACCGCCTCGTCCTGCCCGCGTGGCTCGGGTTCGCCGAGGCCATCGACCGCGCGCACAAGGCCGGCTGGCGCCACGAGCTCCAGGCCATGTACCGCGAGTGGCCCTTCTTCCAGTCCACGATCGACCTGGTCGAGATGATCCTCGCCAAGGCCGACATGCGCATCGCGAAGCTGTACGACACGATCCTCGTCGCGGACGAGGAGGAGAAGGCGCTCGGCGAGCAGCTGCGCCGCAGCTTCAAGGACACGGTGCAGGCCATCCTGGGCGTGTCGGGGCACTCGAAGCTCATCGACAACAACCACTCGCTGCGCCGGCTGATCCAGATGCGCAACCCGTACATCGACCCGCTCAACGTGCTCCAGGTGGAGATCCTCCGCCGCCTGCGTCAGGACCCCGACAACCAGGACCTCCGCGAGGCGCTGCTGATCACGATCAACGGCCTCGCGGCGGGCATGCGCAACACCGGGTGAGCGCGCGAGCGGTGACGGTGGCCGGCGCGGGCGCGGGCTGTGGCGCGTTGCGGGGGCGGCGTGCGTGGCGCGACCGGGGCGCGGCGCTGAGCGTGCGTGCGGGGGCAAGGGGCGCCGGTCGGCTGTGGTAACTAGCTGACTGTGCGGAGGTGCACTGATTGATTTGATTCCAGGAGTAGTGGCAGAAAACGAACAGGATGAATTTCTTGTTGAACAACCAACCAACAGTGTCCTGTGACATCATTCAACCACGCGTCGTATAGCACACCCGCACTTCGTTTCGTGCGCGGGTGGTCAATCACTGCTTTGTATCCATCACGACAACAGACGTCAAAATCTCGCACGCGTCTGGGCAGTCATACGTGCCTTTCCCACACGGCAAATCGTTCGCCGCGGCTGGCACAGGAAGCGGCGAGCGGTGGCTGGTGGCGGCCGGCTGGGGGGCCCGTGCATCGCCGCACGTCGCGTCCAGAGGGTGTCACAGGCATCCGACTCTCGAGTGAGGTCATACGACCACCAGGCAGCCCTCTTCCGGCGGCGGCGGCCCGGAGCAGCGCCGTGCTCGCAGCCCCATGCGGGGCGAGCCAGACCAACGATGTCGTAAGGTATGAGTGCAGCACTTAGAAAAACAGAAAGTATGATTCGTGAAGAATGGTGCCGCCGCGCCGCCGCCGTCCGCGCGCCTCAGATCACCCGCTCGCCCGTCGACATCGTGTTCCACACCACCGTCCCCGCGAGGTAGAAGAACACCGCCGACCGCCACACGTCCGCCCACGACCCGTTGGCCAGAATGAACCCCACCGCAGCCGTCCCCAGCACGCCCGCGAGCACCCCCGCCGTGTTCGACAGGCCGAGCAGGACGCCCGCGTACTTCGGCCCGATGTCCGCGTGGTTGGAGTACAGCCCCGACTGGCTGAACGCGTCGAGGCCCTGCGCGCCCATCATGCACACGACAGCCTGCCAGGCGCTGTTGACGGTGGGCAGCAGCGACAGGAACAGCGCCGGGCCGAGGAAGCCGATGGTCTGCATGAGCCGCCGGACCGAGGTGATCGACCAGCCGCGGCTCTGGAGGCCGTCGGCGATGGCGCCGCCGACGTTGGCCATGAGGGCCATGGTCGCCCAGGGCAGGACGGAGAGCATGCCGCACTGCGCGAGGTTGAGGCCGAGGACCTGGCTGTAGTACGTCGGCATCCACGTCAGCAGGATGAACGTCCCCCAGTTGTGGCAGAAGTGAGAAATGATAATGGCCCAAACAGCGGGCTTCGAGAGCAGCTCGCGCCACGGAATCGAAGACGCGTCGTCCTGCGGGGGCGGGGGGCGCGGCCCGGTGAGCGCGCCGCGCGGGCGGGGGTGGGCCGCGAGAACGCGCGCGTCTACGGGGGTGTGGCGTACCTCGCCGCTGGTTAGGGTGCTTGACCGAATGTAGGCGGCTTCCTCGGGGCTGAGGCGGTCGTCCTTGGTCGGGTTGCTCGCGGAGTACTTCTGCCACGCCCAGAACCAGGCCGCGCCCATGCTTCCGAAGACGAGAAACACCGATTGCCAGCCCAACGCAGCGCACATGGCTGGGGAGGCCGCGAGGCCGATCATGGACCCGGTGTACATCCCCGAATAGATGAACGCGAGCGACCGCGCGCGCTCCTGGCACGGCACCCACTTCGAGACCATCGCGTTCATCGCAGGGAGCGCCACGCCCTCGCCCACGCCCATCATCGCGCGCACCGCCAGCAGCGGCCACAGGCCCGCCTGCGCGGCGATGGGCGTGACGACGGTCGCGAGGCTCCACCACATGACGCCGAAGCCGAGCACGCTCTTCCCGCCGATGCGGTCGGCCAGGACCCCCCCCGCGACTTGCGTCAACAGATAGCCCCAGAAGAATGACGATTGCACGAGCCCCATAGTCTCCGGGGTCCAGCCGAACTGCTGCGACATGGGCAGGATCGCGACGCTCATGTTGACGCGGTCGAGGTTGCAGAGCAGGAAGGCCACCGCGCAGAGAGCGACGATCGTCCAGCGTCGCTGCCACCCCGGCGGGCACTCTGCCGTCGAACACGCCCCGCCGTCGCCCGGAAGCGGCATGGGGACGGCGCCGCCGGCGCATGGCGGCGAAGGGCGAGGTCGCGGGCGCGCGCGCGCGCCGCGGAGGGGCGCCGGGGCGGAGAATGCGGGGGCTGAACACGGCGCCGGTGCTTTTCGTAGCGCGCACGGGCCGTCGTGCGGCGCCTCCTCGCCGTGCCGGGCGCCTCTAGCTTGGAACTGCGAGCAGGGGCGGGAGGTGGGCCGTGGGCGGTTGTGTTGGGCGGGCAGCGGCCGCACCGGCGCACCCCAGCTGAGGGCCGCTAGTTGACGGAACGCCCTCCCGAAGCTGTGCGTGCGGGGACGGTGGTGTTTGGCGGCGGCGGCGGTGTCCAGGGGGAGGGAGGCTCCGAGGGGGATTGCGGAGGTGCTGCGCCGGGGCCGGGGGGCGGCGAAACGGGCGAGGATGGGACCAGGAGCTATGGTCGGTTGTTTCGCGCACGAGCGGCCGCGGAGCCGACTTGGTGCGCGAACGTGGGAATGATGCGGAAGTGCTTCGGCGGAAATGCGCGGAAGGCGGCGGGCTTGACTTGAGTCGACGGTGGACTGGCCCCGAGAGGGCTCGACGAACGGGAATTGCGGCTGATCGGGCTTGCATTGGGGCCAGCGTCGGTGGTCGCGCGGCCCGCTATTTACGTGCGTTGCGGTGCGTGCGGTTTTTGCGGGCGTCGTGCAACGACAGCCGTCGCGCGGCGATGACGGTGAGATTGTCGCAGCTCAGGGCGTGCGACGCAGCGCGCGGGGGACGACACCGCCGTCGATGGCGTGCTCTCACCTTGACTAGTCGAAGGGCATTTACGCGCGCGCGGACCCCGGGTCTGGCGGCGGTTCCAGGGGCAGCAGCGAAGCCGAGCACTTGCCTGCGGCCAGTGGGGCGCGTGGGGGGGACAAACGATGAGCCGCACGCGCGCGCCTACGTCCTCAGAAAGAAACATTCGAAAGCAGACGGCGTGGCCCAGGCAGGGGATTGTCTATTGCCATGAAATCCGCGTATTTCCTGCTTTCACCGACGAATGGGGCGCTCGCGCGCGCCCGCGCCCTCAAGCCCGGCGAATTCCCGCTCTGATGGACACAGACACTCACCTCCTAGGTGTCGCGGTGCAGCAGCAGCGACGCCATCCTCCCTCGAGGGCTGCCGCCCGCTCCATGCTCCCACGCCAACCCAAACTTTGCCACGCAATGCGGTAACCCTTCGTCAGTATCGCCGAACAACGCGTGCACGTGCGTCTCCCTGGAATGGGGCGCAAGTATGCCGGCGCGCACGCCGGCCCCGCCATGACGCGCCGCCGAGTGCAGATAGTGGGGGGACACATATGTTCTACCTCCTGTCCGTGGCGCGCGGCGCCTCCGACACCCGCCGAAACCGGTCGCAGATCACTCGCGCGTACGTGCCGCGCCGGCCCACGCACCACACGTGTGCGCGAGGGCCACCGCCTCGCGGCACGGGTCGTTTTGTGTGTCGTGCAAAGCTGCCCCTGTCGTGGGCCGCTGGCGGCGTCGGTGCGCGTGGTCTTCCGCGGACGGCCGCCGTGTTGCCCGCAGAAGGCCTGGCGGCTGGAGAAACGCGTTTGCGGCGGCGGCGGCGGCGCCCCGAGGCCGAAACAATCACTGCATGTCACATCGCGCGGCGCCCCCTGCGGCGCCGTCATCGCAGCCGGAACGACTCCATCATCGCCTGGCACATCGCGGCCTTGTCCTTGTCGAACTGGTCGCTCCTGATCGCCACCCCGAGCACGTACAGCCGCCCCCGCTTCACCGCTGCCACTGCAAGGTTCTTCCTACGCACCTGCGCGGGCGAACAGCGACGCATCCGCCAAGTTCTGCGCCCAGACACGCGACGCACCGTAGCGCGGGCCGGCGACGGGCTGCGGGCAGCGCGTCGCGGCAGGGGGGCGCAAAATGAAGCGTTCGGGGGTGTCAGAGGCTCACGTTGTACCCCGAGGACGTGACGAGCTCGGAGGGGAAGGCCATGTAGACGTAGTGCGTGCCGTCGAGGTCGAGGGTCTCGCTCTTGATCTTTTCCGGCGCGGGGGGCACGAGATTCGAGGTCTTGTTGCTTCCGTCGGGCGTGATGAGGGCGCGGACGGCCCGCGCGATCAGGACGTCGTCGGAGGCGTCCCGCGGAACGCCCTCGACGACCTCGACCGACGCGCGGTCGCCCGTCTGGAAGTTGCTCATGGTGATGCCACCGCGCAGCGTGTTGGGCCGTGCGACCCACGCACGGGGGTAGGAAAACGTGTACTCCTCCTCGAAGTCGTCGAACGCCTTCAGACCCTTCGCGGACTTGATGCCGGGCAGCCCTGCGGACGCACGCACGCGCCGCCCTGTCGGCGACAGATACGGGGCGTTGCGCGCTATCCCGCGCGCGTGAAATGTGCCGCGCACGCACCGTACGCTCCCAGGATGCTGTTGACCACCGTTGAGGCATCCGTCCCCCCCAGCTGCGCCCCCATGCCCTGCGCCCCCACGACCACCACCAATGTCCCCGCGAGCCCGCTCGACCGCAGCACGAACTCCCTCCGCCCCTGCGGGCGCTCCCCGCGCGTCGCACAGGCGCGCACGCACCTCGCCCTGCCGCGCCCCGCCAGCCGGCCGGGCGTGGCGGCGTGGGCAGTGCCGCGACACGCAGTGCGTGCGCCGTGCGCCATATTCCCGCGCTGTGCTGCGCCCCGCAGGCGCCCGCACGCTAGCCGTGGATACGCTGGTAGTAGCGGCTTGCGCCCCGGGCTCCCCTCGTGCCCGCAGGGTGCACTTGACGCAGTCGGTCACGGAGGGGGGCGCGCTGGGCGAGCCGCACGGAGCGGCTCCGTTGCCGTGCGGAGCGGCGGGGCGCGTCACTGTATCGCGCCGATTCGCGAGCACCACGGGAGCCGGTGCAGGAGGTCTGAGCGGGTCTGGTTGGCACGGGCGCGCATTCAGCGCAGGTCGAGAGAGGTTGCGGGCAAGATGATGGCCCCGGTGACCGTCATCAACGCCAACTCCAAGCGGGAGACGGGCAAGAAGGCGCAGTTGGGCAACATCGCGGCGGGCAAGGTGCGGGAGCTGCGCGGGGGGCCGCGTGGGAGGGCCGCGCGCCATGCGGACCGCCCAGTCCAAAAGCGGGAGGCGCTGTTTCTGCCGCGTGAGGAGGCCTGGCGCCGGTTGGGTCCGTCCGCCGGGATGTGGTAGTTTGTTTGCGCGGGTCGGGGGCGCCGGCGCGTGACGTGGCCGCCGGGGAGCCTTGCGAGACGCCCGGCCCGCGCCCCCACTTCCCGCAGGCGGTCGCTGAGATCATTCGGACGACGTTGGGACCACGCTCGATGCAGAAGATGATCCTCGACGCGAACAACGGTGAGAGATTCGCGGTATATCCCCCGTGGCGGCCGTCGCGGGCCTGCTGCCGCTCTGGCCTTCCCGACCCAGCCCCGCGCCCCTGCGGCATGACCTCGCCGCAAGCCCGGCCCCGCCCAGCACCCCGGCACGCGACGCACCCCCTCGTCAGCGCGCCCCCCTGGCAGCCGCGCCCACTCGTCGTTGCGGGCTCTGACCTTGCATGCGTCTCACTGCCTCCACGTTTCCGTCCCGCACAGCCCGCGCACAGCCCGCGACGCCCCCCCGCGATCCATTCTAGCCGCCCTCCACCCACCACGCCGCGCGCCCCCCACCCAGCCCCCCCCGCCCGCCCCCGCGGGCCCTCCCACTCACACGCAACCTCCCAGTGCGCCCGCGCAGGCATCGTGCTGACGAACGACGGGCACGCCATCCTCCGCGAGATGGACGTCAGCCACCCCGCGGCCAAGTCGATCATCGAGCTCAGCCGCACGCAGGACGAGGAGGTCGGCGACGGCACCACGAGCGTCATCATCCTCGCCGGCGAGTTCCTGTCGGCCGCCGAGCCGCTCCTCGCCAAGAACCTCCACCCCACCGTCATCGTCCGCGGCTACCACAAGGTCCGCCTCCCGCACGCAACACCCCCCCCCTCCGCGTTTTGTCCGCGTTCGAACGATGACGCGCTGCGACGCCGGTGCGCAGGCGCTCGAGGACACGCTCGCGGTGCTGGAGCGCGAGGCGTTCACGATCAACGTGGAGGACCGCGACAAGATGCGCGACCTCGTCATGTCGTGCGTGGGCACGAAGTTCACGCACCGGTTTGGCACGCTGATGGCGGACCTGGCGCTGGACGCCGTGCACACCGTGGCGGTGCGGCACCCGAACGGCATGACGGAGGTCGACCTGAAGAAGTACGCCAAGGTCGAGAAGATCCCCGGCGGTGCCATCGAGGACTCGCGGGTGCTGAAGGGGGTGATGTTTAACAAGGACGTGGTGCTCCCGGGGCGCATGCGGCGCAAGATCCGCAACCCGCGCATCATCCTCCTGGACTGCCCGCTCGAGTACAAGAAGGGCGAGAACCAGACGAACGTCGAGCTGACCCGGGAGGAGGACTTTGCCGCCATGCTCAAGCTCGAGGAGGAGTGGACGCTGCGGGTGTGCAACGACATCCTGAAGCACAAGCCGGACCTCGTCGTGACCGAGAAGGGCCTCTCCGACCTCGCCGCGCACTTCCTCGTGAAGGCCGGCGTGTCGGCGATCCGCCGCATCCGCAAGACGGACAACAACCGCATCGCGCGGGCGTGCGGCGCGACGGTCGTGCACCGGCCGGAGGAGATCCAGGACCGCGACGTGGGCACGGGCGCGGGCCTGTTCGACGTCCAGAAGATCGGCGACGAGTACTTTTCCTTCGTCATGGACTGCAAGGAGCCCAAAGCGTGCTCGATCGTGCTGCGCGGGGCGTCGAAGGACATCCTGAACGAGGTGGAGCGGAACCTGACGGACGCGCTCGGCGTGGCGCGGAACGTGATGCTCGAGCCGAAGCTCATCCCCGGCGGCGGCGCGGTGGAGATGGCGGCGGCGCGCTACTTGATGGACCGGGCGTCGTCGGTGGCGGGGCCGGAGCAGTGGGCGTACAGGGCGGTCGCGGCGGCGCTCGAGGTGATTCCGCGCACGCTGGCGCAGAACTGCGGCGCGAACGTCATCCGCACGCTGACCAAGCTCAAAGCGGAGCACACCAAGCCGGGGGTGTTTCGGGATCGACGGGGAGCGCGGGGTCGTGGTCAACATGGCCGAGCACGGGGTGTGGGAGCCGATGCAGGTCAAGGCGCAGACGATGAAGACGTCGATCGAGGCGGCGTGCATGTTGCTGCGGATCGACGACATCGTGAGCGGGCTGCAGAAGAAGCAGGGGCCCGGGCCGAGCTCGATGAAGCCGCGCACGGAGACGACGGACGGGAACGACGTGGACTCGGAACAGCAGCTCGCGGAGTAGGAGAGGGGGGTGTGACACATGTCTGAGGGGGGTGTGGCGCAGGGTGGCCGGGAGTGCAGGAGAGGGGGGGTCGGGTTGGTGGTGCGGGCGCGGAGAGGGCGTGTGGGGTATGCGTGTGGGGTACGCGGGGCGTCGCAGGGCTGCGTGGAGGAGAGGGGGGTGTTTTGGGTTTTGGGGGGTGTGATTGGGTGCGCGTGTGTGGCGCGATTGCGCGGAGAGGTGGGCGCGAGCTGCGCAGACGCGCTGCGTGCGTTCCGTGAGCGAGGGCGCGTTCGTCTTTGCCGGGCGTGCAGCGGGCTGCACATCAGCGCGTTACTCTGGTGCCTCCACGGAGGGCGCATCGGCCGCCCGTGCGGCCGCTAGGCGTGGTCTGAGGCGCTCTCGTGTCGTATCTGGACGCGCCGGGGCGGCGGCAGGCGGCGCCGGGGACGCGGGTGGGCGGGGAGGCGTGCAGTGCGGCGCAGAGCGATGAGCGCGAGTGGGCCGGTGTTCGCGGTGCTGTTTGTCGGAAACAGCTTCCCGATACCGAGTACGAGCCTGCAGCAGGTCGACGCGACGCACTGGGTGAGTGTCAGTTGCGCCGCGCCGTTCCCGCGCGCTTGTCGCGACGTTCGTGCAACCACCGGAAGCTGCCCGGCTTCGCGCCCCGCGCGCGCCTGGACGATGACTTTTACGTCTGAATTTCGCGCTTCGAGCACTGCTTCGTGTATGAACTTGCCAATGCGCCGCACCGCATCTAGAGTCCGTCCTCGCGTCTCCCGCACGCGCGGCGTTTCTCCGCAAGTGGGCAGTGACGACCGCGGCGCTCCGCCGGCACCGAGCCGCAGGTCCTGGACGTCTGCGCGGCCGTTGGCCCGAACTACCAGGACCTCAAGGACGTCTGCCTCTTCCTGACTCAGCCCGGGTCCCTCGACGCCACGTGTGCTCTGGGGCTCTACGTCAGCGTGGGCGGCTCCGGGTGGTCCTACCGCGGCTGCGTCGCGGCCTCGCGCCCGTCCGAAGTCATGCCGCTGCTGTGGCCGGAGTCGTCCCAGCCTCCAGGTCCGGCCCCAGCCCCTCAATCTCGTAGCAAACATATAGCATTGGAATGCAACTACGGTTCGAGGATTCGGCTCTCTGCACGCCCTCTCACCGTGGCTCGCTTGCGTGTGCGGGAGAGCGTCGCAGGGCCCGGAGCCGTGCAGATCGGGATATCGCTCGAGCCGGCGCAAGAGGTTGCAGAGAAGGAGGCACCAAAGGTGGCGGCGAAGGGGGACTTTGCGCGGCGGGTCGGACTGGACCTGTTCCGGTATCTGGAGTCGTTCAACATCCCGGAACAGTACCTGCCGTCGAGCATCCTCGACCGATGGTTCCAGAAGTTCCAACACAAGCTGCAAAAGGACCCCGACTTCCTGACGCGGCAAGCGGACGCGCTCTAGGGGGGGAGTATTGTTTTGGGCGGCCCGACGTCGCGGCGGAGTGCGGACGTGCGCGGAGCCGTGGCTCGGCGGCGCGCGGACGCTCGCGAGCGCGATGGCAGGTCGCATCGTCGTGCCAGGGCGCGGTGCGAGCGGTGGCTGTGACCAACGGATCACCGCTCGCGCCGAGGTTGTCCGGGGCGCACGGAACGAGCAGGCCGAGCAACGCGAAGACACCGACTGATCGCAACGCGCCAGGACTCGAATGCCGTCTGCTGGCGTCCGGGAAGGCGCGGCGGCGTCGCGACGGCGCGCGGTCATGGAGCCAAGGCGCTGGCGAGCACCGCAGTGTCACTCATCGAAGACTTCACTCGAGCTGCGTGCGCAGGTGATTGGGACCCCGACACTTGTTGCTGCAGCTTGCTCATCCTGCGTGCGGGTACTCCACCGCGTCGTTGCTCGGCCACCCCTTTCCTTGGTTATCGTGACCTCCGGTGTGACACGTTTGTCACACTGCATGTTCAATACAAAACCCCCTAATTCGCGATATCTGGCCGAGTGCTGCGTACGTAGGCTTCTGTAATCCTTGCGTCCTTCCGCAGCCACTCGTCCACGCGGGTGAGCGGCTTGATGTCCAGATCCGACACGTACACCCTGTACCGCCACACCTCGCCAGCCCTGCGCACCAGCGCGCGCTCCGGACACGCGCAGCACTCCGCCACGCCCCGAGTCGCAGCCCACGCCGCTCCCGCGCCGGCGCCCCCTTCCAGAGGGCCCCACACCTGCAGAATGATCGCACAGTCCCTCGCGCACATCGACGCCTGGAAGCCCTGCAGCGCCGCGCGTGCAGCCGCCCACGACAGGCCTCCGTGCTCGCCGGCGCACCTCAGCGCCGCTAGCGCGCCGTCAGCGCCTGCTCCGCTGCTCGCAGCTGCCTCGAGGGTTTTCCCGACGTCCGACACGGCGATCTGCAGTGCGCGCAGGTCCACCGAGGCCGCGGGGGGGAGTGTGGCGTCCCCGACGTCAGCGCATGCTGCGTCGGACGTCAGCGACGCCCGTAGGGCGCCGACGAGCGCCGCCGCGCCGGGAAACCCGATGACGTCGAGGGCCTGCACGTCGCGGATCGCGCGGAGGACCCCCGAGGCGCACAGCGCCGCGGCGAGGACGTCCAGCGGGGGGGTGTTGCCGTGCACCCCGAGGTTGTTTTGTGGGCTGTCAGACAGGGCTGCGAGGGCGCGGAGCACGCGGACGCCGTCGCCGGAGAGGAGGTCCGCGGGCTCGTACGCGCTCGGCGCCGCGGCCCGGCCTTCCTCGACCTGCGGCGAGAGATATGCAGCGCCGATGCTCAGCGAACCAGCAAATCCCATCTCGCGGCGATTCCGACCTGACACTGCGCCCAACGGCCGCGCGGGGCGGGCCGGCGGGCGCGGCGCACCTTGAGCGCCTGGTGCATGCGGTACCGCGACGTCGTCGCCCTGACGTCCGCATGCGGGCCTGCCAGCGCTGCCGATGTGCACGGCCGCAGCCCCCACTTCGGTTTCACCTCCAAAACGCACCGCGGCGCCCCGCGCGGCACGCCCCGGGGCTCGTCCGGCTCAAAGTAGTCCAGGCGGAGCTCCGCGGTGTCGTCAAACAGGTCGTGCGCCAGGCATTGGTCGGTCTGTTGCCGCCAGCGTTCCGGGCGCCGCTCGCCGCACGCGCGCAGCGCCGCGACCGCGGCGTCCGTCGGCGTCGCGATGCGCCGCGTCTCCGCCACGAAGGACGCGCCCACGAGCGGCGCCATCACCGCACCGCCGAACGCGTGCGCCATCGCCCCCCGGGTTTGCACCTCCTGCAACGCCAAAGCAGCACGCGCCGCGGAAGCCGGAGTTTTTTTCCGGATCGGGCCGCACCGGCGTAGCGCGGACGACTCGGGCGTGCACGCCGTGGCTCGCATGCGGCGTGCGCGGCGCTCTCGCCGCGTGGCTGCGCTTGTGCTACCTACCTGGAGGAGCCCCGGCCACGCCCACGCATCGATCGCCCGGGCCGCGGGGCCGTCCTCGTCGCGCCGTGAGGGCAGCCGCTTGCGCACGCGCACGACCTCGCGCGGCGAGGAGCCCTCCACGGCGAACACGATGTGCAGCCCCCCCTCACCAGCGTAGCGAAGCCCGGTCGCGTCTACCGGGCCGCATTGGTCCCCTGCGGAGCGCTCGCGGCGCCCGGACGCGCCAGGGGGGGCTCTGTGCATGGGGCCATGCTGCGCGGTGCGTTTGGGCCCGGAACTCGCCGTGGCGCAGCGGTTGCATCAACCGAGAGCAACAGTCTGGGTGCAGCGCGCCACGCCGCGTCGCGGGTCGCTGAAACGGGCCGCGGCGCGGGGGAGGCGGAGAGCGGAATAGGGTTCGGGGAATCGGCGGCGCGTTGTCGCGGTACAGGCTGCGTCGCGGCGGCAACGAGGCGAGACGGTCCCGACTGAGCAGTGCCGGACGACTGGACAGGGGACTCGTCAGTCTGTGGGGGCCCTCGAGGGCGGACGGCGGGGCGCGCGCGCGCGTATTGTTTTCGTGCATCGCGTCGCGCCGCGTCTGAGCGTCGCAGTGAACGCGTTCGAGCGGGAGGGCACGAAAACGCGGCACCGTAGGAGCTGCGTCCCCTCGTGGACCGCAGCGGCCGCACGCGGCCGCACTCCGGAGCTCGTTGGCCGGCCCTGATAGCGGGCACGCTTTGTGGAGCGCGCTCGGCCTGGGAGCGGCTTCCACGCGCGCGAAAAAGGGTGGACTCGCGAGCCGTCCTCCCGAAACGCGCAGCGGCTCGGCGGGACGCCCACCGCGCGCGTTCCGCGGCCGTCCGCGCACGAACTCCTCGCACGATCCCGGATCGCGCGCCGTCCGCGCCCCTCCCGCGCCGCGACGCCCCCCCGCGCAGGCGCCTCCTGGCATGAAGCGAACCCGGCGCGCCACCGCCGCCGCGGCGCCGCCCCCGGCGCCCCCCGCCGGCCGCACCGCCAAGCCAGGCCAGCCCCTGCCCACCACGAGCACCCAGCGCGTCGCTAGCGAGCCAGGCACCAACAGCAACGCCAGCCGCTCAGCTGGCCCTTCATCTCCTTTGCCGTCCACCACTAGCGGCGCTCCGAGCGGCGACGACGACGACGGCCGCCTCCACGAGCTCGGAGACCTCATCGAGGCCGGCCTCGAGCGCCTCGACGACGAGAAGCCGGGCGACGACGACCCGGCGGGCCCGCCGGCTGTTGAGGGCGCGCACACGCACGCCCCGCGGCGCCCGCCGGGCGGCGGCCGGCCGTGGGGCACGGGGAAGAAGGCCGGGCGCGCGGTGCGCGCGGGGAAGACGAAGGCGCTCGTGCGGCGGCACCTGAAGGGCGAAGACGACGACGGCGACGGCTTCGACGAGGGCGGCACGCTCGACCCGTCCGTGCAGCACGTGCTCCCGCAGCTGACGCACAGCAGCGGCGTGGAGAAGGCCGCGTTCCTGCGGGACCTGTCGCTGGAGTTCCTGCAGCCGTACTTCAACCTCACGGCGAGCGGCGCGGCCTCGGCGATGGGGGTGGGGCTGACGGCGCTTAAGCGGCGGTGCCGGGAGCTGGGCATCCTGACGTGGCCGAACCGCAAGCTGCAGAGCATCCGGTCGCTCATCCGCGAGATCGAGGCCCGGATCGCGCTCGCGAAGCAGAACGGCGTCGGGGAGAAGGACAGCGGCATGGTCAAGCTCAACGAGACGCGCGCCCGGCTGCAGGTATCGCGCGCCCCCCGCACGCGCCCTGCGCGCGCCCCCCGCGACGCGCGCGCCGCGGCCCGCGCACGCGGCGCCGGTCCCGCTCCTCACCGCGCCGCACCGCTCCCTTGTGGTCTCTGCAGCAAGAGTATGCTAATATAATGAATAACACGCGTGAGAACCTGTCGGACTTCGCGAAGGCCCTGCGCATGGCCCGGTACAAGGACAACTACAACCGCAAGCACTCGGTCCCGACGAACGCCACCGCGTCGACGGCCTCGCGCTTGATCCGGAAGAAGCTGCCGAAGGAGCGGCTGCCGCCCGCCGTCATCATCCAGCCCGTGCCGGGCGGCAAGCCCCTGCCCCCGGCCGCGCAGGGGCACCCGCCGCCGCCGCCGGCGCCGGCGCCGCCGAAGCCCGCGAAGCCCGCGCCGCGCGCTACACAGATGGTGCGGACCAAGGGCGGGGGGGTGAGCAAGCGGTCGCACCCGCGGCCGGGGCGGCCCGTGGAGCGCCCGCCCGCGCCGCCGCTGCCGACGTGGAAGACGACGCGGCCGCGCACGGGGACGAGCGCGTCGGAGGAGAGCACGGGCGCCGGGGAGGAGCGGCGGTACCACGCGCGCGCGCGCCACGAGTCGCTGCTGCCGCTCGCGGCCGCCGCCGCGGTCGTGGGGGAGCTGCGCGAGGAGGACTCGATGGACCGCGACGACTCCGGCGGGTGGCTGCCGATGCGCCCCGCGGGATACGGCACGGCGGGGGCCGGCGGGAACACGTGCACGGACGCCCGGTTCGTACCGGCGCCGATCTTCGCTCAAGGTGCGCGATGCACGCACCGCGAGATACACGCTCGCACGCACGGTGCCCCCCCTGCGTCCCCCAGCGGACATGGTCTGACCGTTTGTTTCGCGTGTTTGCGCTGGCGTCGTCGCTGCAGTTGCCCAGGAGCAGAACGAGGCGCTGCAGGGGCGCAACATGTTCGTGATGGAGACGGAGAACGGCGGGACGGAGGACAGCCCCGTGGGCGTGCGGCGGTTCCTGGTGCGACCGCTGAGCAACGGCGTCCCGGAGTGCGTCGACATCACCGCGGGCGAGGCGCTAACGCCCGACATCCGCATGCGCGTCAAGTTCGAGTGGAGGATGGTGCAGTGATGCACTGCCCCGGACCCGGCCGGTGCTGTTGTTGCTGCCGCTGGCAAGCAAGCGCCCTGGCGAGCGTCGCCGCGATCGGCCGGCGGCAAGCAGACCGCCCGGCCATCTGCAGGGAGCACGGCAGCAGCAGCAACAGCCGGGGGTCGGTGGTTTGCCGCGCCGGGCGCGGCCGCCTCCGCCGAGGGGCAGCAGCCGACGGCGACACCAGCACGCGAGCAGAGCCGTGAGCCGACGCGGCGGCAGCGGTCGGCGGGCGCATGCATGCAGCCACGCAGCAATCGCGCGCCTCTCGTGCCCGTGTGTCGCAAGCGGCAGCGCCCCAGCCCCCTTCTATCTCCAGACAACCAACGGACGCTGGTGCACAGGGCGAGCGCCGCCGTGCCCCTGCGCGCGCGCGCCCAGCGCAGAACCATGCCGCGTGAAGCAACGCGAGACCTAATATCCTATTTGCTGGCGCTTTCGCAGCGCAGGACCAACAACTCGAAAATCTCCCACCCCCCCACACACCCGCCCCTCGCATCACGGTCCGGTACCATGAAAAAACCACTCTCCGCCCCTTGCCACTCCCGCACGACCGCCCTAGCGTCGCACTGGCTCATGCGACTCCCCCACCAGCCCCCCCCCTCCCCCAGCTCCCTGCGCGGACACGCAGCGACGCCGCGCCGCACCACAGCAGCGAGCGGAGCGCTGGTGGCCTTCGAGCGCCGTTTGCGCCCCCCGCCGGCTGCCCACACAGCTGAGCTGGCCCAGTTATGAAGTTGACGCACGCTCTGCCGCGGGGTCGGCGGTGGCGCGACGCGCCGACGGGGCCGCGCGGGGCCGTGGGGGATGCCAGGCGGCGTGGATGGATGTCGTATTGTAGCTGGAAGCATACATTATGACCACGGTACAACCAACAACACAAATCACTAATGACTGGATATGATGATGATGATTGGGCGCTTGTCCAAACTAGCAATAGAAGGGGTGCAGCTGGCGCCCCGAAGACGAAAGCGGTGCGGAGCCGTGCCGGAGTGCAGTGTAAGCTCCACGCAATGTTGGGGGGGGACTCTGTCGCGAGGGGGTGTCTCGGCCTTCTGGTCTAGGACAGGCGAGCGAGTGGGGAGTAACGAGTGAGAGTGCGACTGCTGCGCGTCCCCCGCGTGTGGCAGAGCGAGAGCGCTGCGCCTGCGTCGGAGGCGAGAAGCTCCGCAGCGTGGGCTGCTGGTACGCCACTGGGGGCCGTGCGTTAGGTCCCGGCAAGGCGCTGCGCACTCTCACGGCGCCCGCAACAGCGCCTCTCGCTCGCTGCGCGGCCGCACGATCATTCCTCATTGCGCGACAGTTCGGTCCCCGGCTCCAACGGTCCTGTTATCATTCGCCAACCGCCAACCCCATCCTCTTGTACTTCGCTGGCCTACAAGCACCCTCGCCGCGAGGGGACTCGACGACAGCAACAGCATGCCATGCAGGGCGCGTGCGGTGCCGAAGCGGCGAGCCAGGGCAGAACCAAAGCAAGCAGGCGTAGCCCCCATCACACCGCAGCGCACGACCGCGGCCGACCGCTCCGACACGCAGGCTAGACCACGTCCTCCTCTTGTCCTCGCCGCAACTCGGCGTCCCGGCAGCGCGCGATCGCGCTGCAACGATCTCTGGCCCGCGACGCACGCTGCGACGGTCACGGCCAGCCGAGGACGCCGACGGGGTCCTTGTGGTCGTCCGTCCCGATCATCATTGCGTCGAGCGAATCGAACCCGTTTTGTGGGGGGAGGTCGCCCACGCGCATGTCGTCGTAAAACCCCCCCCGTGGCCCGTCCCGCCGAGCAGCTCGCCGTCGATCAGCAGGTCGTTGTCGTCCCCGCGCCCGACGTCCTCCGGCAGCAGCCCCAGCCCGTCGTCGTCGTCGTCGAGCGGGGATGGAACGACCCCGGGGCCGTTGCCCACCACCCCCCCGCCACGCCCGCTGCCGCCGGCCGCCCCCGCGGAACGCACGCTCCCGTTCATGCTCGGACCGTCAAGCATCGGCATCAGCGCCTCGTCCTGCGCAGGTTGCTGCAGCATGCTTCGCGAGCCGCCGCGGGCGCTGCCGCCGTCGCCCCACGCGCCGCTGCCGCCGTCCTGGCGCTGCTGCGACACGCCATCTGTTGCCGACGGCAGCACCGACCCGCGCCCCGCACTCGCCCCGCCCGACACGCGCTGTGACACCCGCCGCGGCACCACATCGGCACTCGCCTGCTGAGGCGCTTGCCGCCACCGCCGCCGCCGCCGCCGCCGCCGCCGCCGCCCGCGCCTGCTTCGCGGCCTCGCCTTGCTTCCGCGCGCCCTTGCCCTGCGCGCGCGACCGCGGCGTCGGCACCGCAGCCCTGACCCTGCGCCGCCGCCGCCCCGCCGCCGCAGCCGGCTTCCGCCGCTGGCAGCGTGCGTGGCGCCGCCCGCCGCCTCGGGGCCCGCGGCGCTCGCAGGCCGCGGGATCTTCAGCTTCAAGCGGCCGATCGGGGGGGACTGCGACGGGACCCCCCCCGCCGCCGCCGCCGCTGCGTCCGGCCGCGCGGTGCCGGGCGAGGTGCGGCGCTCGTGGTCGCGCTCGGCCAGCACGAACGACGGCACGCTGCTCCGCGCCTGCCGCGGCGCGGGCGTGCGGCGGCCCCGCGCCACCGCGCCCCCGAACAGCTCCGCCTCGAGTTGCAGCGTGTTCCCGGAGCCCATGCGAAGCGGCCTCGGAGCCGGCTCTGCGCGCACGGAGAGCCGCGGCGGGCGTTCGGGCGCCGTGCGCAGCAGGAGGGGGGGGTGTTTCGTGGGGGTGTGCGTCGGGGGCGGACGTGGCGGGGAAGGGGGCGTACGTGCTGCGGCGGGGGGCTCGCTGCGGGGCGCCGGCGCGGGCGCCGGCTGCGCGGCGGGCTGCTTCGCGCCGCCACGTCCGCCACGCCCGCCGGGCGTGAAGCGGGGGCGCTCCGTGCCCGCGGCGCGCGTTCGCCCGGCCCGCGGGCGCCGCGAGGGGCGCGAAGGGCGCGTCCGCGGCGGCGTTGGCGCGGCGTTGGCGGGCCGCGCCGCCAGCGCGGCTGCATGCGCGCCCGGCGGGGCGCCGGGACACTGCTTGGCGTGGACCTGGAGCCGCGACTCGTACGTCAGGGCGTGGCAGTTGCGGCAGCGGACGAGCGCAAACTCGCCCGAGCCGTGCTGCGACGCGGCCTGCGCAATCCAGGACGCGTCAGCCCCCGGGCTGAGCAAGGAAGTGGACGCGATGCCCAGAAGCTCGCGTTCCCGGGCCTCCGCGGCGGCCTGGACGGTCCGGTAGTCTTCTTGGGCGCGTGGATTGTCGTCCGCCTGCGTCGCCTGCGCGGAACGGGGCCGGAGCGACGCGGTCGAGGGCGGCAGGGTTCCAGAGCCAGGCGCCTCCGCGCGCGGGACTTTCGGCGCAACGCGCGGCCGGGAGCGCGCTTCGCGGACAGCACGGTGCCGGAGCTGCCACGCGCCGCGCGCTCTCGCCCGTGCCGCGGCCCCAGGCCGCCGCAGCACGCGTCGCGAGCACAGGCCAACTGGCAAGGTGCGGGATCACCGCGACAACGGCGCCCGGGGCGCCTCGCGCGGTCGGTTCCGCGCGCGAGAGGGCGCACGCGGCCCGCGCTGCACCTCGCCGCCGCCAGATTCCGCGCAAACCGCGCGCCCTTTCTTGAGAGCGCCGCGGGAGACGGCCGGGCAAGACTGCGGCGCCCTGCTACGACAGGTTCGGCCGACGGGGCGCACCTGGACGGCCTCGCGCACCATCTTCTCGAACCCGGCGTCGAGGTCCTCGCCGGGCTCGTCGCCTGGGACGGTATCGGCATCGGAAAACGCCGTCAGCGGGCGGCCCGCCCCGTCCCCCAAGACCTGTGAGAGCCGCGCCACGAAAGCGGCGGGGCTTCCCGCGGTCCGAAGCGCCGGGGGCAGCTTCCCGACCAGCTGCTCGAGCTCTGCGACCAAGGGCGGACGCGTGGGGCCCGCGTGAGCGCGCAGGAGGTCCACAGAGGCGCGCTGTTGCGCAGGTCTCCGGCCGGAGGGGTGCGGTGCACACAGGCTTTGCAGTTCGGGCGCGCGCGCGCGGGAGGGGCCGCGGCCGGGCGTCGCGGCGCCCTTGCTGCGTAGAGGATGGGCGTGGCTGCCGTACGCGGCGCCTCGGGCGCGCGCGCGCACAGTGTGCGCGGCGTGCGGGCCGCCAACGAGACTTGTGCAGAGGGAGGCTCTCGGCGCCGCCGCGCCGCGGCGCCGCGGGGAACGGCGCTGGAAGCGCGTCCGGCGCGCACCTTTCTCTAGAACCTCCACCTCCGGGCCCGACATCGCCCTCCTGGCGCAACTCACGCGCCGAGCCACCACACCCACTCGCCTGCGCAGCCCACGGGCGCTTCCGCAGCGACTCTATCGATCGAACGCTCTTCCGGGCGGGCACAACGCCGACCAGGAATACCCTGTCCCGGCCGGCGCCCGCGGCGGCGCCAATCTGCGCGCCACGCCGCACACGCGCGCCGAGACGGGCCTCCATGTCAGACATACGTTTTCCCGTCCGACTGGGCCGGTGGCGCGGCGAGGGCGCACGTTGCCGCCGCTGGCGCGCAGAACGGACGCTTCGCAGCCCAGAGCGCAGATTATCATCCGAATGGCCACCTCCGCCGCGCCAGTCACCGCCTGTACCTCTCAACCAGGAATCGGATCGCGCCGGCCGCGTCCCGCCACCTCCGCGGCCGTCCGGGCGCCCTGCGCGCGGTTCCAGGCCTGTAGACTCCGCGGCGGGGCCGTTCCGCGGCGTACGGGCGCGCTGGAGCGCGCAGGGCGGGTCGTGGCGATGCGTGCCAGCAGCGAGAGCGGAAAGACCGGCGTGCTCTTCGTGTGCCTCGGTGAGTGCGGCGATTGCGCGCCCCGGCGCTCGCTCTCACGCCTGCCGTCGCGCGAGCGGCGCGGACTGGCACGTTCGCGGCGCGCTGGCGTGGCATCCGACGGGCGATGTCGCTCCCGGCTGCACGCTGCTTCTCTTCCCGCGTGGATCGCGGCCGGCCTGGCGCGAACGCGATCCTGTCGCACGCGACCCGATCGAGCATTCCTAGGACTGCCCCTGGCGGGGATCTCGTCGCTGTTGATGCCTTCTGTTCGCGCACACGTCCTGCCCGTTGTCACGTGCGACGTACGCACGTGCGTGGTGTTGCTGTCGCCTGCGCGCAGGGAACATCTGCCGGTCCCCGACGGCCGAGGCGGTGTTCAACATGGTCGTGGAGCGCGCGGGCGTCGCGGACTCCTTCGACATCGACTCGTGCGGCACTGGCGGCGGCAACCCCGGGTGGTATAAGGAGGGGGGGTGGTCCTACCACGAGGTGCGCCCGATGCAGCGCTGCTGCCCGCGACGCGCTCGCGCTGCGGCGCCCCCGCGAGCCGCGGGCCGCGACGCACACGTTTGGGGTGCGCAGGGTGCGTCGTCGCTCGAGCGACGACCGTGGCGGCCGGTGGCGTCAGCGTCTCGGCTGCGCTGCGCGCTCAGGAACGCGTCTCTGCTACGAACGTGTGCAGCGCCTGCCAGCTGCGCGCTTGTGTTTGTTTCGCTGTAGGGGGAGTGCGTCTGCACCTGGGCACGAAAGCAGCTACCGCGACGCTGACGCCTGCGTCGTCGTCCTGCTCAGATCGACGCCGCAGCCCGAGTTAGGCGCCGTTTACCCGCCCGGGTGCGCCCCGCTGCGGCCCGTTGCCAGTGCCTACATCCTCGGGCGGTTTCTCCGCGCGCGCAGGGCGACCCGGCGGACTCGCGCATGAAGGCGGCGGCGCAGCCACGGAACGTGTGCCTGACGTCGATTTCGCGGCCGCTCAAGCCCGAGGACTTCTCCCGCTTCGACTACATCATTGGGATGGATGACTCCAACATGAGGGCGATTTCCACGGCCGCCGAGTACTGGGCGAGCAGCGCGAAGCTCGGGAAGGATATGCCGCCGCTCGACGAGTGCATGTCCAAGGTGCGCGCGCGCCGCGCGCCGCTGGAACGCGGCCCCTGCAGCTCGAGGGTCGTTGCCTGGCCGTTTCGCGCCGACCGGCGGGCCTGGCGGCACGAGGCGAGCGCGCCGTTGTTTCATGAAATTTAATGAAGCTCATGAGCGCTTATTTCGTCGCTGTGCGCCGGTTGCAGGTGCGACTGATGACCAAGTACTGTCGGGACAACAAGGGGGCGCAGTCGGTGCCGGACCCGTACTACGGCGGCCCGCAGGGCTTCGAGGTGGTGCTCGACCTGCTCGAGGACGCGTGCGAGGGCCTCCTGGCGGACATCAACGCCGGGAAGGCCTGAGACGTGCGGTGTGGTGCGGGCAGCCACGTGTGTGACGCGTGTCGCGAACGAATCGAAATAACAAAAGCCCTCGCGACGAGCGGCGGGGGACGCGCGCGCGGCAACGCGCTGCGAGGTCCAGCAACGACTCTCGAGCAAACCTCCTCGGAGCAGGTAGCTGTGATTTCCCCGGCCTCTCGTCGTGGTCGCAGTCGGAGCGCTGCCGTGTACTCGCAGGTGGCAATCGCCGTGCTGCTACACGCCGCCGACGTGCGAGTCTGTGCGACGCCCATCGTGGCACAGCACAGCGGATGCCACCACAACTCGCTCCCAGGGCGGCATGCGCATATGCTTCCACCTCGAGCTCGACGTGTGACAAGAAACAGCTACCTGGTCCCGACACACGCCCGTGCGCCGCTCCGGAACACACACATCTGTGTGGCGTACAATACGATCTTTCAGCGCCCGATCTCCTCACCCAACGTCTGCAGTGCGGAGCAGCCTGCCCCCACACCCCCGGCCTGTCAGTCCGTCAGGCCGGCGGGCTGCTTCTTCGACAGGAGGTCCGCGAGGTCCACCTCGTCGAACTTGGCCGCGAGGATGAAGTCGTTCTCCGTGAGGCCCCCCGCGGCGTGCGTGCTAATGTCCACGCGCAGCATGTTCCACCCCGTGACGTGCAGGTCCGGGTGGTGCCCCTCCTCCTCCGCCACGGCGCCGTACCTGCAGCGCGGAGCTCGGACGAGTCTGGCGTCCGCAAAACGCAACAGTCATCGCACAAGTGGGTACAACATGTGCAAGTGAAGGGGCGAGGGACGTCCGCGTCCTGGCAACGGGTCCAGGCGCTCTGCCGCGTTGACGGAAGGCGGACGCCCCCCAGAGCTGTGCGTCGTTGGTGCGACGGGGACCGGAGGCGGTGGCGGGACGTGTGCGGAGGGCGCCTCTGGGCGTCCGCGCGCACCTCTGGCATATCTCGAGCGCCTTGACGAAGTTCTTGGCACGGAGCCGTTTGCTGATCATCAGGACGCCGTCCTGCCCGTCCGCGATGGCCCACCCGGGGACGTGGAGCACCATCGCCTCTGCCTCCTTCCTGCAACAGCGCTCAGGAACAGACACGAGACTCGCGTCTGAAGGGCTCCGCGCTTGCGTATCATGCGTGCGAGCACGCGGGCGGACTAGACACGTGGTCGGACCGCGCCTGGACATGGGGTCCGTGACGCTGCTACACGCAGCGCACTTCCGGGTCGCGAGCCCGGACGATTTCTGGCCTCCAGCCGCGGCTGGTGCGTCACCCATGCTTCTAGGTGCTATGAGGGATCTAGGCGCGAGCCTGTTCGCGTGAAAAAGCGAGCGGGACAGCACTGTGCAACGCCCCAGTAGGGATGCCGCGTGCATCGGGCGGCGATCGCGTTCCGGCCTGGAAACTATCCGGGCGTGCTCTCTCACGCAAGAACTACCCAGACAGGCCTCCGTGCCGCACCGACAACTTCGGCGCGGACTGCACGGCCCCCCGACGGTTGCACGCGGTCCCTCGCCGCCGCGTCCGCCTGACATAACACCCCCCCTCCCCTCATTGACTCCGCCCCCTAAGACCCAAACCCCGCCCGACACCACGCCCCTTCCCCCCACACCACCGCACCGCACGAAACACCCCCCATTTATTTTTCCGCCGCAGCTGCGGCCTCACACGCCCGGCGCCCGCCGTCACTCCTTGTCCACGCCCATCCGCAGCGTCACCGCTCGCCGGTGCGCGTCCAGCCCCTCGATCTCCGCCATCTTCGCCACGTGCGGCCCCAGCAGGTCGAGCCCCTCCTTCGTCAGCGCCTGCACCGTCATCTTCTTCTGGAACGTGTCCAGCGACACCCCGGAGTACATCCGCGCGTACCCGTACGTCGGCAGCACGTGGTTCGTCCCGCTCGCGTAGTCCCCCACCGACTCGGGGGTGTACCGGCCCAGGAAGACGGAGCCCGCGTGCTCGATGCCGCCGAGCCAGCCCTCCGCGTCCTCGACGTTGACGATGAGGTGCTCGGGCGCGTACATGTTGCTGAACGCCGTCGCCTCGTCCTTCGAGGCCGCCTCGACCACGTACGAGTTGGCCAGCGCCAGGCGGGTCACGTCCTCTCGCGGAAGCATCGCCGTCTGCCGCTCGACCTCCGCGCTGATCGCCGCCACGTCCGCGCCCGGCAGCGTCACCAGCACCACCTGCGAGTCCTTGCCGTGCTCCGCCTGGCTCAGGAGGTCCGCGGCGACGTGCGCCGGCGACGCCCCGCCGTCCGCGATCACGAGAACCTCCGAGGGGCCTGCGGGGGGGGTTAAAGGGGGGGCGTGGGTCGGCGCGGGCGCGGGCGCGGGCGAGGGGCAGAGCGGGCTGGGAGGAGGGGGGCGTGGCGGGGAGTAAGTTGAAGGGGGGGGGGTGTTACCTGCGGGCATGTCGATGGAGACCATGGCTTCGGAGTTCTGGAGGATCATCTTCGCGGCGGTGACGAACTGGTTGCCCGGGCCCGCGATCTTGTCGACCTTGGGGCACTGCGCGGTGCCCCAGGCCATGGCGGCCACCGCCTGCGCACCGCCAGCCTTGAGCACGTGCGTGACGCCGGCCTTCTTCGCGCAGTACAGCACCTCGGGCGTGATCGACCCGTCCGGCCGCGGCGGCGTCGCCATCACGATCGTCTTGCACCCGGCGATCGCTGCCGGCACCGTAAGCATGAGCGTCGACGACGGCAGCACTGCGGTCCCGCCCGGGACGTAAACGCCGACGGACTCGATCGCGCGGGCCACGCGGCGGCAGCGCACGCCCGGCATGGTCTCCACGTCGATCTCGTCGCCGCGCTGGGCCTCGTGGAAGCGCCGAATGTTGTCGTACGCGACGTCGAACGCGTCTGTGGCCTCCTTCGAGAGCCCGACGGGGTCGGGGATGGAGTCGATAGGAACGCAGATGTCCTCGAGGTCGACCCTGCGGGCTCGGAGCGCGCGGGGCCGCGTGTGCGGGGCAACGTGGGGTGCCACGGGGCGCGCACAAAGCAGGGGGTTGCGGCGGCGTACCTGTCGAACTTGTTGGTGTACTCGCGCACTGCCTCGTCGCCGCGTAGCTTGACCTGCTCGACGATGGGCGCGACCTGCGGCGCGGGGCGCGGATTCGCGCGGTGCGGGGATGAGCTTGCTAGGTGGTGCGGGGCCTCAGGCGGGGGAGTGCGCCTTCCTGAGCGGGCGGGGTGGGCTGTGTGCGCGCGGCGGCGCGTGTTGCGGCGTGGGGAGCACTCACGATGCCGAAGATCTCCGCGAAGTCGATCCGTGGGCGCGCCGTAATGGCCTGGAGTGCATCTTTGGTCATTTCGGCGGCTCTGTAGACCTTGAGCGTCGAGGGCTCGGCCGTGGACGCCATGGCTGCGCGAGAGAGGCGGGGGCGCGCGCGGATCAATGCCAGGTGGCGTGTGGGCTGCGGGAGGGACGGAGGGTACTTGTGGGCACCACTGGCCTGCCCCGCGGCCCGGGTTGTGGGCACGCGGACGGCGGCGGTGCGGAGCGGCGCGTAGCTGGTGTCCTCACCTACGACGTTGCGGAATTGCCGGGCGCGGCGGGCCGCGACAGGCGCACTGGGCCTCTGACAAGCTGCTGGAGCCCGCAGGGAGGCTGGCTGCAGCGTGCAGGGCATATCTGAACGTACTGCCGATCGAGGGGCGACGCGCTCACATTCGTAGCGGGCGATTCGGGCGGCCAATGGGCTCGGGCGAGGCGGGTCGGGGCCCCCAAACGGGTCGGACCGTCGAGTCCGACGACGCCGCTCCGCTGCGGCGTTGAGGGCACCGCGCGCTTCGCACGCGCAGCATTGCCCCGCTCGAGAATTCTCTTGCGTATGTCCCGCGACCGTTGAGCTCCGCGGCGGTCTAGTCGCCTCGAACAGGCGCCCAGAAGGCGCATTTGGCCTTCACGCCCGTGCCACGGCGCGCAAGCGCCAGCCGGGAGCTCTCACGCCTCGACGGGCGAGAACAAGCAGGTGAGCATCCTCTCCGGCCGCGAACGCGCCCAGTGCACGCCCGCACATCCCCCCTGCGCGTCTCAAAGCACCACCAACTCCGCACCGCGCCTGCCGGGGCCCGCTGGCCACCTCCCGCCCCGCGGCCCACGCCCCGCACCGGCCCCCCGGCAGCCCGAGCCGCCGCCGCGCCCAGCGCGGCCCACCGCCGCGGCGCCCCCTCGGCCCGATGCCATGTGCATGCCTCCAAAGCAGGGCCCTCGCGCGCCCGTTCCGGCGCCTCACGGCCCCGTCCGCCCGCCGCGTTCCGCCCGCGCAGGTCACGCGAGCTCGCGGCGGCCTCCCCGCCGCGCGAGGGCGGCAGCGGCGCTGAAGGAGGAGCACACCCGCGATGGCGGAACTAAACGACCCGCTTTATGCCGCCGTGGCGAAGCAAGCCGAGGGGGAGGAGATAGCCCGCTACATCATCGGGCACGTGCTGGACAACGTGGACTCGTACGTCGACGAGACGGAGCACCAGCGCGCCGTTCTGAACCACGTTATTCAGTCTTGCCTCTCATCTTCGCTCACGCTGCTCTCCATGGGCTACATCGAGCACCAGGAGCAGCACACGACTTCGAGCGAGCGCAGGAGCAAGTCCTGGCAGACCTCCGAGGAGCCCAAGCCCTGCGCGATCGACTCGTGGGCCCGCAGCTACATGGCTACCTCAGTCAAGGCCGCGCCGCCGCCGTCCGCGCACGGATCCGTGCTCGCGGGCGGGAAGAGCCGCGTGGCCACGCGCAGGAGGGAGGTGACGGTGCGTCCGGGGTCGGGCCAGTCCGCGGGCTCCAGGAGACAGTCTTACATGGAGGAGGCGGGCGGGCGGTCGTCTAGACCCGGGAGCGGGCCCGGGGGGCCCTCGAACCGCTCGATGCGGTCGGGCGCGCTGTCGCGCGCGCCGTCGGGGGTCACGGACGACGCGGCGGGCGCGAAGGAGCGGCGCACGACGGGCGGCGCGGGCGTGCGGGGCGCGGCGGGCTCCGGGCGCGGGCGCGGCGTGCGGCCGATGCACCCGGACGACGGCGAGGACGCGAAGCTGCGGAAGGAGCTCGAGATGCGCAAGCAGGCGCAGGTCGCGGCGGAGCGCGTCGCGGAGCGCGAGGCGCAGGAGCGTGCGCAACTTGCCGTGTTCCGGAAGGAGCTGCGCGGGCGCGAGTACTCGTACGACCACCGCGGCGAGGTCGTCATTCTCGCGCCCGTCGACGGCGACCGCCTTCCGTCGACGCTCCAGGAGCCGAACATCGCGATTAAGACGCATCTCGACGCCGAGGTGCCGCCGGCGACAGCGGCCGGGAACAGGCGCAAGGGCCGCAAGGGGCAGCCGCAGGCGCGCGAGCCCGCGAAGGACTACATTCCCCAGGAGATGGACGCGCCTGCGGTGCGCCACGACATCATGAAGCTTGCGCCGGGCGTCCAGCTCAAGGAGGGCGCCGCGGTGCGCAAGGGCCCGCAGTTCCGCACCGTGGACGGCCGGATGACGTGGGACGCGTACCAGCAGGAGCAGTCCAAGGAGCGCCGGCGCCTGGAGGAGAAGGAGCGGGCGGTGCGCGAGGCGCGCGAGGCGGAGGAGCGCGCCGACGCCCAGCGCCGCGCCGCGGCGGACGCGCGCGAGGCCGCCGCGGCCGCCGCGGAGGAGGCGCTGGCGCGGGAGCGCGAGGAGCGCGAGCGCGCGGAGGCTGCGGGGTCTCCGGACGGGAGCAGCGGGTCGGACGAGGAGCTGGACGAAAAACAGGCGCGCGCGAAGATGGTGCGCGACCTTCTCGCGACGGGCGACGACGAGGACGAAGGCCCGGACCGCGCGCTGCCGGCGTGGGCGCGCGACGCGCTGTATGTGCCGCCGGGCTCCGGAGACGGGAGTCGGGGTGGGACGACGCGCCTGGGGGCGTCGCAGCGGCCGCGGGAGAGCCGGAGCCGGGCGGGGCGGCGGAGCACCGCGCAGAGCAGGGGGCGGGCGGTGAGTCGCGGAAAGAGCATGGGGCGGAGCAAGAGCCGCGGGCGGGCGGGGGGGCGGAAAGAGGAGGGGGGTGTTACCCCCTCGGCATCTCTCAGGATGCGAGGGTAGGCTCGAGCGGTGGTTGCTTGGGCGGTCCGCGTCGGTATGGTTGTGATCGCGGATGGCCCGCTCTGTATGACGCGTTTGAGGACGGATGTGGGGGGGGGAGTGTTTGTTCAGAGCGGGTGAACTCCTCCTGGGCTGTTGTCTAGCGAGCGGGTGCTTTCGCTTCGCCGTGGCTGCTGCGCTCCGTTGCCCCGTCGCGTGCCCGAATCGGCCTTGCGTTGCGTGCCGTCGTCGCACTGATCGCTCGTTGCGTGCTGCGAGTGGTCATCGCACACAGAGATGGCACGACTGCGCCTGCACCGGCCCCGGGGCCCGCGAGCGGCCTCCGTCGCGCCGCCGATACCGCTGAGTCACGCACGTTCACAACAGCGGCGCATTCAAACGCCGCCAGTAGCCATAAGCAAACAATCAGCGATCAGAAAGTCACAGTGCCAGCCAACTGCAATCGCTTGCACGCACGCGTCTGCAACGCCCTCTCCCTACTTCCGCAGCGCCCCAAACCCGCCCCCGCTCTGCCCGCCGAACCCCCCCCCGCCCGCCGAGCCAAACGGACTCGCCCCCGCTCCCTGGCCACCAAACCCCCCGGAGCACCGAACCCCCCCTGTGCCCCCGCACCCGCCGCGGCCCCGCCGAACCCGCCGGCCCCCGGCGTCGCGAACGCCCCGAACCCCCCCTGCACACCCCCCATGCCCCTGGGCTGTTGCGGCTGCCCCCCCGGTGCCTGCTGTTGCCCAATCGCACTGCCCTGCCCAAACCCGCTCGGCTGCCCGAACCCGCTCGGCTGCCCGAACCCGCTCGGCTGTCCGAACCCCCCAGCGCCCGCCGCGCCGCCGAGCCCGCCTTGTGGCTGTTGCTGACCGAACGAGCTTGCTTGCCCAAACCCACCGGCCGCCGCCGTGGCACCGCCGCCGGCCGGCGCGCCGAACGCGCTCGGCTGCCCGAACGCGCCCGCCGCCGCCCCGCCGCCCACGCCCGCCATCGTTGACGCGGGGGGCTGGCCGAACGCGGATCCCGTGGCCGTCGTCACTCCGCCGCCGAACGCCGACGGCGCGCCGAAGCTGCTCGGCTGTCCGAAGCCCCCCGGCGTCGCGGGCTTCTGCCCGCCGAAGCCCGACGACGCGCCGAAGCCCCCCGATGCGGCCGCGGAGCTCCCGGACAGGCCGCTGGCGCCCGTTGCAGTGCTAGGCGCTTGTCCGAACGGCGAGGACACCGCGGGCGTCCCGAAGCCTCCGCTCGACGCTGCCGGCGTGCCCAGCGATGCGCCGAAGCCTGTGGTCGGGGTGGTCGATGCCCCGAACGCGCCGGGCGCGCTGCCCAACCCGAAGGCCCCTGCGCTGCTGGCTGCGGCTGCGGGGGGCTGCGCGGCGGCGCTGCTGGCCGCAGCGGCGCCCGCGGCGCTCGAGGCGCCGAACCCGAACCCGCCGCCGCTCGCGAACGCGAACGCGCCGCCGGTCGACGCGGCGGGCGGCTGCCCGAAGCCGCCAGTGGCCGGCGGGGTCGTTGTTGTGGGCGCGGCCGGTGTGGACGCCGCAGGCATCGACATCTGCGCGCCGAAGCCGGACAGCGCTGCTGGCGCGGACGTCGTGGCCGCGCTGGACCCGAACAGCGGCGCCGAGGCGGACGACGACGGCGCGGCGCCAAACGCTGGCGGAGCCGCCGCGGCGAGGCCGCCGAACGAAGCGCCCGTGGACGCGCCGCCGCCGAACGAAGCGCCCGTGGACGCGCCGCCGCCGAACGAAGCGCCCGTGGACGCGCCGCCGCCGAAGGAGAGCTTGCCGAAGCCGCCGCCGAAGGGGTCGGCGTCCTTCTTGGGCGCCTGCGAGGTCGCGGGCGCGGCACTGGTGCCCGGCGCCGTGGACGCCGCGCCGACGCTCGCTTTGAAGCCCTGGAGACCCTTGAGCTGGTCCAGGGTGGGCTCAGGCGGCGCGCCGCCCGCGGGCTTCGTGCCGGTCGCGGCCTTGGCGGTGCTGGGTCCGGCCCCGGACTGATCGGCGGAAGACGAGACCTGTTTCAAGGTCTGCTGCTTGAACCCTTGCAGGGACCTCAGCTGCTCCAGCGTGGGCTCCGGCGGTGCGCCCGAGCCCCCGCTCTTCTTCGCCGCCGCGTCCTTGCCCGCCTGCTGCGCGCCCCCCTGCGTCTGCGTCGTCTCTGGAGCCTTCGCCGTCGCCGACGCACTGCCCGTCTCCGTGCCCGCGCCCGCGGGCTTCGCCACGCTCGCCTTGAAGCCCTGGAGGGCCTTGAGCTGCTCCAACGTCGGCTCCGGAGGCGCCCCGCCCGCCGTCGCGGCCGGTTTCGTGGCGAACTGGATTCCGCTGCCGCCGCCCGCGGGGGACGTCGATGTTGTAGTGGCACGCTTCGCTGCAGCGTCGCCCGCGGCCCTGGCCGCCTCGGTGCGCTTCGCCTTCGCCTCTGCACGTTCGCGCCGCGCCTGGCGTTTCAGCTCAGCGAGCTCCTCGTCGGACGGCACCGGCACGACGGACTCAGGGGGGGTGTCGCAATAGTACCCCAGACCCGACGGGCCCAGCTTGAACACGCAGCCCTCCCGCGCGCCGGCGAACGAGCTAGATGGCGTGAAACGCCGCGCAGACGCACCTGTTGCCGTGCTGCTGGACGCCGCGCCCTCCTGGGCTTCCTTGGCAGGTGCCCCGCCGCCTGGGAGCGACGCCGCTGCGCCGCCGCCGAACGTCAGCTTGCTCGCCGGCCCCGACGAGCTCCCCGCCATGAACAGCCCGCCCGCTGCCGCCGGCTTGGTCGCAGGCGGGGCGCCGCCGAACGTCAGCGCTGGCGCAGGTTTCGGCGCGGCGCTCTTCGCCGGGGCCGGGCTCGCCGGTTCCGCGGCGGGCGTTGGCGCCGCGGTGCGCGGCGGCGGCGACGCGATGTCTTCGGCCGGCATCGCGGACGACGCGCTGAAATAGGCGCCCGGCGACGCTGGCCGTGCGGCGGCGGGGGACGCCATCGCGGGCGTGAGCGCCTGCATCGGCAGCGGAGACGGCCGGCCCGCGGGCGTCGGCGCCTCCACCACCGCCCTGTCGTCAGGGGGGGGCCTTTTCTTGACAGTACTCCTCTCAACGTAGACCCGCGGCCCCCCGCTCGCGCTGACCGTCTTCGCCCGGATCGACCGCTCGATGTCCGCGCGCACCTCCCGCGACACGCGCCACGGCGACGGCGCCGCCGGCCGCGCCGCCCCGGCCTCCCACGTGGCGATCCTCGAAACAACGTCGCTTGCCGGCAGCGCCCGCTCCCCAGCATGCACGGCCTCCAGCCGCCGCGTCAGCGCATTCACGCGCTCGTGCGCCTGCCGGACCAGCCGCTCCACGTCCGCGGCGTCCGCGGCTCCGCCCGCGCCGCCCGCACGCGCCCCGATGCGTGCTCGCTGTTGCGCTGCCCCGCGCAGCCCGGTCATCCCCGCTTCGGACGCCGGCAGCGCCCCACGGCGCGCAGGAGTGCCCCCGATCTTCGCAGCCTGCTCGCGCGCCTCGCGCAGCGCATCCAGCTCGCAGCGGACCTGTAACGACACCTTGTTCAGCTCAGCGTGCGCATGCAACACGTCAGGGTGTCCGAGCCACCCAGGAGGCGCCGCCCCGTCTTCTCCCGACGGGACCGCGTCGATGGCGTCGCGCGCGCTCTTGACGCACTGCTTGAGGTGCTCGAGGCGGCCCTGGACGTGATCGCCGGCGCGCTTGAGCGTTGCCAGGTCGCTGCGGTGCTCGCCGAAGTGTCTTGCGAGGTCCGTGACGGCGTCGTCGAGCTGCGCGAGGCCGCCCGCGGTGACGGCGTGGCTGAAGAGGCGCGAGACGCTCACGCCCGGCGGCACGTGCTGTGTCGTCGTGGCATGCAGCGACGCTGCTTGCGCGCGCAGCTGACGGACCCTCTCGATGCTCTCTCGCATGCCCTTCTCGGTCTTCACGGCCTCCTGTGGGTAGCGGACCGTGCGCGGCGCGGTCAGGGGCGGGCCGGCGTCGCGGCCGCTGCAGCAAGGCAGCAATGCAACGGAGAGCGCGCGCACAGCTGGGGGGTCGCGTGGAAGTACAGGGCGATCAGTTCGATGCGTGCTAGTAGTGCGACGGGTGCGGACCCACGCGATGTGGCGAGTCGTCGTTTGCGCAGCACAGCAACACGAAAACCACAGGTATGAAACAGTACAAAAAAAAAATAATGATATGATATGATCAGAATAAGAGTGATAATGATAATGATTGTATCATTTGGTGTGGTCTGACCTCTCCGCACGACCCGAGGCGGTCGAACTCGGCGCGCACGTCCGCCGGCACGCTCCACTTCGCGTCCACCGCCCGCGGCGGCGGCGGTCCGCCCGAAGCCTCCTCGGCGGGATACGGCCGCGGGCGCGGCTCCGGCGACGGCGGCGCCTGCCGCCCGCGCTCCCCCTCGTCCTCGTCGCCCGAGTCCTCGACCGTGCCGGAGCTGTCCGTGCGCCGCTCGCTCTCATGCGCATCTTCCGTGCGTTTCGGCGCCGTCAGCCCCGGCGACGACAAAGCAGGTCGCAACGCCTCCGCTAACTGCGCCTTCTCTGCGATACTCATCTGCCGAACGCACTCCAGCAGCATCTCCGGCGACAGCGCGCCGGGCGGCAGCAGCTGCGACCCAACGGACGCCGGGGTTGCGCCGCGGGCCGGGCCTGCGTCGCTGGGCGGCGTGGGGCCGTCCTGCGCCCGCGCCGCAGACGGCGCCGTCGTGCCGCCACTGGACGCAGCCGCCGGCGACGGCGTGGATAGCGCCGGGGATGGGTATGTCGCCGTCGTGGGCGCGGCGGGGGGCTGCTGGCTCCCCGGGGGCGACGTGGCAGCCGCACGAGACGTTTCAGCTTCGGCCTGCTTCTCCTTGGACCGGCCCGCGTCGGCCGGCGCAGCCGCGGCCGTGCTCGGCCCCGCGGCAGGAGCGAAGCTCAACCCCCCCGCTCCCAGCGTCTGACCCAGCCCGGACCCTCCGGCGGGCTTCGCCGCCGGCTCCGCGCCCGTCGCCGATCCCGGCTTGCCCCCCGCGAAGCCGAGCCCCGCCGCCGGCGCCCCGGCGTCCCTCGCCGTCGACGACGGGAATCCGAAACCTGCCGGTTGTGCCGACGGTGTTGTTGCTGCCGGCGCCCCCGACGCGGCCGGGCCTCCGAACGCGAAGCCTGCGCCGCCCGGCCTGCTCGCTTCCTGGGAGCCGGGCCCACCGAACCCGAACGCCCCCCCCCCCGCTTTTGACCCCCCTGGGGCGTCGGGCTCGGTCTGCGCGGGAGCTCCGAACGCGAACCCCGCGCCGCCCTTCGCAGCCCCCGTGGACTCGACGCGGGCTGTCTCCGTCGCCTCAGCTGCCTTGGCGGGCGCTCCGAAGCCGAACGCGCCCGCGGGTTGGCTCCCGCTCACCGCAGGCGCGCTCGGCCCGCCAAACGCCCCCGCACCGAGCCCCTTCGCGCCCCCGTCGCGCGCAGGCTCCGCGGCAGCCTCGCTGGACGCAGGCAGACCGAACCCGCCCGCTCGCGCTCCTTGCGCCGCGCCCCCTGCACCCTTCTGCCCTGCAGGTGCGCCAAACGCAAACCCGGCCGAAGAAGACCCCGCCGGCGCGCCGAACGCGAAGCCCGCCGCTCCGAACCCAGACCCGCCGCTCGCAGGCGCGCTCCGCTCGGCCTGCGCGCCCGCCGCCGGTCCAGAGTCGCCGCGCGGCGTCTCCGGAGCGCCGTCCGAAGCTTCATCCTCCCACAAGTCGTCGTCGTCGTCGGTCGGGAGCGCAGCTGCCGCCGCGGCCGCCAGGTCGGGGTTGCCGGCCGCGGGCGCGCCGCCTTCGAGCCGCAGCGGTTGCGGCGCGGCGTCGCCGCGGGTGGCTGTGAGGGGGTTGATGTCATACGGCATCATGTGTTCTCCGGCGTCGGTGGCGAAGTTGAGCGCCGCGACCGCGAAGCAGCGCAGGCGGCCGTCCGCGGTGACGATGAGGGCGAGGGGCGAGGGGGGCAGTGCTTTGTTTTTGTCTTCTGGATGGGGTACGGCGGCGATGGTTGGTACAGCGCAGCGCATCACGGCGAGCCCGACCACGTAGTTGCCGTCGACGTCGTCGGCGAGGGGCGGGAAGACGGGCCGCCGGTCCATGTAAAAGTCCTCGGGGGCCGCGGCTTCCGTATCAATCAAGCCGACCTGCACGCAAGCCAACAAGACATCTTCAGATATGTTTCCAGGTCTGCTGGCGCACCGTTCGACCAAGCACGACGCGCGCGCGCGCGTCCGCGGCCGCGCACCTGGAAGTCGTTCGCGAGCCGGTGCGCCGTCACCGCGAGCCCCCACGCCGGCACGCCCCCCGCCATCAACAGCGCGCACATCCGCCCGCCGTGCACCCCATCCTCGATGCCCAGCTCCGCCGCCGACGGCGGCGCAAGCACGCTGATCAGCCGCGCGGACTCCAGGCCGCCCCCCGCCCCGCCCGCCGCCGCCATCAGCGAGCCGGCGCCCGCCGGAGCGACCAGCAAAGCAGGCTCGTTGCGTGGCTCCTGAAACGAGGTGACGTCGAGGAGGAGGCGGTCCGGGGCGACGGCGGCGACCCCGCTGATGATGTACGGGGCGTCTGCGCTGCCGTCGTCGTCGGCGCTGAGCTGCGCGGGCGCGAGCGACGCGGCGACGGTGCCGGAGGTGGAGATGAAAACAAGGGCCCGCCCCGTGGACGCGGCGATGCCGCTGCCGCACGCGAGCCAGCAGGCGCCGTAGCAGGGCGGGATGGAGAGCTGCGTGGGGTTTGCGCCGTGCGGCTCGGTGAGGTAGAGCGTGCCGGCGGCTTCGCCTGGTGGGCAGGAGAGGAAGAGGAGCCTGCTGCGTCCGGGGGCGGCGGAATCGCCTGGCTGGAACTGCAGGTGCACGATGTGTGGTGTGCTGTGGCGTGCGACCGGGTCCGGCGGCTGTCCTGAGAGCAGGTCTGCCGTGGAGAAGATTTGCAGGCTGTCGCCGGTGGCAACAGCCAGCGCGCGCGCGTCCTCGGATATTGCGACGCCCGTGACGCCGCTGATGGGGATCGTCGTGACTCCGACATCGCCGGGATCCTGAGGATGCACCTTGCCGGTGTCCTCGCCGAGCTGCGCGCTCCGAAGAAGCCTGCGTTGCACAATTGAGGCCCGCAGCTCAGACATATTACGTTTGGGAGCCCCGCGATCATCGCCGCGGTCGCAAACATATACCACATTCCATCTGGACATTCGAGCCGCGCGGTTCCAGCGCGCAGCGAGACGCCGGCCGGCAACAGACACTCGCAGAGGGAGGCGGGACGGCTCTCACGCACGTTTCCGGGTCCGCGACGAAGACGCCCGCTCCGTTGAAGAAGCACACGAGCGGCACGGAGTCGCAGGTCGCCACGCCGCACGTCGCCAGGCCGTAATCCGGCTCAGACGTGCCCAGATGGAGCACCCCTAGCGCCTGGAAGTACGCCTGCAGCCCCCTGCCCTCTTCCGGGCCGTCCTCGCGAATGCTCGCCATCTCCCAGCCCTACTTTCACACCATCCGAGCGGCGTTCCGCGCGCCCGCCTCTGCTACAGCTCTCTCTTTGTTGCTACCAGGGAGCAACGCGTTTCGCGTGTCCGGAACACGCACACGTCCGGCCGCACCGGCCCGCGTCTCAGGTCGATGCACCGCGAATGCGCCGCGCCGGCGGGGCGCGCGGGCCGTGGCGCCCTGCTGCGCCGCCTGACGCGAGCAAGTAGAACAAGGTGTTGACTCAGTGCGACTTTCTGTCTGACAGATATGATTGAGACCGGCCGCCGTACAGCACCGTCGTCTACCGCACGCGCGCATGGGTGGGAACGGAATCGAGAAACGACGGTTCAACGCAAGTCTCTGTGGCCTATCTCTCGTGCCGCAGCTCCCTGTCATTTCCCTCACCCCGGCCGCCGCCGGGCCTCCTCGCGCCGCGCCCGCATCGCCGCCGCGACCACCGCGCCCTGCAGCAGCCCCTCCCGCACCGCCATCTCCTTCAACTCCCCCCGCAACGCCAACACACCCCCCCGCGCCTCCCGAATCATCGACACCCCCCCCGACGGGTCCGACAGCCCCTCCATCGCGTCCCGGCACGCCTCCAGATCCCTCTCGATCTCCCCCAGCGCCTCCGCGAGCTCCCGCACGCCCTCGCGCTCCTCGCTCACCCTCCCACGCACATGCCGCACGTCCTCGCTCGCAACCCTCACGGCGCCGATCGCGTCGCCCGCCTCCGCCTCCAGCCGCCCACAGCGCTCCTCGAGCCGCGCAAGGTCGCGCCCGACGCGGCTCGCGACGCGCGCGAGGCCCGCCGCGGCGGCCGGCGCCGCATCGCGCACCTCGATGGCGATGTGTTGCAGCCGCTGCAAAGCGGTGCGCCAGGCGGTGGAGGCGCGCCGCGGGAGGCGGAGGCGCAGGGCGGGGGTGAGCCGCTCGGTCTCGTCGCGCCAGACGTGCGCCGGGGGCGGCTCCGGCGCACCGTGCGCGTCGGTAGCACTGGTTTCGTCGGCAGTCGAGGATTCCCGTCTCCCGCCGACGTCCTCGTCCATATCGTCCTCGTCGACCTCCTCGGCGACGTCCGCGACCTCCACGCCGGCGCCCCCGGCCGCCGCGTCCTCCGCGGCCTGCTGCAGCCTCCGCGCGCGCGCCCAACCCTCCCCGCACAGCTCCGCAGGTAGCAACCGCGTTGCGCCCCCCGTCCGCTGCAGCTCCGCCAGCGCCATCCCGCCGAGCGTGTCCAGCAGGAAGCACGCCTCGCGCCCGACGCCCTCCGCCAGCCCCGCCGCCGGCAGCGCCCCGCCATCGCAGCCCGCGCTCACCGCCGCTGCCACCAGCGCTCGCGCCAGCTTCAGCCGCCCCTCGTAGTCCGCCGGAGCCAGCGGCGCCCCGCCAGGCCGCCCCGCGAGCATCTCCTGCGCGGCCCGCACCTCCGCGCCGTCCCACCGCGCCGCCCGCGACGACAGCACTACCTCCAGCAACCAGCACGCCACCGCGCCCACGACGCCCAGCCGCCGCCGCGCACGCTCCCGCCACGCCTCCTCCCGCCGCAGCCCCTCGTCCTCGGCCCGCTCGTCCCCGTGCGACAGCACCATCGGGTCCCGCAGCGCCCGCGCCGCCGCGCACACCTCCGCCGTCAGCGTCCCGTGCAGCCGCCGCACCGCCCGCTCCTGCGCCGTGCCGGCCGCCGCCACGCCCGCGCCGCCGACCCCCGCGGCCTGCCGGCGCTCCGCGAGCACCACCGCCGCCGTGATGCGGTCGGAGGCGGACTGGGCGGTGGCGAGGAGATCGAAACCTGACGTGACGAGGCGCTCGAGGGCGGCCCGCGCGAACCCGCGGACGTCCGCGACGGTCGGGCGGCGCGCGGGGTCGACGCGGAGCATGCGCTCCACGAGGCGGTGGAGCGCGGGGGAGTAATGGTCCTGCGTCAGGCGGTCGTACTCCCCCCCCTTGACGCGCCGGAAGACCTCCGGGAGCTTCTGGTCCTTGCCCTCGAACGGCGAACGGAGCGCCGCGAGCTCGTAGAGGATGCACCCGAGCGACCACACGTCCGACTGCGCAAAACGACGACGAAAACCACCGCGCGTTGCGTTGCGTCCTTCTGTGCCGACACGCACGCTCCGTGACTGTAACCGAGCACACCGCCTCTTCCGGGACACGCTTGCGATACCGAGGAAACCTTCCAGGCTACTCAGCTATTCCTTCAACGGCCCGCGCGCGTCGCTGCGACCACGAGCGCGCAGCCTTGCGAGCACCGCAGGCAGCGGGGGCGCTGTTGCGGGCGGGTCCGGGGCGGTGGTCGGCCGGGCGTGGCCGCGAGGTACGCACCTGCCAGTCGTGCCCGACGCCCGCGACGACTTCGGGAGAGACGTAGTAGGGCGTGCCAACTTTCGAGAGCGCGGCGACGCTCTCTTCGCCGAGGAGGCGTCCGAGGCCGAGGTCGGCGACCTTGAGCTCGCCCTTGGAGCCGACGAGGACGTTGGCGGGCTTGAGGTCTGCGTGGGCTCGGAAGTCGCGGAACCTCGAGCGCGTTTCAACCTCTACGCCCTATTTGAAACACGAGCGCGATGCGCGCGCGATCGTGCGAGCCCAGGCCGCGTCCGCGAGCAGGCGCGCGCGAGCGCACCTCGGTGGATGATGCGGTGCGAATGCAGGTGCAGCACGCCCTCGGCGATCTGCAGGAATTGAGCCCATATCTTGGGCTCCTCAAGCCTCCGCCCTGCGCGCGCGAGGCGCTTCACGGCGCGCCGCAGGTCGCCCCCGGGACACCACTCGAGGACCAGCACCAGCTGGTTCGCGTCGAGGAACGCCTCGTGCATCTGGACCACGTGCGGGTGCTTCAAAGGTTGCATCAAACTAACCTGCGCGCAGGAGGACGCGGAGGCGGAGCGGCCGTCGCACGCGAGTTCCGGCCGTGGCGGAGTACGTGGGAGCCGGGACGGGGGGTTTCGGGGCGCGAACGGCGCGCGCCGGGCTGCAGGAGCGTGCTGGAGGGGCGGGATGTGCTCGCCTCGCGGAGACAGCGGTCGCGCTTGCGCGGGGGCATGTCGAACACGTCGACGAGCTTGACGGCGACGCGCTCGCCGTCAAAGCGGCGTTTCGCGCAGTGCACCACTGCGTAGGCGCCGCGCCCGACCTCTTTGCCCACATCATAGGCGTCGTGCAGGTGGCCCGGGCGGGCCTCGACGGCCGCGACCGCGTCGCCTTTGCTGCGGAGCACGGGCGTAAGACGGCGCGCTGGCTGTGTGCGTGAGAGAGGGCGTGTATCCGCGCGGGAAGCCGAGGGAAGCAAGGCGTGCTGGGGAGGCGTCTGTCATCCGTGCGCTTTCGAATGTCGGGCCACGCGCGGCCGTATCGGTGGGTCCGCGAGGGACGTGGTCCGCGGAGCTGTCAGGGAGGGATCGTTGTATGCCGTTGCAAGACCTCACCTCTCGATTGGCGGCAGTTTTCCCCTTGCATTGGCATCCGCAGGGCCCGTGGGCGGCGCCTCGGCGTTCCCGGGGGCGTCCCGGCGCGCCGGCGGACGGCCCGATACATCCTCGATCGGTTTCGCGCGCCCGCGGTCCGCGTGCGGCGCGGACCCGACCCTAGCAGCCTCCGGAGCCTCACCATGAGCCACCGTGGGGACGCGGGCGCCCCTCGGGGCGGACGCGGTGCGTTTTGGGTCCTGTTCATTGTTTCTAACCCTGACTGTATCCACAAAGAGTCCGTCCGCGGGCGAACAAGGCTTCGTGCTTCGCTCCGTGCCCGCGGGCGAGGCTCCTCGCCCCTTGTCCAGCGCAGGCACCGCTTGCGGCGTAGCGGTCCGCTCCGCCATCTCAGCGCCGATTTCACCCACAGAGAAGACTCACGGGCATCGTATCTACCCAGAAGGGCTGCGAACGTGCGATCTGACGCTGCTCCGGCCCCCGCGGCGGCAGTTGCAAATAGAGGGAGAACAAGTGCGGCGCGACGACGAAAGCGTGACCTGTGCGGCCAGGTCGGTTCGTCCCGCGACTGCGCAGTATGTGGCCCCGCGATCGCGCCGGTCGCGGCAATCACCTCGGCGCAGGTGGGGGGTTCCGAGCAGCCAGTGTGTCGGCACAAGGGGAGGTGTCTGGCGGGCGTGCAAGGGCGCGGCCTCGTAGCCCCGCACGCGCGAGTCAAGCTCGCATTCGTTCTCTGTCTGCTGCTGCTGCGCGGGCTGCAGGGGTCGTTCGATCGTGCACGCAAGCACCATGCCTGCCGGACCCATGGTCGCGTTCGACGCGACCGAGCTGCCGTCGTCGTGGCCGGTGCCCGCGGAGCCTCCCGTGGCCCCAGGAGGGCCCGCTGCGGACAACGAGAAGGAGTGGCTGGACGTCGTGAACGAGAAAAACGAGGTCGTAGGGAAGGAACTGAGGGGCAAGTGCCACAAAGAGGGGATTCTGCACAGGGCAGTCCACGTGTTTCTGTTCCGGAAGGACGGGTCGCTGCTGATCCAAAGGAGGTCCGCGAGGTGCGCGGCACGACGCGTTGCAACGGCGTCGCCGGTTCACTGTAGATCGCAAACAAGCCCGTTCCCCGCGCGCACGCCCGCAGGAAGAAGCTCGCGCCGACGTGCTGGGACCTATCCGCCGCGGAGCACCTCAGCGTCGGCGAATCGTACCTCGAAGCCGCCAGGCGAGGCCTCCAAGAGGAGCTGGGCGTCTCCGTGGACCTTGCAAGCATCGAAGTGCTGGACGAGCCGCACGAACGGAGGCTCCAGGTGCCGGAGATCGGCGTCGACGACCACGAGATGGTCCAGGCCGTGGCCGTGCGCGGTTACGAAGGTCCGTGCGCTTCCACCACCGCTGGTCACGAACTTCTTGTTGTCGTCGCGCTGCGAGCCGAGCCGCGACGCCCGGCGCCGCGCTTGCAGGCGACGTCACGCCGGACTTCGTGGAGGTGTCGGAGGTGCGGTGGGTGGACCCTCGGTGCGTGTGGGCGGACATGGCGGGCGAACCAGACAGCTACACAGAGTGGTTCCGCGGGCAAGCGATGCGGCTCGGGTGGCGCTCCAGCGCCACCGCGGAGCTCTACTAGCTGCACCGCAGCGCGACAGCAGCTCGTCCCGTGAGATCCTCGCCGTGGTTGCGCGCAACGCGCACTAGACGATGCGGGCGATTTGTCGCAGGCGGTGCGTCGACGCGCGGGCGAGCTGCCTCGGGCATCATGCGTCGCCGCCGGGGAACCCGCGGCCGAGCTCACACGGCGCCGGGCGCGTGCCGACGAGCTGCTCGGCGGCCCCCACGCGACCGCGACTCGACGACCGCGCGCGGGCGCGGCGTGGCGGCCTCGAGCGGCGACAACCGGCGCGCGGGGCATGTGGGCGATCGAGCTCGCCAGCCGCTGGCTCCGCCCCTAAAGCCTCGCGCGCGGAGCCGGCCCTCGACATTGCGTACTACGTCGAGGTTGTCGTGGTGCTCCGCAATGGGGTCCAGGCCCTCGATCCCGCGGACCCCGACCCCCTCGGGATTCCGGGCGAGGCCTGGACGCAGGTCCGACGGGCTGCGACGAGACGCGGCAGCGACGGCTGCAGCCGGGCAGGGACGTCGCCTCGAGCGGCTTCGACGGCCGCTTCGGCGAGACTCCCCAGCTGTACGCGGAGATCGCGCGAGTCGCTGGCCAGCGTGGGAGCGCGCTCGTGGTGGCGGTGCACCGCGTCAACGTCAAGGGCGTCGGCGCGCGGTTCTGGCCGGGGGTGGTGATGCACCGCGTTGTCGATGCGGATCGTGAGGAGCTGAGAGACGAGATTGAGGCCACGGTGAGCGGCGGTGGAGCCCGCAGTGCCGTCGGCCTGACCGCCGAGGCCAAGGACAACGTCGCGAGGAGAGACGTCGACGGGGAGGTCCGTCCCGTCGACGTCCTGGAGCGGGTCCGCGAACCGAGTCTCGAGTCCCTGCCGCTGCACAGCGCGGCCGGGCCCGTCCCACGCGGCGCCTGTGGGCGATCGCCATCGCCAGCTGCAGGCTCTGCGCATGCGGGTCCACGTTGTATCCGACCTCCACGTCGGCGACCGTCGGGTCCTTGCGCGTGCCAGATGCGCAACCGCGGCCCGCAGGCGCCGCGCGCACCGTTTCCGCACGCCGCTGCTAACCGGACCGCTGCTACCCGGTTTTGAGCGGTCTGCACCACGTCTGCTGTGTGGGAGCCTGCGCTGAAGGTCCCCTGATCCTGTTGTTGGAACTTGTTCTGTTCCTGTCTGCGCAGGCTCGTGTGCTGTGCAGACACACCGGCGCCGAGGCCGCCCCGCGCGCAGCCCACGCAGATGAGGCCGCCCTGTGACGCGTCGTGCATGACATCGTGGAGGCTCCGCCGGTCATCCGCGAGCACGCTCAGGCGCGGCTGCGGCAGTCTCAGCTACGGTCGAGTTCTTATGCGCGCCGTCCCGCTGGGGGGCTCAGTGTCCACGTGGAAGATGGTGCTCTCGCTCTGCAGCGGCGGGAGTAGAGTGAGTGGCGCGGGTGCACAGGGTGGGTGGGCGAGGCGGGGGTGTCAGGCCTGGCAGCCCTGCAGACGTGAACGCGCTGTCGACTGCCAGCCGAGCGTGTAACCGACTCACATGCTCGAGCGGCATCGTCGTGCGCGACCAGATAAACCAGCTCGCCCGGCGCTCACGTGCCGCCACGACACGCGCTGTTAACAACACACCCCCGTGCCAGGTCACTTCTTCCCGCCCCAGCCGCCCCAGCCGAGCATGCCCCCGACCTTGCCCATCAGCCCGCCCTCGTCCTTCTTCGCGCGCCCCTCCAGGTCCGGGTACGTGATCTCCGACAACGTCGTGTCCAGGAACATGGCCCGCACCGGCACCAGCGGCGGCGGCGGGCACGCCGGGTACAGCGCGGGCGGCTCCCCGGGGGCCGCGAAGCCGCGCGAGGCGCCGAGGTTGTGCACCAGGAAGGGCGACTTCCCGTCGCCCAGCGACAGGTCGCCGACGCCGTCCTCAAGGCTCTGTGCTGTGTCCGCCTGCGGAGGGCGGGGGGTGTGAGGGGGGGAGTGTTGCGAAAAGACGGGGAGCGAGGCCCTCGCGTGGGATTGGTCTGCCCGGAGGAGTCGCGTAGTGCGGGCGGGCGTGCGGTGTCGCCGCGCCCCGGCACACCCCCCTCCCCGGGACGACCCTGCCCTCGGTGCAGCAACACCAGGCGGCAAAAGCTCTGGGCTGTACACGAGCCGCGCCTTCAACATCAGCGTACACGCCCGTGGGTTCGAGCACGAGACTGTCTCTGGGGTCCTTTGCTACAACCCTGTGGACACTGTCCCTCACTTTGACCCTCCCGTCGGGGGGGGCTGCACGCTGATATTGAACGCGCGAGTCGCGTACAGCCCACAGCTTTCGCCGCCTGGTGTTGCTGCACCGAGGCGCGGGGCCGTCGCGGGGAGGCCATGGGAGGGGGGCGGTGTTACGAGAGGTGGGGTCGCGTACCTCCGAGGCCGCGAACTCCGCGGCGGCGGCGTCCTTGAAGAGCTCGATGCGCTTCGCGAGCTCCTCGCACTGCGCGAGCGGCGCCTGCGCGCGCTGCGGCTCCAGGTCCCGCAGGCCGCGCACCGCCTCGGCGCGGCGGTCGTCCGCGCGCTGCAGCAGCGCGAAGCACTCGGCGGCGCGGCCGCGCTCGAGGTGCCCCAGCGCGAGCCAGAAGCAGCGGTGCGCGTTCGCGGCGGCCGTGCGCGCGCCTGACTCCTCCAGCAGCTGCTCCCCGACAGCGCCGGCGACGCCAGTGCCAACCTCGCCCATCGCGGCCCACGTCGCCGCGAGCGCCTCGAACGTCTGCGGTGATCCAGGGAGTGTGTTTGCGGGTCGCACGCGCACCACGGCGGCAGCAGCACGAGAGAACGCGAGCAAAGAGCGAAGAGAAGCAACGCGAGAGCCGAATCCTCGACTTGCGATGATTCCGCTGCGTACCTTCGCGAGCCCGTCCGTGCTCGCCGTCGCACCCGTCCCGCCCGACCCGCCCCACCGCCCCGCCACCGCCCGCGTCATCGCCCCGTACGCCCTCTCGACGGCATGTGCTATCCCAGCCTCCGCCCGCACCGCCTGCCACTCCAACGCCTTCCCCGTCAGCGCGTGCGCCAGCGCCTGCATGTCCGCCTGCACCGCGTCGCCCCCCGGCCCCGCCGCGAGCGCGCCGCTCCGTATCTGCGCGCCCACCGCCGCGCGTGCCGCCTGCAGTGCCGCCGTTGCGCGCCCGACTGCTTTTGTCCACCCGTCCGACCCAGGACCGCCCGCCGCGTCGCACTCGCGCTCGAGGGCGGCCGCGTGCGACACGGCCTCGCGCAGGACCGTGTGGACCGGGAAGTCGCGGCCGCGCCACGTGAGGTGCGCTAGCGGCGCGGCGAGGCCGGGGCGCCCCGCGGGGGCGGGGCGGCGGCTGGCGCCGCGGCCGGCGCCGCGCTCGCGAGCGCCTGGAGGTCGGCGTCGATCTCGGACGCGCCGTCGAGCGGGGCGGGCTCCGCGCCGGCGCCGGAGCGCTCCAGTTGGTACGTGCACTGCCGTGCACCCGCCTCGGCGTCGCCCGCGAGCTGCCGGAGCGGCGCGAGGGTGCGCACGTCGGTGGCCTTGCACAGCCCGTCGATGATCTTGCCGGCACGCTGGAAGAACGCGAGGCCCTGCGCCCACGCGGTGCCCGCGGCGAGGCAGCTGCGACCGTACATGAGGGCCCTGTAGGCTTCCGCCTCGACGGCGGTGCGTTTCGTCGCGCGCGCCCGCGCGAGGGCGAGGAGCTCGTCCGTGTGCTTCGCGGCCTTCCGGAGCCTGCGAAATGGCGGGGGCGGGCGCGGGTGGGCAGGAGAAGGTAGCAGACGTCCTTGCCGGAGGCGTGCTGCGGGGTGGCTGCGCAACGCGGCGACCGCGTCCCCGTGGAAGGGATCGAGTCGATCAACGCATCGCGTGGGCCTTGTGCGGCGCAGACGCGTGTTGGAGGGTGGGGGGGCACCGGGTGTAGCGCAGCGGGAGGCGGGCGCGCGTACCGAGACTTGCTGTGTTGCCGCAACTGCGGCACCTCGTCCCCTGTCTTCTCCTCCTCAGCCTTGTAGTGCATGGCCATCGCCCACGCGCGCTCGGCCTGCAGGAGAGGGATCTCGAGCCACCGCGAGTCCACCACCATCCCGGGCTCCACCTGCTTCTTCTGGTAGTTCTTCCGGCCGTGCTTGAACTTCAGGACCACGAACAGACGCCTCAGCCGGCGCGTGCAGTACCGCCTGCGGGAAACAGCCAACACGCGAGGGGTGCGGGGGCCCATGAGGCACCGTGCACCGTCTGCCCGCCCGCCACGCCCGCGGGACACCATCGCGTCTTGGGAGCGGCGGCGACCGGGGGAAGGCCGGCTCGATGCGTACCCGTATCGTGCGAAGTCGTTGTGCTTCAGGCCGTGCTGCATGCCCCCTGTAGCTGCCGTGACCAGCAATTCGAGCTCAACGGGCGGCGGCGGCGCGTCCCCGGCGCCGTCGATATCCATCGCGGCCTCCTCTGCAGTCATCGCGGCTCCGCGGCCCAGACAGACCAGCACCCGGCTCCCGCTCCGGTGCCCGCCAATCCACTGCACCAAGCTCTATGGGCTCTACACGTCAGGTCCGACAGGTTATACCGCTGTTGTGGACCGCGGCGCCATGTTTGTGCAGTGCACGGGCGCCCGGGGCGGTGTTCAGGCGCCCCGGGCGCCGCATCGAGTCGGACTGCGCGGTACAACCTCGACTTGGGAGTCGTACTGAGCTTCGGGGCGTTCCTGCGGTCAGGGCTGCGAACGGGCCCGCGCGGGCTGCGTTCAGCACAGACATTGTGGTCTCAGCGGTGCGATGAGCTGGGCAGCGGGCGTGTCGCCGCAGCACCTGACGCACAACGCGGCGTGCCGTTGCCGCGATGTGCATTCTTCCCGGCGCCGGCGCGTGGAGTCGACGTGCAGACGGCTGATCGCGCGCCAGCGTAGACATCATTCTCAGGGACGCGCCGGGCCGCAAGGGCGCGCGGAACTCCGTGCGGCGGCAAGCGACGCCCCAACTCAACCTGGTGCGTTTCCCCCCCTCTACCACTCACCACATCGCGCGTTCACAGCCGTTTCCTCGCGCATTCTTACGAAAACGCCCGCATTATGCTGCATCTCTTTTGCGCGCAGCTCGAAGAGATGCAGCAGAGTGGCTCGCAGCGGGCCTGACCTCTACGCACAATAACGTCACCGTCCACCTCGCGCTGTCCTCGGCCCCTCTACCCCTGATCATCCCAGCGCCCGACGCGAGCGGCCCTCCGCCACACAGCATCACGCTCGTCTTCCCCGCCGACGTCGACGCTACCATGGACCTGTACATTGATCAAGAGCGTGAAGACCGAGACCCCTACTGGGCGCGCCCGTGGCCGTCCGCGGTCGCGCTGGCCTCCGTGATCCTCCAGCGGCCCGAGCTGGTCGCCGGGAAGCGCGTTCTCGACCTGGGCTGCGGGCTGGGCGTCGCGGGACTGGCGGCGGCACGTGCGGGCGCGAGAGAGGTGGTGCTAGGGGACAGGGAGGAGCTCGCGCTGCAGTGCGCGTTGCTCGGGGCGATGATGTCGGGCGTGGACGGGGCCGTGCAGGACCCGGGGACGGTCGGGCGGGAGGCGGGGGGGTGTGGGGGGGTCGAGAGAATCAGGGCGGAGGTGCTCGACTGGCAAGAGGGGTACTCTGGGGAGGAGTTCGACGTCGTGCTGGCGTGCGACGTGCTGTACGAGGTACGCGGCGGGTTCGGCGCACGGCGCGCCGGTCGTCGAGGCCGACCGTGCGTCTACTCTCGTATTGCGATTCATTGACATTTGCGTTTCCATATCTCTTTGTGTTCGATGTACCTGGGCACGGACGCTCCGTTTCCGTGGCCGCCAGCCGCGTGCTGCGCCAGCAGGGGCTGCTGTAGCACCCATACACGTACTACCTGCACTCAGCAACCAGCTTTCAAGGTCTGCGCATCTTCTGTCCATATCGCGACTCCCTGGCACTTCGTCGTCCTCCGCAGGACTTCTCCGTGGAGCCCGTCGCGCGGCTCGTCCCGCAGCTGCTCGGCCACGGCCGCGGGCTCCTCGTTCTCGCGGACCCCCCCACCCGCACGCCTGACAACCGGCGGCGCTTCCTGGCGCTTCTGCGCGGGGCCGGCGCCGGCATGGTGCTCGAGGAGAGCGCGCTTGAGGACGCAGCGATCGATCCGATGGCTGCGGTGGGGGAGTCCCGCAGCCTCGACTTGTGCAGCATGGCGGGCGCGGAACATCACGGTACGCGCATACAGCTAGCTGTGCTTCGGGGCGTGCCCGACGCCGGGAGCGACACCGTGGGTGTGAAGCTCTGAGCGCGTGTGCGTCGCCGCGCGTCACACCTAGTAGCAGCGGCGATGCAAGCGCCGTCACTCCTATCACGGTTGTTCATTGAACTGAACAACAAACTACTATTATAATATCGTATGTGTGTGTCTTCGAACGGAGGGGTCGAGCGGATCGTGCGAGGCCGAGCTACGCCCTCTCAAGGGTTGAGCTCCTGCCGCGCACGCGCGCTCACCGCGTTGCCGACGATGTCCATGAACGCCGGCTCGCCAACAGTCGAGGTACTATAACTGCTGAGCGGCGCCCCGTCCGTGAACGTCGCCCCGCCGCCCCGCACCGCCCGCCCCGCACCCACACCACTCGGCCCAGCCCCCGCCGCGAAACCCTCATACGGCATCGGCCGCGCGGACGCAGCCGCCGCCGCCGCCACTGCCGCCAGTCGGCCCGGCGACGGCTGTCCGTGCCGCGGGGCGCCGTAGCTCGCCTCGGGCTGCAGCGACCGCGGCGTCGGCGAGCCCTGCGCGACCTCCGGCGTCACGACGCGCCCGCGGTGCAGCGGCAGTTCCGGGCCGTGGTGGCGCTCGCGCACGACGGGCATCGGCACAGGCGCGTCCTCCAGGTGCTTGCGCAGCATGTTCAGGCGCGTCTGCGGATCCTTGAGCTTCGCGGCGCTCTTCAGCGAGTTCTTCTGCTTCATCTGCCGCCGCCTCGCCTTGTAGTAATGCTCGGCAGTCTGCAAGTCCTGGAATCCCCACTCTTGCATGAGCTTTCGCAGCTTGGCCTCGTGAGCCTCGCGCCGCGGATCCCGCGGCGCAGATGCCGCTGCCGCGTGGACCGAGCTCCCGGCTGCGTCGGCGTGCGGGGCGTCCGCGCCGGCAAGTCCCGCAGGCGTGGCGCCGCGCACGTCGCCGGAGGCGTCGACGTTGGACCAGGCCGGCCGCGGCTTCCCGCGCGGCGCGCCGGACCGCGCAGGGGTGTGCCCTGCCGCCGCGTCGAGCGGCGGCGCGGGGGTTGCATCGACAGAGCGCGTTGCTTGCGGTGGCTGCTGCTGCTCCGCACGCGCCGCCGCGGCCGCGGCTGACTCGGGCGTGTGGAAGCCAGCGGACTCGAGGCCCCGGGCGCGGATCCGCGCGAGGAACTCCGCGGCGGACCGGCCCGGCGCGATCCCGGGGACAGACGCCCGCAGCGCACCACCCTCGTTGTCGGCGTCCAGCGACCGGAACGGCGCGGGGTCGGGCGGCGGCGCGGCCGGAGCGGGCGCGGGCGGTAGGATCGGGGCCATCGGCGTGCTCGCGGCCGACGCCGACGGCGCTGGCGGGGCGAACCGCGGCGCCGGCGGCGGGACGGGCTTTCCTGCGCCGCGTGCGAGGAGCCGCGCGCGGATCGACGACGCGCCCGTCGGCACGCGGCGTGGCTCGGGGCTGCTCGTCGCGACCGGCGGCGGCGGCGCCTCGGGCGGCGGCGGCACGCGCCAGGCCGCCCCGGTGGGCGCCGTCGCGCCGGCGGCCGGCCGCGGGCGCGTCTTCGGCGAGATCTCCGCCGCGATCGGCCGCGTGAGATCGAAGTCGAGCCCCAGCTCGAGCGCGAGGTCCGGCGGCGGCGCCAGGAAGTCGTTGCCGATGTCGATGAGCTCCAAGTCATCGTCGCCGTCGCCGCCGTAGCGCGCCCGCTCGCGGGCGGCGCGCAGGCGCTTCCGCACGAGCCACCCGCGCGCGTACGCCTGGATCCGCGTCGCCGCCATCGCTGCGCGCTTCGCCATCGCGCGCGCCCGCCGCTCCGCGTGGGCGGCTTGAAGCTGCGCTTGTTGCTGGCGTTGTGCATCCGCGAGCCCACGCTCCCTCGCGGCGCGCTCGCGCTCGGCGTCGCGCTGCGCCTTCTCCGCTCGCAGCCGCGGCAGCGCAGGGCCCCGGCGCCACGCGACGCCGCGCCACCACGCCTGCAGCACCACCGCGGCCGCAGTCCGGGCCGCTCCCGCCTTCGCGCGCGCTGCCGCGGTCGCGCGGCGGACCGCGAGCGCGCCGCGCCACCACGCCTGAATCGTCGTCGCGGCCGCGGAGAGCGCGGCGGCGCGGCGCTTGCGGTACGCGTTCGAGGGAACGAACACCGCGCGGTGGGCCGTCAGATCCACGGTCGACAACTGCCGGTGGTGCGTGCGGAGGTGCGGTGCGAGCGCGGCGGGGCGCAGCGCGCCGCGGACCTCGGGCTCGACCGCGGCGAGGCGGTCCGCCTGCGCGCGGACCATTCCCGCGACGGCAGCGGCGTCCCACGCGTCGCTGGCAGCGACGTGGTCGGTGGGGGGGTTGAGCTGCCCCGCGGCGCACGCGAGCGCGAGCGCGCCCGCGGCGGGGTCCGCGGCGTGCGCGTCGAACCACGCCCGCGGGGCGCGGCCCTGCCGCGCGAGGTGGCGCTGTACCGCGAGCGCAACGCCGCCGCCGGACAGCGCATCCGCCAGCCCCCCCGGGGCGCGCGCGGGCTCGTGGTCGAGCTCGCGGAGCCACGGTAGCGCCGCGAGCATCCTCTCGCGGTACCCCGGGAGCGCCGCGACCGGGTTGTCGTTCAGCTGCAGCGCGGAAAGCGTTCCGGCATGCGCCAGACACGCAGCGATCTGTTCGGCGTCCGCGAGGCCGTTGAACGACAGGATGAGCGTGCGGAGGGATGGGAGGCCGCGGAGCGGCGCGACGCTGACGATATCGTTGTCGTCGAGGCGCAGGTCGGCCAGGTGCGGTAGGAAGGGCAGCGGTGGTACGCAGCTGATGCAGTTGCCGGACAGGGCGAGTTCTTTGAGGAGGGGGCTCCGGAGAGGCGGGAACGCGTCGAGGCGGTTCCGGGACGCCACGAGGACCTGCGGGCGGGGGGCGGGGCGGGCCGTCTTATGGCATGAATCCACCACGGCATCGGCAGTCGAGAATTCGAGTCTAGTGGCACGCGCTTTGACCACGTGGGTGGGCGGCGGGGCGGACCTGCAGGATCGGGAAGGCCTCGATGCCCTCGAGACTCATGAGCTCGTTCCGCGAGACGTCCAAATGCACCAGCGCGGTGCACGCCGTCAGCCCGTGCAGCGACTTCAGTCGGTTTCGCGACACGTCCAACTTTGACAACTCCAGACATGCAGACAGGTCCAGCGACGCGATGCCGCAGTTCGACAGCGCGAGGCTGCGCAGCGACGACAGCTGCGCCACGTCCGGTCCCTGCGGCCCGAGCGGGTTCCCGGACGCCGACAGGACTCGGAGGCACGTCATCTGGCGCACGTCGGCAAGAGATGTGAGCCCGCAGCGGTCCGCGGCGAGCTCCCGGAGCTTCGTGAGCGCCGCGACGCCGTTGAGGGAGCCGAGCGGGTTGCCGCTGACGTCCAGGCTCGCGGCGTCCGGGCAGCACCGGCCCAGGAGAGAGACGCCCCCGAGCGACGTGAGGCCGCAGTCGGGTACCGCAAGCTTCCCGCGCGAGACCGCGCGGCGGACCGCCGCCTCCGTGAGCGGCACGGGCAGCCCGTCCGGCGCCGCGGGCGGCGCCGCCGCGGGCGACGACGAGTCCATGTGCGCGTGGCTTGGCAGCGGGCGCGGCGCCGGCGGCGCCAGGGCAAGGAACTCGGAGCGCGCGAGCGTGAGCGCAGCGGCGCCGCTCGCCGGCGGCCAGCACACGCGCATCGCCGAGGACCAGCTCGGGGCGCCCGCCGCGTGCGCCGACGTCGCCTCGAACACCTCCAGGGCCCTCGCCTGAGTCAAGAGGGGGTCTGTTGCGACCTCGACCGCGCGCGGCGGACGGGCGGCGTCCTCGAAGCGCCCCCCGCGCGCCAGGTCCGACCACGGGTCCACCTCCGGCGCCGCCGCGACGGGCAGCGCGCCCGCGGCCTGCACCGCCGCTGCCCGCTGGTGCTCTCGCACCGCCTCGCCAGCAGCCACAACCACCGCCGCGGCGCCGCCACGCCACGCGCGGTCCATCGCGGCCGCGACCGCGTCGGTCTCGACCGCGCCCGGGTCTCCGCCGCCGTCCGCCGCGCTCCGGAGCGCCGCACACGCCGCCGCGACCACGTCCAGCACCGCACGAACGCCGGCGCGCCGGCGCGCCTGCACGCCCGCCCACTCCGCCCGCGCCGCGTCCTCGAGCCCGAGCGGCAGCGCGAGCGCCGCCTGCGCGCGGAACGCCGCGAGATCGTCCCTCTGCGCCGCGTCCCCCATCTCGGCACGCACTCGCTGCATGCGCCGCGTAAATGTGCTCCACGCCGCGTCGATCCGCCCCCGCGGCACCCCCGCGCCCTGCGCGATCCGCGCCTTGGCCTCCACGTCCGCCCGCGCGCCCTTCTCGGCCGCGGCCGCCAGCGCCGCCGCCGCCCTGTTCACGGCGTCGCGGATCGCAGATTCGGCTTTTGCGGCATCGGATTCTAGGCCAATCGCGCGCGCACGCATCGAGGCGGTCCGCAGCGCGCGCGCGTCGCCGGCGTCCGCGGCCGCGGCGAGCTCGCTCTGCGCCGCGCGCCGCCGCACGGCCACGTGCGCCTGCGCCGCGGACACCACTTTCTCCAACCCCAACATACTGGCCTGACTCAGCGCGCGCTGGTACGCCCGCTGGTCGAACTCCGCGGCCTCCGCGGCGGCCTTGAGCGCGGCGACCGCCGCGCGGTCGCGCTCGACCATCGCCTTCTCCGCGCGGAGGATGTCGTCGGACGCAACGCCGAGTGCGCGTGCGGCGGCGGCGGCCTCGCGCACGGCGGCCTTCGGCGCGGCCGCCGCGGCGGACCGCAGGCGCTCGAGCGCGGCGGCGGCGCGCTCCGCGATCGCGGACTCGCACCGCGCGATCGCGCCGTCGACGCCCGTCGCGGACGGCGCACCCTGACTCGTGCGAACACCCCCCTCCTCCTCCGGCTGCGCGCCGGCCGCGAGCCGCCGCGCCGCGTCCGCCGCCGCCGTGAACTCCGCGAGCGTCCCGCTCTCCGCGAGGCCCCGCAGGTCGAGCAAACTGCGCCGCACCGACCCGTCCAGACGTCGCCACGCGGCAGCAACCGCGTCCGCCGTGTCGGCCTCGACGCCCAGCTCCGCCGCGAGCCGCTCCGCGCGGCGCAGCCGCACGCCGTCGCACGCCGCGCTCGCCTCCCGCGCCATCTCGCGCACGTGCGCCGCCGCGCGGTGCTTCTCCATGCCGCGTTGCACGAGCCACCGCCGCGCGTGCGCTTGCACCGTCACGGCCGCGGCGGCGCGGGCGGCCGCGGCGGCCCGCGCGGCGAGGAACGCGCGCCAGCCCCGCGCGATGCGCCGGGCCGCGGAGCCGCGCCTGGCCGCTGCTGCGAGGCTCGCCAGGCGCCCGCGCTCGAGCTGTGCGGCCTCGCGGCGCGCCGCGACGGCCTCGGCCTCCGCGGCCGCCCACTCGGCCTCCTGCTCGGCGCGCAGCCCGCGCGGCCTCGGCGGCGCGCCGGTCCTCCGCGCGCGCCGACGCCTCCTGCGCAGCCCGCTCGGCCTCCCGCGCCGCGCGCTGCTGCGCCTCGAGCTCCGCCTCCTTCTCTGCGGAGAGGGAGTTGCGTCGATAAAGAACAAGGGGTCGGGATCATCGCCGGACGCGCGGGCATGCTAGGCCGCGCATGTGAGGTGCGCAAGAGAATTGTTGTTGTGATTCGATTTCGAGTGGTGTTTGTTGCGGGCGTGCCTTTCCGCCGGGCCTCCGCGGCCTCCTCCGCGCGCCGCTGCTCCTCGCGGAACTCCTCGTACAGCCGCGCCTGCTCCGCGCGCTTCAAGCGCGCCTGCCGCTCCGCCTCGCGCCGCCGCGCCTCCGCCTCTGCCGCCCGCTGCTGCGACTCCAGCTCCAGCCGCAGCGCCTCCTCCTCGCGCCGCTGCCGCTCCTCCTCGTCCCCCGCGGCCTCCGGCCCCGCCGCCACGTCAGCGCCGCTCGCCTCAACCCCCCGCTCACTCCCCCCCGCGCCCGACGCGACGCGCGGCGCGCTCGCCCCGCCGCCGCTGCCCAGCCGCGGCGCGGCCCAGGCCTCGACTTCCCGCGCATCCGCTTCGGCGGCATCCGCGTCGGACCCCGGCGCAGACACCCCCTCAGGCGGCACATCCGCACGCAGCCCCGACGGCGCGGCCGCCGGCTCCGCGCCCGACACCGCGGCGCCGCCCCACCCGTCGTTCTCCAGAGCCTCCCGGATCTGCCCCATGAGCTCCGGGCCGAGCCTCCGCGCCCCAGCGCCGCCCACGTCGCTCCCGGAGTCGCTGTCGCCGTCCCGCCCGCGCCCCGCGAGCCGCATCAGCGCCTCCTCGCCGTGGTCCGCCTCGTCGAGCTCCTCGAGCAGCCGCCGCGCGTCTGCCATGTCCGGCACCTCAGGAAAGGCAAACACGCCCTCCGCGGCGCCCACCGCGTCGCCGTTCTGCCGGGTCGCGCCCTCGCGCGAGTCCGACCGGGCCGACGGCGCGGCGTCGACATCGGGCCGGTTCGCGCGGTGGTCGGCCAGGGACTGCGAGGCGACGACGAGGGACGCGCCCAGCTGCTGTACGGACTGGCCCACCTCGTCGCACAGGCGGTCCTGGGCCGCGAGGCGCTGCTTGAGGGCCACGAAGGACTGCATGCGCCCGAAGTCGTCGAAGGAGTCGTCCTCCGCGCCGCCGCCGCCCGCGTCGGAGTCCGAGTCCGCCAGGAGCTCCGCGAGTCGCGCCTGCAAGCTCTTGTGGCAGTGTCGGAACTGTGTGGGCCGTGCGTGGCCGGGCGACCCCGGACGAGCCCGCGCGTGGGCCCGGAGCGAGGGGGCGGGTGTGGCTGTGGCTGGCGATGGCGAGCTGGCGTGGAACGGCCACGGAGACGGTGTCTCGCGGGCGAAAGAGGTGCGGCAGAAGGCGATGTGGTTTTGGCGGGCGTGAGCGGCCTGGCGGGCATGGAACCGGTAGCTCGATCGGATGTGGTGCGTGTGATGGCCGTGGGCGACGAACCTCGATGTCGTGGTGTCCGTTCGCGCCCGGAGCGCCCGGCAAAGGCGACGCATACCCGGGAGCGGGCGTCGCTGCCTCGTGCCGGGGCGTGCCGAGCGCGTCCAGCTCCCGGAGGAGCTCGGCCTCGATGTCGGTGTCCATCTCCGCCGCCGCGCGCACCCTCTACTGCCCGCGGGCGATGCTTGCTACGCGCATAGTGTGCCTGCTGCACCTCTGCTGCCCATTCCCGCCTCCAACAAGGCGCCTAGAAGGCCCTCGCGCGCCCTGAGGGCTGCTTAGTAGCTATGCAAAGCGCACGGCTGGAGGAAGAGGGTGTCAGACGCGCCCGCCTCCCGTTGTGACCGCTCGTGCAGTTCGCTTGCGCTGCGCTCTCAGCAGGCGCCGTAGACCGCAGCAGGCGTTCGTCTTCGACCTGTTCGTCGCCGTGCGAACGCAACATGCGCCGCGCTCGCCTGCCAGCGCCCCCTCGGCGCCCCGGAAGGCTCCCACGAGCGGGGGAGTGAACGCGGCCCCTTGACACTGAGTCGGTCCGTCACATCCGCTCGCAGTCGAGGAATCTCGACTCCCGCCCCCACCGCCAGCCAACCCACGACACTCACCAACCGCACCCGCCGCGCACGGCCACAGGAACGCACGCACGCACCGCCCACATCGTCGCCGCATCGTCCCATCAACAGCTACACACGCACGCCTGCGTCGTAAACACACGCAGCGTGGCTGTTGATGTTGATGTTGTCATGTGGGGTGCGTTGTCTGACGGCCACGCAGCTCGGCGCGGGGCAGCCTCGCGGCCGTGTGCGTCTCACCTGGAGCCGCCCGCGTCGCTCGCGTCCGCCGCGTCGGCCGGTCCCGCGACGCCGTGGCCAGGAAGCCCGACTACGCGTAGGTTGCTGGCCGGGCACTGGCGCACAGCGGGACCCCGCCAGGAACCTCACGCGAGTCGGCCTACCTGGCCAGGGCGTCGCGGTACCGGCCGATGCGTGCGCCGCGGTGGACGGGGGCGGACCCAGGTGAGGACACCATCACGGGCACGTAACTCGGTACGACGAGTTGCGTGCCCGTGATCATTGGTAGATAAGACAGGACAGCCGAAACGACCGAAGCAGCGGGGACCCGGCCGGCAGGTTGCGCGGCTGCGTCGACCCGCCTCCGGTGACGCACCGCGTCGACGAACTCCAGCCACCGTGCGCGCGCGAGACCCCTCCTTGCAGCTGCGCATCCACTGTCGCCTTTGGCTTGCTGGCGCCGAACGACGCACGAGCCAATGGCGACAGTCTCATGCGGCAGTTGCAGGAGGATGATTCGGACGCGCGTGGTGGCCGGAGGCCGCCGACACGACATCGTCGAAGTAGGCGCGACGGGTCGGTCGCCGCCCGCGACGTTGTTGCCCGCGTCGAGGTCGCTGGCTAGGACCTGACGCAGCGCAAGGAGCCGGCCCGCGGGTCGTGCGCCCGCGTCGACGCGCTCGACCCTGCTCCGGCGGCGTCGCGTCCTCCAGAGACTGCTACACCAGCCGCGCGCAGCTCTCCTCCTCCCGGCGGCCCTTCCTGTCGCCCTCGACTTGTTCGCGCCGGCAGACGAACGAGCCAAATGCGACGAGAAGCAGCGCTTGGAGGAGAAGACGATGCGCGCGACTGGTGGCAGGTCACTGGGAACGCGACGGCGTCGAAACAGGGTCGAGCGCGACGTAAGCGGATGCACGACCTGCGGGCCGGGTGCCCGCGGCGCGTGGGTGCGGACAGCCAGCCGGCGCGCGACCTGCATGGCCGCAACGACGTTCGCATTAAGGCCGTCGGTCAACCATCGCTGCTGGCACGAGGCGCACGTAGTGGTCCGAACTCTGCGTGACCCACCTTCCGGCCTTCCATGAGTTCGGAGTTCAACGACCCACGAGGTGGCTGAGGAGGACCGAGACCTCGAGACCCGCGGCGGGTCGCGCGCAGAATCTCAACCGCTACCTGCACCCAGCATAGGAGTTTCCGAAGGTCGCGCAAACGAGTGGACGACCCGCAGGCCGGCACGACCCAGAGGGTGATAATGATACGTGTGTCATGAGCGTCGGAGAGGCGGCAGGGAGAAGGGACTGACGCATCGGAACGATCATTATGGTCGGGGAAGCTTCGAGGCCTGCCCACGACGCGCGAGGGCACGGCGCAGGCGCAGCAACGCCGCGGACGGAATTGAGAAAAATAATGCTGTGAGTTCAGGGGCCCCGCGGTGCCGGCCGCCCCGCGGGTGCGCGGGCACACGTCCGAAGCACCATGGGAGGAAACACGGCCCGCGCGACGAGCTGCGTGGCGTTGGAGCGCCGCAGGAACACCTTTAAACGGAAGCAGCGCACAACAGAGACGCCGTCACGCGGCCCCTGAGCAGCCCGACCGGCTCAGCAGCAGTCGCGCGGTGCAGGACAAGGTGTCGTCCACAGGCACTGTCCGTGGACGCCGAGTGTCCCGACCAGCGGCTCACTGTGTCGCATCCACAGGCGCCACCTGACGGGATCGATCTAGGAGCGGCGGCGGGTGTCGATTCACGCGCCACCGGCCCCAGATCGGACCCCCCAAGGAAGCTCCTGCGAGTGCGACACAGAGGGCGCATGCGCCGGCCCCTTGAGCTGCAACCAGCGAGTGCTGCTGAGCCAGTCAAGCTGACCATGGTACTGAGGAAAGCACCGCTGTTGCACTGCAGTCTCAGAAACACGAACGGGGCTATCTGTGGGCGCAACGGAGGCCGGTGCTCGCAGCACCTCGCGGCCAGTAGTCTACTGCGGAGCCGCGACGCGCGGGCCGCGCAACGAGTCCACACGCCGACAGCAGCGGCGGAATGACTCCCCCCCCCAAGACAGACTAGGTCGGTCTGACTGGCCGCCGAACCCTGAGTCAGGTTGAGCTGCCGGGGCAGCGGGCTTGTTCGGCGTGCGATCTGCTTTCCACTGGCAGTGTTTGGTGCCCGGCCTTGGAAGAAGGCGGGCAAGGACTGTCGTTGACACTCCAACGTTCAATCAATCGCGCGCCGTGCGTGCCGCCTGCTGGGTGTCCGCGCGCGACTCGCGGCCCATCCCTGAGGCGATAGGAGAGCGACCTGGGCGTCGCATCGAGGAGGTCGCTGCTGCGGCGTGGCGTCGCTACGCACGCACGGAGCACCAACCGTCTTCGCCGGCCCTCGCCCCGCACACCGGCGCGTGGGGCCGCTGAGAACGCACACCGCGCGCGGCGCTCACTGCAACCATGGGTGAGCGCGCCCTGAGCACCTTCCGCGGCGACACCATCGCTCGCCCGCGCGGCCAGCTTGCTGGCTCCTACAAGCTGGACCTGCCGCGCGCCATTTCCGGCTTCCAGCCCCAAACACCGACCCCCGCCTGCTCCTTAACCATGTCTCATCGCGTTCTTCGCGCGTGGCGAGAGGCGCGCGGCCGCTCCAGGCGGCAGAGAGCACGCCGGGGGTCAACGGGGGGGCCGCCTTCCCGCGCAGGCGTGCCCAGCCCCGCAGGGGCCGTGCTGATCACCCGGCTCGTCGCCTGAGCACCCGTCCGTGTGCGCCAGCGCAGTTTCTGCGATGCCCGGGCACGCAGCTGTCGCCACGGCCGCCGATGGGGCCGACAGCCACACGGGCCGCCTCGGTTGATAGGCGCGACGACGGGCTGCGCGAGCCGCCGTGCTGGCGCGTTCAGTCCGCGTGCATGCGATCCCGGCGTCGCGCGCCGCGCCCGAGCGCCGCGTGCCCCGCCCGCTGCGCGCAGGGATCCCCAAATTTTACCGGTGGCTCTCCGAGCGCTACCCGCTCGTGAACCAGCCGGTCAAGGTGGCGGGCTGTCCAGAGATGGACAACTTCTACCTCGACATGAACGGCATCATCCACACCACCTCCCACGGCAACGATCCCTCGAAACCTGTGTCTGAGGAAGTGGTGAGCCCCGCGACCTCGGAATGAATCGAACCGCCCAAACAACGTGTCCCGCGCCCGCCTGAGTACCTGACCGTGCGAGCCTCGGCGTTCCACAGCGGCGAGGGCGTCGCCGCGATGCGCAACGAGCGACAACAAACTGCGCCTTTGCCCCTCTCCGCCCGCCGCGCAGATGATCCCGCGCATGTTCCAGTACCTCGACCACCTCTTCGCGATGGTCCGCCCCCAGAAGCTCATGTTCATGGCCATCGACGGCGTCGCGCCGCGGGCGAAAATGAACCAGCAGCGCTCGCGGCGGTTCAAGTCTGCCAAGGAGCGCCTCGAGGCCAAGCAGGCCGCGGAGGCCAAGGGCGAGAAAGTCAGCGACTTCGACTCCAACTGCATCACGCCGGGCACCGAGTTCATGGCCCGCCTCGTCGACCACCTCCGTTTTTACATCCGCAAGAAGATCGCCGAGGACCCCGCGTGGCGAGTGCCGAAGTGCGTCCCGCCGCGCCCGCGCCGCCGCCCCGCAAACGCCCGCGCCGACGGCCGGGGAGCGGTCCTCGGGCCTTTGCCTTGCTGGCGTGGAAGCAACAGCGCTGGCGCTGAGAGTGTGCGCTTGCTTGTTGGCCGTGCGTGTGCAGGATCGTGCTGTCCGGGCCGGACGTTCCGGGCGAGGGCGAGCACAAGATCATGGAGTACATTCGCACGCAGCGGCGGCTCCCGTCCTGGGACCCCAACCAGCGCCACTGTCTGTACGGGCTCGACGCCGACCTGATCATGCTGTCTCTGGTCACGCACGAGCCGCACTTCTGCCTCCTGCGCGAGGTCGTGCAGTACTCGCGCGGGGGACGCGGCCAGCCCGCCCGCGAGGTCATCACAGACCCCAACGGTACGCCGCCACCCGACAACAACAACAATAACAATAACAATAACACCACCCCCCCAGCCTTGCTTGATGAAATGCCCCGCAGACAACACGCAGTGCTGCGCCTCGTCTGGCCACGCGCGCCCCGCGCCTTGACTCACCGTGTCGCCGCGAGACCTGGTTCCTCGACTGCTCGCAGAGAACCACTTCGTGGTCTTCCAGCTGAGCGTCCTGCGCGACTACCTCGACCTCGAGTTCCGCCCCGCCTCCCCCGACGCCCTCCCGTTCCCCTACGACATGGAACGCATCATCGACGACTTTGTGCTCTTCTGCATGTTGGTGGGCAACGACTTCCTCCCGCCGCTCCCCACGCTCGACATCGCGGAGGGCGGCCTCGACACGATCATCCGCATCTACAAGGAGCGCCTCCCCATCATGGGCGGGTACCTCACGGAGCGAGGAAAGCTCTCGCGCCCGCGTCTAGAGGCGCTCCTGGCCGAGTTCGGAACGCTGGAGCAGCAGATCCTCGAGGAGCGCGCGGCGGACGCGGAGTCGTTCGCGGCGCGGCAGCAGAAGAAGCGCCGCGGCGGGGGCGGCGCGGGCAACGCGGCGGTACAGCGGGGGAAGCAGGTGCTGCCGCAGGGCGTGCCGACGGGCGCGCCGGCGGCGCCGGGCGCGCTGCCGCAGCGCGCGGCGGGTGTGCCGCTGTCGGACCGGTTCGGCGCGCTGGCGGTCGACGACGACGACAACGCGCCGTCGGAGGCGCTGGCGGCGGCGGGGCGCGAACACTCGGGCGCGTCGGGCAGCAGCGCGGCCTTCTCGCAGGCGATCGCGGACGCGGAGACGGACATCCCGCTCGAGCCGCTCGAACCCGTCGAGGTGCGCGCAGCGCCGCTGCTCCTGCGCGGCCGCTGCGCTCATTTACAGTCCCCCCCCTCCGATGCAAACCTCTCACCAGCCACGCACCGCCCGGCCCTCCGTCCGCCGCACAAACCCGCACCTCGTCCTCGATGATCTTACTACAGGAGGACGACGACGACGACGACGACGACGACGAGGTTGCGGACCACATGCAGGGCCCGACGATGATGGCCGGGGAGGCGCGCGCGCTGTTCCTGGCCGGCCGCGCCGACGAGGCGCTCGCGCGCTGGAAGGACCGCTTCTACCGCGACAAGCTCGGCCTGCCGGACTCGGGCCCCTCGGCGCGGCGCGTCGTCCAGTCCTACATCGAGGGTCTCCACTGGGTACTGGAATACTACTACCGCGGCGTGGCGTCCTGGGACTGGTTCTACCCGTTCCACTACGCGCCCTGCGCGTCCGACATGAAGCAGCTCGCCGACTGCCACGTGCGCTTCAGCCAGGGCGAGCCTTTCCTCCCGTTCCAGCAGCTCCTGGCCGTGCTGCCGCCGAGCTCCGCCGGGCTCCTCCCGGACGCCTACCGCGCGCTCATGTGCAGCCCGGCGTCGCCGCTGCGGGAGTTCTACCCCGAGGACTTCGCGGTCGACTACGAGGGCAAGCGCGCCGACTACGAAGGCGTCATCCTCGTGGCGTTCATCGATCAGGAGAAGCTGCTGCGGGAGGAGGCGAAACACGTCAAGCCCGGCATGCTCCAGGAGCACGAGCGGGCGCGCAACCGCGAGGGCGTGATCTTCGTGTTCGAGCACCAGGAGGGGTCCACGGAGACCACGTACCTCGAGTCGACGCTGCCGCGGTCGTACGGGTCGCTGCCGCGGTGCAACTCGGTCGTCGCGACGGTGCCGCGGCCGCCGCCGCTCGCGCCGGGCGAGGCCGGCTTCGGCGCGCTGTGTCCGGGCGTGCGGATGCGGCGCAACGCGCCGGCGGGCTTCCCGACGCTGCACACGCTGACGTTCGGCTGGGAGCGCCGGCTGGGCGTGTGCAACGTCTTCGGGATGAACAGCAAGAAGGAGTCGATGGTGCTGTGCCTGAAGCCGCTCTCCGCGACGCTCGGGACCGCCGACGTGTCCTCCGCGGTGCGCGCGCTCGCGGCGTCGCCGGCGTTCGCCACGATGCGCGTCTTCGTGCGGTACCCGTACCTCCAGGAGGCGCAGGTCGTGGCGATCTCGGACGGCATGCACCGCTACAACGCCGACGGCACCTCCTCCGGCATCGACGGCCTCGAGCGCAAGGACTGGCAGGAGGGGGCCTCTGAGCTGGCCCGGAAGGCGCTGACCGCGCAGGGCGTCGACACGGGCGTCGTGGACTGCCTGCTGCACGTGCGGTGCTGCGAGGGCCTCGTCCGCAACCTCGACGGCACGATCGAGAAGCGCTTCGCGCGGGAGGAGACGGCGGTGCCGTTGCAGCTTGTGGTGCGGCAGACGCAGCAGCAGGCGGACCCGATGCCGCTGGCGCGCGCCGCGAAGATGCTGCGGTTCGCGCCGAACACGCCCGTGCTGTTCCTCGGGCGGGCGCACTACGGCGCCGTGGCGGTGGTGCTGGGCGCGAGCTCGGCGACGGCGGCCGCGCTCCGGGAGGGCAAGAGCGTGGCCCCGGGGGACATGCGGTACCGCGTGCGCGTGTTCACGCCCGCGACGACGTCCGCGCAGATCGCGAAGAGCGCGCGGTCGCTGCTGACGGGCGTGCGCCCGCAGACGCTCCCCGCGCACCAGGTCGCGCGCAAGGTCGGCCTGTCGGCGCGCGCGTTCGGGTCCGTGACGAGCTCGATCTGGGTGCGCACGGGCGACGGCCGCAACGACTCCGTCGACATCGGCCTCTGCGTCAAGCAAGGCAAATCCAACATGGTGGTGCCGGACTTCTGCCTTCCGGACCCCGCCGGCCGCGCAGGCTACGTATACACGCACGCGCTCCTCCGCGCGCTGCAGCAGTACAAGAACACGTACCCCGGCGTGTTCGACGCCATCGAGACGTGGTGCAACTCGTCTGACCCGGCGCCGGGGGGCAAGCGCGCCAACCTCCAGGCACGGGACCTCTTCCCGGCAGCGGCCGACGCGGCGGCGGAGGTGCACAGGCTGCACAAGTTCCTCGCGGGGCTCGAGACCGGGAAGCGGCCGATGGTGCGCGAGGACGCGGCCGTGGCGTTCGCGGACGCCATCCGGCAATTCCAGCTGTCGCTGCCGCAGGGCGCGGCGGCGGCGGGCGGCGTGGTCGAGATGGACGAGGTGATGCCGGCGCTGCTGCTGCCGCCGGTGGACCCGGCGAGCAAGCTCCTGACGTCGCTCACGGGGGGGGAGTTTTGCGTCGGGGACCGCGTGGTCGCGGTGGGGTCCACGGGAACTCCCCCCTTCGGCCGGCGGGGCACCGTCGTCGGCGCGTTCGAGACGTACTGCGAGGTCGTGTTCGACGCGCCGTTCCAGGGCGGCAGCAACCTGTTTGGCCGCTGCACGGCCGACACGGGCGCGCTGGTGGGCACGCAGCTGCTGCTGAGCACCAGCCGCCCGCGGGCCGTGCCGGTGCCGCGCCACGCCATGCCGAAGATCGTGCGCGCCGCGGCCGAGGCCGGGCAGGCCGGGATCGTCCCCGTCGACGTCCCTGCGCCCACGCAGACCCAGAAATCGAGCGGAGAGAAGATTTCGCAGAAGGTCAAGGACATTCACGCCGCCATCGACATGATGATGGCGAAGACGGGCGGGGCCGGCGCGCAGGCGCCGCGGTCGCCTGCGCAGCGCCAGGGCCCGGCGGTCGTCCCCGTCGGGGTCTCGAGACCCCCCCCGCCGACTCCCCCTCGGAGCACAACTTCGGCGCGCCGCGGCCGCCGAAGACGTTCCCGCCGATCCGCGCACGGCGGCGCCGCGCCGCACAACCACAGCGTGTCCGGGACCGCCGCGATCCGCGCGCTGCTCGGCATCGGCGGGGCCGGCGCAGCCGCGAACGCTCCCGCACCCGCGCCGCCGCCGCCACCGCCCGCGCCCCGCCCGCCGGGCCGCCCCCGGGCGCGCCGCCGCCGCCCGCCGGACCGCCAATGGGAGTGCCGCCCCCGCCCGCCGGACCGCACCCCATGGAGCTCCAGGCGGCGCACGCACGCGCTGCCGCCGAGGCGGCGATCCGGGGCGCGATCGGCCTGCATCCACGCAACGCGCCGCCTCCGCCGCAACAGCAGCCGCCGCGGCCCCCGCCCGCGGTCGTGCCCGTCGCGCCGCCGCCGCCGCAACAGCAGCCGCCGCGGCCCCCGCCCGCGGTCGGCCCGTCGCGCCGCCGCCGCCGCAACAGCAGCCGCCGCGGCCCCCGCCCGCGGCGTGTCCGTCGCGCCGCCGCCGCAGCCAGCGCCGAGCAGCGGCGCTCCTGCCGTTGCGTCGGTGGCGGTGCCGTCTGGGCGTGGCGGGCGCGCGCCCGGGCGCACGCCCGCGCTGCCGGGGTCCGGCCGCGGGTTCGCGATCGGTCGCGAAAGCCAGCGCGGGGGCGCCGGAGCGCGCAGTGCCGGGGAACCCGCAGCCGCACGCGCCGCCGCCGCCGCCGGGCGCGCACCTCCTGGCGATGCTCGGGCGCGACGCGCAGCAGCCCGCGCCGCCGCCGGCGTGGGGCGGGGCGTCGATCGGCGCGATGGAGGCGGCGCAGGCCGCGACGGCGCGCGCCCGCGCGACGAATCCTGAATTCGTTGCTGCGCGAGAGATGGCGGCGGCGGAGGCGGACATGGAGGCGTCGGTGGCGGCGCCGGGGCCTGGCGCGACGGGGCGCGCGGTGGGGTCGCTGGACGCGATGTACGCGAGCATACAGCAGCAGCAGGAGGCGCAGGCGCGGGCGCGGGCGCAGGCGCAGCGCGCGCAGCAGGCCGAGGTGACGGAGAAGAGTTTCTGGGAGATGATGACGGCGGCGGGCGGGCCGAAGAAGTGAAGGCGATCGTCGCGCGTGTGAGGACCAGTCAGAGCGGACGTGCCAAACTAGAGTCGACACATCGAGGTCAAAAATTGACTTCAACACGTAATCTGCGTTGTTGCCGCACGCACAGACAAGCACGTGCGGGCAGCTCCGTCCTCCACGGAGCTGCGATCCCACGCAGCAATCGATGCCTCACAGCGAGCACGGGCGCGCCGCCCGACCTCTCATTCCTTGTCGAACGCGCTCCGCAGCTCCATGATGTTGTCCAGCGGCGCCAATCGGATTTCCCCGAACTCCACCGTTTCCGTCCCGGCTATCTTCTGGCCGATCGGATTCAAGGCCGTAGTCGGCACGGGCGCCGGCTCCTGCTGGCCGCGCCGCGCGCGCCGGTTCATCGGCTGCACGCGCGTGCGCGCCTTGGCGTTCTCGGCGGCCTGCTGCGCCGCCTGCTGCGCCGCCTGCGCGGCGCGCTGCGCCGTCGTGGCCGCGCCCGCCACCGTCTGCGCTTTCTTGTTCTCCTTGAAGGCGAACACCTCCGTCGCGGGAATGCCCTTGGGCTTGTCGATGCCGATGTCGCTCTGGCTCCTGCGGGGCGGGCACGGCACGGCACGCAGTGGCAGTGAGACAGCGCAGCGCACCAATGGCACCGAGGCAGGGGGGCCTGCCAGCCGGGGAGCGCGAGCAGGCTGCGTGGATGCGCAGGACGTCCGTGGCGGGCTGCCTGGGCGGTGCGCGGGGGCTTGGACCAACGGCGCGTGGCGCAGGCGCGGCGCAGGCGGGAAAACGGAAAACGCGGCGCGGGGGCGGACCTGAGGGCGGGGTCGTCGTCCTCGACCACTTCGGGGAGCTTCTTCGTGGTGAGGATCTCGTAGAGGTGCTCCATGAGGAGGTTCGCGGCGCCAAACTCGCGGTTGATGGTCGCGTCTACCAGGCCGTCCGGCAGTGGCGTCCCTCTGCGCGCGAAGAACTTCTGCAGCTGCCCCCAGTTGTTGTCCTTCGTCGGCCCCGACAGCCCGTTGCTAAAAGACGCGATCTTCAGGTCCTGCACGCGACGGTGGGCGGGGGCGAAGGGTGGGGCATCTGGGACGCGAAAGCGCGCAGATACGGCGGTTTCGGGACGTTCTGCCGCGGTCGCGCGCTTCCTACTGCTCTCAGCAAGACGCACTGCGCCCGTTTGAAGCGGGCCGCGCCAAGACACCCCCCCAGGCGCCCATCACCCATTTCCGGCATGCCTCGCGGCGCAGCGCCAGCGCAGCCCCGAACCGCGGCCACTCGCGACCGTGCCGCAACGCCCGAGGTATTCCCCCGCGTCTGGCGAGCCGGGGAGCGCTGGGAACGCACCAGCGGGAAGTAACGAGTGCATATTTCCGCCACCAGGAACCCGTTGGCCAGGTCCCGGCGCGGATCCCTGACTGAGTGCGTGAGATCGAGCCCCTGGATCCACTTCAGCACTTCGCGCCTCAGCGCCTTGGGCTTCGGCGTCCCCGTGTACCCGAACAGATCATCTACGGGCAGCGACATGCTGGCCGCCAACAGCGTGCGCCTGCCAGGCCGAGATGGCGGTCCACGTCCCGGACGGGGGCGCGATCTGCAGCCCTAGAGCGCTGGGCGCTTCCCGTTCAGGGGTCCTAGGCGCCCTGCTCGCGCGGTGACCGTGTACACCCGCGACAGAGCGGTGAGCACTTCAGCGGCGCGGCGGGGCCTCGGGCGCGACAGAGCGCGGCGCCGCGTCAAGCCAGCGACCAAACAGGGTACGTTGCGCCGAGTGCGCCGCCTTGGGTAGTCAGCGCGACGGCGCGCAAAGCGGCAGCGCCCAGGACAGCTAGAGTGCACTCACGCAGCAACGCTGCCTGCTTGATGCGCTGCAGCACTTTGATTAGCGGCGCAACCGGAGGACAGCCGTGCTGTACGCGCCGACGCGGACCCGGGGGTGCAATGGCGCACGGCGCGCTGCCAGCGTTCAACGCCGTTGCGGTACAACACACGGGCGAAGCCACGGGTGACCCGTGACGCGCGCCCGAGGCATCCAACGACGAAGCCGGCGCAATGGGTAGCGAGTGTGATGCGATGTCTGCGGTACCCGTGCAAGAACGTTTGATGATTTCGCGTACTCGTTGCGTGCTGTGGAGAAACGAGCTTCTCCAGCCGTCCTAGGGTCGCACGAAAGTTTTTACGGCTCCCTCACACGCCACGCGTACGGAACATAGCGCTGCGCAGCTCGCAGCACCCGCATATGACACGATTTCTCGACGACCCGTTCACTTGGTCGCAGGTAGCACCCTCCCGCGCGACCGTCGCGCAGCTCACCAGCGCCATTCCTCCCTGCCTGCAACACCACTCATGCCTGTTGTCCAACAACGAACATTCCTGCACGCACACACATTCGTGCACTTCGCGGAGACGCCCACAAGTCGTCCTAGCTCACTGCGGAGAGCGCCCCAGGACACAACGCGACGCAACGCAACCGCCGCGATCGACTCTGTGAGCGCGCTCTGCGCCAATTGACACGGCGATTGGGCTGCGTGACATCTCCGTGCGCTTCGCCTATACGCGATGCGGAGGTCTGCCTGGCTTCAACGACCACGGCGCGCTGGTCCGAGGACGCGTCTCCGAGGACGTATTTCTGGTGATCGACAGACAGAGCGACAGAATATGGCTGTGTTTCCGCGACGACAGGGGGTGGTTTCACCGCTGCAGCGCGAAAGCTCGCAGCCCGACTGTGGGCAACGACCCGCGCAGGGCGCCTCTGGGGGCAGGAAAGGGGAAGCCGCGTGCGGCTGTGGCTAGTTCTGTCCGTTCAGTGTCGCGAGCACCGTTCGTCAACCTCCGTTCGCGAGGCGCAAGGCGGCATGCTGGCTCGGACGATTGCGGCCGCGCCCCAGGGCCCCCTGAGGGTCCTGGCGGGCCGCTACCTGCACTCATGGGCGACGATCGACCCCGAGACCATGTCTGGATCGAAGCCGATCGAGGCCATGAACCTGGGTGCGCTGCGCGCCCCCCCTTAGGCCCCTCACCACCACCACAGCCCGCCGCGCGTCGCCGGCCGCTCTCACAGCGCGAGCGCTGACCCGCGGACGCCTCAGCTCACTTCAAAGTCAGCCCCGCACGCGTAGCCCGCGCGACGAACACAGCGCGCCAGGAACGCCCCGTCTCCACAGCTACAAGCGCACCGGTCCGCCGTGCCGTGCGCCTCCGTCCCCGCCGCTGGCGCCGAGTTTCCTTGTTCCGGCGACGTGTCCACACCTCTAGCATCTGCGAGCGCACGGACAGCGCATTTCACACCATGAGCGGCCCGGGCGCGCCGCACGATCGCTGCGCACACCAGTGCCCTTGTCCGCCCGTTCCGCCGGCCCCCGCACGCCGCGAACGCGCGGCGCTCGCATCCGCCAAGCAACCCCGCGTCCCAAATACGGCGAGCGCACCCCGCTCCGTCGCCCGCGGGGCCGTATCCGCGGAGAACGACGCTCCAAAGCCACACCCGCCTCCTGGACGCGTCTTGTTTGCGCCGCGCTGCGACTGCCCCGCGTCGAGACCCTCCCGCCGGGCCCCCACCTCATCCACGCATCTACCAAGGGCCCGTTCGCTGCCGTCTGACGCCGTATCACTCCCCCCGCGGCCCGTGTTGGCCCTTGCAGTCGATGGCCAGTGGGTTGGCGCGAAGAAGCACCGCGACCTCATCGATCCGCTCAACGGCGAGGTCATGGGCAAGGTCCCGCAGGCCGAGGGCTCCGAGCTCGACGGCTTCATCGCCGGCCTGCGCCGCACGCCCAAGTCGGGCGTCCACAACCCGTTCAAGAACCCCGAACGGTGAGTGCCGATTCGTCGCAGATCCTCGACTGAGCCGCGACGCCGCCCGCGGCCCGCACGCACGACCCCGGCCTCGCCCTCGGCTCCGTCGCGGCCGCGGCCCCCCCGCGCCGCCCGGGGAGTCGCGTCTGCACGACCCGCCACGCGCCCGCGTCCGCCGCCGCGCGTGGGCCCCGCCCACGCCCCCGCGCTCCGATTCCGAGCCCCTGCGGACCTCGACGTCCGCGTTTCACGTACACCTGCGCGGCGAACCGGCCCCACTTCCGAGTTTATACCATCGAAACACCCCCCAACCGAAATGACAAGTGTTGTTCTTCCGCGAGCCGCCGCGCGCAGGTACAACATGTACGGCGACGTCACGGCGCGCATGGTCGGCGAGATGCGCAAGCCCGAGGTCGAGGCCTACTTCGCGCGCCTCGTGCAGCGCGTGGTGCCGAAGTCGTGGGCGCAGGCCAGCGGCGAGGTGATCGTGACGCGCAAGTTCCTGGAGAACTTCTGCGGCGACCAAGTGCGCTTCCTGGCCAAGTCCTTCGGCGTCGCGGGCGACCACAACGGCCAGATGTCGCACGGGCACCGCTACCCGTACGGACCGGTCGCGCTCATCACGCCCTTCAACTTCCCAGTCGAGATTCCGGCTCTCCAGATGATGGGCGCGCTCTACATGGGCAACCGGCCGTTCGTGCACGTCGACCCGCGCGTGTCGATCGTGTACGAGCAGTTCCTGCGGCTCCTCATCCACTGCGGGATGCCCGCGACGGACGTCGACTACATGCACGGGCCCGCGCCGTCAGTGAACCGCATTCTCCACGAGGGCAAGCCGCGCAGCACGCTCTTCACGGGCAGCCAGAAGATCGCGGAGCAGCTCGCGCTCGAGCTGAAGGGCAAGGTGCGGAGCAGAGCAGCTGCGGCGGGTCGCCACCACCGCCCGCCGGGAGCGACGCGGGCGTGCGCGTCCGGCCGGCTCGCGTGGGCGCGTGTGCAGGGGCCAGCAGGGCCTGCGCGGGCGCTTGCGTTCGTGGCGCGCCGCGACGGGCGCCAGAGCAGGACGTGTGTGCAATTTGAGAGTGGGAAAGAAGTAGGGAACAGCACGAGCGTGGTTTCCTGCGCGCAGGTGTACCTGGAGGACGCCGGGTTCGACTGGAAGGTCCTCGGCCCGGACGTGCACGACCTGGACTACGTGTCGTGGCAGTGCGACCAGGACGCATACGCCGCCATTGGGCAGAAGTGCTCCGCGCAGTCCATCCTGTTCACGCACGAGAACTGGACCAAGGCCGGGCTGCTCGACAAGCTGCGCGAGCGCGCTGCCACGCGGAACCTCAAGGACCTCACCGCGGGCCCCGTCATCACGTGGACGACGGAGAAGATCCTGAGTCATGTCCAGGCCGTGTCGTCGCTCCCGGGGGCCAAGGTGCTGTTCGGCGGGAAGCCGCTCGAGGGCCACTCGATCCCCGCGTGCTACGGCGCGGTGGAGCCGACGGCGGTGTTCGTGCCGCTCGAGACGATGATGCGCGACGACGCGACGTTTGAGCTGTGCACGACGGAGCTGTTCGGGCCGTTCCAGGTCGTCACGGAGTGGAAGGACGGGCAGCTCGACGTCGTGCTGGACGCGCTCGAGCGCATGGAGAACCACCTCACCGCTGCGATCGTCAGCAGGGACTCGCAGTTCATTGACAAGGTCATTGGCAACACCGTCAACGGCACGACGTACGCGGGGATCCGGGCGCGCACGACGGGCGCGCCGCAGAACCACTGGTTCGGGCCGGCCGGGGACCCGCGCGGGGCGGGCATCGGGACGCCGGAAGCCATCCGCTTGGTGTGGTCTTGCCACCGGGAGGTGATCATGGACATCGGCCCGACGCCGGCGGCTCTGCCGGCGCAGAGCTGAGCGCGGGCGCGCAGGGACGGTGGGTGTGTGGGGGACGTGTGTGACGAGACTCGCTGCGGAGGGACGCGGTGGGGTCGGTGCGGCAAAGGGCGCTGTGGGGACGCGTGGTGGTGCGTGAGGGGTGTGGTGGCTGCGCGGGGGCGTGGTTTCGTTCTGGATTGTGCGGCAGGCTGCAGGTTTGTGCAGCAGGGACGAGAAGTCGGGGGTGTTTGTTTGTGTTCTACTTTGAGAGACCGCGTGCGGCCCGGGTGCGGCTGAGCGGCTGCGGCGGCGACGGGCGGTGGCAGTGTTTTCTGTTGCCCACAGTCCGGCCGCGTGCCGTGCGTCAGATCCTCGCGCACTCGACGGACGTGGATGCCACAAGAACACGTTCGCGGCGAGTGGTTTCGTTGACCAGCGCCGCTGGGTTGGAGACCGGGGAGGGGCCGGCCGGGCGTGAGGGATGTCGGTGTTCGAGGAGATGGGCGTGATGCCCGAGCTCATCCGCGCCATCGAGGAACTGGGATGGCTGTACGTGCCGCGACCGATTGCACTTTGTCCGCGCCCTCGTGCTTCCACGCTACGTTTCACGCGTTCGCGATGCGCATCCCAATGTCTGAGGGCAGGATGGTGCGATAGAGCAACTGTCACGGTCCGTTGCGGCGCCGTCCAGGAGTGTGGCACTGAGAGAGAGCAGCGGTCGTCGCGCGTGCCTGCAGGCTGCCAACGCCCGTGCAGCAGGAGTCGGTGCCGCTGATTCTGGGAGGAGGCGACGTGATGGCCGCCGCTGAGACGGGCAGCGGGAAGACGGGCGCGTTCGCGCTGCCCATCTTGCAGACAGTCCACGAAGCGCGGCGCGGGGTGATGATTTCGAAGGCGCAGAAGGCGTCCAAGTCGGGCGGTAAGCAGGCATCATTCAAGCACGAGCTCTCCTTGGAGGACAGGTGCGCTCAAATCGCCGCAGCGGCGCGCGCAAGACCCGCAGGAGCAGAGTGGTGCCGCGTGCGGCGGTTTCCCGCAATATATTCGTGATTCATCGTCACACGAAGATGCTCGCGTGCTGAGTACTTCGCTACGCGTCGGTATGGCCCCGCAGAGACCCCATGCTGGCCATATCTCCGGATGGCCTGGTGTGCCAGAGCCGGGCACCGAAATGGTCCGGTGGCCGCGGCTCCACGGGCGTCTGCAAGGGCAAGGCGTACTTCGAGGCGACCGTCAGGGACGAGGGGCTCTGCCGCGTCGGCTGGTCCACCAAGGCTGCGTCTCTCGAGCTAGGCACCGACAAACACGGATTCGGGTGCGCCCGCCCGCCGCACCCCGCGCACGGCATATCGACACGCATCGCCGTGTCCGCGATGCTGCAACGCTGGCGAGGCAGCAGTCAGGCGCGGCGGCCGCCGCAACGCGCGCGACGCGCCCAGCGACCCACGCTGCTGCGCTAAGTCACGCTCGCGCGGCGCAGGTTCGGCGGGACGGGCAAGGCGTCGCACGCGAAGCAGTTCCTGGACTACGGCGAGGCCTACGGGCTCAACGACACCATCGGCTGCCTCCTCGACTGCGATTCCGGCACCGTTTCCTTCTCAAAGAACGGCACCGATTTGGGCGTCGCGTTCGAGATCCCAGGCCACCTGAAAGGGCAGACCTTCTACCCCGCGGTGTGCCTGAAGAACGCCGAGATCGGGTTCAACTTCGGCGCCACGCAGCTCCGCTCGCAGCCCCCCGCGGGGTACGTCGCGCTCGCCAGCGCGCCCGCCGCGACGCTGGTCGCCGGGTCGGCCGTGGAGGCGGCGCCCGCGGACGCCAAGGGGTCCGGCCGCGCGCCGCTGGCGCTGGTGCTCGAGCCGACGCGCGACCTCGCGGAGCAGACCCTCGCTTGTTTCAGGCAGTTTGCCACGCATCTCAGTTCGCCGTCTCTGCGGTCGGAGCTGCTCGTGGGCGGCATGGACACGAAGAAGCAGGCGCGCGCGATCGCGGACGGCGTGGACGTCGTGGTCGGGACGCCCGCGCGCGTGCTGGACTTTGCTGAGTCGGGCAAGCTGTCGCTGGCCGCTGTCAGGTTCTTCGTGCTGGACGAGGCGGACCGGCTGACGGACGACGACGTGCGCGCGATGGTGCTGAAGATGTTCAAGATGATGCCCAAGGGCGGCGCGGGCGTCGAGCGCCTGCAGGTTCTCATGTTCAGCGCGACGCTCCACAGTAAGGAAATCAAGACTCTTTCCGAGGAGATCTGCCAGACTCCGGTCTGGGTGGACCTCAAGGGGCGGGACCACGTCCCGGACACCGTCGACCACGCCGTCGCGATCGTCGATCCGCAGGAGGACCGCTCCTGGCTCCAGGCGCAGCCCGCGACCTACACAGACGGCTGCCACACGTTCGACGACTGCGGCGCCGGGGTGCAGTCCAAGGCGGGCTGGTCCGAGGCGGTGAAGCGGCTGAAGCAGCGCGTGCTGCAGCGCGTGATCGACCAGCACAACATCGAGAATGCCATGATCTTCTGTCGCACGAATTACGACTGCGATTTGCTGGAGCGGTTCCTGAACGAGCTGGGCGGGGGGCGGGCGTTCCGGGGCAAGGCGGAGAGCGGGAAGGAGGGGGCGTACTCGTGCTGCGTGCTCGGCGGCGCGCGGAGCATGGAGGAGCGCAGGAGGAACTTGGAAGCCTTCAAGGATGGGGACGTCCGGTTCCTGATTTGCACGGACGTTGCGGCGCGCGGGATCGACATCTCCGGGCTGCCGTACGTGATCAACATGACGCTGCCGGACCGGTCGGAGGACTACATCCACCGCATCGGACGCGTCGGGCGCGCGGGCAAGATCGGGCTGGCCATCTCGCTCGTGGCGGCGGTGCCCGAGCGCGTGTGGTACTGCAGCAAGAAGGGCTACAAGCCGTGGTTCGACCCGAAGCCGAAGGACGTGCAGGTCGGCGAAGCGCCCCGCCCCGAGCCGTCTTTGCTGCCCTGGTTCTCCCCAAACGTCACTTCTTGTTCTTGTTCTCTTATTTAACGGTTCCAGCTTGTTTCTGAGTGGTTTTCCTGCCCGTCGCGAGCGTCACGCCTGGTAGCTCCGCGGCGCGAGCGGTCAACGCGTCGTGTTCCGCCGCGCAGGACCACACGATATGGTACGATGAGTCGGGGTTGCTCAAAGAGGTAGAAGCCCGCGTCAGGCACCCGATCGCGCGCATGGGCGCCGACCTGTCGCTCCCGGCGGAGATCGTCGCGAAGCTGAGCGCGTCCGGCGGCAGGTACGGCGAGGAGGCCGGCGGCGATGCGACGCAGAAGGAATCGCAGCAGAGGGTCGAGGAGGTGCGGCCGGCAGTGGTGGGGCTCGCGGAGCTGGAGGTCGCGGCGCAGCACTCGTTCCTCGCGCTCCGGCAGCGCTTCTCCGGGGCCGCGCGGTGACGGCGGGTGTGAGGTTGTACCGCCGCGCGTCGGGTTGCGCAAGGGCGTGTGCTTCGATTCCTGCTTTGCACCGAGACACCCCGTACGCAGCGTTGGTGCGACGACTGCGAGGAACGACCGCCGCTGTTGTCGCGGCTGGGTCTGTGGCGTCCCGCTGCCACGAGTTGCCATCAAATCGTCGACATCACCCACTCGTGGTGGTCGCGGTGTCCGGACACGCTGAGCCCGTTTCGGCGTAGAGCAGTCCTCGAGCGTGCGCGGCGTGGGTGCGGTGCGCGCCAGCGATGAGCGGCTTGACGCCACGCAGCGCCCCGTGCACCTGCGACAGGATGCGAGGCCGGCCGGCGCGGGTGAGCGCGTCAACACACGGCGAGGACCTCTGCCGCGGCCCGTGATTTGAGCTCACTCACTTCACATTCGCATCACTCGCCGATATCGTGCAATATATTAATAAAAGTACTCCGAGTAGTGATTACGGAATCGGCCACCCCGCGAGCGCGCGCAGCCCCGGCATGCTCTCGCCCTGGATCATCTCGAGCGTCGCGCCGCCCCCCGTCGACAGGTGCGACACGCTCCCCGCCAGCCCCAGCTTCAGCAAGCACGCCGCGCTGTCACCCCCCCCCACCACCGTCGTGACCCCCGCCTTGGTCGCCTCCGCCACCGCGCGCGCCACCGCCGCCGTACCCCGGCTGTACTCCTCCGCCTCGTACCTCCCGAGCGGCCCATTCCAGAACAGCGTCGAGCACCCGCAGTCCCGGATCGCCTCCGTGAAGCGCGCCACCGTCGCAGGGCCAATGTCCCCTCCAACCTCCCCGCTGCGCATGCACGGCGCGTCCCGCGTGCAGCACCCGGCCGTCAACGTCAGCACCTTGGTTTCCCCGCCGTCCAGCGACGTGCCCGCCACGACGTCCTCGGGCAGTAGGAAGGGGATGTTGCGCTCCTTGGCGCGGGCTAGGATGTGCTTGGCGTCGTCGATGAGGTCCGGCTCGATGACCGTGTCGCCGACGGCGACGCCCTGGGCGGCGAGGAAGGTGAAGGCCATGCGGCCGCCGACTATCATGATGGATGCGAGATCCACTAGGGAAAACAAGACTTGCAGCTTGTCGGCGACCTTGGCTCCGCCGACGACGCAGCAGACGCTCCCGCCGCCGCCGAGCGTGCGGACGAGGAACTCGCACTCGCGCCGGACGAGCAGGCCCGGGAACCGACGGCCGGGCCCCATGCACCGCGACAGACCTGCACCGCCAACAAACCACACATAGGAAACCATGGTTCTCAGCCGCACGGACGCGCTCGACTGGCGCCGGGGCCCTCGCCGCGGCACTCCAGCGAGCAGTCGGTCGACGGGGAGCTCCGTCGCACCTGACACGCTCGCGTGGTCCCGGTGACAGGTGCCAAAGGCATCGAGGACAAACACGTTTCCGAGTTTGGCCAGCTGCCGCGCCATCTCCTCGCTGCCCTGCTCGTCGCCCGCGTGGAACCTGCGCGCAGCGTCGGTGCGGGCGGCCGCTTCGCTCGCTGGGGCGGCAGATAGCGGGTTGGGTGCGGCGGGAGACGAGGATCCGTGGTTGGGAACTTGCCGTGTGTTTTCGAGTAGCACGACCTGGCCCGGCTTGGCCGCGGCCGCGGCGTCGCGCGCCTCCTGGCCCAAGCAGTCGCCGCGGAAGCCGAGGAAGGTGTCTGCGCCCAGCTCGCGCTCGAAGATAGGCGCGACTTTTGCGAGAGACAGTCTCTGAAGCTCGTCTGGCGTCATCTTCGAAGGCTTGGGGCGGCCCATGTGCGAGAGCACGACGACCGCCGCGCCCATCTCGACCAGCGCCCTGCAGCACGCCCACGGCGGAAGCCACCACCCCGTCAGCGATGCCGCTGGGCGCCCTATATCACAGAAAGGGGAGGCAGCGCTGTGCGCACCAGGGGCGCCGTGCTGGTGCCGGTGATGTGCCCGCTGGCGCGCGCATGATATGGTACGCCGCGGTAGACTCGCCTGATCGTTGGAAGGCACTCGATGACTCTCAATTCGTCGAGCACGGTTCCATCCCTGCTGAGAGGGACGTTCAGGTCCGCGCGGACGACCACCTTCGCGCCCTGGATCACTTCTGCGGCGCACGCGTGGCCGAGGGGCCAGAGTTCGCGTCGGCGCCCAGCGAAGCGGTCGGACCGCGGCCTGACAGGCGCGCGGCGGATGCCAGCTTGCTGCCCTTCATGGCCACGGCCACGGCGGCACGCCCCCCGCCGTGTACGGAATCAAGGAGGGTGCAGAGGAGAAGACACGGACAAGGCGCGTCGCGCCATGTGGTGCGCGAGATGCTGCCACACGGACACACACGACGCGGGACTACGTCTGGGTGTCCGTATACAAGCCGGTTCCTCACTGAGCTCACCAGGACAGGAGCGGAAGTCCAGCTTCAGGACATCTTCGACCAAGTGGCGAACGTGCGGCGCGTCGTCGGCGGCGCCGGGGGCGCCCGCGAGCACGCCGTTGCCGTTTCCTTCGCACGCGGGTGCGCAACGGCAGCCCATCGCGCGGAGTCACGCCCCGCGAACTGGTTCGCGCAATGCGCAGGCGTCAGACGGACCGTCCTGGGCGCTCCTGCCCGGCGCGAGCACGTCGCTGTGGGCCCAAGATGCGACGTGGACGGAAGCAAGTGCACAAGAGTATCCACGGCGCGCTGTCACTCAAGGTTCCCTGGTTGTGGACGAACTCAATCGGTTTCGCATGGTTGAGCACCACTGTCCATGTCGGGGCGCCCCAACCGCCATGTAAGCGCGCTGTCTGACTGGAAGGCCGCCTGCTGAGGCACCGGGGTACAGAGGGCACACACACACGCGGCTGTCTGAGAGCGCGTGGCACATTTGGGCGCGACGCAGCGCATCCGGGCAGTTCCGCGCGTCACCACCGTCTCGAGAGCCCGGCGGTTCGGGTTACTTCGCAGCAGGGGCACGGCAGTCGGGAAATCCCTTTTGTTTGTGCATGGGCGGCAACGAGTCGAGGATGGGCAAGATCAAGGTCGGCATCAACGGCTTCGGCCGCATCGGTGCGCTCGCCTCCACTTCCGCGGCGCGCCCCCGGCGCGCGTACGGCGCCCTCCGCGCCTCGGCGACGCAATCCAGAGGCTGCTACTGCGCCGGCGGGCAGGCTGCGTCTCTCCACGCGGCCGCCGCAAGGAATCTTGGATTTTTCCGCGGCGGGACGACCGTTGGGTGCAGCACGACATCATCGCGCTCGCTTGCGACCCGTGACACGCGCTCCGCGCGGAAGATGCTAGGGACTGCTGCGCAGCGGAGCAGCTGCGCGCTGTAGGACGCTGCTGACGGATCCCCCGGATGCCATTCTCCGCGTAATGTGTTGGTACATGATGGAAGTTGTAGCCGTGCCATTTTCCGGCCGAACCTCGAACCTGCGTGTCTGTGCGGGCGCCTGATGCGGGCCATCAGTCAGGGAACCGTCTTGTCGCCGTACTGGCGCCGCACCCTCTCGCACTTGCATACATCATAGTTTACGCCATATCCATGTCACATCTGAGAGGGAACGTCCGCTGATTGCCGTTTCTGCGCACACGCGTGCTCCTTCTGCTCAGCACTCGCGCGTCGCCTCCCCCGCGCCCGCAGGCCGCCTGGCGATGCGCATCGGCTGGGACAGCGACAAGTTCGAGGTCGTCCATGTCAACGAGTTCCCCGGCGCGCTCGAGTCCAGCGCATACCTCCTCAAGTTCGACTCTGTTCACGGCACCTGGGGGCCCGAGGTGGAGGACGAGGGCGGCTGCATGGTCATCAAGGACGGGGACCGCGTTGCCAAGGTACGTGGCGGCCCGTGCGCGCCGCGGGAGGGCCCCGCGGGTCGCGTTTCGTCGAGAAATACGAAATCTTGAGTGGTTTTGACGCCGAGGCGCTTGGTTGGTCGGGTGCCGCGCCGCAGGTGACGTACACGACCGCGAACAGCCCCGGCGGCGTGGACTGGAAGGCGTACGGCTGCGAGATGGTGTGGGAGTGCTCGGGCGAGTTCCTCACGCGCGCCAAGCTCCAACCCTATTTTGACAACGGAGTCAAGAAGGTCGTGGTGTCCGCGCCGGTCAAGGACGCGGAGAACCCGGTCCCGAACGTGGTGATGGGCGTGAACCACCACGTGTACGAGCACGCCAAGCACGACATCGTCACCGCCGCCTCCTGCACCACCAACTGCCTGGCGCCGGTGGTCAAGGTGGTGCACGAGAAGATCGGGATCGTGCGCGGCTCGATCACGACGATCCACGACGTCACGAACACGCAGACGATCGTCGACGCGCCGAACGCGAAGAAGTCGGACCTCCGCCGCGCGCGGTCCGGCCTGGTGAACCTGGCGCCCACGACGACGGGCAGCGCCACGGCGATCGCGCTGATCTTCCCGGAACTCAAGGGGAAGCTCAACGGACACGCGGTGCGCGTGCCGCTCATCAACGGGTCGCTCACGGACTGCGTGTTCGAGCTCAAACGGTGCGTTACATACACAGTGCAGCGCTGCAGGCCGTGACGCCTCCGTGGGTCGCCGAGCACGCAGCGAGCCGGCCGCGTATGGTTCGCATGCATCCGCCTAGGCGCTTGTGTCGATGAATGAATCGAATGATCCATTAAATTATTATTTCTAATGGATGAGTTGTTGATTGATGGAATGGTCGGCGGTTGCAGGGAAACGACGAAGGAGGAGGTGAACGCGCTGTTCAAGGAGGCCGCGGAGACGTACCTCAAGGGGATCCTCGGCTACGAGCCGCGCCCGCTCGTGTCGACCGACTACATCAACGAGGCGAGGTCCGGGGTCGTCGACGCTCTGTCGACCATGGTGGTCGACGGCACGCACCTCAAGGTGTACGCGTGGTACGACAACGAGTTCGGGTACTCGTCGCGCATGGTCGACCTCGCGAACCTCGTCGCGTCCGGCATGGGCGCGTGATGGAGACCGCCGTCGGTGTTGCCGACGATTTTATCTGTAATTGAGATCCACTGGGCGTGTCACGCGAGGGTCACTTTCTCCGAGGGAGATGCTCCAGGGGCGGCCAGGGCTGGGGCAGCAAGGGAGCACCCGCACGCATGGGGAGCTGAGTGAGCTGCAGATATGCTTCGAATGTCTCAAAGTGACTTTTCAGCCAGGATATTCACAAATAGGCGCACTAGAGGGGCGGCCGTGCCTTGCCGCACGCCAGTCGCACGACGACCTCCCATCCCGAAGCCTCGCGGCCGACGACAACGTCGCGTTGCAGACATCACGTTCGACGCGCCCTGTCACGTTGCATCGGGCCCCCGACGCGCCGCGCCGCCCTCCGTGCCAGCGCCGGGTCGCGGCGCCCCCGGCCCGGCCTGCGGCTGCACCGCCAGCGCAGCGAACGGGTTCTCCAGCGAGGGGGGACTCACTCCCACACTCCCCCCCGCGTCCGCCGCCCACAGCCGCAGCTGCGACGCCTGCACCGAGTTCGCGCTCCGCGGGTCCCGCGTGCCCTCGATCCGCCACCGCCACATCCTGCACGCCCGCCCCTTGTTCGCCACGTCAAAACTTAGCACCTGGTGGCGTTTATCGAACACTACCCCTTTCCTGACGTCAAGCTCCTCCCACCGCGGCCCAGCAGCGCCGGCCGCGCCCGGGCCGTCCACGCAGCCCTCGAGCCGCCACCGCGCCGGGTCCCGCGCCGGCTCGTCATCCGCAGACATGATTTCATATCTCTCGAGCGCAACGGCCGGCCTGTCTTTCGGCAGGACGGCCTGCACCCACGCCGTGCCGCCCGCGCCGCCGCCGCCGAAGTCCAGCCACTTCGTCTCCGCGCGCCCGTCAAACAAACAACGCACCCCCTCCGCGCCGTTCTCGCCCGAACCCCGCACGCGCAACCCCGCAACACTCCCCCCCCGCGAAGCGGGGGCGTCCGCCCGGACCCACGGCGTCCCCGGCGGCCGGACCCCCCCGCCGCCACCACTCGCCCGCGCGCCGTCCTCTCCGCGCGCCGACCGCCACTCCGCGGCGCCCGTCGTGCGCCCCGGCAGTGCCGCCTCGCCGCCCCGCGCGCCCCGCGCCACCTCCGCCCACCCAGACGGCCCCAGCACCCAGCCCTCGCTGCGCTGCAGCTCGCCCTCCTCCGCCGCGTCACGCCGCACGAGATCCCCCAACAGACGCACAGCAGCGTCGCCGGGTGGTATGTCGTCGTACAGCCACGGTGCGCTCCTACCGAACGGCCGACGCCACCGCGCGCCGCTCCGCGCCGCGAGCGGCATGCGCGCCATCAGCGTGAGCCCCTCGCACACCCCCGCGACCATCCGCTCCAGTCTGTCCCCCGCAACACCCCCCCCCGCCTCCGCGCGGCGGCGCAGCCGCTCGGCCCGGCGCGGGGCGTACCGCCGCGCTACGTCCGCGACGCCGTAGCGGTGGAACGCGAAGACGAAGTGCAGCTTCTTGCCCCAGCCGTCCTCGTACAGCAACGGCGTATCCAGTATATTTTCGCAAGGATCCGCGTGCTGCCAACGCCCTTCGAGGAAGACCTCTGCCCACACGTGGTCCGTGAAGTCCTGCACCCACCGCGCGTCGAGGCCCACGGCTCGGCAGCAGAGCACGAAGCAATCGGCCCACTCCCCGCAGCGTCCGCGGCGCGTCTCGAGGAGCTTCGCGGCGCTGGCGTAGCGGGGGAAGCGCGCCGCGACGTCGCAGGCGCTGCACCGGTGCAGCTCGACGACGCCCGCGCCCTGCGCGGCCTCGGTCTGCGAGGGCGGCGCGCTCCCGGCGTTGGCCGTGGCGCCTCCGCATGACGGGCAGGGAAGCGTGTCGACCCACGTGAAGAATTCGTGCTTGAACCACCTCAGTAGCGCCTGCGGAGATAGATACGACCGTGGCGTCGCTCGGGACGCGCCGGAAACGCGAATTGAGCGGCGTGGAGCGCGGAAGAGACAACAATATACGCGCCTTCGTGAGATACACGTTCCGGTCGACGGCGTTCGGGTCCGCGGGAGCCCCGAGCTCGAGCTCGAGCTCGTAGGCGTCCCGTGCCTCCTCGTTGAGCCGCGCCACGGGCACCGTTTGCCGTGCACGGTCGAGCAAGTGAGGGTCCTCGAGACTCTGCACTCGGGCCAGCCCGGCCCGCAGCCTGTCGAGCATGTTCGCTCCTCCTACGCCCGCGCGCAGAATGCGAGGGAGCGCTCCCGTCGTGCGCACGATGAGCGGGCGCTGACCGAGGCCGTGGGGGAGTTTCCTCCTGTGCATGGTTCTTCTCCTGACGCTGGCAGACAGGGCGTGTCGTTGGGCTCAAGGCGGCGACGCGGCGTGCCGCAGGCGCAACGCGTCCTGACCCGGACTGCGCGATCCCCCAGCGACCTCGTGACAGCGCTGCGCCGGCTGCCTTCTCGGGCGGTCTTCATAGCAGTCCCGCCGCGCAGGAATGCGAGACAGGACCGCGCAAACGACCTGACAGCACGCATACCTTGTATATCAACCGCACCCGACCGTCACCAACGTTCCACGTCGCGGCGCCAGGCGCTGGCGACTTGATGGAGGCACAGCAATGGACAGGCGCTCGTGGATTGAGCGACGCTGGCAGGCGCTCGCGGCAGTTGGCAACCCGGCGTGGATGCTGGGCTACATCAGAGCGCGAAGGCGGAGGCTCATGATGCTGGAGCAGGAGTTGGGCTCGGACGCCTCATCATACGACGCGTCCGACGACAACTCCGAGTCTTCCGAGGGGCTTATGGACGAAGACAGCGAGCCAAGCTCGGCCGAGGGAGCCGTGTCGTCGACGGGCTCGCGCGGGGACCACTGGGAGGGCGAGTACACCGTGCACGGCGACCCCGTCGGCCCCGGACGCATGATGTATGCGGACGGGGGATACATGGAGTGCTGCTACGACGAGCACGGGCGCCCTGAGGGCGCGTACCGCATCGTCGATCCGCGGGGCGAGCTGCGGCGCAGCGGCGAGTTCTGGGCGTCCGCGAAGCGCCCCGGCCGCGTGCGCGTCGCGTTTGAGGACGGCGGCACCGTTGCTGCGGGGGCGGATATGGGCAACGCGCCGCACGGGCGCGGCACGTACAGCTACCCGGGCGGCGACGTGCGCGTCCGCGGGCGCTGGCACCACGGCACGTTCGTCGAGGGCGTGTCCGAGGGCCCTACGGCGGCGAGCTGCGGGATCAAGCTCAGGCGCGGCCCCGGCACGCCGACCGCGCTGCCGGCGGACCCGCTCACGCCGGACCCGTACGAGGCGTGGACGGTGCGCGTGGGCGCGTCGAGGATCGCGGGCGCCGGCGAGGGGCTGTTTGCGCGCCGCGACGTCAGCGCCGGGGAGCTGTGCGCGCTGTATTCGGGGATGCGGTGCGCGCAGGCGGAGGTGGACGCGCGGGAGTGGGACGCGTGCGAGAACACGCTGTCGCTGGACGCGGGCCAGGAGGGCCTGTCGGACGGTGAGGACATGGATGTGGACGCGCCTGTTATGGACGTGCCGAGCGGCGGCGGGCGGCGCGCGCCGCGGTACTGCGCGAGCCTGGGGCACAAGGCGAACCACTCGTTTCTGAACAACGCGAGGTGCGCGGGAGATGTTGTTGCGATGCTTGAACATCTCCTTATATGTTCCTTGTGCTTGTGCTTGTTTGATGTTCCGACGTCAATGCTGGGCGCGCGCAACGACGCAAGAAAGGTACATCCTCCCTCTCTCTCGCCGGCAGGTACGCGCCGCTCTTCCACCCGCGCCACGGCGCCATCAAGTGCGTCCGCGCAATCAAAGACATTCCTGCGGGACAAGAGATTACCGTCCGATATGATTACGACCACGGCTGGGGGAACTGGCCGCGCCCGAACAAGCCGGTCAGTGCGCGCGATGCGCGCGTCATGCGCGACATCATGCGCACCGTCGCCGCGCCGGAGTGGTACGTGGAGCTGCTACGGCAGTGGTTGTGCGCGGGAGTGCCGCCCGCGCTCCTGGACGACGTGGCGTCGGACATCCCGGCCGCGATGGGCAAGCGGTTTCCCGCGGAGCTCCGCGGCGCCTGAGGCGGCCGCGCGGCACCGTGCCACTGTGGCCCAGGTGTAAGTGATTCGTAGATTGCATGTTATAATATCGACGTGCTGGTTCGACAGCGATGGGCTTTGGCTTGGCTGGACAGCGAGGGCGTTGAGGACCGAAGGTGCCGTCCGAGAGACGGGAACCAGGGCACCCGGCATGACCATCCCTCCAGACATGCTGATAGTTCAATACATATATATATGGAGTTTGGCACGGACGCGACAGGTCTCGGACAGTTCGCGCTCGCGGAGCCGATGTCCCACAGAAGGCCGCGCAGGGCAGTGGCAGCACAAGCATCCCTCCCTTGATCCAAACACTAGTACATCAAGGTGAGTAACAATAACAGCTCAGCAGCTCGCCAACAAGCACGACCAGGCCAGACCCCGCCACTCACTCCCGCGGCCCGCCCTCCTCGGCCCCGCGCTCCTGCTGCGCGCCCCCGTCGTTGTTCTGCGGGTTCACCCACGGCAGCAGCGTGCGCAGAAACGCCGCCAGTCCACCCATCTCCCGCAACTCCTGCACGTCCACGCCCGCGTCCTGCGCCATGGCCTCCGCGACGCCCGGCGGGAGGTTCTCCGCGGCGGCCGCGAAGCCGTCGTCGACCCCCCCCGGCACACCCCCCCCCGGGTCCTCGTCCGGCGGCAGAATCTGCTGCGCCTCGCTGAAGTCCGCGACGTCGAGGTGCACGAAGTTGTTCGTGTCGGACGGCGGGAACGCCTGCGCGCGCACGGTCGCCCACTCCGCCACCGAGATCCCCGAAACACTCCCCCCCGCGTCAGCCAGCTCCGTCAGACGCCGCGCGCCACGCTTGAGCCACCGCAGGACCTGGTCCGCGCGCCACAGCGGATGCGACCGCTCCACGAAGATGTCCGACAGGTACTCGAGCGACCGGCAGCCCCCGTGGTCCGCTCCGCTGAAGAACTCGTGCGCAAGAATAGACTTCCATTCTGCATCTTGGTGCACGCCTTTGCCCGCGAGGGCAGACATGAGCGCGGGCAGGACGGCAGGGTGCAGCGCGAGCGCGCCGAGCAGCGCGTCGTCGGCCCCGCCCTGTCCGTCCCCGCCGCTGCGCACCGCGTCGTTCCGTTTCGCCAGCGCGACGCTGTACGCGAAGTTCGGCAGCAGGCCGACGCTCGGGACGCCGGGGACGTCCTCGAGCGCCTTGCCGGACGCGAGCTCGACGAGGAAGCGGCCTTCGCCGGCGCGGATCGCCAGGTAGTCGACGCAGCCGTGCAGGAGGCCGGTCGGGTCCGATGGTTCGAGAGACAGCAGAAGCTTGCAGGCTTCGAGCGCGGTGCGGTGGCAGCCGCTGCGGGTGAGGGCTTGGACGTGGAGGAAGCCTGCGCGGTGCCAGTCCGCGTTCGTGGGTTCCGAGGCCGGGAGGCGCGCGGTGGCGGAGCAGGCGTCGCAGCGCGGGTGGAATGCCGACTCCATGGCGTAGAGGGCGCGCGCGAGGAAGTCGGAGGCGCCCTCGGCGTCGCCGGTCTGGCGGCAGACGTCGTGGAGGGCGAGGAGGGAGGCGACGTGGTAGGGGTGGTGCTGCAGGTTCATCATGATGCTGCGCGGGACCGGGAACCAGGAAACGAAGACTGTGAGCGGGCACGACACGAACGAGCGCGAGAGGCGCCGCGAGGGGCGGGGCAGCGGCAGCAGCTCGCGAGGCGAGTCGGAGCAGCCACAAACAAATACCACTTACTTGTTTGGATCGAAAGTCTGAACCATATCTGAAAACATCTCCTCCATGACGTTGTACCCCTCCGACCGCACGAACCGGAACCACCGCGTCCCCGGCGGCGACGCCCGCCCCTCCGGCGCCGCGATCTCCTCCATGCTCAGCCCCGACCCCCCCCCCGGCGGCCAGTGCGCCTGCGGCTGCGCCAGCAGCCCCCCCCGCCGCGCCGGCCCGCGGCCACGCCCCCGCCGGGCGGCCGCACGCCCGCGGCAGCGCCCGCGGCCCCCGCCCGCCCCGCCCGCCGAACGCCACGCCCGGCCCGCGCGCAGCCTGGTCATCATCGTCCGCGAGCGCGGCGCTCCCGAACCGTCGCCGGAGCTCCGCCTCGGGCCGGAGGTGCTTCGGGTCCGCGGCGAGCAGGAGGGGCTCCGTGGGCGCGGCCGCGTCGCTCGCGGGCTGCGTGGCTTCCGCGGCGGGCCGGATGTTGAGTTCGGCAATGAGCTGGTCGATGTCTTCGCTGGATGTGCTTGCTGCTTCCTTGGGGTCGGGTTTGGCGGTTTTCCCGCGCTTCTTCTTCTTCTTTGACTTCTTGGTGGACGAGGCGGGGGCTGCGGGCGGTCTGGGACCCTCGTCACGGCGTGCGTCGGCCGGAGCGGCCGAGCCGTCTGCGCGGGAGGTGCCGTCGTCTTGAGAGGGCTCGTTCTCGCCCTGGTCGTCCGATGCGCCGTCCTCGCTGGCGACCTCGCCGTCATCGCCCAGAAGGGCGAACAGATTCACCGGTCCTGCGTCGAATGCGGCGGCGCACGCGACGGACGGGTGACGCTCTGCGGGAGGTGCTTCCGCCGTTGCCACGCGCAGACGTGCCGTGGGGCGCGGCGCGGCTGGGTGTAACGGAAAGCAGATACTTATGAGACGCGTCTGAGCCGATCTCGAACAGGAAATCTTCCGGCATGACGCGGATGAGCGCACCTTTTCCCTGCGGCTCGCTGTCGCTGTCGCCCGCGTCGTCGTCTGAGGACTCCGCGTTCCCCTCCGCGGCCGCGGCCGCCTCCTCCATCCTCTTGCGCTCCAGCTCCTCCTGGAGCTTCCGGATCTGCCGCGTCGACATCGCGCAGCGCCTTGGAGCACACAAACGCCCTGCGAACGCGGTTCCGATCGAACTGCGCCCGCGCTCGGTGCGACTTCGGCCTCTCTGAGTGCGCGTACGATCGAGCGCGCGTGGACCGACAGAGCCGGGCCCGCAGCCGGCGCTGCGGACCCCTACAAAGAGGCCTCCAGGGGACGTCGCACCACGCCACGGACATCCGCTCGCCCACGATTCTGATGGTCTGCGTTCGCGAGGGACACTTTGAGGTGTCGTACTGAAGCGCGGTGACGTTGGACGGGTCGCTCGCTGCGTCGTGACACCGCCGAGAGGGTGGGGCTGGCTAGCGGGCTGTGCCCGCAGGTCTACGTGCAGGCAGCGAGGCGCCGTATCGCGTCGCTTCTTGTGGCTTCGCTGCCACGTCCATCGCCGTCAACGCTAGACCGGCGGGTGGGCCGAAAAGCCCGTAGCTCGCAACCTAGGCGCTGGCCTGAGAGGTCTCTGCCGCGTACGTGCCTGGAGCGGCAATTCTCAACTATTTTTTGTAGTTAGCGGCTGGGAAGTACCTCGTAGTATACCCTTGTGTGGTTGAAACTGCGGATCAATAGCATGGGGCGTCATTTCAAGCCAAAGTTCGCCCTGGACGGCCTTCAGAAGCTCGTCGTGTCGTTCGACCCGACCGTCCGGACGTCTCTGTCCGCACGACAGTTCCTCAAGACCGTCTCCTCGCCCAAGATGCGCGCCAGCGCCCCAGACTGCCAGATAGAGACCCAGCTCAGGCAAGCCTCCCTTCACGCACTCACCTCGCCTGAGCCGCGCCCTGCCGGCCCTGGCATGCCGCGCTGCCCGCGCGCTGCCGTCCCAGCAGCACGAGGCAGCAGCCCCAGACACCCGTCCGTGCCTCGCATCAGGCGACCTTATAACACCCCCCCTGTGTCGCGCCTGCTCGCAGGAACGACGGGGGGGAGTCGTTCGTGCACCTGTACACGAGCTGGGGCGCCGACATCCGCGTCGTCACCGACGAGATCCCCACGGAGGAGCACATCGGGAAGTGCCTCATGGTGCGCCGCCCTCGCTCTCTCGCCCCCGTACGTACGCGTCCTCTCGGGCGTGTGGCAGCACCGCACGCAGGCCGCGCCCTCGCGCCCTCGCGTCCTCGCTGCGCTGCAGCGTGCGCGCGTTCCCGCCTGCGCACCTGGAACGCCCCGCGCGGCCCTCGGCCGTTCGTTTGAGGACAGTGTGTTGCCATTAGTTATCCTTTCACTATCTGTCACGATGCATCGTGACCCACGGCGCTGTTTCCGCGCGCCCGCGCTTCGCCGGGCCCCCACGCCCTTCGCCTCCCCCTCCGCGGCCCCGTCGGCGCGCAGCGCAACATGGAGCTCCCGCAGGTCGAGGCCATGCTGCGACGCTTTGGTATGACGGTGGACGACTTGATGGACGGGGACAAGCCGGCGTGCATGGTCGAGTCGCCCGAGCACCTCAAGGACGCGTGCGCGGAGTGGCAGAGCATGGAGGAGGGGCGGGACTACGTCGTGGCGCTCCCGGAGCACCGGATGAAGAACTGGAAGGACCTTGTGCCAAAGGATGTGGACACCCGGGGGGTAGTGAAAGGGAAACGGTAGGGCTGAGTAGCGGAAGTTGCAGGAGGTGGATGTAAGGGGCGGAGGATCTGCGAGGCGGAGTTTGCGGAGCGGGAACGTGCGTGTGACTGTGGGTGTGGTGTGGTCGGTGCGGGTGAGGCTGGGCGTGGTGTGCTGTCGCTGCGGGCTTGGCAACAGAGAACGCGACGAGAGCCGCGCGAGGCTGGCTCATTCCATGGCGATAACAACCCTCAGGAGACACAGATAGATTGGTTTTGGTATCTCGTCACAGCACGTGTGTGTGTGTATGACTCCAGGCTGCGTGGGCGTGGCGGAACCCTGGCCGGCGTGGACCCTCAGCACGCCCCCCTCACTGTCTATCCGTGCGCTGTCTACCCGGCGCCGGGGTGAGCGATCCCGCGGGGGGGGAGTCAATAACACTCCCCGCTACCCGCCGACGAGGCCCCGGACCCACTCCCGCACCTCCCCGGGTGCGCCAGCCCCGACCCCCGCGAGCCACTCCCTCAGCGGGTCCATCCCGTCGTCGCCTGCGGCCCCGTCGTCCGCGAGCAAGAGCTTGCGATGCGCTGCAGTGTGCGGGCGCATTGCGGGCCGCAGCCCCTTCTTGAACGCCACCTTCCTCGCCTCCGCGAGCCGCCGTGGCCCTGCGCATCACGGTTCGCGCACAAACAGGGCGCCGAGCATGAGTCAGCCTTCCAGACACCCCCCTGTTTGGTCCACGTGTTGTTGTTGCTTTTTCGGGTGATGGGGGGGGCTCGTCGCCGGCGCTGCGAGGTGTGTAGGCGGAGAGGAGGGTGCGTGCCTATCGAGAGCTCAAGAAACGCCCGCAGTCGCCCTGCCGCCAAGTGCCATCCGAAATTCTCCTTGAGCCATCCCCGCGGCCGTAGCTCGCCCCGCTGCGCACAGACGGAACGAGGGGGCCGGGCACGTGAATGGGCTGACCCCCGGGGCCCGTGCGCGGGCGGCGTGCGGCGAGGCGTCGCGTCGAGGCGACGCACCAGAGCTTTCGCTTCGAGTCGCGTTGCAGCGTCTACGACGTCGTTGACGTCGCTGAAGGTCTCCGCGGTGTCCGCGTGGATGTATTTCCAGCCGCCTATGATGTGCTCGTTGATGAGGAGGCCGACGTCGAGCGACAGCGCCTCCGTGAGCATGCGCGGGGACGCGTCGTGCACGTTCGGCACGAAGAGGAACCGGGCCTTGTCCAGCGCCTCGACCCACTCCCTCCACACAGAAAACTCGTTCGTCGGCTTGATGTTGCCCTGCGACGCCGTGGACGCCCGTGCGCATGCGTGGAACGGAGCGCGAGGCATAGGACGTGTGGTTGCCGTGCAGGTGTCGTCGTCGGGTGGAGACGCACCTTCTTTCCCTCTTCCAGCGCGTCGATGTAATCGTCGTCGAGGCCGCATCCTACCATGAGAATCTTCCAGTCCAGCTCGTTGGCCAGCCGGACCAAACTCGGCTGCGCCAGCGTGAAGTTCCGAATCCAGTCGTGCCACGGCGTCCTGCGGCCACAGACCCGAGCCACGACGAACTGAATTTTTTTCCGGTCGGTGGCGCGCGAGCGCCGCGCAACGCGGGCCCGCAGCGGTGCAGAAACAAAACCGAGATGAAGGGACAGAGAAGCAGGTCTCACCCTCCGTTGTAATAAATCAGATCGAATTCCTTGTGCGGCGCCTGTTCGGGAGAGAGCTCCTTCGCCGGGATCAGCATGCCCTCGCTGTCCGCCCTGCACACACGCGCGCACGCGACGGTGCAACTCATTGCTCTCCGACGCACCGCGCGCGCCGCCTCCGCCGCGCACGGGCGACGCACCTGTTGAAATTCACGAAATCTGACTCCGAGATCAGCGCGCGCGGCACGCCCTCGGGCATCGCCGCCGCCTCCGCGCTCCCCGCCCGAAAACAGTGCAGCGCCGCATCCGCCGTCCGCGTGAGCTCTGCTCCATCCTCCAGCACGAACCGCGAGTCGTGCGGGTTCTGGACCTCGCCCGGAAACTCCTGGTACGACGACACGAGCAGCGTGATGAAGCCCACGCGTTTCAGGGCCATATATAGCCCATGCTGCATGGCCCGCTGATACATCTCGGCCTCCATGGGCGCCGACAGCGCGATGATGCCCGCCTCCCAGTTCCACTGGTCGAGGACCTTCTGGAACGGCCACGTCGGGACGCCCGCGGTCCACGGCACCAGAAACAGACCTGCGCGGCACGTGGGCAAGCGTCGTCGTCGTCGTCGTCGTCGTCGTCACTGTGCTGCGAGCGCTACGGTGCGGGGCGGGTGCTGCGGACTCGCGGCGCGACGGAGGGAAACTGGACGCAGGGGCGGGGCGCGGCGCCGACGCGAGCGGCGGAGCAGCCCGTGCTGCGCCTGAGACACATATATAGAAAAAACTCACCTTCTCCTTTTGCTGCATATCTTCGGCCCAGGCGCTCGATCTCGTCCGGATCGACGTCCTCCCGGCCGATCCACGCCCGCCTGCGCTCCTCCCACTCCGCCTCCAGCGCCTTGTTCGGACCGAACTGCGCAACGCCGCGCACATTTACTGACGCTGTGCACAAACACCTCAACGTGCGTCAGGAGGGGGGGTGTCCGGTTTTCGAGGCGTCCTGCGGCCCGCGCTGCGCGCCACAGGGCTCGTGGGTTCCGTGCGCACCTGGGCGTGCCCGTGCTCGTACCGCGCGGGCGCCCCGGCCTCGCCGACGGGGTGATACCTTCCGATAGAATGCAGGCCGACGTAGCCCGGGGTGTGCCCCATGTGGAGCTCGGATGGGTGGTTGACTATCATGCCGACGAAGCCGGCGACCGAGGAGAGCGCGAGGAGGAACAGGCAGCGTCGGACGCGCCACGCGCCTCTTGCGGGCTGCGTTGGCCTGGCCCCACGCGCCGCCATGGCCTCCGCGAGCCGTCTCTGCCCCGGCACGACGTCTCTCCAGTACTCTGCTAAATGGTGCTAGACAGGTCTTTGCCTCATGCTCTACGAACCAGGCGGAATCGCCCGCGTTGCTGTGGAAGGCACCGCCACGGCGCGCGCTGCCCGCGCGCACGTGCGAACGCACGCACCGGCTGTATCGAGGGCGTGGTCGTGGCCGCGATGCGGCAGAGGCGGGCGTGCGGGGCCGCTGGATCAGCCAATTACGGCGCAAGCGAACGCCTGAGAGTGCGCAAGCGCGGCGTGATGCGAGCGTGCTCGATCTACGTGGAATCCGACACTTGATGCACTCGCACGCGCGCTCCCACGGCAGCCGCGTGATTCGGGAACGTGCCCCGCGGGTCCGCGCGCCGCAGGCTTCTAGCAACCCGACGGGGGGGGGGTCATTCAAGTGGCGTCAGGTACGTGCCCGACCGTCGTGCGCGCCCTCGGTGGCCGCTGAACGCCGCGGCCGCGTGGCGGCGCTCGCACTCGCGAGCTCGCGACCCGGCGCTGGCTGCGAGTCGGGCCGCGCATCATCGCGTGGGACACGTGACGCGGTGCTCGTAGCTGGAGGGGGTCGCTGACGGCGGTGATGGCGGGTCCGTTCGAGACCGAGTGGGACCTGAGCGGCTACCCGGCTGCGGACTATGCGTTCGACGCGAAGCCCACGAGCGTTCGCCGGAAGCGGAAGCGCAAGCAGGACCTGGCAGAGCTGTCGCAAGTGTTGCGGCTCGCGGACAGCGCCGTGAGTCTGCGCGCGGTTGACGCGCCCGGGGACGCGGCGAAGAAACCGAAGAAGGCCAAGGAGGGGAAGAAGGCGAAGAGTGAAAAGGAACGCGGCGCGGGCGCGAAGGAAAAGAGAGCTGCGGGCGCGCAGAAGACGAAGGCGTCGAAAACTGGCGATGAAGGCACCGGTAGCGGGGCCTGGGAGGGGCTTCTGGATGTTGGTGATCTAGAGGGGGCTGTGGAGGATCGGAAGGCGCAGAAGAAGCGCAAGAGGGAGAAGGTGGGGCGACAGGACCAGCCGCCGGCCGCTGCCGAGCGCGGCGCCGGTGCGTCGCCGCGGGGCGGTGCGGGCCGCGGCCGGGACGACGGCGGGGGAGAGCGAGGTGGTGCGGGGCGGGACGCGGGTGCTGGTGCGGGGGAGGCGGAGGGCAAGAAGGAGCGGAAGGAGAGAAGAGAAACGAAGGATAAAAAAGTCAAGGAAAAGAAGGAGAAGAAGGAAAAGAAGAAAAGGGAGGCCAAGGGACCAGGGGAGCCCGCGGCGGCGCTCGAGGCCACGCCGACGGCCGCCCTCGAGGCGGAGCTCGCGCGTCGCCGGTCGCAGGGCGCGGCTACAGGGCCGTCGCCACCATCGCCGGCAGCGGCCCCGGCGCCGCGGGCCGGCGCGGGCCTGCGCAAGGGCGGCGTGCTCGAGAAGATGCGCGCGCGGCTCGCGGGCGGCGAGTTCCGGAACCTCAACGAGCAGCTCTACACGCAGCCCGGCGCCAAAAGCCTGCGTCAGTTCCAAAAAGACCCCTCCCTGTTCGACAGGTACCACGCCGGGTTCCAGGAGCAGACCAAGAGCTGGCCCGTGCAGGTGCGCACCTTCTCCCGCCGCGCCGCGCCCTCATCAACCACGCCCGTGCGTTTTATTCCATTCGAGGTATTGTCGTCTTTCACGCCGTCCCCGCCCGCACGGCCCGCCCCGCAGCCGCTGGACCTCGCCGTGAGGTTCGTCGAGAAGCTCGGCGCCGACAAGGTCGTCGCGGACTTCGGGTGCGGCGACGCGCGGCTCGCGGAGACCGTCGGCAACACCGTACACTCATTCGATCTTGTGGCGCGGAAACCGGGCGTCGTGGCGTGCGACATGGCCGCGGTGCCGCTCCCGGACGCCAGCGTGGACGTCGCCGTCTTCTGCCTCGCGCTCATGGGCACCGACTACGGGAAGGCGCTGGAGGAGGCATGGCGTGTGTTGCGGCCGGGCGGGCGGCTCTGGATCGCGGAAGTGCGCAGCCGGTGCGTTCCGCGGCCCTGGTGGATCGCGTGCTGTCTGTCTGGGCCGCGTGGTGCTCGTTGGTTGAGATCGAGGGCTGCGGGGGAAGAGGAGTCGTGTTTCGGTGTCTGGCGGTGCGGCGCAGGTTTGCCGACGAAACGGGGCGGCACGAGGCGCTGTTCGGGCCGTTCCTGGACGCGCTGCGCGCGGTCGGCTTCGAGCACGTCCGGAGCGACACGAAGGACAACCGCATGTTCCTCGTCGCGGAGCTGCGGCGGCCAAAGAAGAGCCAGCGCGGAAAAAGCACTCGAGGATCCTCGATTGCGTGGCCCGCGCTCAAAGCCTGCGTGTACAAGCGCCGCTGACGGCGCGCGCGTTCCTCTCCGACGCGCGCGCGTCGCGATGTGATCGGAAAGCGGCGCGGGTCCGAAGATATGGAATCTCGACTGCGAAGTGCTTCCATTACACGGACGCCGCGACCTCACGGCTGAGAAAGCATGATCTGCTGCGCGGCGGTGCACACGTGCAGCAGCTGCAGCGTCTCGTCCGCGCCGTCCACGAGCGCCTTGTCCGCGCCCGCCAGCAGCGCCAGAACCCCCCCCCTCTGCACGTCCGACAGCCCCGGGGCCTCCAGGACCGCCGCCTGCACCTGCAGCAGCAGCTGCTGCGCCGCGTACCCCTCCGCGATCGTGTCCAGCACCTTGGCGTGCAGCTGGTCGACCCCCCCCCGCCGGCACGCCCCCACGAGTCCGCTCACCACCTCCGTTGGTACCACTGCGCTCACGTCCAGGACCGTCGCACGCCGCACCTCCTTCCCGTCCAGGCGCACCGCCGACTGCAACGCACGCGCACGCACGCGCGTGTCGTCAGCACGCGTCAGCCACGCCCCGCCGCGGACAGCCCTCGTATGGAGCGACAAATAATTAAATATGAAATCCTATTTCAAGGGGCATGGATGATACCTGCAGCGTCGTGATCGCCTTGCGCAGGTCCCCGCCGGAGACGTCGCTGAGCGCGGCGTGCGCGTCCGGCGGCAGCGTCACGCCCTCGCTCTCGCAGATCTCGGCGATCTTCTTCCGCATCACCTCGCCCTCCAGCGGCTGAAAACGGAACTTGGCGCACCGCGACGCCAGCGGGTCGATGATGCGCGAGACGTAGTTGCAGCAGAAGCAGAACCGCGTGACCTTGCTGTACTGCTCCATCGTGCGCCGCAGCGCGCTCTGGGCGTCCTGCGGCGGCGGCGCGCGGTCGGAGCGACGAGTTGTGAGATAGGAAACGAAGAATGGTGTTGCGTGCGTGTTCCGGGTCTGTGCTGCGGCGCGGAGCGGCGCGGTGCGCGGGCGGTGCGCGGGCGGTGCGTGCCTGCGTCATCGAGTCGGCCTCGTCGAGGATGAGCAGCTTGAATGGCGGGCAGGGGTATCCGGGCGCAGGCGGGCCGACAGCTCGGGCGGCGAACGTCTTGATTTTCTCGCGCACGACGTTGATGCCGCGCTCGTCGGACGCATTGAGCTCCATGACGCGGTCGCGGTAGAGCTCCGGGCCGAAGAGCTGCTTCCCGATCGCCAGCGCTGCGGGGACACGAGCGCAGCGTGACGCGGCCGTGGGCGGGAAGGCTTGCGCGGGCCCGGAAGCGCGCGCCTGGCTGCGCGCCCGCGCTTCCTGGAGAGGTCTTGGTCAGGGAAGCTGGAACGCAGTGCGTGCGGGATCGCGGGCGCACCTGCGGACGTTTTCCCGGTGCCTGGTGGTCCATAGAACAGCAGATGGGGCATGCTCCGCTCCTGGAGGGCCCGGTTGAGCGTGTTGACGACCTGGTCCTGGTGCGCGAGGTCCGAGACCTTCTTCGGGCGGCTGCGCGGGCGTGAGACGGGTCGCGGGGCGTGGCGGGAACAGCATGCTCTGCGCGAGGGCGTTTCGTGGTCTGCGCGGCGTGTTTCCCGCCGAACGCGGTGTTCCGCGGCCGCGCTAGTTAGACAACAGGTTGTAGGCGGCGGGGCGCGCACTATTTCTCAACCCATGGCTGCAGCGCGTCCGTCGTCATCGTGCGACCGGTCTGGGCCGTGGAGCCCTCTGATCGCCGAACGCCGGCCTCTGCGTGCTCGAATGTAGCCCTCGCTGCCCCGGCCTCGTCCGCAAACACCGCCGCGAGCCACCCGGAGCGCCAGATACCGCGGCGGCCCCCGCGGCGACGCGCAACGAGGGGGCGACGCGTGACGTGCATAGACATCCCCTTTTGCTGACGTGAGGGCCCGGACGCGCTCGCGAGCGCACGGCCGGCCCCGGGCGCCCGCGCAGGGCACTCGGCTACCCGGAGCGACCGCCGGACGACGTGGCAAGAGCGCCTCGGTGCAGCAACGGCGACAATTGCACCATCTGTGGTTGCCGCGGCTGGCGCACGGTGCTGGCCGACCGCCCGGCTCCAGCCGCCCGGCTCCTCTAGCAGATCTTCGTGGCGCCGGCCGCGGGGAATGAGCACGAAAGCTTCAGAGCAGAAAGCGCTGGACGTTGAACAACTGCATTTGGCCGCGTGCGCAGCGGGGCAGGCGACGTACGTCGACCCCGACAGCGGCTACGCGGTCTTCACCGCGGTGCACCACCGGGAGCGCGGAGTCTGCTGCGGGTGCGGCTGCCGGCACTGTCCGTTCGCGCCTCGACACTGCAACGGCAGCACGGACCTCGCGCCCACGCCGGACAGGGCGGATGCCGGGCCGAGCTGACTGCGCCCAGGGCTGCTTCCGCGAGTCGGCTAGACATCCTTGAAGTGCGGTATGGATTTCGACGGACCGACGCGCTCGGGGTACCCGCCCCCGCCCCCGTGGGTGAGGCTATATGGACCGGGGAAGCAGGTGGGTGCCGCTCCGCGCCTCAACATCATCGCCGTCGCACCTCTGACCTCTTCTCCGCGCGTTGCGAACATATTTTCGCACGCATGTCGCCTGACAAGGCCACCAATCTACCGAATTGCCTCTGCTACGCACGCAACGCCCGCTGCGACGCCCCCACGCGACCGCGCAGGGCCCGAGGCCGCCACAGATACCTCCAGGCGCCGGCACGGACGCTCCGATCCCCCAGCTGGGCATGCTGCACTCCACGAAGCTGAACCTGGCTACGGCGACCATGGACGTGCCGCGCGTGGTGGCTCCGGACCCCGCGACGGTCCGCGACGGCAAGGCCGAGCTGCGCAAGCTCGCGCGCGAGATGCTCCTCAGCTACGTCGACCTCCTGGACTGCGCAGGCAAGCGGAACGACATTGCTGTCGCAACGTGCTCACATCGCTGCTTCACGCGACGCACGCCCCTGGCCGCGCGCGCGTCGCGGTCCGGGGCGGCACAGGGTCATCTTCGAACAGTCCTACCGTGTACTCGCTTGACGACCCATGAATCGTCGAATTTGATGTTGAAATCGAAACATCGTTTCATAATTGATCTTTTCTTTGTTTCTGCAGCTGCGCGGCCCTCGCAGCTGCGCGGCTCGGACCCGATGCGGCTGTGGTACGATCCGGAGGTGCCCCGCCCGCCCCCCGTCGAGACCGTCCGCGCCGCCGTGCAAAACCTGCTGCACGTGACCAACGTGCTGCGGCCGCACCAGGCGCGCCTGGGGCTGGCGGAGCGGCTCCGGCGCGGCGTCGCGGAGAAGCAGGCCGCGTTCGACGCGCTCGACGCCGCGGAGCGCGAGGCGGAGGAGGCCGCGAGCACCGCCGCGGCGTGGGCCGCGCGGGCGGCGGGCACGCAGTGAGCGCGCACCTGGCTGCGGCGTTCGCTGAGTTGTCCGCGAGGTGCCAGCCCGCGCTAGGCGAGGTGCTCGGTGCCAGTGAGGCTGCGGGGCGTGGAACACGGGCGCGCAACTGACGCAGTGCCGAGACCCAACAACCCCACCCTGTCATACCACGTGATAGCAGCGGTGCAGGCGCAGCGCGTTCCGTCCAGCGCCCGCCTGTGACCGGCTGCGAGCGGCGCGTCGCTCTTGACCGCAACGTGCAGCTGGAAGACACTGTTTTGGCTCTGTTTGCGTCACACTACATCTCCATCTATCCATCCCGTCGCTGCCTGCGGATCGCGTTCCCCACGCCCGCCCACTCCCCTCCGCCACCTCCTCGCCCCCCGCGTTCTCACCCCTGCGCCCCGACACTCCCCCCCCTGCCGTCAGGCCCGTACACCACAAACCCCCCTGTCATGACGCACCCGAGCGCCAGCAGCGTTTCCAGCGTCTGCATCCACGCGGTCACTGCGCCCTCCGCGGCCCGCGCCGGCCCGCGCGGCGGCGGAAAGTGCAGCCCCCACGGCCACTCCCGCAGCACCCCCATGCACGCCGCGACGTCGCAACCCCCCCCCGGGAGGGCGTCGCTCGCGATCGGCCACCCCCGCACCGTCGTCGGCGCAGCCGCGAAGCCGGCCAGCGTACCGGGCGCGGGCGCAGGGGCCGGGGCCGCGCGGGCTGCCGGGGCCTTGGCATCTGAGTTGTTGTTGTTGTTGTTGTTCTGCGGGAAGAGAGTCTGCAGTGCCCGGCGGGGCTGGGGCTTCGCTGCGGCAGGTGGGTGTCTTGCGATGGCTCCTCCGTCTTCGTCGCTGTCGGAACACACGACCACCCGATCGTGTCGGGCGCGCTTGGCCGGCTTCGCAGCCGCGCCGTCGAGGCGACCCACCGCGCACGGCTTGTCCCGATCCAGAGAGCCGAATCCGTCAGGCGGCGCACTTCGCCGTTGCCCCCGCGGCTGCTCCTCCGGTGCGAGGGCGAGCGGGCGCGCGTGCGCTGCGAGGGCGTCTACGTTGCACGGAGTGACGTCCTCAGGGGACACTGCGCGCGCCTGCAAGGGCGGCTGCGTGTCCGCGGCGCCCCGCGCCGCGCCTTCGCCGCGCATCGCGCTCGGCTGCGCATGTTCGCGCGTTCTTTTCCTGTCCTTCTTGTTTTTCGCAGCACGCGCGCTGGGCTCGGCTTTAAGCAGCAGCTTCGTGAGCCCGTACTTCTTCATGATGCCGCCCGCGCTCGCGTCGACCTCGGCCGGCCGGACGGACCGCGGCGTCCTGCGGCCCGACGCCTTGTGCGAGCGCGACGACGCCAGCGCCTTTGCGTTGTTGCTGCGGGCGAGGTGGGCGTCGGGGCCCCAGGGGTTCATCGCGAGGCTGTGGTCGACGTCGGGGGCGGCCGCCGCGGCCCCGGGCGCCTTGCTGGGCGTGTACGTGACGACGCGGCGGCTGAAAAGACCCCCGGGGATGTCCCCAGACTCCCACTCGCGAACGACCTGCTGGCAGCCGCAGTCGATGAGCTCCTGCTCGGTGAGCCAGCTCTCGAGGGGGTCGAGCTCGTAGCCGGACCACTTCACCTGCGGACGCGCGAAAAATCGACGCGGTGGTGTGTTGCGGGCGGAGGGGGGGGGTGTGTCGATGTGGGCCGTGCGGGGGCGGGGGGTTTGCCTGGAAGAGCCTCTCGGACGCCTTGATCTTGCTCGTCTTGCCGTCCTTGCTCGCGGGAATCGCCTCCGCGACCAGCCAGTCCACTGCACGTCGAGAGATCGCACGAGTCATCGTTGAGAGAACGCGGCAGGCATTGTTGACCGCGACGGCCCGCGACGCGGCCGACGGCCAGCACGGGCCCTTGTTTCCGGCGTAAAGGAAACTCACCGCCCGCTTGATCGTCGATGACGTGTCCGGCGAGGTCCTCTAGGCGAACGTCCCCAGCGCGCTTGGTCAGCTCGCCAGGGTACAGCGCCAGCATCTCGCGCGCCCGCACGAGCTTCGGCACGGCCGAATCGTCGTCGATTGGTTCGACAGGCATGCCGGCGCGGCCCTGCGCGCTGTCGCCCGCGCCCACGGCGCCCTGTCGGTCGTTTCCCGCCAAGGCCTCCGGCCCTGCGCGCACAGTTACGCAAAGGCGCGCGAGGCTGGCTCGGCGCTTGGCCCATAGTACGAACAAACAGCGGTGGCCAGGTGGCGCCGAACCGCGCCGGTGCGACGCCGCGGCGCGGGCTGTTGTAAGTTTCGAAAACTTCGCATCCGTGGCCCGGCCCCGCAACGACCGACCGCCACGCGCTCTCACCCGCTTCGGACTCGCTACTTGATGTGCACGCGAGCGCGCGGCGCTTCGTGCCGGGTTCCGCGGACATCGCCGCGCAATCGCGTCGTGCTTGCCGGCAAACAGAGCCACGGCTCGGAAGCCGACGCACGACGCTCGAGGCGGCCCTTCCCGCGCCGCCCGTAGCCACGCGGATCCAAGGCGACGGCTGGCCGCGCGGTTCCTGTGGTGCCCGCACGCACCTCGCGGACAAGCGACACAAACTATGCTGGGTAGAAACCACGAACGTTCTTCGCGGGGTGCTGTCCTCGCCCGAGGTTCGCGGTCGCTCTGGACGCCCAAGTGCTCGCCCTGCTGGCGGCCGCGCCCGACGTGCGCGCCCAGCGCCGCTCCGGACGTGGCGCGATGTTTTATACACTCCCCGCGTGCACTTGCCCTCTGTCCGTCCGACAGACCGCGCCCGCGCGCCGCGGAGTGCCTGGCGGGCCGCCGCCGCTCCGCACTCGCTCGATCTTCCGCCGCAACTGGTAGATACCTCGGTGCGTGAACCACAGCACGGCCACGACGCCTCCCTAGGTCAGAGCGGGCCCAGTCGACAGCCGCTGCGGAGCCTGCTGCGAAGCAGCGCGCGCCGCCGCCCCCGCAGGGCGTCGGAGAAGCATGAGCTTCTTCGGTCTCGGCCGGTGCGGGCCCTGAACCCCACACCACGTCGCGGGGACCCGTACCTCCCGGAGTTGCCTGATATCAAACCGCCCGCGTTCGGCCGTTTCCGGCGCCCTCGCGGCGCCCGGCGCCGCCGAGCGCACGCTTCGTTGTTTGAACGATGCTGTGCGCGAAATCACAGGCATGCATTTGAGCTCAAACGCCCGCACGCGCCCGGCAAGCCCAGTCCACCTAGCCTTCGGCGCGCCGCCCGCCTGCTTGCAGCACTGCGGCGAAGACGTTCCGGCCCAAGAAGAATGCGCCGCTGGGTAGTAAGGTGAGGCCCCTGCCAGCGCGCAGCGCCCGCACACCGCTGCACGCGGCTTTAGTTGGGCCGGTGTGCCTTCTGCCCGCGTCCGGCCCCGCGGGCGGCAGCGCGGCCCTCCGCGCCCCTCCACGGCCTGCTCCCACACTCCCTCTCGCCCGGCGCGCGCCGTGACGCTCGCAGGGTCTGCAACTGAAGCGACAAATCGACGCCACGCTGGGTAGCGGCAACCTGAAGGAAGCGGTGCGCCTGCCACCAGGTGCGGCGCGCCCGCGCTGACCGGACCCGACAGAAACCTTCCCCACTCCAGTGCCCGTCGGCCCGCGCGGTCGTCTGCGCGCGCCGTCACACGGCACACACGCACGCCCGCCTTGTAGCCTGTTCAGCTTCCGCGTGCCGCAGCGTCCCGGCGGGCCGAGCGCGGCGCGGCGGCGCCGTGAGCCCCGAGCACTGGGACCGTGCGTGCAGGAGAGGACCTGAACGAGTGGCTCGCGGTGAACACGGTCGGCTTTTACAACGCGATCAGTGTCCTGTACGGAACGCTCGAGGAGTTCTGCACCGCGGAGGGCTGCCCGACCATGAACGCCGGCGCCAAGGTCCGTTCCGTCCCCACGCATCCTCCCGCGGCCAGCGCCGCGCGCCCCGCGCCCGGCTCGCGCCGCGGCGGCCCTCGCGTCCTCCCCAGCGGCGCTGCCGCGCCCTCCGCTGCCCGCGCAGTTCGAGTACCTGTGGGCGGACGGCGTGAAAGTGAAGAAGCCGATCAAGCTGAGCGCCCCGGAGTACATGGACAAGCTGTTCGAGTGGATTGAGGAGCAGCTGGACGACTCGAGCATCTTCCCGCAGCAGTTCGGACAGCCCTTCCCAGCGGGGTTCCAGGACGTCGTGCGGCAGATCCTGAAGCGGCTGTTCCGCGTGTACGGCCACATGTACCACTGCCACTTCCGGAACGTCTGCGCCCTGGGCGCGGAGGCGCACCTCAACACTTGTTTCAAGCACTTTATGTTTTTTACCATCCACTTCTCGCTGATCGACGCGAAGGAGCTCGCGCCGCTCCAGGAGCTCATCGACCAGCTCGTGCGGTAGTACCGGGCGCGCGCGCCGATGTGAGCGCGACGTTGAGCGGAGAACAGCGCGTGACGCGTGGCGGGACTGCGCATTGCGAGCGACGCGCGGGGGGCGGCGACGCGGCCGCGCCGCACGCGCACTGCGCTGCGTGGACCGGCGCCGCCGCGGTGCGCGCGGGGGCGGGCCGCGGCGGCCCCGCTCCGGTGCGCAGTGCCCCGCCCTGCCGCCCACACACCCCCCCCCCTTGCCACCACGCGCGCCGACGGGCCGACGCCGCTCGACGCTGGACGCCCGTCGCGGCTAGCGCGCCCCCGCTTCGGCCGCTACCGGCTCTGCGTGCACATGCTCGCATGGCACGTCGCGCGAGCACTCCTGGCAAGTTGCCGCCTCGATCACGACGATAGCACACCGCATTTCGTTTCTTGCGCGGGCATTCAATTACTGCTTTGCGTATCCCACCGGCACCGCGGGTCCCGGCACCGCGTCCCACTCACAGCTGTCGTCGCGGGCGTGCAGCGTGTTCCGGGCGAGGGTCGCGGCGCCGCGGGGCGGCGCCGGGGGGCTGCGAGCTCGCACAGACTGCGCGCGCGCCGCCGCCCCGTCACGGTGGCGCCGCGGGGGCCGCAGCCGCGTCGACGTGAGGGTTGCGTGCAGGCGCGGGTTGCGGTTCGAGCGTGCCGACGAAGGCCTTCGGGGAGCCGATGAGCTCCGCGATCGAGGCCGTCTTCAGGTCGCTGTGCGCGCGCTCGAAGCCCTCCGTGCAGTCCTTGCCCGCCCACTTCCTGCAAGCGTGGCGAGGGCCCACACCCTGTCATTCGGCCACGTGCGTGCGCGACATCACGCGGCTCGCACGCGCGAAACAATGCGACGCCGCGCTCGCAGAGAAGCAAACTCGTTCAACATTGCGACGTTTTTGGAATGTGTGGCCCCAGTCGGTCATGGGCGCGCACAAGAGCGCCTCTCTTCCGCCCGGGTGGTTGTTCAGGAATCCGTGGACCCTGTAGACGTTCCCGCGCACCGCGACCCAGGCATTAAAGGCGTCGCCGTGCGTAGCTAGTTCGGCCGCCGTGACGACCCGCTCCTGCTTGCCCGCGGCGGGCGCCGCTCGCGCCCCGGGGGCTCCTGCGGGAGGCTTGCGGCCGGCCCCGGCGGCCTTGGAGCCCTCCGCCCCCATGTTCCGTCCTCACTGAGCAAAAGAACGATGAATGAACGAATTACGGTGAACTATGTGGTGTTTCGTGAGCCCAGCGGTGTCGGCGGTGCGCCTACAAGCTGTGCGTGTTCCGCTCTCGCACCGCTTGCTATTGATCGAGCACCGCCGTCGATGGCGCCAGGGACGCACGCAAAGCTACCCCGCACAGGCGGGAGCGTCCCCGGCGCGCCAGCAGTGAGGCGCTCGCGACCCCGCACCAAAACACCCCACGTCGCATGTGTTCTACTTCTATCAACACCCCTCCCCATTAAGCGCGTTCTCCGCCGGGCCTCGCCTGCCCCAGCAGACCGGCGCACTGGCGGCCGACCCGCACACTCGCGCGCGCCACGCAGCCGCTGCAGCTACGGCGTCAAGCAATTGACCACCCGCACAAGGCACGAAATGCGGGTGCGCTGTCGTCCTGGCCAGGGCGGCAGCGCGCTAGGAGTACTCGCGCGAACTGCCATGTGAGCATGTCATCAAGTGCCAATGGGCGTCGCGCAGCAACCCCAATACAGTCCCAGCCGGCTACCCACTGTGCTGTGCTGCGGCAACCAACGCGGCACACGACGCCCACGCACGCCGCGGCGCGTGGCCCGCCGGCCGCCCGGCTCCTCTCCGCCGCGCCGGGCACCCCGGGGGGCACCGCCGCTGCGGGGCGCGTGCGTGACACGGCGCGGGCCGCTGCGCGGCGCGGGTGGCGCGCGGCTCACAAGGTCGTGACCTCGCGGAACCCGTTCTTGTCGATAATGCAGACCTGGTACTTGGGCGACGCCACCACCAGCCTCTTCCGAATCTCAGCGACGCCTTTCCTCATCATGTCAAGAGCGTACTCCTCCGACGCGTCCGGCTGCCAGAGCTTGTCCCACATCGACAGCACGAAGTAGGAGCCTGCGGGAACGCGCGGGGCGGGTCCGGGAGGGTCACGGCGGGCAGAGGCAGGGCCCCTTTGCACAGCTAGCTGCGGGAAGGGGCGTTGGCGGCGTGGCGAGCCGACGATGCGTCGGCAGGGCCGCCTGGACGGCGGGTTCACTTCCGGGTGCGGGTGCTCGGAGCGGCGCGGGGGGCCGGGGCGCGTCGTGCGAGCGCGGGGCCCTTGCGGGAGGAGCACGGTGTGGAGAGAACCGGCCAGTCCGGCGCTTGTAGGCAGGGATCTAGGCGCGACGCGCGAGATCTCGATCCGGGGTGCGAATGTGCGGGGCGGGCGGCGCTCGGAGTCTGCGCGTGGGTCTCGTGGGGGCCGGCGCGGGTCGCACCGTAGCCCGTGCCAGCGATGTTCATCTTGTGCATCGTGGCGAGGTAGTCCATCCAGTATAGCGACGCCCCCGTTGCCTCGTCGTATCCAGCTATGAGGAGGTTGCAGAAGTAGGGCGACTGCGAGGGCGAGCGGCGCGGGAGGGGCGTCAGCAGAAGGGTCGGAAAGAGGTGGCCAGCGCCGCTCGTGGCGGGGCGTCGGCGCGAGGCGACCGCGGGAAACGGGTCGCTGTGATCAAGCTCTGATCGGGCGCGGCGCGCGAAACGCGCGCGGGGGCGTGTCGGGCTCACCTTTCGCAGTGCGGTTGCGAGCTCGCCCCGCGTGAAGTGCGCGATGGCCTTCGTGTTGAGCCCCACGCTGTTCCGGAGAGCATAAAGTCTAACGTTGGCCATGATGTACTCCGAGAAGTTCACCCGGTCCCCTGGCTCCCCCGTCACGGCCATTGCGTGGTGCGAGTCGATGGGCAAGATCTTTTGCTCGTCATCCTTGAGCGTGATGATCTGACTCACGGCGCTCGTGTCGCTACACAGCATGATGAAGTCCTTGCCCTTCACCCCGAGCAGCGTCTCCATCCTGACCGCCGCTCTCCGCTACGCGCCAACTGGCGCACTCTCGCAACCTCTCTCCCCGCCCACTACGCGCCCAGGAACCCTCCGCGCGACGACGCAACGAACCGCGAACGATCCACCTAGCGCGAACTCTCGCCCGCGCCGCTCGGCCCGCGCAGGCAATCACGACTCCGACCATACGGGGCCTCGCAGCACCCGCGACAGACCAGCACATTTACACCCCCTGACGCTCCCGCCGCCCCGCGATCCGCCCCGCAGCCACGCGCGAGCCCCATCGCACGTCGCGCCGCGCAGTGCGTGGCTGGCAGCGTTGGCAGCCACCGTTTGTCAAAAGACCAAGAATGTTCACAAGCGAACTGGCCGACGGCAGGTGAACCTTGTGACCCACTCACTCACTCACTCGCTCACTCACTCACTCGCAAGGTCCTACGCCGACGCCCACAGCAGCAGCGGGGCCTGCAGGAGCGCGCCGACCAGCATCGAGGCCAGCGTCTCCGACTGCGGATGGAAGTAGCGCGCGGTCGCCGACATGTCCGCGGCCACGAGCCACATGAGCGCGCCGCACGCCGCCATGTGCAGCGCCGTCAGCAGCGACAGCGCCGGCACGACCACGCCGCCCTTTGCCCGCGCGCTGTCCGCCCGCGCAGCCCACAGGGACACGAACGATGCTAAGAGCTCGGCGTGGAGGATCCCTGCGACGCAACCGAGGGCCACGCGACGCCGGCCCGTGGGATAAAGTTCGGCGCTGCCAGGGCCGACGCGGGGACGCGGGGGAGGCGCATGCGGGACGGCGCTTCGCGCAACAAAGGTCGTTTAGAACTAGGGCGAGGGGGTGTGGCTGGGGGGGTGTTGTTGGGGAGGGAGGCGTCGCTCGGGGCAGTTGCGGTGCTGGCATGGGGGGCAGAGCGGGGTGGGGGCGCGGACGCACCGTATATGGCGGCTCCGAGGACAATATGGTCGGACATGAGCTCGAAGACTCTTTTTTCTATCTTCTCCATCACCGCCTCGTCATGGCCCATCATGTGGAGCTGGCGCGCGATGAAGCTCTTCAGGAGGTGCAGGAGGTGCCCGTCGATGTGCAGCTTGTACACGCCCACGCGCAGGCCCGCCACGACCGCGTAGAACACCCCCGCGACAGCCCACGCGGTCAAGTGCCACGCTGGCAGCCGGCGGAGCCGCGGGGCCGCGACGGCGAGACCCAGGACGCACGGGAGGAGGCGCGCGGCCCAGAGGGCGAGCGCGAGGAGCGGGCCGTGCCGGCGCAAGTGCTCGTCGAACCTGCATGCGTGCGAAAGTGCAGCGGGCGGTGACGACCGACGTTTGGCGCGAGGCGCGCGCCGCGGGAGGCGGACGCCGTGAAATGCGAGTACCTGGGCTGGAAATCGCGGGTCGGAACGGGAGGATGCGGCGCTGAGATTGGGTGTTGTACGAGTAGGTGTTTGGGCCGACGGTTGCGTACCAGGCGAGGGAGTGGGCTGTCTTCAGTTCGAAGTACGCTTTTCCGTCCTTTTCCTCGTAGTATTGCGCGCTCGCGACGAGGAAGAGCCACCACGCGGCCTGTGGTCCGGCCACGATCAGCCAGCTCCACACTCCTGGCACCGCCTCGAGCAGCTGCGACACCGACGGGCGATGGCTCGCCCCCGCAGCGAGTGCGACGGTACTGCTGTCCACGGCGCGCACCTCGGCGATCCGCGCACCCGCGTGCCGGCCCAGCACCAGGGGGCTCTGCGCTGTGCCCCTCATGTGGGCGTGGCGGGCCAGCGAGGACTAGCGAGGGAGCCTAGACGGCAAAAATAGGCCGAAGGATGATCAGAGATGCCGTTCTTGGGAATTTGGGCGAAGTTAAGATACGCCAGCGGCAGGGCCTGAGTCGCGCAGCACTAATGGTCCACAGCACCAATCCTTGCGAATAGAAATAGACGCGCACCCCGCCCCGTTCCAGCTCTCAGGTTTTCCGATTCAATCGGGCCACCGGACCTCACACCGGCCAATGACACCTCCCCGCGCCAAACCACCCCAAACACCACCTTTCAGTCCCCCCCCACGCCCGCCGAGCCCTCACCCGCGCGCGCGCTTCACGCCCATCGGCCGCTTCACCGGCTTCCGCCGCTTCTGCCCCGCCGACTCCAGCCCCTTGCTCGACGCCACCCCCGTGCCAGCGGGCTCGTCCTTGCGCGCGGGCTTACTGAACTTGAGCGGGTCGATGATCACGCCCGTGCTCTTCAGCACCGCCGGCCGCGTCAGATTCCGGAACCCTGCGTCAGTGTTGTACTCCCTCCCGAGCGGCTGCCGCAGCGAGCGCTCATACGCCTCCCGGGACGTGAACGGAAACGGCACCGACGGGGTCCAGAGCTTGCTCGCCTTCTTGTCCCACTTCTCGCTCACCACGACGCCCTCGAGCTTCGCGTCCTTCCGCCGCCGCAGCGCGTCGGCCCGCTCCTTCTCCGCCTTGTCCCGCTCGCGCCGCATCCAGGCAGGCTCGCGCTGCTGGTCGCTCCACATGCCCCACCCCGGCATCACCGTGGGCGTCTCGATCTTCGGCAGCTCCTCCTCGGCTTCCCTGCGCTTCGCCTCCGCGAACTCCGCCGCCACGTCGTCGCCCGCGAACGCCTCCGCGATCAGCGCGCGTTGCCGTGCGTCGCCGCCGTCGACGGCCTGCACGCCGCCCGCGCCCTCCTCGTCCATCGGCGCATCGTCGCCGACGCCCCGCGTGGGCTCCGCGCCCGCAGCCGCCCCCCCGGGCGCGTCCGCGATTCGGTGCTCTTCGGCAGGCTCCACGCCAGCCATCGTGACGCCCGCTGCGTTCGCGGCGAGGTCCTCGCGCTCCCGCAGCCGCGCAGCCGCGGCCTTGGCCGTCCCGAACTTGCCGTCGTCGAGGTAGTACCCGACGCCCTTCTTCCCTTTGCGAAACACGTACCCGTCGACGGCGCCGCGGAACTTCTTGCATTTCGCGAACCTCGGCAGCGACGACGACGCCGCGGGCGTCCCCGTGATGTCCGCGATGGTCCTGACGCCCGCGCCGCGCGCCGCGCCCTTGGGCGCCGCGGCGACCGGCGGCTCGGAGAGCGCCGGTGGCTTCGTTGCCTGCGGCGCCGTTCCGGCCTGCTGCGACTCCAGCCACCCGCGCACCGCGTTGCTCCGCGTCTGGCCCTCGACGACGGTGGGGCCCGCCGTCGCCGCGACCTTGGACGCCTTGCGCCCGGCGCGCCCGGCCTCCGGCGCGTCGTGGGAGGCGTCGCGGGCGTTCTGCGGGGCGCCGTCGTCCCCGCCGCGCAGCTCCTTCGCACGCGCGCGGGCCTCTTCCAGGAACTCCTCCTCGTCCGAGTCCTCGCCGTCGCGCTCGCTGTCACTCCCCCCGACCGCGTCGAACCCCCCCCGGGCGGGCCCCACCCCCGCCCCCTCCTCCGCATCCGCGCCCCGTCGCGCCGCCAGACCGCCCGCACCGTACCCCACGCCGTCGCCTGCACGCACACCACCACAACACGGACACTGCGTCGCACCGCCGACAACGCACGCCAAACAAACAAACACTATCTTTCGAATATTCGTCAACCATCAGTTGTCATCATCTCTTCTTCCACGCACCTCCGAACCCGAACCGCCCCGCCCGCCCGCCGCCCACCTCCGGCTCCGCCACCTCCATCTCGTCGATGTCGCGCCCCTCCGCCAGCGCCTCCTGCTCCGCCTCATACTCCCTCAGCATCCCCCGCGCCGTCTCCGCCACCGCCGCCTTCTTCCGCTCCATCGCCCGCCGCATGAACGGCAGCGAGAAGAGCCCCTTCTTCCCCAGCTCCCCCACCTCCTCCGCGTCCCCGGACTCCAGCGCCTTGAGCGCCGCGGCCTTGACGCTCGCGGGCAGCCCCCGCCGCAGCTGCGGAGCGCTGTTCTCGCCCTCGCCCTCGCTCTCCGTCTCCGTGCCGCCCTCGCTCGAGCCCGCGTCGCCCTCGCCCTCCGCCTTCCTCCGCAGCTCCTCCCCGAGCCGCAGCTGCTCCTGAACGGCCGCCTTCGTCCCTGGATCCAGCCCCTTGCGCAGCGCGCGCTTGGCCCACTTGCTCGTGTTGCGGTGCCGCAGAGTGAGCCGCTCCTTGATGCGCTCCATCTCCCGGCGCTCGCGCTCCTCCGCCGTGAGCCCCGCGTCCGCCGCCTCGCCTGACTCAGGGTCCAGAAGCCCCGCTTTGATTGCCTTGAGCTTTTCCGCCTTGTTCTGCCGCTTGTGGTAGCCCTTCGACTTGATCTTCGCCAGCCGCTTCAGCTTCATCTCGTGGTGGAACAGCAGCGACCGCATCTTCGCCAGCCGGTCGCGCCGCTCGCGCGCGTCGCCCACCGACAGTGCACGCAGCGCCAGCACCTCCTCGGCCTCCTGCACCGCGCGCGCCGTGTCCGCGCCGGCCTCCTTCAGCAGCCCCGCCACCTCCGCCTCCATGCCCTCCGCCGCGGGCGTGAAGTTCGCCACCAGCGCCGCCGTCGACGCCACTTTCGCCACCTCGCCGCGCGACGCGTCCCGGAAGTCGAGCGTCGGCGCCTCGCGGTTCGCCTTCACCACGTGCTTCCACCGGTCCACCGTCCCCTTCGCGCTCTCGTACCCGACCTGCCGTTCCAGCCGGTCGCGGATGTTCCCGGGCAGCGGCGCCTCAACGGCCTTCCGGCCCTTCGCGTGCATCCGGTCGAGCGCCTTCCGCGCGTCCGCGAGCGGCCGGGCCGCGCCGTCCTTCGCGGCGCCCGCGAGCAGGTCGCGCACCGACACGCGCGTCGCGTCGCCCGCCGGCGCCGAAAACTCCCCCTCCGCCTGCGCCTCGGTCTGCAGCTCCCCGCCGCGGCGCCTCCGGACCCTGTCCCTCCCGAGCACGTCCGTGATCATGCGCTCGTGGCCCTCGTCGTCGAGCTCCTCGTCCTCGTCGGCCCCGCTGTCGGACGCCCCCGCGCCCTCGCTGTCAGACTTGTCGCCGCCCTTCAACTCCCCCGCATCGCCGTCGCCGTCGCCCCAGCCCTGCGATCGGACCGCCAGCGAGGCCGTGAGCGCCCACGCCGCGCTACCGCGCAGACCGCACTCATCGCCGCGGCGCAGGGGGGGGGTTGGATGCGTTCTTGCATGTGCTCGCATGCGCGCTGTGGAGACTCGCACCGCGAATAGCTCGCCGTCCTCCTCGTCCCACGCGACGTCCGAGCCAGACTCGTCCTCGGAGCCCTCGTCGGACTCGAGCAGGTCGACCTCCTCCGTCGGCGCGCCCGACTTCCGGGGCTTGCGCGGAGGCTGGTCGCCGAAAAACTCGCCGAACCTGTAACGGCGCGAATCGAAGGGGAATTTCGCGCCGAGGGCAACGGCTGCGGTGCTGGGGAGTGTGTCGTCGGGGACGCGGTGCCCCGCGGGCGCATTGCCGCGGTCTGCGCGGGGAGATGCGTGGCAAGTGGAAGGTGCGTGCGACGTGCCGTGGGCGCACCGTTCCTCGTCGTCCGTGTCGAAGGCCTCGTCCTCGTCGATTTCCTCGTCCTCGAAGCCCCCCGGCAGCTCGTCATCGTCGCTCACGTAGTCCTGCGAGGGCGCGGGCCACTTCAGAGCGTTCTATGCCGGCCCAGCGACCACAAACGCCGTGAATTCGCGCCAAAATCAACGTTTCAGGCATCTCGCTGCAACGAGGAGGCAAACTCGTGCCAGGACACCCCCGTGGATGCCTCAGGGGTGCCAGGCCCCGCGTCGTACTCAGCCGCCAGGCCTCCACGCGCGACGACGACGCCCAGGGCGCCCGGCGAAGCCGGATAGCGCCCCGACGGTACCATGCGATACCGTATCATCGTCGTTGCGCGCGGATTCGCGGTGAAATCGCACGCAGAAGCACGGACGACGCAAGGTTCCTCCACCGCATCAGTGCCCGGCGAACAGCGCTGCGCGAGACCGGGGTCACGGAATCGGGCGCGACGCACGTCGAAGCGCTCCTTCTGCTTCTCCTCGGGGTTCTCTTTCTCCTCGAGCTCGTACAGGTCGCTGCTTTTCGGCACCTTGTCCCTGCGCCCCCCCGCAGCGCCGCCCCGCCTCTTCCCCATCCTGCCTGCGCCCTGGCACCGGCTGCGCCCGAACAGGCGGCGCAGGAGAGCACCGCGGTCCCAGGCAAGCGCCTGCCGGTGCGAGAGTCGCGATTCCTACGCGGCGTGCGGTCCCCCGGGCCTCTACGATATCTACGTGTGTTTCGTGCAGTGTGTTTCCAGGTGGCTCCGCGCGACGAGGCGGCCGTGGCGAAGGAGCGCGCCGCGACGGACGGGACAGGTGTGCGCGGGCCGCTGGGGCGACGCGGGCCGAAGACGGCACACACACGGACAGCGCAGTCGGACGTATGATAGTGACTCCGTGTCTGACAGTCTGCGCTAAAACACCCCCCCCCCTTCGCGAGGCACTCAGCTACGGCCTCCGCGTCAGCCGCGCCCCGCGCTACCACGGAATCGTCTGCCCGTCCCACGCCCAGAAGCTCCCGTTGTCGTCGATCGTAGCGCCGTCGATGAGCCCCAGCAGCTGCCGCACGCCCCGCTCCCGCGTGAACAGCTTCTCCTTGGGCACGTTCTTCTGGAACGGCTTCGTGAGGCCCGTGTCGCACGTCCCCGGGTGCAGCAGCAGCACGGCGACCCCCGCTTTCTTCCGTTCAAGTTCAATCGAGAGAGACCGACTCATCTGGTTCAGAGCCGCCTTGGATGCCCGATAGGAGTACCACCCGCCGAGGCCGTTGTCCGCGACGCTGCCGATCCGCGCGCTCATGTTGGCGATCACGCGCGGCCGTGCGCCCGCGCCGGACTCGCTGCCGCTGCGCTGCTGCATCAGAGGCACGAAGTGCTTGCAGACCAGCAGCGGACCCATCGCGTTGACCGCGAACGAGTAGTTCATGTTGTCGCGCTCGAGCCTGCGGGCGGGGGCGGGGAGCGCGCGGCGTCGGAGGACGTGGCGCTGCTTACAGCGCAGTGCGCGTGTTTCGTAAAGTGGTGTTTGCGTGGTCGTGCCTGCTGATGGACGTCTCCGGCTGTAGGCCGGTGTCGGGGATGTGCAGGACGCCGGACGCGTTGATGAGGAGGTCGACGCCGGCGGCGTGGCGCGCGTGGACGTCCCGCGCGACCGCGGCGATGCTCGCCTCGTCCTGGACGTCGAGCGGGAGCACCGTCAGCCGGGAGCCGTGCTCGGCCGCGAGATCCTGCGCGCGCGGCGGGCGCCGGGGCCGCGCGGGCCGGGTCAAGGAAGGAGCTCGGAAATGAAACAATATTCGAGGATTCGTGGTTGTTGGCGCGCGGCGGCTCGGCACACCTGGAGCTCCGCGCTGTTCTCCGGGCGCCGGCACGTCGCGACGACCTGGTAGTTGGGCCGCTGCAGCAGCTGCCGCGTGTATTCCGCCCCGAGTCCGCGGCTCGCGCCCTGAATGACCGCCACGCGCGGCTCGGTGGTCGACGCGAGCCCCGTCGCCGACGACGTCGCGCGTACTATACGTTCTCGCGAGGTGCTGACGTCGCACGCCCGCCAGCGTCCGCATCTGGGCGACGCCCTGGTCGCGAAAGAGCTATGGAGAGATGACAGCCATCGGCCGGGCAGCCGCTGGAGCGGCAGTGCGTGCCGCAGGGACTGGCAGAGGCTCGCGGGCATATCGGCGGACGGGGAGGGGCCGCGCCCGCGAATGCGGGTGAGTGCGGCGGGCCGCGGACGAGTGATGTGCGGCGCGAGACGCCCGGGCCGTGCTGTGCGCTGTCCGGGCGTGAAATGAAGACGTTCGCCGGCTCCGTGACGCTGAAGGTAGCGTTCTACACGGCAGCGCGCGGGGTGACTTTGGATATCGCCGGTCCGAGTGCGCGTGCGACTTGGGGCAGAAGGAACCATCACCGACAGCTGGTTGAGGCCCCCGCGCGGAGCGCAGCGGGCCGCAACACGACGGCGCGGCCGCCGGCTGGTAACGCAGATCTTGGGGTACCCCGGGTGCGACTCTCGGACGGATATCGCGCGCTGTCGAGGAGCCCAGGCCGTGCGGAGTGCGTGGCAGATAGTAGTTCGCCGCCGCACGCACACAGCATCGTTTTACTAGTGTCATTTCATAGCTTATAAGCTTCTCCGTTCTCATACAGAGCTGTTCCGTCAAAACTAGCAGTGCTGGTTCACACCCGACAGCTCGGCAGGCCAAAGTGCACACTGCTCGTCTCGGGGTGCATCCGCGCCCCTCCGGCGCCCGCAGCGCACCCGCAGCGGCCGCCCGCTCTCTTGACGGAAGAAGAAGGCCGCGCATAGGTCGGTTCGTTCACTGGAGGCGCCGGCGCGCGCGATGAGCGCGGGAGGCTCCGCGGCCACCGCTGGCCCGGCGGAGCAGCGGGCGCCGGCGAAGAAGAGCAGCCTGGCCGCAAGCATCTCCGGAGCCCTCGCGGGCGTCGCAGCGGGCGCGTTCCTGCAGGTCAACCACCTCCCCACAGCACCCGCCCCTCACACGCAACACACCACCACCTCGCCGCACGAACCTCTCTCCGACTCGCACGACACGCACCGCCCCGTACCGCTCGCGCGGGGCCCGCCGCGTCCGCATCGCAACACCCCCCCTCCAACACCCCCCCCCTGCAGCCGCTCGACGTGGTGCGGACCTACATGCAATACCAGTCCGCGCAGGGCGTGCAGCTGTCGAGCGCGGCCGCGACGCGCGCCGTCGTCGCGGAAGGCGGCCTGCGCGCCCTGTGGCGCGGCACGCAGCCCACCGTCATCCGCCTAGGCTTGGGCGCGGGCCTTTATTTTGCCATCCTGCAGTCCCTGCACCGCACGCTCGACAGGAGGGGCGCGGGCGAGGGCGAGAAGGTGTCGTCCGGGATGGCCGTCGCGATCGGCGGCGCCGCGCGGCTGCTCTCCGGGACAGTGCTGGTCCCGGTGACGCTGGTGAAAACGAGAATGGAGTCTGTCGGTTATACCTACACCGGCACGCTCGACGCGCTCCGGAAGATCGTGCGGGAGTCCGGCGCGCGCGGGCTCTTCAAGGGCGCGGTCCCGACGCTGGCGGCGAACGTCCCCTTCTCAGCGATCTACTACTTGTTATACCAGCGGGCTAAGGACGGCATGAGGGGGGTGCCGTGGCTGGCCGCGCGGGGCGAGGCCGGGCGGGACAGCATGGCGCTGAACGCGCTGTCGTCGGTCGTGGCGTCGATCGGCGCGACGGTCATTACGCAGCCTGTGGACGTGCTGCGGACGCGCGTACAGCTGGACCTGGTGGGGCAGGCGGGGCGCGGGTCGCTGCTGGAGGGGCTGCAGCGTGAGTGGCGGCTGGCGTGCGCGCGTGTTGCGCCGGTCGCGTGTTCGATTGCGCGGAGAAATGACGAGATATGGTTTTCCTTTTGTTGTTGAGTTTGTTCTTGTGGTTTGTGCTGCAGGGATGGTGGCCGCGGGGATGCCGGCGCTGATGTCGGGCGTGGGGCCGCGGTTCCTGAAGCGCACGGCGCAGACGGTCATCATCTGGACTGTCTACGAGGAGCTGACGCCAGTCTTCACAACACGACTTCGGAAGGCCAAAGAAGCCATGGATGCGAGGAAGCGGGGGAGCACGGCGTAGACCGCACCGGCACCGAGCCCCGCGGCTGCGTCGCGGCGGCGACGGTCACCACACGGTGCGCGCGGGGGGGGGGGTTGTAATCCTGACAGACAGACACTCGAGCACCCCTCGAGCGGACGGCACCGCGCGCGAAGAGCGCGGCCGCGGTGCCGCAGGGGGCAGATGCGTCGTGGCGCGGTGTGTTGGAATCGCACGGAGCCGCGGTGCGTATGGCAGCGTAGGTAGGGAGGTGCAGGGTGTGTGTGCGTGCGGGCGCGACCTGGTTGAGCCATGTCGGCCGCGGACGAGGAGGAGCCGCAGGTGGTTCAGATCGCAGATGTCTTCGGGTCGGATTCCGAGGAGGAGGACGCGGGCGCGGAGCAGCAGGCGGGGTCGCCTGGGGCCGCTGCAGGCGGGGCGGAGTCTGCGGGGGCTGCCGCTGAGGGCGGGGGCGGGGGGGAGGGGGATGGCGAGGCGGGTGAGAAGGGCGAGGACGGGAAAATGGACGTGGACGGCGAGGAGGCGGGCGAGGGGGCCGCGGAGGGTGGGGAGGAGCGTCCTGGGCCGCCGCTGGGGCCCCCGCTGAGGATCCGCGCGCCGCTGTTGGACGTGCCGCGGGCAGGGCAGTACGCGTTCATGGTTCCTGGGAACCTGACGGGCGTGCAGAGCGTCCCGTTCAGCGTGGACAGCTACGAACCCGAACACTTTGAGTACATCGACGATACCGGGCGGAGGTGAGACGCCCGGGCCACGATACTTTGGACCGCGTACCACCATCGTTGCCGCCACCTGCCGGGCCGCGCAAGCGGGCGAGGAAGCGCAAGGAGGCGCGGCGCGAGCCGCTAGGGAGCCCGTGCAGGCGCTCTCGTCGCTGACCGTGCCGCGCTCCGGTCGCTCGCAGGCGCGAACGCAAGGCGCCGATGGCGATGATCCGCTGGCGCTGGGGCCGCGACGGCGCCGGGAACCCCGTGCCGGAGGGGAACGCCCGCGTGGTGCGGTGGTCGGACGGCAGCCGGACGCTCATCATTGGCGAGGAGGTTTTCGCGATGCAGGAGCACGACGTGATCGACCCTGCGTTCCTCGTCGCGCGGCTCGGCGGCGGGGTCCTGCAGCCGCAAGCCATGCTCGACAAGCGCGCTAATCTGCGGCTGTTGAAGGCCAAGCACTTGATGCGCAAGCCCGTGACCGTCACGGAGCAGGAGCGCGCACGCGTGCGCACGGGGGACGTCGATGCGAATAGGCAGGCGATGGAGGAGCTCGCGATGGCGGAGGAGGCCGCGCGCGCCCGGGAGAAGCTCGCAAAACAACAACAGAAACTCGCCCGCAAGTACCAGGCGCGGAAGCCGGCGCGCCCCGCGGCGCTCACCGCGAACTTCCTCGAGGGCGACGACGACCCGCTCGAAGAGGAAGAGGAAGTCGAGCCCGGGGTGCGCCCCGGCGGCCAATTCAGCACACACCGACACGCGCGCGCGTGCACTGCGCTCCCGCGCCGTTCCGTGTCGGCCCGCTCACGCTCGCGCCCCGCCCGCGCGTGCCCTTTGCAGCTGGAGCGGCCCCAGATGGACGAGATCGCGGACGCGGCGCGCGCGCACAAGGCGGCGGCAGCGAAGCGCGAGGCGGCGCAGGCGGCGCGCGCACGGAAGGAGAAGTCGAAGAGGCGGAAGAAGGAGGAGGAGCGCGGCGCGGACGATGCGTCGGAGGACCTGGACAACACGGACGGGGAGGAGGAGGAGGGCGACGACGACGGGCGCGACCTGGAGGGCTTCATCAACGACGACGACGACGAGGTGGAGGAGGAGGAGGGCGGGGAGGAGGAGGAGGCGGAGGAGGAGGCGGAGGCGGCGGGGGAGAAGGGTGGGGAGGCGGCGGCGGCGGGTGGGGGGAGTGAAGGTGGGGGGAGTGAGGCGGTGGAGGACGAGGGCGCGGTGCGGAAGAAGCGGCGGGTGGTGCTGGACGACGACGACGAGTGAGCGGGCGTGTGAGCTCTGAGGCGGCCGCGGGAGGCGTTCGTGGCGTCACATGCACGTGTACATCAAACAACCAGCGGTGCCCCTGCTCGGGACCGCCCGTGCAGCGACGGTCCGGCGCCTCCGCTGCGCCGCCGGGCGCGCGCGCGGAGCCGTTCGCGCTGCGAGCTAGGCGCGCGGGGCGCTGTGTTTCGACCCCCTCGGCGCCACGGGGGTGTCTTGCATCATACGCCAACACGCCACCCAGTCCCGCATGCCCTTGGCAAGCGCGACGAAGTACGCGTTGACGTCGCCCAGGCGCTGCTCGACCGCGTCGGCCAGCTCGAGATACAGCTCCTCGGGCGTCGCGGCCTTGTCCGACAGCTTCACGTCGCGGAAGAACCGAACCATGTCTTCCTGCCAGAACAAGCCGTTGAACTCCTTCTTGAGGTTCGCGAAGGGGTCGCTGGCCTTGCTGTGGAAGACGTACGGCGCGCCGCTCTTCGCGCCGTAGCCGAGCTCGTCGCAGACGACCTTGGAGCACCACCCGGCCCACATGTCGTCGTAGCGGGACAGCGGCTGGCCCTCGCCCATGAGGCCGAAGTACATGCACGCGCCGATGCGGCGGCGGTCGAACGCGAGGTTCATGCCACACATGGGGAAGAGCGTCCCGTGCGGGATTGTGCACACCACGGAGGCCGCGTGGTTGAAGTTGCGCTCCAGGGGCTTGACGAGCTGCGTGGGGGCGTCGTAGTCTGCGAGGGAGCGGGGCGGGCGCGCAGTGTGTTGAGTGTTCAAAAACAATTACAAATTATAAACAAAGTTCAATTGCGGATTGTGTAGGGAATCCTCCTGCACGGCGCCGCACAAGACGAGCCGTGTTTTGGCGTAGCCCTGTGGTTCGTCGTTGCCGCGGCCGTGTAGCAGCTGAGCCCGTTCTTGGTGTTCAAGAACGAGCCAAGGATACACGACAGCGACGGCGACGACGGAACACGAAGGAACGCGCAATACACGGCTCGTGTTGTGCGGCGCCGCGCGGGGGGGCGTCTCGAGTGTCGGTGCAGGTACGTTCTGAACCACACAGAGCAGGTCTGACGGGGGGGGTGTTACCGGGGACGTTGAGCCACAGGCCGTGAGACACCACCGTGGGCACCCCCTCGCGCAGCGAGAACGGGTACCCGCGAACGAAGTCCGTGCTGTCCGCGAACGGGTCATACCTGCACCGAACCAGCCAATCAGAAATGACATTTGTAAAATTTGTGTTTGCACAATCAATCAGCACAAGGATCCCACGCTGCTGGGAGCCATCGCGGCACATGACGGGCGGTGGCCCCCGGACATCACCGCGGCGTCGCGGGGCGCATTCGCGTCGCGGCGGGGACCTACAGAGTGTTGAAGTAGAAGGGCGTTGACCGGGTGGTAAGGTTGCGCAGGTGCTCCTGCACGACGTCGACCACGTCGCTGTCCGACCCCGCCGGCGCCGGAGCGGGGTAGCAGTCATCGTCCAGCGTGACAATATAGGGCCGGCGGCTCATGAGATATCCGAAGCACCGGCACCCAGAGTCCTTGTACGAAATGCATGAGGCCCGCGGGCCGAGGATGCGCTCGATGTCGCGGCGCGTGTACAGGTCGTAGTGGAACCCGTCCGGCACGCCGACGTCCTCCGTGGCCTCGCCGTCCTGCGAGGCAGGTCCGTTCGACGCCTCCTAGGTTGTGCGCGAGCGGTTCCCGAGGGGGCGTGTGCGGCGCGGGGACGCGGCGACGAGGCGCGGAGGGCGCACCTGGACGATGATGAGGTGGTACGGCGTCAGAATCGGGCGCCAGAGCTCGAGGAACTGCCCCAGGTGACGGATGGTCGGAATCACCACGTCGACGTCGTCGGGACGGACCGGGTGTGCGGGGTGGCCGTACCGGCGCGCCTGGCGCGCGCAGGGCGTGTGCAGCGAGAGGTTCGACAGCGAGGCGGTCGACGACGCATCCTGCGCGCCGTTTCCGGTCGACGTGGACGCGTCGCCTGTGGAGGTCATCGTTGTTGGTGGAGGCGGGTGCGGGCGAGCGCTGAGGGCCTTGGCGGCGCGGGAGAACATCTGCCGGGGGCGTCGGGCGTAGTGCGTGAGACCCGCGCTGCCGCGGCGCGCTGTGCGCGTGTCACAAAGAGGGGGGGGTCCTGGAACGGTCCAGCGGAAGTACAACTCGTAGAGGGGAGTGTCTCATCCGGCGGGGGGCGCCCGGCACGCTGCCGGGCCCGCGCGGTTGTTTGTTTGCGAATCGAATGCGAAAATCATGCAACGTCGGCGCCGCAGTGCGGTCCCGCGCCAACACCCCCGCGCTGCAACCGACGCAGCTGCGAGGGCGGGCGGACGGCGCCTCACGGCTTGCCGTCCTCCTCGGCCGCGTCCCCGTCCTCGTCCCCGTCCTCGTCCCCGCCGCCGAAGTCGAAGTCGAGCTCGTCGAGGTCCGCGGCCTGTTCTGCCATGTCGCTGTAAAGCTCTGCCTTCGACACGTGATCCAACTCCACGTCCGACTCGAGCACCGACTGGCACAGCAGCGTGTAGCCGCGCTCGAGCGCGTCGTCGTCCAGCACGCCACCTGCGGGGCACGCCCGGCGCGTCGCGGGCGTGTGGTGCGGCGAACGAGCTCAAGTGGGGGGGTGTCTGGCGTTTGGGGCGTACCCTGGCAGTCGACGCTCCCGGTGACGACGCGGCAGAGGCACGTGAGGCAGTTGCCGTCAGTGCAGTCGTGGGGCACGGGGACACCGAGGGATAGGGCAGTGGGGAGGATTCTGGCGCCCTCTGGGACGGTGAAGGAGTGCACGTCGCCCTCGACGTTGATGGTGCAGGAGAGCTCCGCGACCTGCGCGGCGAGCGGGGCGGCGCGGGGGCTCGGGCGGGCGGGCGGAGGAACAGCGCAGCTTGCGAGCGGGCTGGGGGGTCGGTGCGGCGTCGTTTCCGGGCCTCGCGCGGCGCGGTGGAGTCTCGAGTGCTCGGGTGTGGACGGCGGACGGCGTCGGCGCGAAAGGGTCTCGTGCGCCGTAGGAACGCCGTGGACACCTACTCAGGCTGCCAGGGCGTCTCGGGGGGCCGTTGCGGCAGCAACACCCGGGACCGATAGTCCGCCGGTACGCGCAGATCGGACTCGTTGTACTCCCGAGCCGGCTTTGCGGCCAAGGGCCGGGAAGGCCCGGGGTGAGGCAGCCGGCTTGTGCGCGGAATCTGTTGCGCGGGAAAGGTCGCGAACGTGCGCGTTCTCACCTCCTGCGACACCGCGGGCGTCGCGGTGAATCTCCGGAGAAACGACACGCCCGGGCCCTGCATCCATTCCTGCGTCCACCGGCTCGCCGGGGCGCTGTTTGACACCTTGCTTGACGCACACCACGTACCCTGCCCTGCCATGCGCGGCTCAGACGTCGTCGACCGGAGCGAGCCCGCGAGGCTCGAGATGCTTCTCCGAATCGTCGGAATCGCCGCCTCGTCGCCGCGCGCGCCCGCCGCGCGCGCGAGCGCCCGCAGGACGCCCGCACCCCTCTGAAGGGCTCCCATGCCTCCTCCTGACTCGAGTATTATAGATAGTGAAGAGGCGGAGCAGGAGGAACTTCGCGACAAGATGCCATGCATGTGCGCGCGGGGCCTCGCTGCGCTCAGCGGTGACGTGGAGCCGCTGTATATGTGCGTGCAACTGCCTGAGCGCAGCTGCACAGCGCAACAGGCCGTTGGAACGCCAGTGGATGTTCGTTCGGTAACAAGGCTGCGTTGTAGTGCCGGAGCTGCCGCGCGGAGCCCGCCGAGGAGGCCGCCGGCCACGTCCGGCGAGGGACCCTTACAGAGCTTTGCACGAGACCCCCACCGCTGTTGCTGACTCAGGTGACGGCCGCGCGACGGAGGGGTGTGTTGCGAGCCGCTCGCCGCGAGGGTGGCTGGCGACCGGCAGTGACACTCACTGACGCAGCAGGTCTTGACGACGATGACAGCGGGCCCCGCGACAATCGTGCTGGCACCGCACACCGGCGTCCAGTGGCCACAGACTGCCGGCTCAGCCTCGCTGCGAACGTGGCTAGTCATTCGCGGACCTGCAAGCACCCCCGCCGCGAGGACGCTTCCGGCAATGGAGAGAGCAGCAGACGAGATAGTTCTTCGCTAGACACACCGCCGGCACGACGCGAGAGCAGGCCGGGGGAGAGGGGGACGGCTGCGTGCGCAACGGGTCGGTCGTCACACTCGTGCAACCGCGCGGCGTTGGCGCGGCCCGAGACGGACAGTTCGTCAGACGGATGGTAAGAGCACGCACAATGTGTAGGTGCTGGAGAGGAGGGGGACAGGGACGGGCGGCCCGGGGCGGCCCCAGCGCGCGAACCCGCCGGAAATTGCCGGCGAGCTGCGGCACCGGGGCTCCTCAGGAACAGGGGGTGATTGAGTGACGCCAGCAGGGCCCGTAACTGGGAGGGAGGTATTACGTCGGGCGCGTTTCGTGCAGGGAGACAGAGAAGCGGCTCCGGGGGGGCCGCTTCACGGGCGTGGCGCGTCGGCGCCGACCACTTGCGGGGGCGCGAGTCCGCGGATGGTGCGGTTTCGTCTCCGGGGGCTGCGGCGGACGGAGCCGCGGATGATGATGATGATGATGCGGGGTCACCACGCCGCCAATGACGGACGTTCACCCTCTCGCGGTCCCCGGGGATGCGGGGAGAGAGGGTGCGACTGGTGAGATGGGCAGGGGGCTGCGCCGGGGCGGGAGGGGCCGGGGCGGGCGTGGGGGGCGGCCGTCCGATCGTAGGGCGGGCTGGGGACGGGCGGGGGGGGCTCTCAACTTGAGGGAGCAGGCGTGAGACGGAATACTCATCAGCCTCACTCTACAGGGGGGGCGGCTCGCCGAGGATGCAGGCGGCGGGGCGGGGGTGAAGCGGGCGGGGAGGGGTGAAGCGGGCGGGGCGGGGTGCGGGAGGAGGGGTACAGGGGGTAACAGGGAGGAATGTAGGTGTGAGGGGGGGAGTATGAACAGAAGGAGGCGCTAGAGGCTGGTGGGGAGCGGAGTGGGGGCGGGGGAGAGACAGGGGAGCGGGGTGGGCGGGGGCGGGGAGCGCGGGGTTGGGCAGCGTGCTATTGTGCGCGGAATGAGTCGCGGTCGTGGTTGTTCTGTTGAGCGCTGGGGTGCGAGGGCGGCGGGGGCGGGGGCTCGAATGCGTGCCCGCCCTCCGCCGCGGCCCGGCGAGCAGCGGGGCGAGGGAACGGCCTCGGTTGTTCTCAGACAAAGGGCGGCAATGCGTCGAAGTCGGGTGGTTGTGGTTGTCGGCGGGAGCAAACGCTGCAGGCGCCGTTCGGCGCCACACGCGGCGGGCGCGGCGCGCCACACCGCGGATGGTTATTGCGAGCGGCTCGGGTCCTCGGGGTCCTGCGAGCGCGGGTTGCTGCCGTCGGCGGGCTTGCTGGCACCGGCGCCGCTGCCGGTGCCGCCGGACCCGTTCCCGTCCTTGCGGACCGCCTCGACGCTCCCGGGGCCCGTCCCGCGGCTCGCGCGCCGCTGCAGCGCCTGCTGCGGCGCCTGCGCGTCGGGCCCGGATCCGCTGCTGAATCCGCGTTTCGGCGACCCGCGCGCCGCCACCAGGTGGTTGAACGCGGCCATGATGCCGAAAGGGTCGTCTTGGGGCTCGGCGGGCATGTTTGCGTTGCCGGTGTTCATATTGTGCGCCGAGGAGACCATCGCCGTGCCGGAGCCAGTCCCGCGCGTGACGGGGACGGTGACGGGCTCGTCTTGGAGGCGGGGGGGGCGGCGGGCCTCGTCCGGCCGCGCGGACGGCTTCTGCTGGGCCGGCTGTCGCACGAGCTGGTGGTGCGACGCTGCGGAGCGGGGGCACGCGCGGCGGGGGCGGTGAGCGGCGCCGGCAGGCTGGCGGCAGGCGTCCACGGGGGGGGGGGTCGTTGCGGTTGCGCGTCGCACCTGGGTAAGTAGGGGGGAAGCTGGGCAGAGGGTAGGAGACAGGCGGGGCTGCCTGCGGGTTGGGTCGGCTGACGGCGCCCAGAGCGGAGACCAGATCAGCCACGTAAGCAGCCAAGTTGGGGTCAGGCACAGCTGCCTGCGCGAAGGGCGCGGTCGGCTGCAGCAGCGGCTGGTGCACCGGACCGGAGACGTACGCTTGCGGGGGGGGCTGCGTCGGCAAGGCGCCGGGCTGCGGGGGAGCGGGCGGGCGGAGTTGCTGCTGCTGCTGCTGCTGCTGCTGCTGCTGCTGCTGCATGCTCGCGAACGCTCCGGCCGCCGCCATCATCCCGAAGGCGCTCAGGAGGAGGTTGACGTCGATCCCGGGTCCTCCCGGCTCGACCCCCCCCTGAGTCAGCATCCCGAGGAGGCGCAGAAGCATTTGCGAGATGTCTTGCAGGGCGAGCGCGGTCTGCGCGTTCTGCGCGCCCCCGCCGCCCCAGTCGTCGTATCCTTGCTGCCCGTACTCCTGCGCGGGCTGCGCGAGCTGCATCGGGTGCCGCGGCGGCGCCTGCTGCGGCGGCATGGCGGTCGGCTGGTAGCGCTGCGGCATCGGCGCCTGCGCGGCCTGCTGCATCACGTGCTGCGCGGCCTGCCAGCTGTACGGGTACCCGCGAGCGGGGTTGCCCTCGCTGTTGCCCCAGGCTCCGCTCGAGTCCCCCCGACACTGGCGCTTCACGTCCGAGCCCTCCTCCGACGAGGCCGCCTCGACCTTGCGCTTGAGGTGCCCGTTCCAGAGGTTCTTGACCGCGTTGTCCGTGCGCCCGGGCAGGAACCGCGCGATCTGCGCCCACCGGTTGCCCAGCTCTCGATGCTTCTCAATAACGATTGCCTCCTCCTCCGGCGTGAACGGCTCCTTCTTGACCTCGGGGTTGAGTTGGTTGAACCACCGCAGCCTGCGGGGTCCGCGCGGACCGGGGGCGCGGGCGCTCAGGCGCGGAAAACCGGGCCGACGCGCGCAAGCGCGTGTGGCTAGGGGAGCCGGGCCCGCCGGCGCGGCGCGGGCGCGGTTGGCGGGCGGGGCGGCCCGAGGCGGGTCTCTGGGGCGTTGGGGGCCGGCGCGGGCGCGAGGCGGCGGCGCAGGGGCCGGGGCGGGCGGCGCGGGCCGTAACGAGATTCTGGGAGTGGGTTACCTGCAGCTCTTGCCGTTGCGCGGCGGGTCGCTCCCCATCTCCCGCGCGATGGTCGACCAGTTGGCCGCACCATACTTCCCGACCAGCGACACCAGCTTCGCGTCCTCCTGCACACGAGGGGCCCCGCGAAGGCCGCCTGGTGGGTGCGGTGCGCTTTTTTGGCGCCTCGCCCGCTGTCCGACTGGGCGGTGGCGGCCGCGGCGCGGCCGGGGAGGATCTCGGGCGGAGCACGGGGCGCGGCGCCGGGCGCGAGGTCCGGAAATGGCCGGGGGCGGCGGTAGAGCCGAATCTCCACGCGAGACACCTACGTGCGGCCCGCGCTGGCCGGCTCGGGCGGCGTGGCGGAAATGGCTCGCGCGCCCGGGCGCGCTCGATAGAGCAAGCGCTCGCGGCCGGCGCGGCGCACGCGCGACCGCACGCGCGACGTGCGGATCGAGCTAGTTCCGCGCGCAGCGCCGAAAAGCGCCGTCGCACCTCGGCGGTCCACGTCGTCCGGTGGCTTCGCCTCTCCCGTTCCGTGTTGCTGTCGCTCTCCGCAGGCTGAGAAGACTCCCCGGCCCCACCCCCGCCCGGGTGAGCGCTGCCTTCCATCCTCAGAGAGCTCTTGTGCGCGGCCACGGCATGGTCGGGCGGTTCCCGACGGATCGAACGTCTCAACCGCGTGGTATTTGCTCGCGCGCACCACCCCGCGGGCCCCTTCGCCCGCGAGCATCCGCCCAACGGCCTCGGCCCCTCCCAGCCACCTCAGCTCCCGGCCCGACACGCCGCGCACCACAACACACCCCCCGCACGACGCGCCGCCAGCGCCGCCCCGCCCGGCACAGCCCGCCCAGCCGCCCCGACGCGCAGGAACCCGTCGGACCCGAACCACCCCTTTCCGATGCCCTTTTGCGCCCATCTGGACCAGTATTGTGACAAGTATAGTGGTGGCACGCTTTCGAACGCGCGCTTTGCGCCACGACGTCCCCGCGCCGCGCTGCGCGCCCCCGCAACGCCGCTGCTGGCCCTCGCTGGTGGCCGAGCGGTTGCCACCCGGCGCAAGCAGGCGGACGGTCTGAGACATTTGCGGGACGAAGAAGGCTTGAAACCTCGGTTCGGTTTCACCGGACTCGAGGGCCTGGCTGCGCGACTGAGGACGATCACAGCGGCCGCCGCCGGCGTCCCTCGCGGCGTCACGCGTTCGCCTGGGGCTCCCGCCCGCGCGCGCCGGCCAGGGGGCCCATGCCCGACGCAGCGGCGCGCGCCCGAGCCTCCTGCGACTTGATGCCGCCCGCGGTCACGACCGCGTCGCTCTCCGCGTACCGCGACCACTTGCCGTAGTTCCCGCCCGTCGGCTTCGCCGGCCGCACCATCCTGCGCTCGCGCGCGCAACGACAACACAACAGCGGTGAGTGCCGCAGGTGCACGATCGTCGTCGGCGCGGCTCGGCCGGGCAGCGACCGCGCACCTCGGGGCGTTGTGCAGGCAGTTCTCCGAGCAGCAGCACTTGAGGTGTTCCTTGCACGCGCGGCAGGCAAGCACGAGTTTGTTGCAGTCGATGTTTGCGCAGTTGATCGGCGGGGCCTCGGCCATCGCGCCGTTCGAGCGCTCCCCGCCGCAGATCTGGCACGGCACCGCCGCCGGGAGCGCGGCGTACGGGCTGCTGACGTCCTGCGTGTCGTCCGCGGCGCTCTGCGCCGCCAGCATCGCCTCTGCATCGTCGGGCTTGGCCGCGGGCACCGCCATGCGCCCGTCGAACACGAAGAGACTGCCGTTCCACCCCTCGCCGCCCTGCTCGCGGAAGTACCCATGCACACCCCCCTGCGGCGCACACACACACAACCACGACGCCGCCGTCAACGCTCGCCACCACCGTCATCGTCCGAGCGGCGCGCAGCCGACGCGCCCCCGCGCGCACCTTTAGCGCGTACACGTTGTCGTAGCCCTTCTCGCGCAGGTACGCCGAGTAAATGTCGCACCGGATGCCCCCCGTGCAATACATCACTACGGGGGTGTCCCGGTCCACCCCCTCCATGTACGCCGGCACCTGCAGCACGCGGCCACCCGGCAGCGCAGCCGTCAGACCACCCGCACAGCCCGCCCCGAACACCGCCAACTTCGATGCAGGGCCGCAAGCCTTCAACCCCCCCCGGCGAGCGGGCGCGCACCTGTCCCTCCGTCGGCGTTTCCCGGAACTCGGTCTCGCGCGGGCGCTCGGCGCCCTCGAAGTGCCCGACGTCCCACTCGTAGTCGTTGCGCAGGTCCAGCACGACGATGTCGCGCAGGTCCCCCCGCGCGGCGCGCTCGCGGATGTCCTCCGGCAGCGCGCCGACGTCGACTTCGCTCGGGGGCGCCGCCGCCGCCGCGCCGGCCTGGTCCTTCGTCTGCGCGGCGCGCGCTCGCGGTGCGCGTGAGCGCTCGCGTCCGCGCGGGGCGGTCGTGATGCACGCGCGAGGGTTGCGATCTACCTTGAGGGTTCTGGCGAGCTTGATCATGGACTTCCACTGCTCGGGCTCGAGGTGGTCGCAGCGGGCGGCCTGGTCGTGCAGCTCGTACTGCAGCGTGCCGCCGGACATGCTGACGAGCGCGGGTTTCGTCTGGAGGCGCAGGCGGGGGTACATGTGGCCCGTCACGCGCTCCCAGCCCCAGGACACGCTGGCGAACCCGGGCTGCTGCTGCACGAAGTCCATGTACGCCTTGCAGGGGCCGTACTTGCCCGAGAACTGCGCGTTGATGCCTTGCGGAGACACGTAAATCCTCCCCTGCAGGAAACGAGGGCGCGCGAGGGCGTTCGCGGCGATCCGGCGACGCGGCGCGGGCGCCGGGGTGGAGACTCGGTCTCGCCGGCCTGCGGTGCCGGTCTCGGTCGCCGGAACCCGCGCCCTGCGCCGCGGCAGCGCCCGTGTGGCTGGCGCTGGTGCGGGGACCGCCGCGGCGCGTCGGCTCGGGCGCGATGTGGCACGTGCGCCCCGGCTACGCCCTCTACAGTTCCGGCGCTGGCGGGAGCCCGCACCTTGATGGGCCGCCCGTTGTCTTCCATCCACTTCCTGTGCTCCGCGGTGAGCGCGGCTGCATCCTTGACGGCAGCGAGGTGGTAGAAGTTGACAATCACCCACTCGTCGTCCTCCGCGGGCGGCCTCGCGCTCCCGCCGCCCGGCGTCGCGGCGCGGGCGACGCCGGACGCCGTCCCGGGCCTCGGGGGTGCAGCGGTGGTGCGAAGGGTGCAATGCTGCGCCGCGGGAGAAGGGAACGGCGGCCTGGCGGCCGCGAGGGGGCGCCCGCATGTTCGTGGGAGCCGCTGCGAGCGGTCCCGCGCGTGACGGACCAGGCGGCTCGACGCGCAGAGGAGGCGCGCACGGAGGGCCGGCATCGTCTCGGCGGCACCCACGTGCTCCCGGACTGGGGTCGCGCTTCGGCCGTGCGCGGTCGAACTAAGTCAATTCGAGCGATTCCGGCGGCCGGCGATCGCGGCGGCGCGCCGGGAGCGCGCTTGCCGGCAGCGCCTCGTGCTCCACGCGCGGGGGCTCGCGGAGGCGGACGCGCGCGCGTGTGTGGCGCCGCGACTGCGAGAATTGATCGCGCGAACGCGGGCGACGCGCGCAGCCGCCCGGCGAAGGCGCCCTCGACGCAGGCGTCCCCCACCAGTCTTGAACTGGGCTGACGCAACGAATGACTCGCCCGCGCGCGCCGACGAGGGCGCGTCATGACCGCGCGGGCGCCGCGCCTGGCGCAACTGATTGCTCTTGTTCGGCCGTCCACGCACGAGGCCGGCTCGCGCCAAGATCGAGACGAGCAGCCGAGACCTTGCTCGCCAGATAAGCCCAGGTACTTGCCCCGCCCCCCCTGCGCGCGGCCGCTGCGCGGATGGCGGTTCGAGGCCCCGCATTGCACGCACGGAGAAGTGAACTATCCGGCGCGCCGGGTCCGCGCGCCCCCCCGCCCGGAAGTGCGCGCGCGCCTGCGTGGACCAGCCAGGTGCGGCGGTCCACGTAGCGCTGCCCGCGCGCGCGTAGGGCGCTGCGCTCCTTTTCCTGGCCAGCTCGACTTCTCTACCTATCGAGTAGTCCCCCGATCCGACGGAGATGCGCCCTCGGCCCCAATCGAGGCCAGCGCGGGACCTACAACATAGGAAAACAGCACTGGCTCCCCGCCGCTCGGAATAGGGCTGCGGCGCCGTTGCGGCCCGGAACCGTGACCTTTGTGTTCGTGTCCGGGCTCTCGATCTCGTAGAGAGACCAGAAGCGGCGCGGCCGCGGCGGTGCAGCGCGTCCTTGGGCAGCTGAAATCCTGGCCGAGGGCGGGGTGCTGCGCCAAAACCGCGCCGCCTCTGCCCGGTTCCGGCCCACCAGCGTACTGACAGTCCCCTCGACGGCAGCGCGCGGCCCCCTTCGCCGCGTGGCGCCCCGGCCCCGCACGCGCAGCTACCACGGCCGCTTACTGCGGCGCTGCGGCGCGGCTGCGGCCGCACCGCGCCCGCACGCGCCCTGTTCGCGAGCTCCGTGTCCTTTCGGAAGGCCGCGTCGCGGTAACTCGCTGCTGGGACCCACACCGCGCCCCCGCCGCGTTGCATGCAGGGCGCTGCAATCATCGCACTCACGGAGCGGTGCGGGCCTGTGCGCGACCGCACTTGCGCGGCAATCGCAAATCTACTTCGGACCCACCGGTGAGGCTGGAAACAAACGGCTGAGTCGCCGAATCCCGCAGTACTGCCGGCCAGTAACATGAGCGAAGCAGCTACGTCCGCGAGCACGCACCGTGGGGCCATGAGCGGCCACGAGGGCGACTCCAGCGCCAAGGACAAGTCAGGTGCGGCCCATCGCGCCGACGCGACCGCGCTGCCGACGCCCCGCAGCTCCGGCCGCGCACCCGTGCCCTAGCATGACATCCTCCAACACGCGCCAGTCGAGAAACCGTGTCTCTTTTTGTCACCGCCGCTCACCAGCGCCCTCCGCGCCCCGCTTCGGCCCGCAGGCACGCCCTCGCAGCGCCTCGGCCGCGGCATGCGCGCCACCAAGGCCCCGCAGACCTTCGACGCCGACGCCAACCCCGCTGCGCGCTCCCGCCAGGGGTATTACCCCTGCAAGGTTTGCGGCCTCATTTGCACGTCAGCGCAGCAGCTGGGCGGGCACCAGAACTCGCACCGCTTCGAGCAGGGCCGCGCGGTCCCGACCAAGTCCGGGAAGCCCGCGCACCGCCCCGCGGTGTCGGACCGCAGCACGGGCCCCCGGCGGGCGCACAGCGCGCCGCGCACGCGCCCCGCGAACAACCAGCTGCTCTACCGCGCGCAGATGCGCTGGGAGCACTACAGCTTCCCGCTCGCGGCGAACGTGCACCTGCCGTCCGCGACGGAGCCGTGCGCGTCGGTCACCTCGGCATTCCTCCGCGTGCTGTCGCTGCTGACGGCCGCCGAGGCGGGGCGCGCGGCCGGCGAGCGCAACATCCTCCGGCTGCTCTCGCAGCACGTCCGGCGCACGAAGGTCGTGCTCGTCGGGTCCACGGACAGCGCCGCGGCGCCCGTCGACGCCTCAAAGCACCTCCTCATGGACCACGACGGCGCCCAGTATTTCACCACGCTGGACCGCAACCGGTACGGCACGGACGACTGCTACCTCGCGACGGTGATCCGCGCGTGCCTGGACGTCCTCGGGCTCTGCCCCGCGCTGTGCGAGGTCGACATTCTGGACGCGAAGCGCAGCCGGGTGCAGCGGCCGGAGGGCGCGGCGGGCCCGTGCACGTGCGCGCCGCGGCCGCTGGCGTGGGGCGCGGGCGTGCGGCCGGTGTCGGCGCCGCAGACGCACGTCACGGCGTCCGGCGGCAGCGGCCTGTTCGACGCGCTCGTGATGGCGGCGACGGGGAGCGCGGACGAGGGCGGCATGGACTCGCGCGCCGAGCACGAGGTGACGCAGAAGCCGCACGGGCCGTCGCGGCTCGGGCAGCGCGTGACGCGCGTGTTCAGCGGCGACGACGACGCCCCCGACCGCGCGCGCGCGCAGCGCGCCGCGAGCGAGGGGTGGGGCAACGGCAACACGTCGCCGCACGCGATCAAGACCGACCCGCACGCGGACGGCGAGGCGGGGACCTCCGAGGGCGTCCCGGTGCAGCAGCGCGTGGGCACGAGCAGCTTCATCGGCGGCGAGGCGTCCGGCGGGGAGAGCGACGCGCACGGCGACCTGGCGGAGCAGGTGTGGGAGCTCCGGCGGCAGCTGGCGGAGGAGCGCGCGGCGCGCGAGGCCGTGAACGCGGCGCTGAAGCGCACGGAGGAGGAGCTCCGCGAGAGCCGCTCGGCCTACGAGCACGTGCGCAGCCTCATCGCGCAGGCGTCGAACCTCCAGCTCGCCATGCAGCAGCGACTCGTGGCGTCCGCGATGAACCCCGCGGCGCTGCAGGGCGCCATCCGCAACGTCGTGCAGTCCATGGTCGGCGGGCAGGGCGCCACGGTGACGCCAGACCTCACGATGCTGTCGCGTACCATTGCCATGGGCATGTCCCAGGGCGGGCCCTCGGTCGAGGCGGCCGGGCCCGTCGGCGGGCTCGCCGCCGTGGCCGCGGCGGTCGCGAAGACCGCGGGCAAGACGGCTGCTGCCGACGGCGCCGCGAAGGCCGCCGGCACGGAGCCCGCCACCGTGCCCGGCGACGCCGCCAAAGACGGCGGCAGCGGGACGCCTGGCGGCGTGAACGGGAACGTGTCCGACGGATCGGAGGACTACCAGACGACCGCGCAGGTCGGGAGCAAGCGCTCCCCCGTCACGGACGCCAGCGGCACCGACGCCGGCGCCAAGCGCCGCGCCGGCAGCGGAAACGCCGCCCCGATCCCGCTGCCCGTGCCGACGACGATGCCGTCCGCCCTGCCCTGAAAGCCTGCACGTCCTTGTGCCGCGTGCCTGGACGCAGCAAACCGCAGTTCCATACACCCCCCCCCCCACCCCCCCTGTCAATGCTGCACGCCCCATGCCCGCCCACGGGGGTCGTGCAGCCCCAAACCCCCCCGCGCTGAGAAATCAAGCACAGCGCACTGCCACACAGCAGGTTTCAACCCCTCCGTCGGAGACACCCCCCTCCGACACCCCCCCTCGGCGTGAGAGATGCCGCGGGCGCCCAAAACGCGAGGACGCGCTGCAGCACCCGGGCATTCCGCCGGGCAGCGCGTCAACACAGGGCGACCAAACCTTTCCATCCGGACGCAATCCTTCGATTCTCGCACAGCATCTTCACACCCCTCCCCTAGTCGACTCGAGCTGCACGAATCACCCCGACACCCCCTCCCCTTTCCGCACATGCCCCCTGCGAAACTTCGATTTCTCCCGCCCCCGGTCCCCGGCCCAGCGGACCCGAGCTCCGACGCCTGAGTCAGCTCCTCTGGTCGTGTCAAGTCAGACTCACGAGGACCCCCCCCTCCGGCTGCCTGAACGGCGCTTGCGAGTTTCCCGGCTCTCATGGAAGGCGAATGACCGTCCGACGCGAACATCGGGGAAGACGTCACCTCGCGCCAGCCCCCGCGAACTGCACTCCTCGAGACCTGCGTTCACTCCCCCAGTTCTTCCCATCACTACCCCCCCCCTCCCCCCACACCCTCCTCCGCTCCGACACCCTCTCAGCCCCCCTTCCCTCACCGCTCCTCTTCAATCGCTCCCCTTCAACCGCTCCTCTTCTAGCGCTCAGCGACCCCGGGGCCAGCGACATATGCTACTGCTCTAGTCTCTGGCTGACTGCTTTGCAGACTGCTTGCCAGGAACACGCGCTCACGCAGCGCACACGCCCAGCTTTGCTGCTCCTGCCACGAGCACGCACTCGCGCGGTCGTGCTGTCCCTGCGCGGCCGCCCCACTCCCCCTGCGCATCCCTCGACACCCCCCCACCCTTTCTACGCGACCACTTTTGGCTTTTTCCCCTCGGCCGAATTTTCCGAATCCCCCCGGAACACCTCCCGGAACTCCCCCTCCCTCCTCCCCGCCCCCCTCCCACGTGACTGGAGGCGCCCCCCGCGCGACCGGTTTCCTTCACCGTCGCCAGCGCTCAACGACGCCGGTCGCGGGGGAGCGTCCCGCGCTCTGCAGCATCACGAGCCCGGCTCAGCGACAGCACAAGCGAATTCTCCTCCCGGCCTGACCAGGCCTGCACGGCAGGCGCACAGTGCTGCCGCCCGCCACTGTGATGCAGGCTTGCCGCTGGCTCCCCCGAGGCACTGGATCACTCTGAACGATGCAGCGCTCGCTCGCACTGGATCGATCGGGCGCAGCCGGGCCCCCGCTCTGCGTGAGCGGTGGTGGTAGCCTCTTCTGGCTGCTCGGCCAGCGGTGCGCGAGGGCGCGTGGTGTGGTGAGCGCGCGGACGACGTTGCGCAGGGCGTTGCGGTGGCGCACGGGCGTGCATCGAACACCCCCCAGCGATGCAGGGTTGCGTTCGGCAGCACCGCGACGTTTGCGACCTCAAAGACGCGGCGCGACTGCGTCTGCGCGGATGGCCGCCGGCAGCACCTCCTGACGTGGCGGCCCTCCGCCCTGCGCGGCACGGTAGCGCGTCAAGATGCGGCCCCGACGCCAAAGCACCGACCGATATGATGTCCCGGGCTCTCACAACGCGTAGCAGAGCCACGGGCGTGCGTCCGCGCGGCGCGGTCCGCGCTGCAGTGTGCAGGAGCGGCTGGCACGTGCGACGTGGCGCGCGCGGCGGCGCGCAGGCGTCGGAGTGCGTCCGTTCAGTCGCGCTTGACCTTCCGCTTCATGGACGAGAACACGAGGAGCGCGCCGAACATCGAGAGGTTCTTCATGAAGTTGATCATCTCGGGCTGCATCTCCTCCTCGGTCTGCAGCGCGAGCGGCGGTCGGCGCGCGAACGCGGTGCTTCGTAGAGGGCATCGCGCGCGCGCGGCGGGGACACGGGGCTTTCGCGGGCGATCGTGCGCGCACCTGGTAGTCCCAGAAGTTGTGCATGATGGGCGTCACGCTGAGGAGGAAGAGCATGAGCAGCTTGGGCCCGAGGGACGACCTCATCACCACGAGGAGCCCGCCGGCGATTTCAAGGAGACACGCCGCGTACAGCAGGTACAGGTAGTGCGGCTTCAAGTCCAGGTCGAGGCCTGCGAGGACGCGGGCAGCCGCGCCGGCGGTGAGCGTGTGACGCGCCGGCGAGCCCCCCGCCTCGCGCGCTCATGCGCGGGCGCCAGGGCGCTTCGTGGCCCACGAACGCGAAAAGTCTGCCCCACGGCTGGCGCGTTGGGGATGGAGCTTGCGGTCCGTGACGACGCCGCGCCCGCATCGCATCCACAGCCCGCGGAACGGAGCAGCTAAAGCTTCGGCTTCGAGGCGCAGGCCCTCGGAGAGCGCGTGCGGGCGGCGCCGGAGCGCCGGCGCGCGGCGGCGCCTGCGCAGACCGTAGACGCTCCGGCACCGGTGCACGGAGACGGATGGCGCGGGCCGGAGGGGCGCTGGCCTCGCGTGACTTCACCACGCACACCCCGGGCAGCGGCACGGGCGCCCTGGGAGCGATCGCGGCGGCGCGGCGGGCGGAGGGGGTCGATCTGGACGTGGAGAGGGCGCTGCGCGCGTACCGGCCTTCGAGAGGGCGTTCTCGATCTTGGCGCCCATGTATGCGAGCACGGGGGCGTCCGCGCTGGCCGTCATGAGCTTCATCACGCCGGACAGGATGAAGATGGCGCTGAAAAAGACGCGCCCGAGGAACTCCGTCATCGTGCCTGTGCCGGTCGAGCCGCACACGCAGTGGAACCGTGCTGGCGCTTGCGCTCTCTCTGCGGCGTCCTCCGACTCCTGCAACGCTGAACTACCGGTTGAGTCGCTGGAACGTGATGTGTTGCAGCCGCGCGCGGGCCACTCGTCGCGCAGCGGCGCGCATGCGGCGTGTGGGGGGACGTAATGCTCCTGACGTACGGCACGGCTCCGCCGCGCGGCCTCGCGAGCCCGCGCGGCGGCGCGCCGGCGGCATTCCTGTCTTGTTCTTGACCGCTGACGGGAGGGGGCTCGGAGAAAATGCAGGCGTCGTTCACGGCGAGGAAGGTGGGGCCCGGGCAAGCCCTGCGCCACAGCCGAGGTGCGTCCCGCCCGCTGCAGCGGGCGCCTCCGCCCCAGCCGGCACCCACGCCCACCAAGCCACCCCGCCGGGCGCCCCCTCGCCCTGCACGCCCCCTGTAGGACGCCTGAGCCGGCACACGGACCAGCACCTTCCGCAGCTGCACCCTCCCGCGCGCTCCTCTCCGCCCCGCCGCGCCCGTCCCTCATTGCCCGAGAGGCACCACCTCCCGCCCTCCACGCTCCGCACCGCCGCGCCGGAACGCCCGCGCCCTGCGCGTCCACACGCTTGGATGATGTCCTCCGGAGCCGCGTGCCGTCGGGCGCCGCGCTCCCGGCCCCTGCGCGCGGAGCATTGCGGTTTCCTCCGCCCGGGCGCCTTGCTCGTAGCGATAGCGTCCACACCGGGCCGTGAAGCCGGCCTCGCGGCCCGTTGCGGCGCCGCGGTGCCTGCGTGAAGCACTGGTCCTCCGCTGCCGTCGTGGCCCTGCAGCGTCGGTGCGGGCGCGCGTGACGCTGGACCGGGCGGGCCTGGACGTCGGGAAGATGGTGCCCATCGGGGACAGGATCCTCGTGCGGCCGCGGGAGGCGGAGGAGAAGTCCGCGGGCGGCATCATCATTGCCTCCACTAGCAACAAGGAAATGCAGGACACGCTGATCGGGGACGTCGTCGCGGTGGGCCCGGACGTCACCCTCGAACTCAAGAAGGGCGACGTGGTCATGTTCTCCAAGTTCGGCGGCACCTCGGACCTGGAGGTCGCGGACGGGGAAGTGTGTTTTGTTGCGCAGACGACGGTGCTCGCCAAGCTGTCGTAGCCGCCCCGGCGCTGTGACCTGGCCGTAGCTGACGCCGTCCCGCGTCCCCGTGCGCCGCGGCGGCCCGCGCGGGGGGGGTCTGAAGTATAACAACGAACACTGCACTCGGGGTCCCTCTGACGCGTGTCTGACGGACCTGGGCGCACACGGGCGCGCCCACCGGCGGCGCAGGACCACACGCAGCCGTGCGCGGCCAGCGGTCGGTCCCGGGCTCGCAGCAGGCGGGGGATCGCTGCGGAAAACAGAGCCGTAGGGCATAGGGTGTTCGAGCGCACTGCTGCCAGGATGCCCCGGGTCAAGGGCGTCAGCATCGCGGCGAGCAACAGAGGGTTCGATCCGAGTGCTATGGGCGGCGGGCAGCTCACGCAACCGCTCGAGCGCGGCATGGGCGCCGCGGAGCTCGCTGCTGCGGAGGAGGCCATGAGCGGTTCGCTGGAGTTCGGCGAGCTTCTGAGCTTCCTGGTGAGCGCGCGCGCGCGCGTGGTTATTCGCGGGAGTCTCGCGTGCGTCGGTGGCGTGGCCGGGGACGGCCCACGCGCGCCGCGCGCGCGAAAGGCTCGCTCGAACTGGCAGGTGCTGCGGCACTGCAGGAAAGACGAAGACGAAGGCCACAACGCGACCCTGCCGTGCAGGACTGCTTCTGGGACGATCTGGACCTCGGCGCGGTCAGCAGGCTCTACACGGCGGAGGAGATCCTCCATGACACGGTGCACGGCGTCACTGCGCCCGGCGCGTTCGGCGAGGTCGCGATGGCGTTGCTTCACGCCCTGCAGCCTCGAGCGTCGGTCGGCAAGTGGGCAACGTCGCTCCGGAACGCGGTGGCCCGTCTGTGGAGAGCGCACGTTGACGACGAAACGAAACAACACCCGTTGGAAACCTGCGAACGCGATGAGGTGGCGCTGCGGGCGTGGTTCGCGACGAGCGACCCCCGGGACCGCCTCGCGATCCTGTCGTGCCTGTGCACGACGCTCCTGTCGCGCCGCTGCGTCACGGAGGTGATGCCGGAGGACGAGGACGACGGAGGCGAGGTGCCGAGGACGGCCGCGAGGTTCGCGCGAGAGTGAGTGCGCAGCGCAGCTCGGCCCTCCGCCTTCCTCGCTTTTGGTGGTCCGGCGACTGCCGGTCGCGCTGCGCGCAGCCAGCGCCGTTTGGCCAAACGCCTAAAAAAAAAGCGAGCACGCAGCACACGCAGGTCCTGGCAGGGTTCACCCCGCCAGTGCGCCCCCGCACCGCCTCGATTATTCCCCTGTTCCCTGCGATGTCGCCGCGCAGGGCCATCGCCAGGCGGCGCGTCGAGTGGACCGAAGTCGACGGAACCTGCTACGCCTTCGTACCGCTCCGCGCCCTCGCGTCCTTCCAAATCTACTCCTTCTCCCCCGCGACCGGCGAATCTCGCTGCCTCGCGCGAACTGAAGCCGCGTACGACGCGCTTCTGGCCTCGACGCGGGCCAAGCGCCCCAGCCTCCACGCGTGGGCTGTGGCCTACAGGCCTGCTGTCCGGCGCATCGCGGCGCGGCGCCAGCAGCTCCTGAGCATTCGCAACACCGAGGGATTCGCGCCGTGCAGGCCGTGGATCGTACAGCGGTCTCCGTCCCATGCCGGCACCGAGGCTGCACCCACTGCGCAAAGCGGCCACAAGCAGCCTGCGCACTTGGACCAGACAGACGGTGAGCGCCGCAGCGTTATCCCAGAGCGCTGCATCTCCGTGGATTTTTTCCTCGCGCCTCTTATGCCGTTGTGCGTCGAACGCCGCCTCCCCCTCTTTCAGTCCCCCAACACCCCCCGAGACCCCCTCCCCGCGCAGAGGACGACGACTGGGACTGGGACCGCTGGCCCGCCGACGTGATCGTGGCCGAGTCGGCCTGCGGGGGGTTCTACGCCACATCCCCCCACCGCGTCGGGCACGCGCACCTCGTCCCGCGCGGCGTGGCGCTGGAGGCGGCGCAGATCTCCGGCGGCCGCACGTGGGCCGCGCTGGTGGACGAGTACCGCGCGGCGTACCGCCAGGAGCTGTGGGACCACGGCGACGGCGCCGTGACGCCCGCGGCCGGCCTGTGCAGGCTGCTGCGCGTGCTCGCCGGCGAAGCGGGGGGCACTCCGCTGCTGACGAAGGCGTTCTGCAAGAAGGACGCGGTGGCGCGGTACGCGACGCTGACGACCGCGTTCCTCGTCACGCGCGCTCTCGCTGGCGAACAGCGGCGCGCCGAGGAGGTGGCGGCGGAGGTGGCGGCGACAAAGGGGCGGATCGCGGCGCTCGAGGCCGAGCTGGCGCGGCTGCGCGCGTAGCGAGGAGGCGCAACGAGGCCTGCGCGCGCGCGCGAGCGGGAGACGGAACCACTCGAGTGTTTGGGGGGGTCTCGAGGGGGTGTACGCCCGCCGCTGCTGGAACGAGCGGGCGTGGGCGCGCGTACACAGCGAGGCAGATACGCAGAGAGCGACTTGTGACCCGACGTGCTGCGAAACACCGCGTTGTGCTCACACCAACACTTGTGGTGGCAGAAGACGGCGGACGAGGACGGCGGCTCCGCCGCGGCTCAGTCCGTCTTGTCCTTGGCGTCCTTCGCGTCGTCCACCGTGGTCGCGCCGACGGCGTCGGCGAGCTTGTCTGCGTCCTCCGCGGCCTCTTTCGAGGCGCCCATGAGCTTCTCGTTCGCCGCGCCCGCCTCGTCGAAGTTCGTCTTGAAGTCCTTCGCCTTCTCCGCACTCCCGAACCTGCGCGCCGCCGACGCCAACCACCGCACTTTATTCGCCCACACCGCATATTTCAAATCACCACAACTGGGGAAATCTCAGTCGTGAACTTCCGATTGCGGCGATCGCCATTGTCAAGGGGGCGGGGGGCAACGACGCCAGGTCCCGTGCGTGCGAGTGCGCGCTCCGCGACACACGCGGTGTGGGCGCGCCGGCAGATATGGATTCGTGGTTGTCGTGCGCACCGAACCGCAAACATCTCGTTCCGCATCTCCCCCTCCGCGTAGTCGAGCGTGCACCACACCCACGCCTTGTCGCTCCCGGAGTGCGGCTGCATGTCCGTGCCCGGAATCACCAAGTGGTTCGCCCGCACCTTCCCCGTCTTCTCCTGCGCAACACACCCCCGCAACCACGCGTCAGACACACAAAACACCCCCCCGCGCCCCCCGGCCCCGCCCCCCCGCGCGGGCACGCACCGCTCGCATCAGCAGGCGCGTCTTCCCCGTCTCCTTGTTCTTGAGGAGCTTCACGGGCCCCACGCCGCGCTCCTTCCACTCGCTCGTGTCCGACGCGTAGCGGTAGAGCTTGCACTTGGCCTCGAACAGCGGCTCCTCGTCCTCCTCGCCCGTCTTCGTCTCGACCTCCTCCAGCTGCACCACGGGCTTGAACTCCGCCTGGCACTCCTCCTGCGCCGAAACAAGACAATAACACCCCCCGGGGAGTGCTGGGCTCGCGCGCGGGCGGCGCGGCGGGCGCGGGCGCGGCGGCGCCGTGGCTGGAGCGGGCGCTTCGCGACTGGACCGGAACGCGCGCGTCGCGCTGTGCGTGTGTGTGTGTGCGCGTACACGGTGGCAGTGCGGAGCGCGGTCGGGCGGCGGGGCGCGCACCTCCTCGCCGGGGGCGTCGTCGTCTCCTCCGTCGGCGTCCTTGTTCGCGGGGGCGGCGGCGGCGCCCTGCGCTGCGAAGGCCCCGAAGCCCCCGCCCGTGCCGAGCGCGCTGCCGGCGCCGAACACGAACTGCGCGGGCGCGGTTTCCGGGCGGGACGGACGTCAGGCGGGGCGTCAAGGCGTTGCGTGCGCTGCGGGGGGCCCGGGAGCGGGCCGGCGCGGCGTGGGGGGCCGGTGCGACGCCAGCACGGAGCCATCTAGGCCGTTTGGGGACTCTGGGGTTGTGTTTGCAGCGTGGGGGGGGTGTCTGGGCGGCGGGACGGGCGTCCGTGATGCGTGTGTGGAGGAGGCGTTGGCTCGGGGGGCTGTCGCGATCGAGCGGGGCGGTTGTTGCCACGGAGGGCGGTGCTTGTGCGTGAGAGCAGGCGGCAGGGGCGGCACTGCGCAGGTGCGTGGCCTGGCCGACGGCACGCGCCGAGGGGCGCGAGCGTAAATCGCGTGCCGTGGTTCCGCGGCGCGCGGAGGGCGCCGGGCGACGCGACGCGCGCCAGCGGCAGCCTGCGCAAACCACCTGTCAGCGCGACTCGCGCTGCCGCGGCCGTGGGCGCTCGGCTTCCCGCGAACCGCATCAATTGGGCCTGCATTATATCACCCCCGCGCGCAGACCCGGCGCAACGCCGCCTCCGCGGCCCGACCAGCACGCACCTGCTGCTTCTGCTCCGACCCCTCGGCCTGCTCCACCGGCTTCGCCTCGTCACTCATCTTGCCCCGTTTCCCGTTCAGCACGCGCCCGCATGCCGCGTGCGCGCAGCCAGGCGCCCCGTCATGCCGCGCGCCCCCCCGCGCAGCCACCAGCGCGGTAGAACCCGTCTGGCGCAGCGCTGCCAGTGCAGCCGCGTCAGGCCGCCCGGGGGCGCGCGGGCGACAAGGGCGGCGATGCGAAGCCGTCCCCCGCAGCACCGGCGTGACGCGCGGCCCGGCTAGGACCTGTGTGGGCGGCCTCTAGGGCGTAGGAGCGCCCGCGGCTTGCAGCTGGTTTGAAAGGAGTCGTGAGCGCGGTTTCGCGGCAGCGGGGGCGGAGCTCGGATCGCCAGGCCGGAGGAGGTAGACTCTCCATCGTGCACGCCGCGCGTCGAGGCGCGAGGAGCCTTCTGCGGCGCGGCAGCGGCCTCCCTGCACTCGCTGGTCGTCGACCGCAGCTCAGACGGGCAGTCGCAGGGGAGGTTTTTTGAGCCATGTCCTTCCGCGAAGTCAGGAGTGAGTTCCCCCGCACCCCGCTGCCTCGGAAAACGCCGCCAGCGCGCGCCAGCGCCGGCTCTATACGCACGCGGGCTGCGGCGCCCGTAGCCGCACCGCTGCGGCCCTCCGGAACCCCAGAGCGCCCCCACGCGTAGCTACGGTCATTCTCCGCCCCTACGTCCGCATATCTTGCGGTTCGAGCGCTCCAGGGCCACGCGCGACTTGAACACGACCCCGCGCACCTTCACCTCATGTCCGCCCCTGTGCGGGCCGCACGCGCCGCCACCTCGCCCAGCGCACCGCGCGCCGGCACCTCCGTCTACGTGGTCCCGTCCTCGCCCCGGAAACGCCCGCATTCTCCCCCGGCAGCGCGCTGGAGCGCCGCAGCTCGCAACACCGGCCTTCCTGTGCCCCCCGCGCAGGCTACTGCGAGCTGATGCGCGAGCTGGGCTACCAGCGGCTGATCTCCGTCGAGAACTTCCGCACCCCGAACTTCGAGCTCGTCGCGGAGAACCTCGAGTGGCTCGTGCGGCGCTACGACCCCAAGGCAGAGGTGTCCAGCGACATCTCCACGATACGGGAGCGCGTCAACTTCCTCCAGTCCGTCGGTGGCATCATGTACACCAAGGCGCGCGCTCCGCGCCGCCCCCCCGCGCCGCCACGCCCCCGCACGCGCCCGCACAGCACGCTGCCTGGCGCGCCCCGCGCCGACCGCGCTCGCGTCCCCGCGCGCAACGCAGGCGCGCGTGAAGCTCAACCTCAAGAAGCTCTACGCGGCCGACGCGGTCGCCGTGAAGGAGCTGCTCAAGGTGGCGCGCCTACTCAGCGAGGCCGACCGCAGCACGGGGAGCGACGCCGTGAGCGAGACCCTCGGGCCGCCGGACCTCTCCCTCGGCGGCAAGCTCGCCGGCGTGCGCACCGCCCGCCAGCTGGCCTCGGACATCGTCCGCACGGGCGCGCGTCTCCATGACGCCCTCGTCCGCGAGCCCGCGCTCTCCCGCGCGCGCGCGCGCCATCGGCGACAAGCTCGTCGACCGCGACGCCGTCGAGCGGCAGCTCGCGGAGAAGCTCGCGGCGGTGCGGCAGTCGGAGCAGGCCATGCAGGCGCAGCTGCAGTCGCTGGAGAAGAACCGCCGCCACCTCGAGGAGAAGATCGAGAAGCGGCAGCGCGAGCTCGATCGGTCGCAGCAGCGCCTGAACGCGCTGCAGGCCGTCAAGCCGGCGTACCTGGAGGAGTATGAGCGCATGCAGGGGGAGTTGCAGGGGTTGTTCCAGCAGTACGCCGAGCGGCAGCGCAACCTGGACTATTTGCAGAAGCGCCTCACGGACTACCAGCGCGCGGAGGAGGCGCGGCTCAAGGCGCACAAGAAGCGCCTCGCGAAGATGCAGCAGAAGATCAAGCAGGAGGAGCTGCGTGTGTTGCGCGGGGACGGGGAGCTGGACGACTCGAACCTGGACCCGCTCGGGGACTCCGGGGAGGTGGATTTCTCGGACGACGACGACGGCTCGCCGCCGTCGGGCGGCGGCGCGATGGCCAACACCATGCGGCCGTCGCGGGGCGCGCGGGCGAACGGCGGGCGCGCGGCGCCGGACGCGATGGCCGCGCAGCAGCGCGCGGACGCGCAGCGCGGGATGACGGCGGGCGGCGGCGGGCGCCGCGGCGCCGTGATGGGCAGCCTGGCTCCCGCGGGGCTCGAAGATGACGACGACAGCGGCATCAGCGACCTCGGCGGGGGCAGCGACAGCATGGGCGAGGTGAGCATGGGCGAGGGCGGCGGGCTGAGCGACGACGGCGGGTTCGTGGGCGGCCCGGGGGGGCCTGATGACCTGGATGGAGACGGGCTGCTGGACGGCGACGACCTGTCGGACGAGTCGTCGGACGACCGGTTCTGACGCGGTGTGAGACGCGGCGTGAGTGCGGACGAATCAGGAATCACAGGGGGCGTTCTGTGGGGGTGTGTCCTCGCGAACTGCTACATGTTCCGGCATGAGCTCGCGTTCCTCTGCCAGTTTCGCGACCGCTGGTTGAGCACTGGCGACGTCGCTTGGCTGAAGGTCTTGGGGTCTTTCCGTTATTCCAGGCGCTACATCGACGACAATTTCTCTCTCGCGAACGCACTGTACCGCTACTTCAACACCCACCCCCGCCCCCCCACCCCGCCCCCCGAAACCCCGTCGTCGATCGTAGATCTCATCTCTGGTATACATAACATGTACACCCCCTGTCTTGAGGTCGAATTTGACGCCCCAGCGAACCCGCTCGACGGTGTCTCCTTCCTAGACCTCCGCGTGCGTCCGCATCCCGAATATCAGGGCTTCCTCCTGATCTCGCACTATGACAAACGCGGTCTGTTTCCTGAGAACATTCACCTCATACAGTACCCCCACGCTTCGTGTGCGCTGCTGCGACGACACCTTTACAACATCGTCCACACCGAACACATCCGCGTGTCCAGCGAGGTGACTGACCGCGACAGCTACGTAGCCAAGATGTCGGCCATGATGCGCTACATGCGTACGCATCGAGGTTACTGCATGCGACAGGTCCTGGCGATCCACCGCGCCGCCTGCCGGACGCACCCGCGCCCGCATTTTGGCCCTGCCACGCCGGCGGGCCTGGCTGACCTCGTGCGTCGCCACGTGCAGTTTGCAGACCATACTGGCCAACCTGCTGACAGGGCGTGCCCGGCGCCCTGCAACTCGTCACCCTCATACATGATCCCGGCGCTGCGAAGCTGGCTCGGAACTATCCAGCCATGCCCGCACACATGACGCACTCTGTTACCCCCCCGATGTTGACATGTTGGCCATGCGCGTATTCCGTGGCCGCTAAACCGAGGTATGATCCCTTTTCGCATGACGGGCCACGCGCGGGGGACGGCGATGACGAGGAGAGCTGAGTAGCCGTCGGCGCGTCGCCACACAACGCGGACAATGCCGCAGACTCAGTCACCGCTGTCACCCAGCCGGCTGCCGACACCCCCTGGTACAAGCAGCCTAGGACGTGGACCAGCACTTCGGCGCGTCGGCTGGCGGGCGTCGTCCAGTACTCGCGCGGCTCGCCGCGTTGTTGCTGACGACGCCCGCCACTCACTCGAACTGATTGCAGGTCAGAGCCTTCCCTTGGCACATGATGGCACGCTCACATGGCATTTCGCGCGAGTACTCCTAGCACGCTGCCGCCTTGATCAGGACGATAGCACACCCGCATTTCGTTTCGTGCGCGGGTGGTCAATTACTACTCTGTGTGTGGTGTTGTGGGGGGGAGTGAGGGTGCGGTGAGGGGGTGTGTTGTTGCTGCGGCTAGGATTTCACCTCCCACTTGCTCCCGGGCCCGAACTTCTCGGACGCTTCGGTTGCGAGGCGCAGGAGGTCCATGAACGTCCCCGCGGCGGCCCGTAGCATCCTGCAAAGGGGGTGGGGGGGGTGTCTCAGTGGGCGCACGGCGGCGGCGGGCGCGCGGGCCGCGTGCGGGGAGCTGAGGGCGAGCGGGGGGCGGCCGGGGGGGGAAATGCGTCGCACTTGGGCTCCGAGGCACGGAAGTGAATGACGACGTCGCTGCCGTCGCGCGTGACGCTTCGCTCCACGTCGTCCGGATGGAGCTGCGGGCGGAGAAGCGGGGACGGACGTTGTCGTGGTGCAGCGGGCGGGGGCGCCGGAGATAGAGCGCGGGGAGGGCGGCGGCGGGCGGCGGAGGCGGGGACGAGCGTGCACGCACCTCTGGGTCGACCGCTAGCGTCGCTCGAATCATCTCGGCGTCCTCCGGCGACTTGTACGGCACGCGCGTCTCGAACTCGAACGGCTTGTCCTTGCCCGGCATCGCTGCGCGCCCCCCTCACCGGCCAAACGGCGTGTGTGTCTCAGGCGTGGTAGCAGACGGTGGTGGCTCGCGCTGACGCGGGTGATGCAGGTGATTGGCGTCGCCTCGCTGCGATGTCACGTGTGAGACTACGCGTCGGCGCGACCCGCGCGGCGCAAGACGCCCTGACGCGACCGCAGGCGGGACAGTCCCGGACTTGTGGGTCTGTCTGTCCGAGCCTGCGTCAGCGGTGCCCTCGCGGGCGCCGCGGCCGCCGGCCGCGCAAGAAGGACGCAGCGAGGCGCAGCTGGCGGTGAGTCTCGGCGCGCGCGCAGATATGGTGGACAGCGGCGGCGGCAGCCCCGAGAGGGAGGTGCGCGACGGAGAGGGGGCGCACGGGCGTGATGGGCGAGATGGGCCCCAGTCGGAGCGGTCGCCGGACCGGAGGCGCGTGTCGAAGCCTCGCGTGGCCCTGCGCAGCACAGTGGTGACTCAGGTGATTTGCAGGCGCCCGCGTCGCTTTCTGCGCAGCAAATGGGCGGCTCTCGCGGGCTTTCCGTGATTGCCATGCGCGCTTGGACGCTCTACCGCTCCTCTCCACGTCATCTCGCGTGCCTGAAACACGAAATCCGGACCACCTCGCGCCCTACGTGGCTGTATCAGACAGACCACTGCCCGGCAAAGCCTCTGCCTGCGACCACCGCCGCCGTGCAGGCGCGAGAAGCGTTCATCGAGGAAGCCAAGGAGACCTTCTATCACCCCGCTCCGCCCCCGGAACGCACCGGTCCGCCCAGGGGCCGCGGCAGCGCGTTCAGCGCCCACCACCGCCGCGGCGCACCCATGCCGGAGCCGGACCGCGTCCACCGCTGGCCGCGCGGCATGGACGTCGCCCAGGCGCCCGCGGGCGACCCCGCCCCGAGGCCCCCGGAGCCCCGCGGAAAACCTCAACCCCCCGCCGGGCCCGCCGCCCGCGCCGCCCCGCAACCCCAACCCCCCGCCGCGCGACGCAAGAACGCGCGCGGCCCAGAGGGCTACGTCCCCCTCGCGCAGCAGGCCGAAGTCGGCGTCGTGAGCCGCCGCCGCGTCATGTCCGTCGTCGCGCCAGCGGCGCCCCTGGAGCCCGACGCCAGCGCCGAGCCCGAGGCGGGCGAGCTGCCGGAGCCGCCGGGGGGCTTCCCGGGCCCGCCGGACGCGCACAGGCGCGCGAGCCAGGCGATACCGGAGCCGCAGCGGCCGCCGAAGCGGCCCCTGGGCGTCGCGGGTGAGGGAGAGGCGAAGCGGGCGAAGCGCATGATGGGCAACCTGTTCGGGGCTCTCACGCAGGTCCGCGACGCAGACGTTGCTGCAGGCCCGAGCTTTGCTGCGGGGGGCGTGTGCGGGTTGTGCGGGGAGTGCGTGGAGCGGGGCGTGGCTGATGACGTAATGTGTGGGGGGTGTTTTGCAGGCGAACAAGCAGGCGGAGTCGGCGAAGAGCGTGGACGAGAAGCGGGCGGAGATGGCGGCGCGCGCGCAGGCGCGCGTGAAGGAGCGGCTCGCGAAGATGCGGCAGCAGCACATCGCTGCGCGCATCGCAGACAACGTACGCCCCGCACCACGATTCGATCCTTGTTCGACCTCTTCGGCTTGATTTCGTCCTCTCTCCTTGCTGTTCGCTCTTCGCTCATCCCGGTCACCGAATCCCGCACCGTCTGCTCCCACGTGAGCACGTCCGTTGCCGCTAGTGTCCTAGCTTGGAGTAGTAGCAACACGCGACACGCTCTTTCGCCGTGGACGACGCTCCCGCAGGCCGACGCCCGCGAGCGGCGCATGCAGGCGCAGTTCCAGGCCAGCCTCGAGCGCCAGCGCGGCATGCACGAGTACCTGGCGACGTCAACAGCGCCGCCGCTGTTGTGGCTCCCCGCGCGCGGCCTCGACGCGTTCGAGCCGGCGACGGCCGCGGAGCTGCGGAAGCAGCGCGCCGCGGAGTTCGACGCGTGGGAGGCCGCGGCGCGGGAGCGGCTGCGGGAGCGAATGGACCGCATTCGAGCTGCGGAGGCCAAGCGGCACGGGGTGGAGATGGCTGCGCGGCGGAGCGATGTTGAGATGGAGGGGGGGCAGGAGGACGGTGTGCGGGAGGACGGGGAGGCGCGAGAGGTGTCGCCGGACCGTGGGAGCGGGCGGGAGAGGGGGGGAAGTGAGGGTGAGGAGGGGGGGAGTGAGCGGGAGGCCGCGGCGCGGGTGGACGCGCAGGAGGCGGCGCGGCGGAACGCGGAGGCGGTGGAGGAGTCGCCGGAGGAGGGGGAGCTGAGCGCGGGCGCGGGCGCGGGCAGCGACAGCGACGATGGGGACGCAGGGCTGGATGCGGAGAACCTGGAGGATATCCTGGGTCGCAGATGAGGGACTTGATCCACATGTGACGCTCAGGACGTGGCCGATCATCCTGCGGGGCCTGCAGCGGGGGTGATGTTGTGTCAGGCAAACTGGGGGGTGTGCCGGCGCTGGCTTTGTTGCGGGGGGGTTGCGTGGGCGCGCGGTGGTTCGCTATCGTTCGGGGCGAGCCTGGTTGCGGTACCGCGTGCGGGAGCGCTGCGCATTTCGCATGGAGTGAGGTGCCGCGTAGCGTTGGGAGGCGGGGCCCGCCGCGCGCATGTAATGAGGGGCGGGATGCGCGACAGAACGAAGACGGCCCTGCTCCGTGCGCTCTTTAGCATTCTAGGCAGCAATGCGTCCCTTTTGGCGCGCGTGCTGCTCCTAGCGGTCCCCTTGAGCTGGTTGCTGGTGAGTCGGGACCCGCACAAGCTCTACTTCGACGAGAACGCGCTGTCCCGGGGCGACCACGTGTTCCACTTGGACGACGACATCTACAACACCTCGATGTCCGCGGTTTCCGCGGTGCTGAACGCGGTGAGCGCCCCCTCTCGTGCGCTGCTTTTGCTCCCCGCGTTCGCTCGTGCGACGCGTCCATCCGGGCGATCTCGCTACTCAGCTCCACACTCACTTCGCGAACACGTCAGCGCTCAGCGCGCCGTTCGATGCGTTTCCCCGCAAAGGCGATAACGACCATCAACCAACCCAGCGATGCAGGACCACACCGCGACGAACCGGACGTACCTCCAGCAGGTCCTCGACGCGTCGGGACTCGAGGTTTGGGAGCAGCTGTTCGAGCCGGCGAGCGAGCCGGAGCACTCGCACCACCACGGTCCCAGGACGGACGGCGATGCCCACGGAGACCCAGACGCGGCGCCGCCCGCCCCGCTGTGCAAGAACATCGTGACGCTCACCCGAGCTCGCCGCGGCGGCACAGGCCCGGCCGCAGGTACCTCCTCGGCCCGCCCGCGACACCGCACCGCTAGCAGCGCAACCCTAATCCCAAAACCCCCCCTTTTGCTCCCCCCCCCGTCCGCAGGCGCGATTCTCCTCGTCACGCCCTGGGGCTCGCAGCCGCCCGGGCAGCACCCGCGGTCCGGCGCGCAGGAACCGACACCCCCCACGGCAACTACCTCCAAACGGCAGAGGGGGCAAACATCGCCCTGTCCGCGGCGCTGTCGACCGTGCGGCAGCTCGACAAGTTCGCGTGGAGGTCCGCGCACGTCCTCTGGCTCGTCGCCGACGCGCGGTGCGGCGCCGCGCACGCCACGGAGGCGTTTCTGGACTGGTATGAGGCGGACGGCGGCGAGCGGCCCCGCGTGGGGCCGATCGTGCAGGGGGTCTCCGTGGAGGCCGCGACGGGGCGGATCACGGGGTACACCGTGGATCCGAGGGGCCGCGGGGGCCGCATGGCCAACCTCGACCTCACTTCGCTGCTCGCGAAGCTGCCGACGCAAAGCATGCTGACGCGAACGAACCTCGCGGCGCGGTTCGCGTACCAGCGGTACGCGCTGCCGGCGGCGATGACGCAGCGCCTGCCGGAGTGGATCCCGATCTGGATGGACGACGTCGTCGCGTCGGGCTGGACGTTCGTGCGGCATGCGCTGGCGGCGGCGGGGGGCCCGGCGTGGACGGGGGCGCACGGGCCGCTGCTGGACCGGCACGCCGACGCGGTCACGATCCGGCTGCACGTGTTCCCGGAGGGCGAGGACGTGGGCGCTCCGGAACCGCTGTCAGGGTATGAGGCTGTGGAGGGGGTTATTCGCACCCTGCAGCCCGTGGTGCGGAGCCTGAACGCTCTGCACGAGGCCTTCCACCACAGCACGCACATGTACGTTCCGCTCACGGAGTACACGTACGCGCCGCTCGGGGCGTACCTCCCCGCCGTCGCGCTGCCGATTGCGGTCGTCGCGCTGGACGGCGCAGGGGCGATGGCTGCGGCGGTCAACGCCAAGGTCCGCGCGGCGCAGCAGGGGCACGCGGCGACGCTTGCCGGCGCCGCGGCCGTCGCGGGCGTGGTCGCGTCGGTCGCGTCGACCGTCGCGGCGGGGATGCTGCCGGGTGCTGTGCCGACGCAGTGGGCCGCGCCTGCGGTGCTGTGCTCGCTGTGGTTCGCGGGCCGCGCGGCGCTGCGCGGGCGCGAGGACGCGGAGGCCGTCGTGGGCGCCACGCGCGCGGCGGCGGCGGTGTGGCTGTCGGCGGCGCTGGCGGCGCTGGCGTTCGTGAACTGGGGGCAGGCGCTGGTGGTCGGGGTGTTCGCGGCGGCGAAGATCGCGCTGCTTCCCGGGTGCGTGATGCACTGCGTCGCGTGGCGCGTGACGGTCGGGTTCGTGCGGGACGCCCGCGAACAACTGCGCTGCTGCTGGGCCCCTGCTCTTCCAAGTCGTTTCGAACGCACTCCAGTCGCTCCCTCACGACGACGGAACCCGCGCACGAAGTGGAGCGAGGAGGTCCAGGCGAATCCGCGGCGAATCGGTCTCGAAACTTCCCGCGCGGATTCGCCCGGAAGTCCTGGAGCGCGAGGTCATGAAGCGGTGTAGTCGCGAAGGACCGACTGGAATGCGTTCAAAACGACTTCGAAGAGCAGGGGCCCGGCAGCAGCGCAGTTGTTCGCGTGTCCCGCGAGAAGCTCCGCTGATCCGCAACCCATCAATCAACGTCACAAGTCTATGAATGAATATGACTAGTCATTTATTACTTAGTAACATCTTGTTGCGCCCGACCGGCGTCTGCCTGCAGGTCGACGCGCACGCGCGGGGTCGGGCTCCCCGTGCTGCTGCTGTTCTCGGCCGCGTCCACGCGGTACGCCGTCCTGCAGCTGCTGCGGGTGCTGCCCGCGCGCGGGGAGCTGCCGCTGGCGGGGGGGGCGCTCGGGTGCTGCGCGGCGGGGCCGCAGGAGATCGACCTGCCGCTGGCCGCGACGGAGGGGGCGTTCTGGTGCATCCTGGCGCTGGCGGGGTGACCTGTCGCTGAGCGCAATCAGGTGCTTCTGTGATACAGGGGAGATGGTTTGTTGTCGGGGGTGGTCGACGTGCGGACGTGTGTGCTGCGTCGCCGCGGTTGGGCTTTGTGGTGTGATCGGGTGGAGGTGCGGGGAGCTGGTTGGGGGAGTGCCGTAATAGGGTCCGGGGGTATGTTGTTTCAGGACAGGTGCCCGCGCAGAATGGCGCCGCGACTGCGTGGGCGGCGCTACTTTCGCGACGAGCAGCTAGCGGCGGGGCGTGCGATCGTGTTGGCCATCGGTTGACGTGCGATACGTCCGTGTTCGCGGCCCAAAGACTCGTGCCACTTGTTGGTGTGCCTTATATAGCGGAGAGGCGACGCAGGAGGCCGCGGCGCACGCTCCAGCGCAGCAGATTGAATCTCTTAGTGTTGCTCCATCTGCGTCTCGAGAGGCTGCGGCCATGACGCCCGCTGGGCCCTGAGGTGGTGCACTGAAGCTCGAGATGCCTTGGGGGCGCAACGAGCAGTCATGTACGCAAGAACCTCGACTCAGCTCATGTATTATAGATACTCCTGGATGTGTACTACCCTTCCGTTTGCTAATATCTGTCGTTCGGCGCGCCTGCTCGCAGTCCAGGGCGGGAGAGGGTTCCAGGCGGGCGGCCGTGGCGGTTTCGTCACCTCGCGGCAGAATGCGGGGGGCGGCATGGCGCCTCGGGGCAACGCCGGGGGCTTCGTCGCCTCTGGGCCGGCGCGCGGGGGCGGCTGGGGGCCGCGCCCGGATGCCGGCGCGCAGAATTGGGGCCGGGGCGGAGGCGGTGGGCGCGGGGGCAGGGGCCAGGGCGGCAGGGGCGGGCGCGGCAACCAGTACGGCCCCCCGCAGAACAGACCACCACCGCCACCGGCCGGGGGCCGAGGCTTCGTGTCGGCGGGGCCGCAACACGCTCCGCAAGGGTCGTTTGTGGCGGGTCGCAACCAACAGGTGTGTGTGTCTGCCCGCCTCCACGCCGCGCGCGCGCGTCCTGTGCGCGGCAGACGGCGTGCTGACGCTCGCGGCGTGCGTGGCGTGCCCCGTGCAGGCGCAGCAGCCCTCGTTCGGGCCGCCACGGGGGTACAACAACAACAGCAGCTTTGCGAGACCCCCGGGGGGGTTCGGAGCGCCGCAGGCGCGGCCGAGCCGGCTGCCGCGCCCGCCGCCGCCGATGAACGCCAGCGGCTTCGTCACGAGCAGGCCGGGGGGCAGCTTCGGGCAGCAGCGGCCTCCTGCGTTTCAGGGGGGGCCTCAACCAGGCCGGGGCTTTGGACGCCCCCAGGGGGGGTTCCAGCGCCCCGCGTTCGCGTCGCCGCAGCGCCCGCAGCAGCCCGCGTTCCCGCAGCACCAGCGGCCGCAAGCGCCGTGGCCCTCGGCGCAGCAGCCGGCGCCCTTTGCGCAGCAGCCATCATCCTTCGCGACGTCCATGCACGACAACGCGATGAGCGACGAAGGGGCACCGCTGGCGCAGGGGGGCGGCGCGGCGGCGGAGGGCACGGCGCAGTCGTCGGTGTACTCGGGGGAGTTCAAGCTGGGGGAGATTCCTGAGGACCCCCCCCCACTTGCCGTGTGCTCGTAGCGCGTGCTGGTATGACGGTGCCTTCCACATGCACGGGCGTGTTGGCTGCGCTGGGTGCGTGTGAGGTCGCTGCGGTGGTTTCGTGCAGGTGTCAGTCGCGCACGCGCGACCCTGACTCAATACAACCCGGGGGTGCGAGGAGAGACCTTCTGGCCGCGCACAGCGGAGCGGCTGTGGATTTCTGGCGCCTGGTCCGTGCACGAGATACTCACGCGCAGGTGATCGCAGCTGGACCCGCAGGCGGCGATCATGCCCGACACGACGGCGACGCTTCGTCGCGCGCTCGAGACCGCGCTGCGCGTGTACAGCTGCGTGCAGGACCACCCCGAGCTTCGCCTACATGTACGAGCACGCGCCGCCCGATCGCACGCACTCGTCGCCCGCGTTCGCCAATCCCCGGAACCACCATTCAGTTCAGCTTGTTAACGATAATCGACGAATGCGGGCCCGTCCTGTGCGCAGGAGGCAGCGCCGTGGCTCGTGCCCCGCGTCACACAAATGAGGAATGCCCTGTTCGAGGTCGCGATCGCCGAAGCCCGTCTGCGCGACCCCGAGGCCCTCAACCACCACCTACGTACTGAGGTGTTGCCCCTGCTGGAGGAGCTGGAGCGCGCCGTGCCGCAGCGACGGCGCAATAACGAAGATGAGGCGTGTGCCACCGGGGAGGCGTGGCAGGGTCGCGTCGGAACGCTCACGTCGCGCATCACGGACGCCCTTGAGGCTGTCTCATGGCGGACAGAGGACGGCACTGCCGACACCACGGTGAGCGACGGGGTACGAGCCCGCTGGCGCTGTTTGTGCTTGCAACTGCGATAGATCGAGCTGCGAGACGAGTCGGTTCGCGACGCCGCGGCTTGCGCGCAGGGTGCTGCGCGTCCAAGCATCACACAGCGCGAGGGACGCAGCCGCGAGCGCTCGGAGGCCGTGAACGGGGCTGAGACTACGTCAGAGCGAGAGTGCGCGGCGATACAGGTCGGCAGGACCGCAACGGACCCCGTGCCGGCAGCGTCGGCGGAGTACGAGTGTCGCATCTGCTCGGAGGCGATTCAGGACCCTGTGGTGCTGCTGGAGAGCGGCCAGACGTACTGCCGGGCGTGTATCGACGCGTGGGTGGCCAACAGGGTCGCGGCCCGCCAGGTGCCGACGGACCCGCTCACGCGGGTGCAGTTGAAGGTGCCGCTGCAATACGTGGAGAATTGGGCGCTGAAGAGCGTCATCGCGCGGCGGGCTCGACCGGCGGGGGCGGACGAGACGCCGCGTGAAATTCGTACGGCGCGGGAGCTTCATGCGGCGATCAACGCCGGGCGCAGGACGGTGAGCGAGTAGTATCTGATTTGCAGGAGATGGGGTTGGAAATCGTGTCTTGGTGTCGGTTGCAGGCGGCGGCGGTGCTTGCGTGTGCTCAGGGTTGTGCGCGCGGCGTGTGGCCTGCGCGGAACGCTCGACGCTCTTCTCCGGCGGTGTGTGCCGCAGGTGATCGACCTTGGCGGGTGCGAGGTGCGCGGGGGCGGCCAGGACACGGTCGAAGTGACTCGCCCCGGTGTCACCGTGCGCAACGGGAAGCTGACTGGTGTGCGGCTGGCGATCGGACCGTCCGCGAGGGGCACGCGCCTAGAACACCTCTCTGTCAGCGGGTGCAAAAAAGGACCTGCGCAACACGATGCGACACTGCGCTCACGTGAGCTGCCCGACGACGGATGCACGCGCCGCATGACTATGATGAGGATTGGTCGCTTTGTGGGTCCGTCACGTGATATCCTGTTGACATATCACGTCAGATACTGATAGTTTATTCCATCAGTGACTGAGAGGCACTTGCTGAGAGCACGAGTGCCCCTTGGCGTTGCAGGCATCGTTGCGGCCAGCGCTGTCAGTGTCGAGGCCGCGCGCGAGGTCGTGCTTGTGGCGTGCAGGCTCAGCGACAACACTGGCAGTGGACTGTGCATCTGGGACAGGGCACAGGTGCCGGAAACGACTCGCGCGCCACGAAGCTGACCGTTGCGCAACTGTGTAGCAACGATGCGTGCTCACCTCACCTCGCAGATATGGCAGCGCCTGCATGTCGCGCGATGTGTGCAGGTGACGGTGGAGGGCTGCGAGTGCTGCGGGAACACCGAAGCCGGCGTGTATGCGGGCGACAGCGGGACGGAAGTGACGGTGCGCGACACCAAGTGCAACGACAACAAGGAGTACTGCGGCATACAGGCATCGAAGGGAGCAAAGGTGCGTGTGCGCTGTCAGCGCACAATGTGCGGCACTTGCGTCGGATGCGTGACCATGCCCACACGCGTCCAGAAGCATCTGTGTCGCAACGTGTCTGCGCAGGTCACGGTGGAGGGCTGCGAGTGCTGCGCGAACGCCAACAGCGGCGTGTTGGCGATCAACAGCGGGACGGAGGTGACGGTGCGCGAGACCAAATGCAGCGACAACGAAGAGGGGTGCGGCATACAGGTAGCGGAGGGAGCAAAGGTGCGAGTGCGCGCTGTCAGCGCACGATGTGCGGCTTGTGCGTGGGATGCGTGACCATGCCCACACACGTCCAGAAGCATCTGTGTCGCAACGTGTCTGTGCAGGCGACGGTGGAGGGCTGCGAGTGCTGCGCGAACAGCGAGGTTGGCCTAGATGTGAGTGGCAGGGGGGCGGAGTTGACGGTGCGCGACACCAAGTGCAACAACAACAAGAAACACGGCGTCGTGGTGGGCAAGGGAGGAAAGGTGCGGGCCTTGGTTCGTGCTGGGATGCTCCGTGACGGGGTGACGTATCAGTGTGCACACATGTCTGGAGACGTCTGCATGTCGCACAACGTGTGCAGGGCACGGTGGATGGCGGCGAGTGCTGTGCCAACGACAAGTGCGGCGTGGTGGCGGATGGCCAGGGGGCGGAGGTGACAGTGCGCGGCACCAAGTGCAACGCGAACAGGCTTCACCACGGCATACAGGCAACCAGCGGAGCCAAGGTGCGTGCGTGGGTCGACCTTGATTCGTGCTGGCGTGTGTGCGATACGCACGCACCGGGTGCACTCATGTTCGGCAACGTCTGCTTGACAGGTGACGGTGGAGGGCGGCGAGTGCTGCGGGAACAGCGAGGCCGGCGTGTTGGTGAGTGACAGCGGGACGGAGGTGACGGTGCGCGACACCAAGTGCAACGCGAGCAAGAAGAAAGCTGGCATTTATGTGGACACAGGAGCGCAGGTGCGTGGGTCGAGTTTGATGCGTGCAAAGTGGATGCTCCGTGATGGGGTGACGTATCAGTGTGCACACATGTCTGGAGACGTCTGCATGTCGCGCAACGTGTGCAGGTGACGGTGGAGGGCTGCGAGTGCTGCGGGAACAGCGAGGCCGGCCTAGCTGTGGGTGGTAGAGGGACGGAGGTGACGGTCCGCGGCACAACATGCAACGACAGCAGGAACCACTGCGGCATCGTGGTGGACGAGGCAGCAAAGGTGCGTCCTGCACGACAAGTTCACGCGGACGGCGGTGACATAAGTCGGTGTGCAGTCATATTGGGGCCTGTGTCCTACCACGTGCTGCGCAGGTGACGGTGGAGGGCTGCGAGTGCTGCGGGAACGCCTACAGCGGAGTGTGCGCAAGGGACAGGGGGACGGAGGTGACGGTGCGCGGCACAACATGCAGCGACAGCAAGAAATGCTGCGGAATAGAGGTAGTGAACGCAGCAAAGGTGCGTCCTGCACGACAAGTTCACGCGGACGGCGGTGACATAAGTCGGTGTGTACTCATTTTGGGGGGCTGTGTCCCACCACGTGCTGCGCAGGCGACGGTGGAGGGCTGCGAGTGCTGCGCCAACAAGTCCGGCGTGGCGGCGGTGGACAGCGGGTCGGAGGTGACGGTGCGCGGCACCAAGTGCAACGACAACAAGGAGTACTGCGGCATACAGGTGACGGAGGGAGCAAAGGTGCGTGGGCCGAGTTTGATGCGTGCAGGGATGCTCCAAGACGGGGTTACGTCTCAGTCAGTGTGCACACATGTCTGGCGACGCTTGCATGTCGTGCAACGTGTGCAGGGCACGGTGGAGGGCTGCGAGTGCTGCGCGAACAGCAATGCCGGCGTGTGGGCGAGGGGCAGCGGGACGGAGGTGACGGTGCGCGACACCATGTGCAACGACAACGAGCTGTGTGGCGTCGCGGCGGACGAGGGAGCGAAGGTCTGTGTCAGTCGGCGTTGTGCGCTGTACATGAGTGCGGCGCATGCCGGTGTGCTTACTTGCAGTTGCGTTGAGAGCCTGTGCAGGTGAAGGTGATGGGCGGCGAGTGCTGCGGGAACGCCGTAGGCGGCGTGTGTGCGGCCGACAGCGGGACGGAGGTGACGGTGCTCCAGACCAGATGCAGCGACAACAAAGAGAGGTTCGGCATAGAGGTAGTGAAGGCAGCAAAGGTGCGTGCGCGCTGTCAGCGCACAATGTGCGGCTTGTGCGTCGGATGCGTGACCATGCCCACACGCGTCCAGAAGCATCTGTGTCGCAACGCATCCGTGTGCAGGTGACGGTGGAGGGCTGCGAGTGCTGCAGGAACGCCGAGGCCGGCGTGCTGGCGAGGCACAGCGGGACGGAGCTGACGGTGCGCGACACCGTGTGCAACGCGAACAAGAATCTCTCTGGCATAGAGGTAGACTGTGGAGCAAAGGTACGTGCGTGCAGGGTGGATGCTCCGTGACAGGGTTACGTATCAGTGTGCACACATGTCTGGAGACGTCTGCATGTCGTGCAAAGTGTGCAGGGCACGGTGGAGGGCTGCGAGTGCTGCGGGAACAGCGAGGCCGGCCTAGGTGTGAGTGACAGCGGGACGGAGGTGACGATGCGCGACACCAAGTGCAGCGACAGCAAGAACCACTGTGGCGTTGCGGTGAACGGAGGAGCAAAGGTGCGTGCGTGGGTCGACCTTGATGTGTGCTGGCATATGCGCGTTGCACGCACGTCACGGGTCGCACGCATTTCCGGCAACGCCTGCTTGTCAGGTGACGGTGGAGGGCTGCGAGTGCTGCGGGAACGCCTACAGCGGCGTGTGGGCGAGCGACAGCGGGACGGAGGTGACGGTGCGCGGCAACAAGTGCGACGGCATAGTGGGAATCGAGGGAGCAAAGGTGCGTGTGCGCGCTGTCAGCGCACAGTGTGCGGCACTTGCGTCGGATGCGGGACCGTGCCCACACGCGTCCAGAAGCATCTGTGTCGCAACGTGTCTGCGCAGGTCACGGTGGAGGGCTGGCTGGTGGCCACAGGAGCGCGGGCGCTGCTCGCGGCAATCGCAGCGACTGCGGTGGCGCTGACCGTGTGGCTCGTGCGCGCGGCGTTCGTTGCATCAGGAGGGACACGTCCACCGGGCGTGTGATGCTAAAACGGGACGCGTCCAAACAAGGCACTACTTGTACCAGGCTCGCTCACGTGGAACAGCTTGTCCGTAAGGCGCCCAGGACGCGGTGCGCGAGCGCCAGCTCTCGCCCGCCCGGAACCGGGCTCGAGCTCCGCTCCGTGGCTACGTAACCAGAGCCCTGTTAGTCAGACTCTGATTCCTGCCGTACATGTCTTCTTCTTTACGGCGTTGCGCTTGGTCGCGGCACGGAGGCGACGCTGCGCGGCACCAAGTGCAACGGCAACGAGCAGTGTGGCGTAGCGGCCGGTGAGAGAGCGAAGGTCCGTGCCAGTTGGCGTTGTGCTCCGTGCATAAGTGCGGCGACACATGAAGGTGTGCTTATTTGCAGTTTCGCTGAGAGCCGGTGCAGGTGACGGTGTCGGGCTGTGAGAATCGAGCGTACGGGACGAGCGGCGTGTGGGCGAGCGGCTCAGCGGAGGCGACGGTGCTCGAGACTGTCTGTCGCGCGACGACAGAACAATACATGGGTGCTGCTGAGCAGCAGCAGCAGTGCTCGCGGTGTGAGTGCATGCGAGTCCAAGGCGTGCAGCTCGGGAAGGAACTCGGGGAAGAGTGGTCGTCAGCGCCGCGCTGCGGGATCCCGTGACGCGGCACGTCCTGCACGCATGCATCTTAGTTCGGGAGCTTGCATGTCCACCTGCGTCGAATCTAGCGCCCGAGAGCGAGTCGGGGTGGTCTGTCGCTGCTGTGTATATCGTAGCTCGCGGCGTGGCCACGCGCTCCCCGTGTTCGCGGCGTCTGACTGACTGACACAGGCACCCGGAGGTGTACATGGCAGGCGCGTCGCTGGGCTCGAACTCACGGGCCCGCGTGCGCACGCCGCAGACCAGGCGCGCATCGGCAGCGTTCCACACGCGTCTGGGAACGCCGTCCCGCCGAGGACCCGACTCCTTCCTGTCTGTTGCCCAGCGAAACAGAAAGGACCCGCTGCAGGCCGGTGGCGGGCTGTTCGGGACGTAGCGCGGTCCCAATGTCGCCTTGATAACGTGTTATGTCAGTTTCACCCTATAAACACGCGTCACTGGGTCGTTCTACGCACCGTGAGGCCAACAGACAATTCTGCGCTCATGGACTCGCCCCTCGGGCACGCCCTGCGCACCATCTCGACCTCGAACCAGTGGACGACGCTCGACGGCGTCGTGTCGAAGGTCAACAAGAAGCTCCCCGCGGCCGACCGCACGGACGCGCGATCCCTGGCGGCTTTCCTGGCCAGCACAGACGCCCGCGAGCTCCAGGCGGCGGGCGTGTGGGTCGAATGGTTCGGCAAGAGCTTCAAGCCGATCGTCGCGACGAACCCGGCCTGTGCGCGTGCGCGCGAGGCCCAGAACGGCGGCGCGGCGCCCCCGGAGTGCACGTGCGGGGCCAGCACAGCGTCGCGCGACGCTGGCGCCGTCGGGAGGTACTTTGGGTCGCAGGACTACAACGCCGGGCGGCACGCGCGGGACGCGAGCGCGCACCGCTCGAACTGCCCGTGCTGGGAGCCCCCGAAGACCAGCCACCTGCACAGCTGGCGCAGAGGCTACGATTAACCATAAATCATTAGGTGGGCAGGATGGAGTGATAATACAGTCAGAAACGTGGTGCGGAGACGCCGTGTGAGGGCTCGCGCGTACACGCCGGTCTCCCTCGTGCTGGGATGCGCGACGGGAGGCTGCTCGGGCGAAACCGAGGGGGAGTCGCTGACCCCCCCTGCGCCGATGTCCGACCGGCGCGCCCGCCTCGAGAACGCGCAGAGCTCGAGCCCTCGGCGGCCCGCTGTCTTGCGCAGTTCATACTCGACCTCTGCGCGGCAGGTTTCATTCCAAACGCGCCTGGTTCCGACGCGAGGCCCCACATTCACCTACCAACAAGTATGGCTCTCGCGGCCCCCATGCGGACCGCCTGCGCCGGCCGGCGGTGCGCGCCCGCGTCCGCCGGGGGCGTGCGTGCCCTGCCGATGCGGTCGCGGGCCGTCGCGCCGCTGAGGAGGTCGCTGCGGGTGCGGGCGGAGGGCGAGGAGAGCCAAGACAAGGCGCCGGAGGCCACGCCGACCAAGGACGAGGCGAAGAGCGTGGAGGCGGCGAAGATCAAGAAGGGCCAGAACACGGCCATCTGGACCGGTGCGAGCCCCGCGCGCCCCGCCTACACGCCGCGCGGTTTGTGGGGCTGCCAGGCCGCAAGCACGCCCGGCCGCCTGACGCGCAATTGCGACACCCGCGCACCGCCCGCGGAGTCGCAACCGCCGCCTCCATCCATCTGGATGCGTCTGCGCTGATGTTGAGCCCAGCGCGTGGGTCGAGCGGGCCGGGCGGCAGCTGGGCGGGTGCGTGGCTGTCCTGGGCCGGCGGAGCAGGCGTCCCGGGCGGCCGATGACTCATTCCGCGTGCGCCCCGCGTGCCTGTGTGCGTTGTCGTGCAGGCGCCGTGTCCATCGGGTTCGGCGTGCTGTACCTCGTCCTCGTGCTGCTGCTCGACACCCGCGGCAGCGTGCTCGAGCCCCCGCCGCCGGAGGCCCTGGGCCTGTAGACTCGATCCGAGCCAAGCGGACGCGCACGCAGCCGCTTGTGACGCTTCTGGCGACAACGCGTCCTCGGTTCCAACGTCACAACGGCCAGCGCGGGGCCGCCCCTGCACGTCGCGGACCTCCCGGTCGACACGGCACCCCGCGATCCCCGCCGCGCACGCGCCGCTCACTGCAGATCCATCGCGGGGCAGGCCTCCCCGAGCGCGTCTCGCTCCGCGCCCTCCGAGGACGGCGTCCCGCCCGTCAGCCAATAAGTCACCATCTTTCCCTTGCCTGCGGCGGACACGCGGGCCCCGTGCCCCGGGAGCGGCGCCGTGAGCAAGCCCGTCAGATGCGCTCCGCAGGCAGCAGGCGCGCGTCGCAGCGCGGAGCGTGCACGCGCCGCAATTCGCACCTTTCACGTGCACGGTCCCGCGTTCCCGCAGCAGCCCCGCGGCCTCCGGCCACTCCTGCAGCAGCGCCGTCCGCGCCTCATGCGACAGCTGCACGCGGCCGGGGACCCCCGACGACGACTCCATGCGCGACGCCGTGTTCACGGTGTCGCCGTACACGTTGAATCTGGCCTGCTTGCTGTCGGTCAGGGACGTCACGACGGGCCCGACGTGGATGCCGCAGCTCAGGCCGATGGGCGCGAGGTCGCCGCTCTCCTCGAGCGCGGGCATGTTGGTCGACGCCGCGGCGTCGATCGCCGCCATGGCCATCTGCGCCAGACGCCGTGTGTGCCCTCGCTTGACGGGAACGTCCACGCCGCCGACGACGAGGTACGCTGCGCGCCAGAGACACTCCAACGCACGCGAGGTGAGCGGTCGTGCGTGCACACGCATGCGGAGAGCTCGTGTTCCAAGGGGGGGTGCTTTTGATCAGGCTGACACGCAGGTTGGTACGTCTCGGACTGTGCAAGCACGCACCGTCGCCGATGTTTCCGACCTTGAAGAGCCCGTGCTCCTTCACCAGCGCGTCCAGGCGCGCGTACAGGTTGTTGACCAGCTGCACGACGGCCTTCGTGCCGACGCGCGGCGCGATCTCCCGCAGCCCCACGATGTCGCAGAACATCACGCTCGCGGACTCGAACGCCTCCGGCAGCACCTCCCTCCCCGCGCGCACACGCTCCAGCACGTGCGCTGGCAGGTGCTCGGCGAGCAGCGGCGGCCGGCTCTGCGCCGCGGTGCCCGCGGCCTCGAGCGTGACCTCCTCGATGCCGTGCAGCCGCTCGCGGATCTCGGCGAACTTCGGCCGTCGCGAGGGGTTCCGCATGAGACACTCCTGCATCAACGCCGCAAGCCCGCTGGCCCAGGACGCGTCGGTCGGGGCCGGCGGGCCGCCGTTGCCCGGCCGCAGCCTCCGCAGCAGCGCCTGCGGCGACAGATCCGCGTGCGGGGGCTTCCCGGCGAGGAGCTCGTGGATGAGAGCGCCGAAGGAGTACACGTCTGACATGGGGGTGGGGGGGGCGCCGTTGAGGGTCTCCGGGGCGCAGTACGGGAGGAGGTCGGCGGGCGCGACGACGCGGTCCGCCACGTCGGTGGCCCACCGGGCGTTGAGCTTGCTGTCCAGCCACACGGAGTGCGCGTTGAGGCGCCCGTGGATGCCGTCCGCGCCCTGCGAGCGGTCGGGAAGGCGCGGCGATGGCTGGTGCCGTGCGGGTGGCGTGCTGCGCGGGTCCGGAGCACCGGCAGCCTCGGAGGTATCGGTCGGCACGTGATTTTTGTGCAGCGAGGCGCGGAGAGGAGCGACGTGCGTGGCGGGCGATACCTGGAGCTCGTTGAACATCATGGCGTCGCAGATGTCGAGGAGGATCGAGAGGCAGACGGTGAGGTCCGGGCGGGCGTCGTCCGTGGGCCCCAGGACCCCCCCTGACTCGACTGTGGTGCGCAGCGTCGCGCCGGAGATCCCGCTTCGAACAACGAGCGCCCGGCCGTCCGGATCGACCGCGATGCCGACGATCATCACGACGCTCGGGTGGCGCATCCGCGACGCCGCTGCGAGCGACGCCAGCGCCAGGTCTGACGGCTGCATGCTCTGGTACGTCTCCCGCAATACACCCCCCCGACCCCCGCCCTGCGGGTCCGGGCCCCGGCCGCGGCAGTGGAGGATGCGCTGGAGCAGGGACGACGCGCCGAACGAGTTGAACCCGGGGTGGTGACGCGCGATCGACGCCCAAACGTCCGCCGCGTGCACCGACGCTCTCTCTTCCTTCGACCCGCTCGTCTCGGCGACGCCGGGCTCCTCGAGGTCGCCGCCGGAGGAGTCCGATGCGAACGCGAGCTGCGAGGTGGACCCGAGGCTCGGCTTCATTTCCAGGATGGCTGAAAGCGCGCCCCTGTACTTGCCAGACCACAGCGCCGCGTCCGCCGACCCGCCCGCGTCGTTCCTGAGGAGGGCGGCCTCGAGCGCGACGTCGCTCGCGGGGATGCTGGCGCTGAGCGACGCCACTCGTTTCATCGACGCGACGATCACCGCGACGGCCGCTGCGCCCGCCACGAGCAGCGTCGCCGCGAGCGCCACCGCGACGATGACCACCACGCCGTGCCGCTTGAAGAACGAGTCCCGTGCGCGCCCGTCGGAGGGCCCCGTGGGTCCCTGCGTCCCGTCCGACCAGAGGATGTCGTCAAGTCGAGTCAACACCCCCTCGAACGTCGGCTCCGTGTCGAGCTGCGCGATCGTCGCCGCGTCCTCGATCTCCGTCGGAGCGACGGCCTCCACGACCGGCGGCCTCTCGTACAGCCGCCACGCGAGCACCGGCCGCTGCGTTGCCGTCAGCACGCTGGCAGACGCATCAGTCTGCGTGTTGAGGACCAGCAGCGTCGTGTTCAGGGTGCCCGTGGACCGCCGGAAGCTGAACGCCTGGCGCGCGCCGTCGAGGCTCAGCGCCGAGAGCGACTCCATCAGCATTGTGCCGTTGCGTGCGACGCCACCCGCCTTGCAGGAGAGGCCTGACATCGCGAGGCGCCGGATCGCGCAGGCGATGGACGTGGCCTGCAGCGTACGTGCGGGGAGGCGGGGCGGTGTCGGCGGGTGCTGCCGGCGGCGTGCGTGACAGAAGTGGGTGTGCGGTGGGAGCGAGGACGGGGGGGAGTGAAAGATCGCACCTGGTCCAGGTGGGGCGCGAGGGCCACGAGGTCGGCCTCGGAGATGGCGGTGAGGTTGCCGCCGAGCTGGAGCGCGAGCGGGCGGATGTAGTTCAGGGTGTGTCCGGGCCGATTGATCGATATGGTGAGAGACCCTGAAATCAGTCTGTGGACGTCCGCGAAGGTCACCGTCTCCGGCAGGCCCCAACGCTGCGGCAGCGCGAGCGGGTCGCTCGCCCCCCGCGCCGCCGCGAGCTTGCTCTGCGCCCAAGAAGCGAGCTCGGCGCGTCAGCCGGTTTTTTTCAAACGCCGTGCTACAACAATTCCCAAATGTGGCTCGCCGCGGCAGGGCACGCACCAGGGAGATGAGGTACTGCGTGGCGTCGACGTTGTGTACGAACACGTAGCCGCGGCCCAGGTGTCCCTCGTCGCCTGCGTTCTCCACGCCGCCCGTGCCCAGGCCGCGCGCCGCCGCCGTCGCGAGCAGCCTGACGTAAGGCATCACGTCCGACGCCCCCACGATGATGTACCGCAGGCGCAGCTCGACGATAGAGTCCAGGAGGCGCTCGAACACCTCCTGGTTCCCCTGGACGTCGGGAGGCAGCGCTGACGTCAGGGCCAACTCAACCCCGAACTCGTCGGCCTCCGTGCCCGCCGCCTGCGCGACGGCCTCGCCCCCGACGTCGCTCGAGAAGAGCAGCGCCGCGCGCCGCGCCCCCGCGGCGTGCACGACGGCGAGCATGGCCACGCCGCACTCGGTTGGCGCGGGCACGCTTGACATGAAGAACGGCGACACCGTGCGGTCCGAGAGACGCGCGCTGGTGACCGAGGTGTCGAGGTGCGGGAACGTGCCGAACGTCGCGACCAGGTTGATCGCCTCGGCGTACCCGGTGGCCAGCCCACCGATGACGGCGGCGGGCAGCATGTGCGGGTCCGGCTGTTCGAACAACTGCGCGAAGACGGAGGCGGCGAGCGCGGCGGGGGTCGGACCGCGAGCAGGGCGAGCTCGGACAGGGGGTTTCCGGCGGTTTCGGCGCCGCACCTCCTGCACGGCGGCTTCGAACACCTTGTCATTTGCTGCGGGCGGTGAGATCCGTTCGAAGCGGAGTTCTGGGGTTCCGGCCGGCCGCGCTGCGTTGTACAGGCTCTCGACGTGCCGGTAGAGCTGCATCGTGGCGTCGGAAGCGATCTGCGGCGACGCGAAGGCCACGCCAACGTTTGCGCCAACTGCTTCGGGCAGCAGCACCGGGGCGTAGAATGCCGCGTTTCCTGCGCGCGGGCGACGGTGGGCGCGTCACGTTTGGGCCGCTGCGCGGGCCGGCGAGGCGCGGCTGCGTGCGCGCGTGCGACCGCGCGGCCTTGGGAGGCGGTGGCGTGCGCTGCGCAGGGTTTGTGGCGCGGAGGCGGTGTTTGGTGGCAGCGCGTGTGAGCAGCCCGGGCGCACCAAGGTCATGGCCAGCGCAAGCGTCCTCGGGGAACACGGACGCGTCGAACGCGCTCCACTGCGCGGGGTCGTCGGCCGTTGCAGCCAGGCAGGTTGGAACTGGCGAGGTCGGCGTGAGGCGTCGCTCGGGCACCGTGCGGGCCGCAGTCGGGTTGGAAACTGCGACCACGCCGAGAACTATGAGGAGGAGCATGCGGTACGTCCGAAACGCTCGAGATGCAGCTGGGGATGCGGCGAAGACTGCAGGGCTGGTGATCTGAGTTAGACGGCCGCGTGCGCCTCGCATCACTTCCAATGCGGCCGCTTGTAGCGTAGGCATCGCTCTCAGGCAGTCATGCACCAGCGACGTGCGGTATCGACGCGTTTACGGCACGTGCGACGTCGCTAGAGGGGAAAAGCGGTGCAGCAACTGCGGGCTCCTTTTCGTGTCCCGCGACCCGTCGCAGCTAGTCTGACAGAGTTCCCGGCGACTCCGCTACCCGCCCACAATGGCTCCGGAGCCGCCCGGCCGGCCTCGGGCGCCGCGTACGTCGCGCTGCCCGCCTGCGTCAGCCCCTGAGCCCAGTGCTGCCCTCGGCCCCACCTGGCTGCAAGTCGCATCAGCGGCGGCCGCGGGCGGGCTTCGGAGACGGCGCGCCGCCGCCGCCGCACCGCTCTCGATTAGCGCTTGTCACACCCACTGCCTAGCACGCTCCGCGCCCCGCTGCGCGACGCAGTTAGAAGGGCATGCCGTTCTGCGACACGTACAGCCCGGCGCCCGCGAGGAGCGCGAGGAGGCCGACGGCGATCAGCGGCGTGTTGTCGTCGTCGCGCTCCTTCTCGGTCCTGAAGCGGTCCTTGCCCGAACCGCACTCCGGGCACCTGCGGCGCACCGACACCAGCACGCACCGTCGTACAACGCTCGAAGCACGCGCCGCGCGCGGTGGCGCGCGCACGTCGTCGTCGTCGTCGCGTGCGCGCAGGGGCTTACTTGTAGTTGGCGGGGAGCTGCTCGAACGCGCGGCCCCGGTTGGAGGCGGGGTTGTACACGTAGCCGCAGTCCAGGCACACCATCGGGACGGGCCCAGCCTCCGCGGCCTTCGCGGCCTTCGCGGCCTTCGGAGCGGGCTTGGCCTGCGCGGGCGCGCGTGCGGGGTCGTTCGTGAGCGCGGCGCGGTCCGGGGCGCGGGTCCGCGGGCCGCAGATTCGTTCTTTCGTTCGTGGCGCACCTTGGGAGCCGGCTTCGCGGGCGCGGCGGCCTTGGCGGCGGGCTTCGCGCGGCCGAAGCGCGGCTTGGGCGCGGCCTTCGCGGGCGCCGCCTTCTCCTCCTTCTTCGCGGCCTTGCCGCCGCCGAACAGGCTGAAGGCCGGCTTGGGCGCCGGCGCGGGCTCCGGCGCCTTGGCAGGCTTCGCGGCCGGCTTGCCGCCGCCGAAGAGGCTGAACTTCGGCTTCGCGGCCGGCTCGGGCGTCGGCGCGGGCGCCGCGGCCTGCTTGGCGCGCCCGAGGCGCCCGAAGCGCGGCTTGGGCGCGTCAGCCTTCTTGGGCTCCGCCGCAGCCTTCTTGGCTGCGGTCTTGCCGCCGAACAGCGCGGTGACTCGCCTGCGGGACGCGGGGGGGCGGGTGCGTCGTGGGGGCGTGGCGGCGCGCGCGGGGGCCGCTGCGGGGCCGCGGGGGCCGCGAGGCGGGGTGTGAGGAGCATTCGTGGTGGGAGTTTGTGTGTGTGGTGGGGGAGCGTTGCGGGGCGCGGGGGAGGGCGGGGCGTGGTGGGTTTGGGCGCGGGGGGCGCGGAGGAGGGGGCGATGGTGCGCGTGGCGGGCGCGGGCGCCGCGCGAGGGTCGCGTCGAGGCGCGCGCTGGAGGTCGCCTTAGCGGATGATGCTTGGGAGGGGGCGGGTGGGGGGGAGCGTGCGGACGCATTCCAGGCGCCGCTGCGGGGCCTGGCGGGGTCGACGGAGCTCGGTCGGGCGCGGGGGGCGCGCGGGCTGCCCGGGCGGTGGGGTGCGCGGGGCGCGGGAGACTGCTGTGGGCCTGGAGGTGCGGGGGCGACCGTCGCGGGGCGCGGAGGGGGCGCGCCGATGTGCGGAGTGCGGAGGGCGGGATACGACTTACATTGTTGACACGCTTGGGGGGCTCGGACTCGCGGAGTGAGCTCTGACGCGTCGCGGCGCCGGTGCGGACTGGTCTCGACCGAAGCTCGCTGGCTGGGCGGAGGCTGGGCGGTGGCTGGACGCGACGGTGGGGCTCGTGGGCGGAGACTCAGCGGAGTGATCGCGTGCGGAGCGTCGCAGCGGTGCTGAGCGCCTGGAGAGGCCAGGCGGAGGGAGGCCCGGCACCTGACGCGAGTGCCAATTGCAGCGTCGAACGCGATCAGATCGCGGCTCTTTGCGCGCCGGGCAGCGCGTCTCATAATGTGCGTCCGTGCACGGATCGGCATCGTGGCCGTCGGCGGCTGCTCCGCGGAGCGGCCCGGGCCGTTGGCAGCTGCCCGTCTCGGTGGGGGCGCACGCGGCCCCGCGCTGGGGCGGCGATCACTGTCGGTGGCTCACAGCCTCATATGCACACTACAAACTACGGCATGCCCTACAGCAGGTCTTCGAGGCTCCCGCCCGAGGCCCTCAGCTGCACCAACAACCCTAGCAACTGGCCCAACTGGTCTCTGAGCGTCGAGTACGCCTGTTGTATCCGCTGCAGCGCGTTCTGGCACTGTGGCATATCCCTGCGAGCACGCAGCGGCCGAGAAACGTTGCACAACAACCACCCTGCCGCGCAGTCTCAAGCAGCACGTCGTCGTGCGGCAGCACGCGAGCAGCGCCGCGGGGGCCCCGCCGCGGCCGCGCGGGCGGGCGGCGCGCACGGCGCTCGCCGTCGCCCACGCGGCGGAGGCGGCGCGGCCGCCTCCGTGCGGGCGCCGGGGCGCCGGGTGCGACGCGGTGGCGCGGGCAGCACAGCGCCGTGCGGCCGCTCGGGCGGTGCGAACTCACCCCGCCGCCGCCGCCGTCCTGAGCTCCCCGCAGCAGGCCGCGACCTGCATCGCCCCGATGGACGCCGAGGACCCCTTCAACTGATGCGCGACTGAGTCAATCTCCTGCTGGGCGGCCGCGAGCCCCCCCGCGGACGCAACGAGCTGCGCGAGCCGGTTGATCTTCTGCTCCGCGTCCTGGACGAACAGCGTGACCACTTCCGAGAAGAAGTCCGGCTGCGACGGGTCCTCTAACATCTGCGAAACAAGTCGCTGGCCAATCAGGAGTCGGGTGGCCGGCCCTCCGCGCGCGCGCGTCCTCCGGGGACGGTGCTCGGCGGGGCGGCGCGGTCGGCCGGCTCGCTGCGGCGCGCCGCGCGCGCGCGCCGTGCGCGACGCCGGGGCGGGCACGGCCCCGCGCGCCCGGCAGGGCAACTGCACCCGCATGCGCGGGCGGCGGCCCTGGCTCCGCGCGGCGGCCTCGCGCGCGCAATACGGCGCGCAGGGGCGCGGGGTGCGGGTGAGAGCGCGGAACTTCGCGGAAGGGCCCCTGTCACGGGGGAGATTCCGCGCGCCGGGCGTCTCAGAGCGTCGTCACGGGACGTGACCGCGCCGCGCGCCGTGGTCCGCGCAGGGCGTTGTTTTTCGGGTCTGCGCGTAGCGTGCGCGCACCTGAAGCTGCTGAAATTGTTCCGCCTGCAGCATCTGCGCCTGGAAGAGCTGCGCCTGCAGCTGCTTGGCCTGGCCAATCAGGGCCTCCCGCGACGCCATCGCTCTCCACGCAGCGCGGGCCCCAAGCAGCCCAATTGGCCTGCCTCGGACCCGCCTTCCTCCCGCTCCGGCGACACACGCCCCACGGCCCCGGATGCCCGCTCCAGAGGGCCTCTGCTGCCACACAGAGTAGTAATTGACCACCCGCGCACGAAACCTGCCACACCTGCAGCCCCCGGCCGCCGTCTCCCGAGACCTGCCCGCGCGGCACGCGTTACCACACGACTCGCCCCGCGCACGAAAAAGTCCCTCTCCCGCCTGCGCAGCCGCGCGCTCTGCCGCCGCGCCGTCGCCCCCCCGCGCCATGACGCTGGCCCCGGTCTGCCGATTCGCCCACGGCGAGGAGATCTCCTGCCAATGGCACGACTGCACCGGCGCGCGCCGCGGCCGAAACGCGCGCCCGCCGCGCGCACCGGCGCCAGCGCGCCTCGGGCGAGGTCCCCGGGCGCGCTCCGGCCACGACGCACACGCGCGGCGCTGCCCTGCGGTGCGGACGCGGGGCGGAGGCACGGTGGAACGGGGGGAGGCGCTGTGTGGGTGCGGCGGGCGGTCGGAGCGCCGGATGCGGCGGCGCGGCGTCGCGGGTGAGCTGGAAGTGCGGCGTGCGCGCTCCGGGGAGCGGCGGCGCCGGGGGCGCGCCGCGGGCGGGCGCGGTCGGGGCGGGCGCGACGCGGGGCGCCGGAGGCGCGCGGGCGGCGCGGGGGCGCCGCGGTCGCTGCGGAGGGGCAGGTGCGGGCCCGAGGCGGAGCTGCGGGCGTGCCGGGGCGCCGCGCGGCCGGGTGCGGGTCGGGCGCGGGCGTACGTTGAAGGGTCCTGTGTGCCCGACGGGCCAGGGCGGCGAGCGGGGCGGGTCGAGGACGAGGGGCCGCGTCGCGGCGCGGCGCGGCCACGAATTTCCGACGTGATGCCCGCACGCGTGACGCGGCGTTTCTAGCTGCAGAGTGACGCCGTGGGCGCGAAGTTCGTTAAGTCGCTGCCGCAGATGGGCGGGGCTCCGGCGCCGTGCGCAGCGAAAAGCGCGCTGGCGGGGGAAATCCTTGCGAAGGTCCCGGGCGACGCGTTCAGGGAATACGTGGAGGCCACCGTCGCCGTGAACGCTCCTGGCTGCAGCGTAGAGCCGAGCCTGGATGTCGGGGGCGGAAAGGGGCGGGTGAGCGGCCCCGCGCCTGCGCAGACGAAACCGCGACAGGCGGCGCCTGCGCCGCTCCGCGGGGCCCGCGCGGCGCCCGTGGGCGCGGGCGCGCGCATTCGCTTTCGCTCCCTTCGTCACGTCAACCGCCCCGCTGTGTGCGCCGACGGCGCCGTGCCCGCTCGCCGCGACCTCATCCTCACGAACTGGCGCGGCGCCTGGCGAGCAGCCGGCCTTCGCGCGAGCGACGGGCGCGCGCTCGCGAGAGCTACGTCATGGCAAAGCACCGCCGCCCGCCAGGGCGGCACCGACCTTGCGAGCACGCGCCGTCGCGCACGGCGCACCCTCACCGCCCGAGGATCCGCACGCGCTGGGTTTCATCGCCTCGCACGGCGCGCACCGGCCTCTGCCGCCCCCTAGATATTTCACGGCAGCATCATCGCCCATCCTGCGCCGGCGAGGCGTCGCGCGCGCCCCCCGACCCGCCTCCCGCGCTCCACCGTCCGACACGGCCTCCCGCCCCGCGCCCTCGCAGGGCCTCCTCGCCGCACGGGCGTGCGCGGAGGGCGAGGTGGCACTGGTCGACAGGCCGCTCGCGTCGCTCCAGCACACGTCGAACCGGTCCAAGGCCCTCGTGTGCTCGCACTGCTGCTCCTTCCTCGGCACGACGGAGCTCCAGATCGCGCGGCAGCTCCTCGGCGACCGCCTCGTCACCGTGTGGAGCCTCGCGCGCTTCTGCGAAGTCGACGGCGGCGCGCGCGACGCCGAGCCGGCGGGCGCCGAGCCCACGCGCTCGGGCAAACGCAAGCGCGCCGCCTCGGACGACGCCAGGCCCGCAGACGCCGCGGACCCGCCAGACGCTGCGGAGCCACACCCGGCGGAGGCGTCCGAGGCCGCGCGCGACCTCAAGGAGCTCCTCGACGCCCTCGGACCGTACCGCATGTACGCCCCGCGCGCGCGCGCGCCGCCCGCGCTCCCCGCGCCGCTCGCTCGCTCGCTCACGCGCGACCCCGACCCCCGCCGCTGTGCTGGCGCGCAGGTTCGTGCCGTTCGACGCGGACGACGGCCGGCGCGCGCGCACGTCCGCGAACGGGGACCGCGACACCGAGTGCACGGGGTGCAGCGAGGGCGGGTGCACGGACTGCGAGGACGACGGCACGGACGCCTCCCTCACCATTCCCGTCGGACTCCTCCTGGGGATGTTTTTCGGCGGCGTGCGCCTCCCCGGGGACCGCGCGGGCGACGCGAAGCTCCACCAGGTCCACGTCTGCCCGGGCGGCTGCCGCGAGGCCTTCTGCAGCGTCGCCTGCGCGCGCGCCGCCTGGGAAGAAGGCCACCGCCTGACGTGTCCCGGGACCGACCCGGACGACCCCGCCGTGCTGCAGCTGTACCGCCCCGACGGGCAGGTCTGCGGGCCGGCGCCCGGGGCGCCGTCGGAGCCGCGCGGGGCAGGGGGCGCCGCGCTGCCGTCGTGGCGGACCTGCCGCCCGCCGTGGATTGCCGCGTCGAGCACGGAGCTGCGGGCGCTGTTCCGGGAGGCGCCGCCGCCGCGCGGGATCGCGCGTCCCGCGCTGCAGGAGTTCGTGCAGCACGCGGACGACACGAACGACGTGTTCCTGCTCGCGGCGGGCGTGGTGGCGCACACGCTGCTGCGCGCGTCGCGGCTGCTGTCGCGCAACGGCACCGCGCACACGCCCGAGCTGATGCTCGCGGCCGTCGCGGAGGCCTGGCGCCCGTTCGCGATGGGCCAGAGGGCCATCTGGTGGGAGCAGGTCGCCCGGCCGAGCGACGTCGCCCCCGCGGAGGAGGCGGGGTTCCGCCGGTCGCTCAAGACCCTCGCGCTCGACAGCCTCGCGCTGCTGCACGCGGCGCTCGCGGACGTCGAGCTCCCGGGCGTCCCGCGCGCGCTCGTCCACGTGATGCTCTCCGAGGACGTGTGGGGGGGGGTCATTGGGATGTTTGAGCTCAACAACCTCGACATCGACCTCCCGAGCCCCGTGACGGAGTACTTCGAGCGCGACGGCGGCGCGCAGCCGGCCCTGAAGGGCCCGTGGGGCGAGGTCGACGTGGCCGCGCTCGCGCGCGCGCTCGGGTGGCGGTGCAGCGTCGCGTGCAGCGGCACCGGCTTCTTCCCGCTGCAGAGCCTCCTGAACCACTCGTGCGACCCCGCGCTGCTCGTCGCGATGGACTACGACGGCGGGTCGTCCAGCGTCACGCTGCTCGCGCGCCGCGACATCCGGGCGGGCGAGGAACTCACCATCAGCTACGTCGACACGGCGCTGCCCACGGACGAGCGGGGCGAGCTGCTGCGCGACTACGGCTTCACGTGCACCTGCCCGCGGTGCATGGCCGACGATCCCCTGCGCGGCGGCGCCTCCTGAGCGCTGCCCGCCTGCACGCCAACGTTCCCACACCCCCCCGGGTGTTGCATGCCTTGTCGATTGTGTTGCTCCCCAGCGCCCTGCCCCCGCATGCTTTTGCGATCGCTTCGTGATACCACGCTCCCGCGCGCGCCCCCGCGCCCGCGCGGTCGATGCGGTGCATCCGTCCTGGCCCGAAACACCTAGCAGGATTCAAGTCCCCTCCGGCGCGCGCGCCGGACGCATGTCGTGCAATGGACCGCCCCTGTATCGCCGACGAAGAGATCCCGTTCGCGGCAACGACTCTCAACCCCCCCGCCCCCTTGACAGCCCCCCTAACCCCATGCCCTCCGTCCGGACCAGCACGGACTCTGCTTGCTCTGATCTGGCCGCCGCCTGCTTGCCAGCTGCCCCGACCACTGCCCGCCCGACCACGTCCAGCTTCTTCGGCCGCCCGCCCAGGGCTGGAACCGACGCGGTCGTACCGCCGTCTGCATGCGCGTCAGACGGGGCATCGCATCGCTGCCACGTGCGGCGTCGTCAGCCGTCCGTTCGGACTGACGCGAGGCCCCTGCGCCTGCGGCCGCCGCGCAACGACACCGGCCCGCGCGCCGCGCGTCCCTGGCGCTCGTCCTGGCAGTCGCCAAACCCTCTCTTTTCCAGCGCCATCTTTTCAAACGAGCGCAGTGAGCCACTCCCGCGTTGCTTTTTCTGCTCCCTCACGCATCTGTACTCAGGCCGGGCGCCGCTTCGCGGCTGCGCCCCCGCCCCGCGGCCGCCACCGCGCGGGCCACCCCGGGAGGCCGTCGGAGCCCTGACAATCACTCCCCCGGGGGTCCCACTGCTGCCCCCGTGGCGCCGAACTCGTCCCCCTTGAGCCGCCGCGGCGCGGTGGCTCGATCGTCGCAGGACCGCCTCGAACGCTGACGTCAGCAGTATCTTTCTACCTGGCCCTATCACGGGGGACTGCCACGATGTCCCACCCCGCTGCTGGCACCCGCAAACGCGTGCCGCTGTATCCTAGATTGTAACCTCCCAACCCCGCCTGCGTGTTCCCGCTGCGATCGCTCGGGCCCTGGCGGCCACGGCTCCCCTGGGAGCCGCATTGTCTCACCGTCGTGCAGGTGCGTGTACGACATACTTGACTGCTCGCATCGTCTACCCTGTCTGCTGTGTGAGTCTTGGCTGCCGTACCATTTCAGTCGCTCAAGCGTCCTCGCGGGGAGGGTGCTTGTACGTCAGCGAAGTACAAGCGTTGAACGATGCTCATATCGGCCACAGGAGCCGACGCCGACACACGGCTCCGTCAGGGACACGCCTCCCGCTGTTCTGCCCGTGTCACGTCCTCACAACGCGGGCGCCGCCCGGCAGTTCGCCCCAACCTGGGGCGAACAGCCATGGCGCGCATCCGCAGCCGCGCACGAGCGCGTCACCCGTAGCACCGGATGGGCGACGTGCACCCTTTTTCCGCACTCTGGGGCTTCCCGAACCTGCCCCCGCGCGCCAGGTACTGCTGGTGGTAGGCCTCGGCACGCGTGAAGTTCTCCACGGGCAGCACCTCGGTGGCGATGGGGCCCGCGAAGTCCCCCGCGCGCTCCTCGATGTACGCCCGCGCCGCGGCCTCCTGCTCCTCGGTGCTCGTGTAGATGCCCGAGCGGTACTGCGTGCCCACGTCGTTGCCCTGCCGGTTGACCTGCGTCGGGTCGTGGTTGTCGAAGAGCACGTCGAGGAGGCCGCGGAACGAGACGACGGACGGGTCGAACTTGACCTGCACGACCTCGGCGTGCCCGGACTGCCCCGAGCACACGTCCTCGTAGGTGGGGTCGATCACGTGGCCGTTGCTGTAGCCTACGCACGTGTCCAGGACGCCGGGGACGCGCTGGTACGCGAGCTCGACGCCCCAGAAGCACCCCGCGCCGAACGTCGCCGTCTCCATCCTGCGCGCGCGGCACGACGCGACCGCTGTTGCGGGGGCGGCGGGGGGGGGGGAGTTTGGGTCATCTGCGCGCAGACGGACGGGCGGTGGCGCGCACCGCTCGGACGGCACGTGCTTGACGAGCTCCACGTCGAACGTCAGGTCCTTCCCGGCGAGCTCGTGGTTCGCGTCGATCCTGACGTCAGTCTCCGTGACCGACACGACGCGCGCGGTCATGCCGTTGCTGAGCTGCACCCGCATGCCCTCCTCCAGCCCGTTCCCCGCCGACTCGATCGGAATCGTCGCGCACATGTCCTCCCGCCACTCCCCGTACGCGTCGTCCCCGCCCACCGTGCCCTTGCGCGTGCCGCCCTCCTCCAGCCCCGTCACCAGCTTGTCGAACCCGCGCACGACAGTCCCCGCGCCGACGATGAACTCCAGCGGCTTCTCCCTCGGCCGCGACGAATCGAACACCGTCCCGTCCTCCAGCGTGCCCTCGTAGTGCACCTGCGGAGCAACAGGCTCCCGCGCGGGGTCGCGCGGCGCGCAGCGGGCGTCCGCGCGGCCGCCGATGCCGTCCGCGTCCTACGTGTGGCGTGGCGCGTGCGTGGAGCGCCCGCATCGCCGCCGCCGTGCGCGCGGGCGCGGGCGCTGGAGGCAGCGGTGTGTGGAAAACGGGCGGCCGGGCGGACCGGGCCGGGGTGGCGAGGGAGCGCGGCGGCGCCAGCGGGTGGGGGACGGTGGGTGGGTGGCGCGGCGCGCCGGGCGCCGCTCGTGGGCGCCGCGTGCGCGGAGGAGCGGCGCGCGTGCTTGTGGCGCGTGGGAGGTTGTGCGGGGGGCGGGCGGGGCGCGGGCGGGCGGGGAAGCGAGGGCTCGCGGTCGACGTGGGTATACCTGCACGAAGTCACCGCTCTTCGCTTTTGCGTTCGCGACCCATCGGGGCTGCTGCAGCGCGCATCGCGGCCCCCGGGAGGGGCGCGCGCAAGGGGCGCACAAGCGGGCGCGCGACGCCGCGGTCAGCATGTTTCGCGCTGCTCAGCTCTGCAACTGATCCGCCGGGCGCCGTCCGTGGCGCGGGCAATGACGCCCGCCGCGCCGGGGGCCGCCGCGCCGACCAGACGGGGGAGTGTGCGAAAGTCCCCGAGTGTGTCCCCGCAGGCGCTTGAGTGGACCGGTTGCAGCGGTGCCAGGGTACACGCCGCCCCAGAGAAGCCAGCACGGGGGCCGGAGGGGGCGGACACATCGCCTACAGCGCGCACAGCGGTCGAGAGCCCAGGCAGCTCGAGTGCCTCCGCCCGGCCGGGCTCCCCGGCGCCCCCGCGCCGCTATGACGTCGATTTCCAGACATGTCGTCGTCTACGCGGGGCTCGGCGTCGGGCCCGCGCCCGAGATCCAGGAGAAGACGCACGTCGCGGCGATGCCAAGGTGCCTACACGCTTTCCCGGCCCCCTCCGCCCCGCCCGCGCCCGCGCTCGCCCGTGCACGTGCAACGCGATGCAGCACTCACCCTCCACGCGCCGCCCGGCCTCGCTCCGTCCGCAGGCGCGTGCTGGACTCCACAGCCTCGATGCTCAACTGGCTGCAACTGCGCACCGTCGTGACGGGCGCCCGCGACGCGCCGCGCCTGCCGCCGCTGACCGAGTCGCAGCTGCGGATGTACCACGCGGGCGTGCCCACCACCTCGGGCGCCGCGGAGGCCGCCTGCACCAACTTTGCGGGGGAGTCGTGGTCCAACCCCGGCGTGAACGCCGCCGCGTGGACGCCGGACGGCCGCCGCCTCCTCGTCGGGCACCACAACGGGGAGTGGCGGCTCATCCACGGCCAGGTGCGCCGCGCGCGCCCCGCCGCCGCCCGCCTCGCGCGCCCCACCGCCCACAGACCATCACGTCGATGTTTTGTTTCCGCTGTGGCGTCCCGCGGCGCAGGAGTTCGGGATGGACCAGCGCGTGGGCACCTCGACGACCCCGATCTGGGACATGCGCTGGCTCCGGAGCGGCGAGTACGTGCTGTACTGCACGTCCACGGGCGAGGTGGTCATCATGCGCCCGCAGCCGGGGCTGGCCGTGAAACGGTACTTCAAGGCGCGCCGCGACGCCATCCGCGCGCTCGCGGTCGCGCCGTCGGACCGGAAGTTCGCGACGGCCTCGGACGACTCGACCGTCGCGGTGTGGGACCTCGCGCGCGCCCTGTCGGGGCGCGACGGCGAGGAGGAGAGGGCGCTCGACTGCGCGATGACGGGGCACGGCGGGGACGTGAAGACGTGCGACTGGCACCCGACGAAGGCGCTGATCGCGTCGGGGGGCAAGGACGGCCTCGTGAAGCTGTGGGACCCGCGGTGCGGGCAGGCGGTGGGCTCGCTGCACGCGCACCGCGCCACCGTGGGGTCCGTGCGGTGGAACCCGTCGAGCGCGGACATGCTGGCGTCCGGGGGCAAGGTGCGCGCGCGCGCGCCGCTGCGTGCGCCGTGCGGTGCCGCAGTTGATTGTTTGTGTGTTGTCTGATGTCGGAACGTGATGTGGTGTGTGTGTGTGTTGCAGGACAGGACGGTGCGGGTGTGGGACATTCGGGCGAACAAGGAGGTGTGCAAGTTCGAGTCGACGACGGTGGAGATCACGGCGATGGCGTGGCACCCGCTGCAGGAGGCGCTGTTGTGCTCGGGGGGGTACGATCGAAGGTTCGGGTCGGTGTCGATGCACTACTGGCAGCTGGGGTGCCCCGCGCCGATCGCGGAGGTGCCGCAGCCGCACACGGGCGCGCTGCGGTGCCTGGCGTGGCACCCCCTGGGCCACATGATTGCGTCGGGGGGCACGGATGACGCGACCGACAGACCGGGGGGGTCTGTGCGGTTCTGGTCGAGGGCGCGCACGGGGTGGACCTGGCGCATCAAGTCCGGCACGGCCGGCGTGGCGCCTGCGCACGCGCACAACGTCGCGGCCAGGGCTGCGCCGGCACGGGCTGCACGCGCGGACGACAGCGACAGCGACAACGAAGCCGTGCCTGGCATGCTCGCCGGCGAAGGTGCGCTCCTACCACCGCATGCACGCGTCGCTCACGCACCCCGAGACGCACCCCCCCCCCCTGCGTGCGATGCCAACGGGCCCCATCACTTGTGCACGTTTTGGCCCGCAGCCGCGTCGAACGTGGACCTGAAGGAGATCCTGGCCGCCGTGCGGTCCGTGCCCGCGGCGGAGGTGGCGGCGCCGCCGTCGCGCGGCCCCCCGCACCGCGGGCCGCCAGGCCCTGGCCCGCCAGCGGGCGAGCGGCGCGCGGGCCGCCGCGCGCGGGCGATCCGCGGGGCCCGATCGTGTGCCACGTGTGCGGGGAGCTCGGCCACATCGCGCCGCGGTGTCCGCGCAGGACGGGCGGCCCGCCCCCGCCGGGGCCGCCCCCGCCGGGAGGCCCTGGTCCGGCGCGAGGAGGGGGGGGGAGGGGTTTCGGGGGTGTTCCGTGCCACCGGTGCGGGCAGATAGGGCACATCGCGAGGGACTGTCCTGGGGGACAAGGTGGGCCCTACGACCGGCCGCCCCCGCGATACGGCAACAGGGGGCCGCCACCACCACGGTACTGACGGAGACGAAACATTGTGCGCGCGAGCAGCCACAGCGGCGCGCTGAGCGTGGTGCCAGGCCTGGCGGGCGCCGCGTAGGTGGCGGTTCGTGTAAGGATGGCATGGGCGGGCCCGTGGGCGCGCGTCAGCGGGCACGAGACGTGCGGAGAGGGGTGTTCGTTCAGCATGCGATAGAGACGAGATATGCGGTGTCAGGTTGGGTTGGAGCTCACAGACCGTTGGGGCGGAGGTCCGCGCTGCCGTGTGCGCGGTCGCCGCTGGATCGGAGCGGCCCGCGCCCGCGACCGTCACCTCGCCCCTCCGCCGCGCACCTCACGCCGGCTTACTTCTTGGCCGAGCGCTCGTACGAGCCCTTGAGGCAGATCTGCGCCGTGGCGTTCTGCGCGCACACCTTCTGGCGCACCTTGTCCTCCACGCTCTCGGCGTCGGCGGCGAACGCCGGGGCCTGCACCGCCAGGGCAGCGGCCACACCCAGGGCCACGCCGGCCAGGGTGCGGCGCTGGGGCTGCGGGAACGACGGGAACGCGCAGGACACGTGAGCTACGTCGCGACGGAGGACGGAGACGCATCGGTGCGGGGTTCGGCGGGTCGCTGGCGCGAAAGATCGTGCATCCGTGGACCAGATGATGCGCGGATGTGGCAGCGGGCGGGCTGGCGGAGAGACAGGCGGCCGGCCGGGCGGGTCGGAGGGACAGGAGAGTGCATCGAGCGGCGTTGTGGCATCGGTGGCGGAGGGGTGCGCCGGGGAGGCATTGCGGTGTGCAGGGGATGGACTGGGCCTCAGATGTGGCCGGAAGGGACCCGAGCGGGGCTCTGGTCGCGAAATATCGCTGCTGTCGAATAGGTGGATGCGTGTGGAGCAGATCGTGATGCCGCAGGTGCGGGAGAGCGGGCGGTCGAGGCCCTTCGGGAGGGCGAATCCCGGTTAGGTGCCAGCCCGCGAGAGCGGCTCCGAGGGGCCCAGATGCGGCGGGATGTGCCGCCGTGCGGGCATCGGGGGTTCGCAAAGCGGGTGTGCGGGTCGGTGGCCGCACGATGGGCTGGTGCGGAAAGATTGATGCATGGAGGAGGGCCGAGAAGGGATACTGGCGTCGCACGAGGCGTGGGATCCCGAACTGGCGCTTGGCGGCGATGGGGGCGCGAAACCGGGCTGGAGGTGCCGAGTGGGGCGGTGGGCGACGTACCGCGGCAGCGACCGCGCGGGGGCGGGCCTGCTGGGCCTGCTTGGCCGGGGCGACGTTCGAGGCGCGGATGGTCTGCATTTTCTCCGACAATTCGCAAGTTCACTCGACGAAATGTGCAGCGCCGCGGAAACACAGCGGCGCAATCAAGCCCCGCGGCCGCTCTCGGCCCTCTGCCGACTCAGTCATACGCGAACGACAGTCCTCCTCGTCAAGCGGCACGCCGACGCGCCGCCGGCCCGCGCGCGATGCCTCCAGCGGACGTGCGAGAGCCGTGGAAGGCCCTCGTGCCGTCCCCGTGCCGTCCCGACCGCCCGCGAGAGACTCACAGGCCGCCCTCCCGCAGCTGTCGCCGTCTGCGCTCCCACAGCGATGGCCAGTACGGGGACGAGTACGCCGCGGCCATGCCGCTCGCGCCGGGCGCCAACGAGTCCGGCGGGTGGAACCAGAAGTTCACGGCCAGGTGCCCGGCTGCGTCGCGCGCCGCACCGCTCGTCGACGTCACCTCGTGAAACCACCCCGCCGGCATGTACAGCACGTCGCCTGCGAAGCACCCCGCCACCCCCGCGTCAGACACACGCACGACGCGCGCGTGGGCGCGACGCACGCGGCTCGCCGGCGCAGCACGCAGCGAGCAATGACGTGCATGACGTACGCTGCGGAGAGCGCGCAGCCGCGCCGGCATGCGTGGCGCGCGCGTTCGTGGGCCGCGCTGCCTGTCCGTACCTGCCTCGATCTCGACCTCCGCGCAGAACTCCATGCCGGGGAAGCCTGGCGCCACCGCGCGAACGGCGGCGTCGTCGCCTGCGTCGAGCAGCGCCGAGTCGATCCGCGAAAAGTGCTCCGGCGCCCCGGCGTCCTCGCGCCGCTCGCCCACAGCGATCCCCGCGGCCACGCCGTCCAGTCCGGCCCCGTCGTCCCCGCCCCCGGAGGAGGGGGTGTCGCCCCCGCTGTCGGAGGAGTCCTCCTCGTAGTCGTCGTCGAAGTCCCCCGCCGCGACGTCGCGAAGCTGCGCCTCGAGCAGGTCGTCCAGCGCGTCGTCGTCGCCGTCGTCCGAGCCCGCCGCCGCGAGCGCGGCCCGCCGGCGCTCCCACGCCGCCACCTCCGCGGCGCTCGCGCCGTCCGCGCGCACGTCGCCGCCGCCGCGGTACACCACGCGGCCGTTCGGGTGCACGCGCTCGATCTCGCCGTGCGTGCGCATGCCGCGCGCCTTGTCGGGCGAGAACATACGGAATCTCTTCTTGCCCCGAATTAAGAAATACAAATTGTCGTGGAAGTCGTGGTGGAGCCCGGACGAGCTCCCTGCGCGCGAGCTGCCCATCCACACGTTCACCGACTGCAGCGCGAGCCCGGACATGACGGCCGGCGGCAGCGGGAGATCCCTGCGTGGTCCCCCGGGGGGTGTGTTGCCTGAGAAGGGCCGCTGCGGCACGGAGATGTCGCGTGCGAGTGACCGGGGGCGCGGCGCTGCGTCGCACCTGAGCAGCTCGCGTGTCAGCGGCGGCGCCGCGATGGCGGGGTGTCCGTCGCGTGCCACTGCGCGCGGCTGCGCTGTCAGGTACACCTGCTCCGCCGCCGGCGACCGCAGGGCCTTGAGGAAGTCCGCGAACAGCATGCACTCGCGGTTGCCGCGCCCGAACGTGTCGGCGGCCCCCGACCGCCGCTCGACGAGCACCTTACACCCCCCCGCAACTTGACTCAGTCTGTCGTCCGTCCACGTCTCCCACGCGCGGGCCAGGTCCGGCGGCGGCGGGCCGGCGAGCACGATGGGACGCCGCTGCCGGATCGCCTCGTCCCACATCCTCACGTCCGTCATCGTCGCGGCGGGCACACGCTCCACCACGCCGCTGCCGCCAGTCCGCGAGGGGCCTCCCCGTGGAACGCGGAACCCTGCAGCCGCGCGGGCGGTGTCGCGCGCAGTTGTGCGGTGCTCTCGCAACGGGCCGTCGCGGCGCGCAGAAGACAGCGTGCGAAAAAACGTGCCTGCGTAGTCATTGCCCCTCTCGCGGCCCTGCGGCCGCCGCGATCGCTTGAGACCCTCTCCCGCGTCGTCTGTGCCTTGTTCAGTGGTGTTGCGTTTCGTTCCTGCCCTCGCGGATCGCTTCGGATGCTGTGAGGGGCGCGGAGAGGGCCAGGCGGTTGTCAGAGGTGCAAGTGCCGTCGCTGTGCGTGGCACCGCCGGACCGGGGCTGGTGCACTGCTCGAACGTTGCGACACGCAGTCACCTTCTTGGCTCCCATCACGCCGACGGCGACATTGCGTGTGGCGGCTGTGAGTCCCGCTCAAGTCTGGTGCGCTGTGCTCCCTGTTGCTTGCGGTACGCGTGGGCCACGCAGCTGCGCCCGCCGTCGCGCGAATGCCCAGATGCTACGCTTACGCAGCGGTACCGCGTGGTATCGAGCAGGGCCTCGTCCTGGGCCCGCGGGGACCCCCCCTTTTGACGACAAAACGCCTCTTCCGGGCTGCGTCAGGGCCGCGCGGCGCGCCATCGCGGCCCCGCACGCACGGCGCTGCCACGTCGCGTCCGGGCGCGCCACGTCAACATGAACGCCGAGCAGGTCCTGGAGAAGCTGCGCGCACAAAGCCTGCTGGTGCTCGAGGACGCCGCAGCCGAGACGGGCGCCGCGATGAGCCGCGAGGCCAAGCACACGCTGACGGGCCTCGCGGAGGCCTACCTGCACCACATGGCGCACGAGCTCGAGTGTTTCGCGAAGCACCGCAGCAAGGCGGGCAAGACAGTAACCGCCGACGACGTCCTGCTCATGGCGCGGTCGATGCCGGAAGAGCTCCGCGACCAGCTCCGCGAGGAGGTGAGGACGGCAGCGCCCGCGCGCCCGTGCAGCGTTCGCAGTCGCCCCACCTGCTGTGCACGCTGCGTTCCGCGGGCGCCGCTCCCCGCGGCCGCGCCGCGACGTCGTGCTTCCTCGCCCGTGCAATCTCGAAGAATGCGGTCTCGAGCGTCTCGACGCGTCGCGCGTTCGCGACCACCGCGCACGGTGTGCGCCTCCGCGCAGGTGGCGAGCACGAGGGCGGCACCGGCAGCACGACCCGCGCCGGCAGCGCCCGCACCGCCCGCGACCGACGCGCACGAGCCGAGCGCCAGCCAGCTGCCGCTGCGGACCGCCTACGGCGCCGCGCGTCCCGGCGGCGACCACGTGGCCCCCAGTCAGGACAGCGGGGAGCCTCTGGCAAAGAGAATGAGACCCCCCCCGCCCACGTTCGAGCTGTCCGACGACGAGGGCGCGCCGATCTGACCGAGGAGCGACGCCCTCGAGCGCCACGGGCGCGACAGTCGTGTACATATCAGCGCAGGGGCTCGCAACAACACGGCACATTCAGTGTGAGCGCACGTACGAGTGTCGACTCCCCTGGGGACGATGCGATGGGTCACTGCCGGCGACCGTCCTGCTTGGCCGTCAGCGGTGACGTCATGAGGCCGCAACAGGCTGCAAGACAGTCGTCTTGGATGTAGCTCACTCGCCACCGACGACGGGGCGTATTGACGCCGCGATGGCCCTGGAGTCGGCGGTGGCTCTGTGTCCTGCTGGATGCCGCATTCATGGAGTCGCAGCTCGCAAACAGTGCAGCCGTGTCTGTATGACGCTGCGAGCGTGTGTGGTGCACATCTGCGCGTGTAGAAATGCGACTCGTCACGCGTTGAATGATGACGGCCCTGGAGCTCAGGCCGGCGGGAGGCGCCCGCCACGTGCGTCGCGGTGCGTCTTCGATGCCCGTGGTGTGTCTGTCTGCTTGGCTGGGTTGTACCCTCATGAGTCACCTCACACCCGGCGGGTGTGTGCGACTGAGTCGGACTCTCACTGGCCCGGGCGGCAGCATGCGACCGCGCCCGCCTCGCACACGGTCAGTGTGACTGGCTCGCGAACGGCCGCACATCGGCATCGCCGGGACGACAGCAGGCCGTGCAACTGCTTGTAGCAGGTGAGACGCGGGGCGGTGCTCGCGGAACGCGATGGCGGTGGCTGTTGCTGATCGCACGGCCGTGGCGGGGGTGTGTGCTGTCTCGCGGGCTGCCGCGAGAGTCGCATGGAGCGCCCAACACGCTGCGCACCGCGTGCGTCTCGGGCGCTGGAGGGAGCTCGGCCGTGAGGCTGCGTTGCGGGAGACCCTTGCTGGGTTGTCACGATGTCATGTGACAGACACTAGGTGTCTCGATGAGCCCGGCTGCATGCGCGCGCCGGGCGGCTCTCACAGCGCCCGCTACCTCACCTCCTGGAATCTCTCTCATTGGCACCCGCAGAATCCATCTACGGCGTCCCGGCGGCGGCGAGGCATCACGGGCACGATCTCTGCAGTCGATGGAGCTGCGAAGCGGCCGGTGCGTGGGCGGGTCGCGGCCCTCGCAGCGCCCACGCGCTGGTGACGATGGGACTGCGTTCGCCCTGATGGACCTGTCGTTCGGGCAGCACGGTGGCGCGCTGGCGGAGGTCATCCGCCGGCTGCCCAGGAAGTCGCGCGTCGCCCTCGCGGCTGCGTCGTCGGGCGCGATGGCGAGCGTGCTGGAGAGCTGCGGGGGGGCTCGATGGACCGCACGCACAAGGGCGGTGGGCAGGGCGGTGGCGGGGAAGGTGGAGGGGCGCGTGTACGAGGGGGCGAGATCGCTGGTGGGGCGGGCGAGCGACGACGGGCGGTGGCGGGTGTACCGGCGAGCGGGTGCGGACCCCGACAGTGTGGCGGCGATTGTCGGGCTGGATGCCAGGAAGACGGGCCAGGGGGAGGGGCCTGTTGCGAACGCGGGCCGGCTGGTGATCACGGAGGCGATGACGGGGCTGGAAGTCGTCAGGGCGTGTCGCGTGGACTTTGACATCGGTCGGGAGTGGGGGGGGGACTGGCTGCCTGCAAGCGTCGCGGCGCGGTTGAAGGAGCTGGACGTCGAGGGGCAAGGTCTGCGGAGGCTGCCGGAGGGGATGGCGTCGCTGGAGGAGCTCAGCGTGCGTTGGTGCTCGCAGCTGGCGGAGGAGGGGTGGCTGCCGGCGCCGAGCGGCGGAGCGTGAAGAAGCTGCTGCTCAGGACTCGTCACTGGCGAGGCTGCCGGAGGGGATGGGGTCGCTGGAGGTGCTCGACGTGCGGGTGCTCGCAGCTGGCGGAGGAGGGTGGCTACGGGCAGTCGGCGGGAGCGTGAAGAAGCTGTATGCTGGGCCTCGTCGCTGGTGAGGCGAGGGGATGGGGTCGCTGGAGGAGCTCGACGACAGGGTGCAAGCTGGCGGGGAGGGTGGCTGCGGCGTCGAGCGTGAAGAAGCTGAACGCTTGCACCTCGCTGGCGAGGGTGCCGGAGGGGATGGGTCGCTGGAGGTGCTCAACGTGCGTTGCTGCTCGCAGCTGGCGGGGGAGGGGTGGCTGCCGGCGTCGAGCGGCGGGAGCGTGAAGAAGCTGGATGCTGGGGGCTGGGGCTCATCGCTGGCGAGGGTGCCGGAGGGGATGGGGTCGCTGGAGGTGCTCGACGTGTGCGGGTGCAAGCAGCTGGCGGAGGAGGGGTGGCTGCCGGCGTCGAGCGGCGGGAGCGTGAAAACGCTTCATGCTTCATGCTGGCGCTGGCGAGGGTGCCGGAGGGGATGGGGTCGCTGGAGGTGCTGAGGTACCTGGCTGCGAGCAGCTGGCGGAGGAGGGGTGGCTGCCGGCGTCGAGCGGCAGGAGCGGAAAAGCTGCTTGCTCAGGACTCGTCGCTGGCGAGGCTGCCGGAGGGGATGGGTCGCTGAGGTGCTCAACGTGAGCAGGTGCTCGCAGCTGGCGGGGGAGGGGTGGCTGCCGGCGTCGAGCGGCGGGAGCGTGAAGAAGCTGGTTGCTGGGGACTCCGCGCTGACGTGGCTGCCGGAGGGGTTGGTGTCTCTGGAGTACCTCGACGTGGGTGGCTGCAAGCAGCTGGCGGAGGAGGGGTGGCTGCCGGCGTCGAGCGGCGGGAGCGTGAAGAAGCTGTATGCTGAACGGTCGTCGCTGGCGAGGGTGCCGGAGGGGATGGCGTCGCTGGAGGTGCTGAGTGTACTTGGCTGCGGGCGGTTGGCTGCGGGCTGGCTACCGGCGTCGAGCTGCGGGAAGCTGCGGGAGCTGCGGGCCACGGAATCGCAGCTGCAGAGGCTGCCGAAGGAGCAGATGCGGTCCCTGACATCTCTATTACGTTGAGCGAGTGAAGCGAGGTGTTAGTGAGGTGAGGTGAGGTGTGAGCGCACGAGCGTCGACTCCCCGGAGGACGATGCGATTGGTCACTGCCGGCGACCGCCCTGCTTGGTCGTCAGCGGTGACGTCATGAGGCCACAACAGGCTGCAAGATCATAGCTGCACGATGTAGCTCACACGCCGCCGACGGTGAGGGTCGACACGCTCCTACTGGAGTCGGCGGTGGCACCGCACCCGGCTGGATGCCGCACTCATGGAGTCGCACCTCGCAAACAGTGTATCCGCGTCGGTGTGGTGCACATCTGCGCGTGTAGAAATGCGACTCGTCCCGCGTTTGATGATGGCCCGAGAGCTCAGGCCGGCGGGAGGCGCCCGCCACGTGCGTCGCGGTGCGTCTTCGATGCCGTGGTCTGTCTGTCTGCTTGGCTGGGTTGTACCCTCATGAGTCACCTCACACCCGGCGGGTGTATGCGACTGAGTCGGACTCTCACTGGCCCGGGCGGCACCATGCGACCGCGCCCGCCTCGCACAAGGTCAGTGTGACTGGCTCGCGATCGGCCGCACATCGGCATCGCGCCGGGACGACAGCAGGCCGTGCAACTGCTTGTAGCAGGTGAGACGCGGGGCGGTGGTCGCGGAACGCGCTGGCGGCGGTTGGTGCTGATCGCACGGCGGTGGCGGGGGGGTGTGCTGTCTCGCGGGCTGCCGCGCGAGTCGCATGGAGCGCCCAACACGCTGCGCACCGCGTGCGTCTCGGGCGCTGGAGGGAGCTCGGCCGTGAGGCTGCGTTGCGGGAGACCCTTGCTAGATTGTCACGATGTCGTACGACAGACACTAGGTGTCTCGATGAGCCCGGCTGCATGCGCGCGCCGGGCGGCTCTCACAGCGCCCGCTACCTCACCTCCTGGAATCTCTCTCCTTGGCACCCGCAGGAGCCGTCCACGGGGCTCCGGCGGCGGCGCGGCATCACAGGCACGATCTCAGCAGTCGATGGAGCTGCGAAGCGGCCGTTGCGTGGGCGGGTCGCAGCCCTCGCAGCGCCCACGCGCTGGGGACGATGACGCACCCACTCTGATGGACCTGTCGTTCGGGCCGGGCGGCGGTCCGCTGGGAGACGTCATCCGCCTGCTGCCCGGGAAGTCGCGCGCCGCCCTCGCGGCTGCGTCGTCGGGCGCGATGGCGAGCGTGCTGGAGAGCTGCGGGGGGGCTGGATGGACTGCAACAACACGCACAAGGGAGGTGGGCAGGGCGGTGGCGGGGAAGGTGGAGGGGCGCGTGTACGCGGGGGCGAGATCGGTGGTGGGGCGGGCGAGCGACGACGGGCGGTGGCGGGTGTACCGGCGCGCGGGTGCGGACCCCGACAGTGTGGCGGCAATCGTGAAGCTAACAAGTATCGTCTCGTATCAGAGAGAGAAGCCTCTGTCGAACGCGGGTCGGCTGGTGATCACGGAGGAGATGACGGGGCTGGAGGTCGTCAGGGCGTGTCGCGTGGACTTTGACATCGGTGAGGAGTGGGGGGGGGACTGGCTGCCTGCAAAGTGTCGCGGCGCGGTTGAAGGAGCTGTGGAGGACGGGCAAGGTCTGCGGAGGTTGCCGGAGGGGATGAGTCGCCGGAGGCCTCGGCGCAAGGCAGGCGGTGGCTGGCGGCGTATCGAGCTGCGGGAGCGTGAAGAAGCTGGATGCTGCGGGCTCGTCGCTGGCGAGGCTGCCGGAGGATGGGGTCGCTGAGAGCGTGGGTGAATGCGAGCAGCGGAGGAGGGATGTCCTGCCGGCGCCGAGTCGCTACGAGCGTGAAGAAGCTGGACGCGTGCGAGGCTGCCGGAGGGGATGGGGTCGCTGGAGGTGCTCACGTGCTGCTCGCAGGTGGCGGGGAGGGTTGGCTGCCGGCGTCGAGCGGCGGGAGCGTGAAGAAGCTGTTGCTGGACTCCTCGCTGGCGAGGCTGCCGGAGGGGATGGGTCGCTGGAGGTGCTCAACGTGTGTGCTGCTCGCAGCTGGCGGGGGAGGGGTGGCTGCCGGCGTCGAGCGGCGGGAGCGTGAGGAGCTGTTGCTCGGGCTCTCGTCGCTGGTGAGGCTGCCGGAGGGGATGGGGTCGCTGGAGGAGCTCGACGTGGGGGGTGCTTGCAGCTGGCGGCGGAGGGGTGGCTGCCGGCGTCGAGCGGCGGGAGCGTGAAAGAAGGCTGGATGCATCATGCTCGTCGCTGGCGAGGCTGCCGGAGGGGATGGGGTCGCTGGAGGAGCTCAGCGTGTGCTGGTGCTCGCAGCTGGCGGAGGAGGGGTGGCTGCCGGCGTCGAGCGGCGGGAACGTGAAGCAGCTGAACGCTGCGCGCTCGTCACTGGCGAGGCTGCCGGAGGGGATGGGGTCGCTGGAGTGGCTCAGCGTGGCTTTCTGCGAGCAACTGGCGGGGGAGGGGTGGCTGCCGGCGTCGAGCGGCGGGAGCGTGAAGAAGCTGCTTGCTGGTTACTCGTCGCTGGCGAGGCTGCCGGAGGGGATGGTGTCGCTGGAGGAGCTGAACGTGTGCGGGTGCATGCAGCTGGCGGAGGAGGGGTGGCTGCCGGCGTCGAGCGGCGGGAGCGTGAGGGAGCTGGGTGCCGGGGGCTCGTCGCTGGCGAGGCTGCCGGAGGGGATGGGGTCGCTGGAGGTGCTCAACGTGCGTTATTGCTCGCAGCTGGCGGAGGGTTGGCTGCCGGCGTCGAGCGGCGGGAAGCTGCGTAAGCTGCACGCCACGGGCTCGGAGCTGCAGAGGCTGCCGGAGGAGCAGATGCGGTCCCTGAGATACCTGTGTCTCATAACATATTGTTGACATATTGTTGACTCGTAATATATTGTTGACATATCGTTGACATATCCGTCACAGACAAGACCCTGGCGCCCGGGGCAGCAGCCTCACCGGCGCGTGCGCGTGTCCATGAGCAGCCACAGCAGCGCCAGCCGGTTGATCTCCTTCCTGCGACCCCCCCCAGGGCCACCCGCCGGCGCGCTCGCCTCAACACCCCCCCCCACCGCCGACACCGGCACCGGCTCGGGCTCCGGCTCCACGGCGGCTGCCGCAGGCACTGCAACCTCAACGGGCGCCGAAGCCGTCGCCGGCACCGCCACCTCAGCCGCCTCCTCCGCGTCGCTCTCTGTGGCGCTGTCACTCTCCAACGACGCCAGCAGCGCCGTCACCTCGCCGTCCTCCTCCTCCGACACCTCCTCCTGCTCCTCCGCGCCCGCCCCGCCCGCCCCGCCCGCCGCATCGATCTCCCCCCGCACGCTGCTGACGCCATCAATCACCCCAAGGAGCCGCTCCGCTGCGTCGCCGCCCACCGCCGCAGCCTGTTCCCGCAGCGTCTCCAGCCGCGCGGAGGGCGTGTCCGCGGGCTCGGACGCCCCCGCCGCCCCGTCGGCGCCCTCCTCGTCGCCAGCGTCGTCGTCGCCGGCAGCGATCGCGTCCTCGTCGCTAGGGGCGGCCTCGTCGCTGGGGGCGTCGTCGACGGTCGCCGTCGGCGCGGCAGACGTGCTCCAAGGGTCCGCCGCGGGCGCGGCGGCCGGGGCGTCCTGCGGCGGCGCACGGAAGGGGGGCGGCCAGTGAGCCCTGCGGGCTCCACGGGCCTGACCCCGGCGCCGCCGCGCCCGACACGCCGGGAGGGGGAGCTGCGGCCCTCTCACATGTGCTGGAGCGGCTCGAACAGCAGCCCGACGATCCGGTACGCCGGCCGAAGCACCACGTCCAGCGCGCCGCGCACGCGCGCCCGCCACGGCCCCAAGAGCTCGCCGATCCGCCCCCGCGACGCGGCCGCGGGCGGCGAGGACCGCGCGCTCGGCGCCGGCGCCGGCTTCGGCGCCGGCTTGACGGCGGGCGCGCCTGGCAGGAGGCCCGCCGAGGTCGCCACCGAGCCGACGACCTCCTGCGCCGCCGTGATGCCGGCGCGGAGCTGCTCCGGCGCGGCCTGCACGAGGTCCGCGACGGGCGCTGGCAGCGGCAGCGGCGTGTCGCGTGCCGGGAACTGCAGCACCTCGGGCCGCGCGGCAGCGGCGGCGGCGGGCGAACTCCGGGCGCGGCGGCGGCGGGGGCCGGCGCGGCGGCGCGGGGCTGCTCGCGGACCGCAGCGCTGGGCGCCGGCGCGGCGGGCTCGGGCGTTGACGTGCTGGGCGGCGATTTTGCCCTGGGGGCGGGCGTCGGTGCCGGCGCGGAGGCGGGTCCCGCGCGGTAGTACGGCGGGTACTGGAAGTTGCTGCCGCTTTCCGTCGGCGTGCGGGCGGCGCTCACCTCGTCGCCCGCGTCCACATCGCGCTGCGCGGCCAAGTCGCCCTTTGTGCGCTCCGCCGCCGGGGCGCGCTCCTTCTTCAGACCCGCCACGGAGCCCGCGACCTTGCTCCGCACAGCGTCCACCTGCACGCCGAGGCACGGGGCACAGCGCTGCTTGCGTCGCGCGCAGCGAGGGCCACGGGCGCGGCGGTGCGCATCGCATCGCGGTGGCGTCGCGCGACTTGCCTTGCTGCGCAGCCGCCGGACGGTGTCCGCGCCGCCGTCGTCGCCGGCGTCGCCCCCCGGCGCCGCGCCCCGCCGCCACCCGGGCGCGCTGTCGTCGTCCGGCGCCCTCGTGCGCCCGGCACCGAACGCCGCCGCGGCGACGAGCGCGGCCGCGACGATGCCGCCGCCGAGGAGCTGCTCCGAGCTCGGCTTCGGCATCGGGGGCGCGCGGACGGCCGGCATCGAGAGCTGCAGCTTGCGCGCCTGCGTCGCCGGGGGGGCGGCCTGGGGCGCGGCGGCCGCGGGCGGGGCAGCCGCCGCGGCGGTCGCATCCCGCTGCTGGTCCTTCTCGGGGCTCGGCAGCGCGACGGGGAGGCGGATGACCTGTCCTTCGTAGATGTTGGGGTTGGAGAAGGACAGGCTGTTCAGGGAGAGAACGGAACCCATCGTGACGTCGTGCTTGGTCGCGATGTCGTACACGGTCTCGCCCGGCTGGACGACGTACGGGCGGTACGGGATGCGCTTGGCCTGCGGGGTGCGCGGGCGGGGCGAGGACGCCGGTGTGGGGTGGTGCTTCGGTCGCTGGCGGGCGGGATTGTGGGGGTGGGGTGGCGCGCGGGACGGCGCAGTAGGGTGTCCGGCGACGTGCGCGGTGGCGGCTCATGGCGCTGCGCGGGCGCGCGGTGGCGCGCGCGTGTGTGTCCTGGGGGGATGGCAGCCGCGGCAGCGCCGGATCGGGGCGCCGGCGGTGGCGCGCGAGCGGTGCGCGAGGATGTCGTTGGAGTGGGGGAGGTCAAGGCGGGAGCTTTGCGGAAATGGAGGCGCGGGATTCGAGGGGGGGGCACGTTTGGCTTGGGGCAACTCGCCTGGGCGACGACCGAGGACCGCGGGGCCTCGCCGCGGGCGTCGCGCCGCGCGAGCGTCGGCACATTCGTCCGACCGCTGCAAAAGCCGACCATTGTCGCGCCTGAGACCCGTCGACACCGCTCGACGGGCGCTCTCGCGGCACGTTCGCTGCCTCCAGCACAGTCGCGCTCGCCAGCGCCTCACCGGTCGAAGATCTCGAGCCACACGGCGCGGGACGGACGCGAGCGGCGCGGAACTGCGCCCGGGCGCGCGTGGTGACGCCCCACGTCGCCTCCCGCGGCCGCACGCAGTCCGTCATGCTGCGCGCCCAGGGCGGGTTCTACTGCGCGCCCCGTCCGACGCGGCGCGGGGCGCCAACGCCGCGCGCTCGCGCCCGCTGCGCGCACGGATCCCCGCTGACCAGCGTCGCTGTGTGTCCCGTGCGCCCGTGCTTCGACCGACGAGCATTCGCGAGTGCGCCCAGGGTCGAGCCCCGTGACGGCACGCCGCGCGCTCGTCGGGATCGCGCCGCCGCCGACATGCTAGGCCTCGGCTTGCGGCGCCTGCCCGCCGCCACCGCGCGGCAGGCGGCGCGCACGGTCGCGCGCGCAGCGTCCTCGTCCTCGCCGCAGGTGGACCCCTTCAAGCTCGCAGCAGGCACGTCGAACCCCCGGCCCCGCCACAGAACGAATACCTCCCTTCGTCGCACTGCGCCGCCACGGAGTGCCGCTGCCCCGCAGGCGCGGGTGCCGCTCCCACGCCCCCACGTTGTCCTCCACCGCTCCTTTCCGTCGTCCGTCGTTCGTCCCCCGCCGCGCACGCCGGCTCCCACCGCTCCCCGGACGGCCGCGATACCTCGCTGCTCGCGCTCCCGCGCTCTCGCGCGTCGCCCCGCCCCGTGCGCGCGCCCCGCCCCGCGGGAGCAGCTGAGGTGGGCGGCGCCCGACCTCACGGCCCACCGCCCCGCGCCGCCCCGCCGCCCGCGCAGACCTCCTCGCGCGCGCCGACCAGGTCCGCGACGTGGGCTTCGAGGCCTTCGAGCTCGCGGTCCAGACGGGCCCCCGCCGCGCCGCTAACCGCTCCCTCAAGGCGGCGGTAGCGCTCTCGGAGCTGGGCGCGGAGCTCGCGGGCACCGGGACGCTCCCGACGCAGGCGGAGCTCCCGGCGCTGCTGCGCCGGCTGTTCGAGAAGCTCGGCACGACGTACATCAAGCTCGGCCAGTTCATCGCCTCGAGTCCCACGATATTCCCGGAGGAGTATGTCCTGGAGTTTCAAAAGTGCCTCGACCAGACCGAGCCGGTGCCGTACGAGACGATCCGCGCGATCGTGCGCGAGGAGCTCGGGCGGCCGCTCGAGGAGGTCTTCGAGTACATCGACCCGCGCCCGCTCGCGAGCGCGTCCGTCGCGCAGGTGCACGCCGCCGTCCTCAAGGGCTCCGGGCAGGACGTGGTCCTGAAGGTGCTCAAGCCGGGCGTCGAGGACGTGCTCCAGGTCGACCTGAACTTCCTCTACGTCGCCGCGCGCGCGCTCGAGATCGTCGCGCCGGAGCTCTCGCGCACGTCGGTGGGGAGCATCGTGCAGGACATTCGCACGTCGATGCTGGACGAGGTCGACTTCCGGAAGGAGGCGCAGCACATCGGGGACTTCGCCAGCTTCCTCAACGCCAGCGGTGCGTGCTCGCCGCCCGCCGCTCGGCCGCGCCCCGGCACGCGCGCCGCGGACTGCTGACGGCGCTGTGTGTGCGCCTGCGTGCCGTGCAGGGATGCGCCAGGTCGCGACGTGCCCGGAGGTGTACCGCCAGTTCTCCACGCGGCGCCTGCTCGTCCTCGAGCGGCTGTACGGCGTCGCGCTGACCGACCTGAACGCCATTCGGTCCATCACCACCGCGGACCCGGAGACCGTCCTCATCTCCGCGCTCAACACCTGGTGCGCGCCGCGCGTGATTGTCGGCGCGAGGTCGTTGTCCGCCGCTGCACGCCGCTTGAAATGAACAGGGAGAGGGCCGCGATCTCGTGACTTCGTGACATGATGATCGATGGTTGTGGTGCAGGTTCGGGTCGGTGATTGGGTGCTCGACGTTCCACGCCGACGTGCACGCGGGCAACCTGCTCGTGCTCAAGGACGGCCGCGTCGGGTTCATCGACTTCGGCATCGTGGGGCGCATCTCCCCCGGGACGTGGAACGCGGTGCAGGCGCTGCTGACGTCGACCGCGTCCGGGGACTACACCACCATGGCCAAGGCGCTCGTGACGCTCGGCGCCACGGACGCCAACGTCAACATCCCCGCGTTCGCGCGCGACCTCGAGGAGCTGTTCACGCAGATCGAGGACATGGACTCGCAGATCGTGGTGACCGCCTCCGAGGTGCGCCCCGACGCGACGCACCCGCGCGCGCCTGCCCGCGCCGCGCGCTTTCTCGGTTTTTTCTCTCTCGTGCGGCTCGGCGTTCGGGCCGCGGCGAACACCGCTCTCGCGGCTGGTCTGTGTGTCGTTGCAGGGTCCGGGCGGGGACGTGAGCATGGGGGCGTCGGTGGCGGTGGACGACGCGCAGATGAACCGGTTGATTTTGGACGTGGTGCGCGTCGGCGAGGTGCACGGGCTGCGGTTCCCGCGCGAGTTCGGGCTGCTGTTGAAGCAGCTGTTGTACTTCGACAGATACATCCGGATCCTCGCGCCGGAGATGCAGGTGCTGAGCGACAGCCGCGTGAAGCTCTCGCGGTCGCCGTTCGCGACGATGGACTGAGCGGTCGGTGCGGCGCTGTGACGATGTGCCGTCGGTGTGGCCCCGGGGGGGTGAAGCGGTGGGGCGGAGAGGATGGGCGCGCTCGCGGCGCTGGGCGGCGCAGTCGCGTGTAGGAGCGTTGAGTGGGGAGTGCGGGGAGTGCGGAAGCGGTGTGCGGGAGCGGTGTGCGGGTGTAGCGGGGGACTGGGGAGCTGGTTCAACGGCTGCCCGGCAGCGCGTCGAGAGGGGCGGGCTGGGCCCGGATTGCCGACAGGCGGGTTCTTGACGGTCATCGCGCGCCTGGACGTGGCCGGCGGTCGCAGACATGCGCCTGGCGGCGTCCCGCCAGGGCGGGGCAGCGCTCCCCGCAGCCCTGCGGCACATCGCGAGCATGCCGAGCCTCGCGAATTTCAAGGTCGAGTTTCCACAAGGCGGAGATGAACCGCCGATGACAGGTGCGTCGCGAGCGGTGCCCCGCGCCGCGCAACGCGCCCGTGCTGATTCCGCCCAGCTCCGGGGGGGCGCGCCGTCGTCGAGCGGCCCCCTCCTGCCTTACCGCGATGCGCGAATGGTAGTCGTTTGACGCGAGAGCAGCGTGAGTGTGTCGCAGCAAGGTGACGTCGCGCGAAATCCGCGCGCTGTGCGGTTGGTGGTCGCGCAGGCATGATGGTCCACGGGCTGCTCGGGAGCGGAAAGAACTGGCGTTCGACGTCCAAGAAGCTCGCCGAGGCGCTGCACAAGTCCACCGGTGCGCCCCGCCGCGCGCCGGCCACCCGCCCCGGCGCCGCATCCACGTGCACGCGCGTCGCCCACCCCCACCCCCACCCGCGCCCGTCGTCGCGCAGGGCGCAAGTGGCAGTTCGTAGTGCCGGACCTGCGCAACCACGGCCTGTCCGCGCCGATTCCGGGCTTCAACGCCCCGCACAACGTCGAGGCCGCGGCGTACGATGTCATCCGGACGTGGGAGCAGTGCTTCGACGGCAGCGCGCCGTTCGTGGTGTGCGGGCACAGCCTGGGGGGCAAGGTGGTCATGCAGGCGCTGCAGCACGCGCGCGACGAGGGGCGGCCCATGCCGAAGCAGGTCAGCGCGTTTTCCCCGCATCGCAAGCGTACGTAGGCGCCGGCGCCGGCGTCGCGGTGCGGCCGATCGCGCGACAGCGCCCACGACGATGGCGTGCAGGTGTGGATGCTGGACTCGTTTCCCGGGACGGTGTCGGCGGACCGCGAGGGGACGGACGTGGTGCAGTTCATGACCATGGTATCGGCCATCGAGGTGCCGGTGCCGTCGCGGAGCGGCGTGATCGACATGATCACGGAGAAGGGCTGGAACGTCGAGGTCGCGAAGTGGGTCGCGAGCAGCCTCGTCAAGGTGCGCGAACGGCCCCGCGGCGACTGCGCGCGTGCGCGTGTGCGCGCATCAATTCCCCCCCCCCTCGCTCACCTGGGCCGCGCGCGCGCGCTCCGGCCGCAGATGCGCTCCACGGACAAGGGTCTCACGTGGGCGTTCAGCGTTCCGGGCGCCGCGGCGATGTACGACAGCTACCGGCGCACGCGGCAGTGGGACATCCTGCACACCCCCCCGCCGAGCACCGAGGTGCACGTGTTGCGCGGGGCGCGGTCGGACCGCTGGGACGCGCACGGGATCGAGAAGCTCGAGACGGTGTTCGACGCGAACCGCATGCTCGACCGGAGCGAGGCGGGGCTCATGTATGTGCACTGCCTGGAGGGTGCCGGGCACTGGGTGCACACGGACAACCAGGCGGGGCTGCTCGAGGTGCTGACGCAGCACATAGCGCGCGCGGCGACCGACACGCGCGACCAGATCGACCCGAACCTCGCAGAACTCGGCCAAATGCAACGGATCATGTAACAGGGTTGTTCAAAAGAAGTAGCTGTTCGTGCTGCGGAGCCGCGCACGAGCGCTCCCGCGCGGGGCGCCGCGGCGCGGCGGCCGTCCCGGTCCAGCTCGAGTCACATGCGCCCGTGCAACCTCGACGGTGCCACATGTCAGTCACTCACGCCGCTGTGTGCATCAATTATTCGTGTTCGTTCTGATTGGAGAGTCTCTGGTTCGCCAGCCAGCCTTCGCGCGCGCGTCGTCGTCGCCGGCCCGCGAGCCCCTCCGTCCGCCTACAGGGCGTGCGACTTGGCGGCGCCCCCGAGCGGGCTGGGGCTGGGGCTGCGCGGGTAGTCCACGTGCCCGAGGACGCGCCCCTCGTGGCCCATCGACTCCATGGACGCGCGGTGCGCGGCGTGGATGTCGAGCGACCCCCTCTGCGACCCGCCCTCGATCTTCTTCCAGTGGTAGTTCGCGGTGCGCACGTACCCAATGTCGGACTGGAGCTTATAGGCCTCCCGGGGCCCCACGGTGCCGTACCGGTAGAGGCTGCAGGGCACCTCGCCGTTGTCGATGGCCTCGAGCAGCGGGTCGAACACGGCCCACGCGGCCTTGAGCTCGTCGCGGCGCACGAAGTGCTGCTGGTCGCCGCGCAGGGCGTCCAGGATGAGGCGCTCGTAGGCCTCGGGGATGCGGGCGTCGAAGCGGTCCTGGTAGGTCAGGTCGAGCTCGGAGATGGTGGTGTCCATGTCGAGGCCGGGCTTCTTGGTGCACATCTTCATGTAGATGGCCTCGTTGGGCTGGAAGCGCATGACCAGCTCGTTGCGGTTCTTGTGCGGGTCCGCGAGGGACTTGCCGAACATGTTGGTCGCGATGCTGCGGAACTGCACGCGGACCTCGGCCTTCTTCTCGTTCAGCGCCTTGCCGGCCTTCATGAAGAAGGGCACGCCGTACCAGCGCTCGTTGTTGATCTTGAGCACCGTGGCCGCGAACGTCGGCGTGTTGCTGTCCTTGGGCACGCCCGGGTCCTCCAGGTACCCCTCGTTCTTCCCGTCCGACGCGTACTGCCCCAGCACCGTGCTCTCCGGCCGCGCGGGCTCGATGCACCGCAGCACCTTGACCTTCTCGTCGCGGATGTCCTCGGGGCTGAGCGAGACGGGGCGCTCCATCGCGAGCAGCGCCATGACCTGCAGGAGGTGGTTCTGCATCACGTCGCGCACGATGCCGTACGTGTCGAAGTACCCCCCGCGCCCCTCGGTGCCAAAGGGCTCCTTGAAGGTGATCGACACGTTCTGGATGTAGTGCCGGCTCCAGATCGGCTCGAGGAACATGTTGGCGAAGCGCAGGACGAGCATGTTCTGCGCGAGCTCCTTGCCCAGGTAGTGGTCGATGCGGTAGATCTGCGGCTCCGGGAACAGCCCCCCGATGAACTCGCACAGCTCCTCCGAGGACGCGAGGTCGCGCCCGAACGGCTTCTCGACCACGTACCGCACCCAGCACGGGCTGTGCGGCGGGTCGTCGTTCGTCTTCTTCAGGTTCGCCAGCACCTGCGTTCGCGACACACCACACCCAGCAACACACGCGTCAGCGCCGCCGTGCGTCGCGCCAGCGCGACGTGCCGCCGCGGCGAGCCGCACGCGCGCCGGCCGCCGCGCGCCAACCGCCGTGCTGCGGCGGGCGCCGGGCGCGCACCTGGGGGTAGACGGAGGGGGGGAGTGCCAGGTAGATCAGGCGGCCGAAGGAGGGGGGTCCCGAGGGGCGGCCGTTCCCGCTGCGCAGGCTCTCGACGGCCTCGTCCTCGAACTGCGTCATGTGGTCGTTCAGCGCCGCGAACCCGTCGGTGGTGTCGTACGGGCCTTGCACGTACGTGCAGCGGTCCAGGAACGCCTTCTTGATGTGCGGCGCGGCGTCGAGGTGCCCCGACACGCGCTCGCGGAGGGCCTCTGCGGGCGGGGGCGCGGGGGCGGGCGTGGGCGGCCGGGCGCAGGCAGCGCGCGGCGTGCGGTGGAGAGGAGCGCGGGCGTGCGGGTCGTTGTTTCCCGCGCTGCGCCGCGTGCCCGGGGTGTACGGTACGTAGCGGGCTGCGGGAGCGGCCGCGGGGGCGGGGGGAGCGCGGTGCGGGCGCGGCGCGGGCGGGGCAGTGGTGGGTGGCGCACCGTCGTCCATAGCGCTGCGCGCGTAGCCGACGATGCGGACGTTCTTGGGCAGGAAGCCTTCCGCGAAGAGCGTGAAGAGCGCCGGGTACGTCTTCTTCTTCGCCAGGTCGCCGGACGCGCCCAGCACGGCCACGCTCAGCACCATCCCGGAGGGCAGCACCCCCCTGCAGCGCACCCCCGCGGACGCGAGCGCGTCAGGTGACCGTGCGCGCGGCGTTCGTGAGGGGCGCGTGCGCCCCGAGGGACGCACAGGGGCTGCCTCGCGGCCCGCTCAGGCCGGGCGGAGAGGGCGGCCAAGCCCAACCACCTGGGGAGGAATCAACGGCGGGCGCGCGGCTACAGGTGGCGCGTCCCGCGGCGCCGATCGGAGATCCGGGATGCAACGGGCCGTGTCTCGGCGTGGACCCCGCTCGCAGCGTGCCGCGGCCCGCGTGGGCCGCCGCAGGGGCGCCCCGGCGCAGTGGGACATTCTGATGCCGCGCGGCGCCGCGCCGGGCGGGCCATTGGGCGCCCGGTGGCCGCGGATCTAGAGAGGGTAAGTTTGCTTGCGCAGGGGCGCGGCGGAGGACGCGCGTCGCGGCCGCTCGAGGTGCCCTGCGCGGGGCGAGCGCCGCTCGGAGGGACCACCGACCTGGGCTGCTCCTCCGAGATGCTCGAGCTGCTCTTCATCTTGCGCTGAAGAACGCCCGTCAATTCAGGTGCTGCGAGCGACGGCGTCTTGCCCACGTTTCGTCCTGCGTCGCCGGGCGACGCAAGACAAGGCCGTGAGGAACGGAACTGCTTTCTGCGGTCGCCTCTCGCACCACGCTCGTCTGACGCGACGGGAACGCACTGGTCTCGCGGCCCGCGTCGCGCGGCGCGCCCGAAAGGCCCCCGGAGCGCCCTCGGCGGGCCCCGTGGCATCACCTCCCCTCACCTCAGGCATCACACCACCGCACCCGGCGCGCAGCGGCCGCGCCAATGCGTCCGCGCCGCGCCGGGGCCCGCCACAGCGACCGCCGTCGACCGACCGGGTTCCACCGCGTCCGCACACCTCGCACGCGACGCCTCTGGGGCCCAGCGGTGCTGGAACAAGGCCACCTGCAGGCGCAGCGCGGCGCTGCTACGCGAATTTGAGTGGCTGCAGTGCGGCGGTGTCGACCGCGTGGGCGCGCAGAGGGGCCGCGGTCGCGTCCTGCTCCGCGACGGGGCCTCGGCACGCGCTGGGCGGTTGCTGTGCGCTGCGGACCCCCGCCGCGCGCGTAGGGGTGGGGACGATGCGTTCGCTGGCTGGGAGGGGCCTGCCGCTGCTGCAGAGGTCGTGTCCGGTGCAGCACCGGCTGCGCGGGCGCCCGTTGCTGCGGCACGGCGTGTCCGCGTCAGCCTCCAACCCAGGCCCTGGGAACGGCAACGGTGCGACGCACGGCGGCGCAGCGGCCCGCGCACGCCCCCGGCTCGCTAGGCAATCAAGTGGAGCGCGCGGGAAGCCCGCACGGGATCCTTGCCAGCGCCTCGTTCCGGCGCGAACTCGGCGTTCGTGTCTCGCGGTGCAGGGGGAGGCGCCGAGGGGCCCAAGCCGAGCGACAACCGCGGCAAGAAGTCGACGCCGCTCAACGGCAATGGCGAGAGCTCGGGGATGAAGGACCTCCTGGGCACTGCGATCCCGCAGTACCTGCAGGTGCGGCCCACGAACCAGCAGCGCGCCAACGCAGCACTCCCGCCCCGCTCCCGCCGCGCACGAGCAGAATGACGCCCGGAAACTCAGCCCCAGCCCTACTTGTCGCGCTCCCTCCCTTGCTTCCCTGCCTGAGCTGCCCGTCCGCCCCCGCAGCGCTCGCACGCGTGCACGTCAACCTCTGGCGCCCACACATGAGGCGCCCGTCCGTGCCCGGGACCCGCCCACCCCGCGCGCACCCTCGCGCCGTGCGCAGTCGGAGCCCGCGCACTCGTCCAAGACCAAGAAGCACCTCAGCTCGGCGTCCCAGGCCGCCCGCCGCCCCGCCGACGACGACAACGCCGGCTACAAGGTCGACTACGGGCAGCTCGTGTGGGAGGTGATCCGGTGCGCGCCCCCGCCACCGCCCCCGCCACCTCCCCCGCCACACCGCCCCCGCGCAGCACCAAACCCCCCCCTCCGCGCTCACCCCCTCCCACCCCGCGCAGGCGCGAGGCCGAGCGCGACGCCAAGGCGGAGCCGGTCCTCACGTCCTTCCTCCACGCGTCCATCCTCTCGCACAACAACCTCGACCGCGCGCTCGCGTTCGTCCTCGCCAACCGCATGGCGTCGCCGACGCTCCTGGCGACGGAGCTGTTCGAGCTGTTCTACAGCATCCTGCGCGACAGCGAGGAGGTGCGCTTCGCGGCGCGGTGCGACATCATCGCGGCGATGGAGCGCGACCCGGCCTGCACGTCGTACTCCCAGTGCCTGTTATACTACAAGGGCTTCCACGCGATCCAAGTGCACCGGATGGCGCACTCGCTGTGGGGCAAGGGGCAGCGCGTGATGGCGCTCGCGCTGCAGAGCCGGTCGTCGGAGGTGTTCGCGGTGGACATCCACCCCGGCGCCACCATCGGCAAGGGCATCCTGCTCGACCACGCGACGGGCGTGGTCGTCGGGGAGACGGCCGTGGTCGGGGACTACTGCTCGCTACTGCAGGTGCGCGCGCGGGGGGCGTGTGGCGCCGGCAGCGTCCCTGCGCGCGTGCGCGCGCGCCTGTTGTGCGTGCGTGTTGGCCGTGCGGCCTGAGCGCGCTGGTGCGGTGTGTTGTTCGCGCAGGGCGTGACGCTGGGTGGCACGGGGAAGGACACGGGCGACCGGCACCCGAAGATCGGGCAGGGCGTCCTCGTGGGGGCGTACGCGACCATCCTGGGCAACATCAACATCGGCACCGGCGCGCAGATCGCGGCGGGGTCGCTGGTGCTCAAGCCCGTCGGGCCGCACGAGATGGTCGCGGGGAGCCCGGCCCAGCTCGTCGGGATGGTGGAGGGCGGCAGTCCGGCGCTGAAAATGAACCAGTGGCAGCCGGGCGCGGAGAAGTGCATCTACGATCCCAACGACCCGGACTGCAAGCTCCCGCGGCCCGTGCTGGACGACAACGAGATGTCGCGCGTGGAGGGCAAGAGCCCGCCCGCGGAGAAGGCGCGGCGGTCCCCGAAGGAGGGGTCGAGCGGGGCGCAGGCGGTGGCGCGCGGCGAGGAGGCCAACGGGGCGAACCGCGCGGACGCCGAGGTGCCGAAGCCGTCCACGTGGCCCAAGGTGTTCAACAAGGGCGCGGACGGCGACGCGCCGGACTGGATCATTTGAGCGCGCACAAATTGTGGGGGGGGGGTCCGAGGGCGAGATGGTGCTTGGAGTGTGACTGGTCGCCGCGAGCGAGGCTGCGTGCCGTGTGTGGAGGGGACGCGCTTGCGCTCTCGCGGGGCGCGCGTGTGGGTTGTCTTCGGGACTGGACTGCCCCCGGGGCGCTTGGCCTCGAGTCCGCCCGACACGCCGCGGCCGAGTGCGCGTCTTGCGAGGTGCCGCACGCAGAACGGTGTTGCATCGTGCTCCCTCGTGATCGCTGCTGCACGGCGGCCTGTGCCCCCGCGGGTCCGGGACGAGTGTGCTCCCTTGAGGTGGCTCTGGGCGCCCGCCGGTGCCCGCCCGGCGCATATCCGCTTTCGCGAACCGCCGCCGGGTCGACACTAGCTGCCCTTGGCTCCAGTGTCATCCACGCCGCTGACATCACGCAGCCTCGCGGGCGTGTGGGGGCGGTAGGGGTGCGCAGCAGCAAGCGAGCGAGCCGCCGACGCGACAGTTCCTTTCTTTCCTCGCGTCGCGCTGTGGCCGAGACCAAGGATATGCCACTCCCGTGATACACGGTGGAGTTTGGATCGACCGCGGTTCAGACAGGCCACGACTGAGCCGCTTCCGCCCCAACAGAGCTCACCCAGCCGCGCTCGAGGGCGAACGGCACATCCAGGGACGGCGATGTCGCCTCTGAGGATCCTCTGTCTGCACGGGTCCCGCCAGACGGGCGACATCTTCTACCAGCGGATCAGCAAGCTGCGCGCCCGGGCCACCGGGCTCGCGACCTTCCACTTCATCGACGGGCCGCACACGCTGCCGCAGGAGGACGGACAGGACATCCCGACGCGGTACGGCCGGGCGCGCGCACCACCACCCTCACCATCGTTTCGCGGCCGGAATCGAACTTTCAACCATCGGTGTGGTGACGTCCGTGCAGGTGCTGGTGGAGGAGCGCGGGCACGCTGGGCAGGAGCGTGTCGAAGGACGAGGTGCGCACAGCGCGCTGCGTCGCGCCGGAGCCCCGCAGCCCCGGCAACATCGCGTCCCCAAACACCTCTTGGACCCACACCTCTTTTTGCAGATTCTGAGGGACTGGTCGGCCTCGGCGGACGTCATCAGGGCCGAGTGGTCGCGCGGACGGTACGACGGCGTCCTCGGCTTCTCGAACGGCGCCGCCGCGACCGTCGTCGCCGTCCTGAGCGGCCTCCTCCCGCGGTGCAAGTTCGCGATCGTGGCCTCCGGGTACGCCGCGCAGCCCATGGTCGACGACGTCGCCGCGGCGCGCACGGACATGCCCGACGCGACGCCGACGCTGCACCTGTTCAGCGAGAAGGACACCGCCGTGACGGCCGAGCAGTCCCGCGCGGCCATGACGCTCTTCCGCTCCCCGGAGTCCGTCGCGCACCGCTCCGGACACGCGCTGCCGCACACCGCCGCGGAGATGGACAGAATCCTCGCGTGGGTCCGGCGGTTCGCGGACGCCCCCCGTGCCGCTGAGGAACCGAGCGACACCCCCGCCGCTGCGGATGACTTCGATCCAGGTGAGCTCCCGCCCCGACGCGTACGCGCTGCTCCGTACGTTCGTTGGCGCCGCCCCGCTGCCGTTGGTCTGAGGCCCCGCGGATGCGACGTGTCTGCGTGTGCAGAGGCGTTGTCGCCAGACATTAGGGACGAGCTGGAGGCCCTGAGCGCGATCTACGGCGAGGACGTGCGCGTGCTGTCGTCCACCAGCGGCGGCCAGCCGCGCCTGATCGCGTCCGTCGTGCTCGCGCCGCAGCCCGGCCTGGACGGCCCCGCCGCAGCCACGCCCCCCTCCGCGGCCTTCCGCGTCGTGCTGACCATCGACCCGCAGACGTACCCCGCGCAGCCCCCAGCGGTGGACATCTCCGGCCCGCTGTCGCGCGTCGACCCGCGCCGCGCGACCGTCCTGGCCGCCGTCCGCGAGGCCAGCGAGGGCATGGTGGGCGAGGCGATGGTGTACACGCTCGCGGAGTGGACGCGCGAGTTCCTGGACGAGAAGTTCGGGCCGGGCGGGGACCTCTTCTCCGAGAGCGTGCACGGCGCGGGGGGCGGGCTGTCGGGCCGCGCGGAGCCGGGCGGGGACGCTGACGTCAGGGGGGGGGCCGTCGAGGAGTGGTGGGAGGAGGAGGAGATCGCGGAGGGGCTGGTGCAGGAGGCGACGGTGCAGGCGAGCAGGATCTGGCAGGGCCTGGGGCAGCAGGGGCGGATGGAGATACAGGTGCGGTGACTTGCGTGTCGTCGCGTGCGCTGCGTGCTTGCTTGCTGCGCGGCCATCGAGGGCGTGATTGCACGACGACGGCGTGTGGGGCGCGGGCGCAGGAAGCGAGGGGCGGCGGGCGGCTGGACGTGGTGGTCGGGCTCGTGGGCAAGCCGTCAGCGGGGAAGAGCTCGATCTTCAACGGCTGCTGCAAACACTTCCCGGGGTTCCGCATGGCCGCGATGTCGCCGCAGCCGTTCACGACGATCGACCCGAACGTCAGCAGCGGCGTCGTCGCCGTCCCGTGCCCGTGCAAGCCCGCGGGCGTGGGCGGCGCGTGCGGCGGCGGCGAGCTCGGCCACACCGCGTGGACCCCCTGGCAGCAGAACACCGCATTCTGCCGCCTGCCGGCCAGCCTCCGCGACGGCACGTACGCGTCCGCGTGGGGCAGGGACGAGGCGTGGCGTCTGCACAAGATCACGGTGAAGGACGTCGCGGGCCTCGTGCCGGGGGCCTACCAGGGCAAGGGCCGCGGGAACGCCTTTTTGAACGACCTGCTGGACGCGGACGCGCTGGTGCTGGTGGCGGACGCGTCGGGGGAGACGGACGAGGCCGGGTGCGCGGCCGCCGCGGACGGCGCGGACGCGCACTCGATCATGGAGGAGACGCGGTGGGTGCGCGCGGAGCTCCACCGGTGGATCTACACCAACGTGCGGCGGAAGTGGGCGTCGATCCGGAGGAAGCCGGCGAAGATCAAGGACATGCTCTGCGGGTGCGCGAGGCCCGCTGACCGGCTGACACGTGCGGTGCGCGGCGCGTTCCCGGCCGGTGTGTTGCGACCGTGCGTCTGTGGTGTCGTGTGCGGCGTGCAGGTACCGCGCGTCGCAGGCGTTCGTCCGCGGGATTCTGCAGCTGTCTGGGATCGACGTGCACCAAGAGGAGAAGCTGCGGTACACGGAGGTGCTGCAGTGGGGCCCCCGGGCGCTGCACCTGTTTGTGGCCGTGTTCCTGCAGGCCCGGTTCCCGCTGGTCGTCGCCATGAACAAGTGCGACCGGCCCCGCGCCGCAGACCGCATCCGCCGCGCCATCTCCGAGTCCAGCGAGGGCGACTTCATGGTCCCGACCTCGGCCACCGCCGAAGCACGCGACATCACCAACGACAAAGGTGCGGCGAGTTCCGACCGCGGCGCCCTCGCTACTCCGTCCGTTCGTCACGTCGTTTGGATCACCGCGCCCGCTCTGAACCGCGACGCGCCCCCCCTTGCAGGCGCGGAGGAGGCCGCCGCGCGGGTGACGCAGATGTACGGGGGCACGGGGGTCCTGGCGGCCCTCACGTCCGCGGTCGCACTCGCCGCGCCCGTGGCGGTGTTCCCGGTGCGGGATCTCGACGAGCTGGTCGGTGCCGACCCATCCCTGAGCTCCCGGGGCCGCCGCGGGGTGAACGCGAATGCGGCGGAGGCCGACACCAGCGGGGAGGCGGAGCGGGCGTCCGGCGTGCTGCTCAACTGCGTCTTGATGAAGCCGGGCAGCACGGTGTTCAAGGCGTACGACGTCCTGCGCAAGCCCCCGCTGGAGATGGTCGACGGGGACTTTGTGCGCGCCGAGTGCCTCCCGAGGTCGCTCGCGCACCGGCCCGCGCGCAAGGAAGAGACGCTGTCGCCGGACACGCGGATCGTGCGGATCATGACGAACAAGCGCCGCGCGTGGCAGGGTCGCTGAGCTGTCCGCGGTGGGCCATGTGCCCCGCCACCTGGCCGCCACGTGGGCCGGCCGAACGGGCCGCGATGGGCCGGCAAGCCGGCGCTCGGGCGCCACGTTTTCGATCCGAGCTGCTACTTTCCGCGCGCACAACTGTCGATCGACCAGGTTCCGGAGAGATGTCGTCGTGGCGTGAGGGAGGGATAGCGCGCCGGGTGCTGTGCGCGTGGGCGCTCGTCGTGGGCATCGCCGTCCTCGGCTGTACGTCGTGCAACGCGCAGGTGCGTCAGCGCCGGACCCGGCCGCGACCACGCGGATCGTCGCGCACGCACGCACACAGCCCTGCGTCCAACATGGGGGCCCTTGTTCGTCCGAGAGCACTCGGACATTGAACTGCCCGAAGAAATATGGCCTTCCGACTTTGTACGGGAGCATGCTGTGCGTGATTCTGCGTTGACGACTGTGATTTCGTGTTTGATTCCTTCCTCATGGTTGTTACCGTGGCCCGCGTTGCAGTTCCTCGGGCGGCCCGGCGGCCTGTTCTCGCGCCGCAACTTCGCCCCGCGCACCGACGAAGCGCCGGCTCCGCAGTCGCCCCGCCCGAGCTGGTTCCGCGTCGCGACGCGGTCGGGCAACCCGCCGAACACGGCCATGTGGGAGCGGCGCACGCAGGGCCGCGTGGCCGCGGAAGTCAACCCGGGCTCGGCGTACATGTCCCTGTCCGGCCGACAGTACATCGGCGGCGACACGCTCGCGTGCCCCGGCGCCGAGGGCGCGTGCGTGCTCCCCGACGGCGCGTCCCTCGCGGACGCCATGGTGCGCTGCAACGCCATGCCCGAGTGCAAGGGGTTCGAGGTCGACCGGTCCGGGGGCGCGCGCGCGGTGATCACGCTCAAGGGCGGCGACCCCGACACGAGGTGGCCCGCGGCGGACGACGTCTCCGTGCTCGTCAAGGTCGGCGCCAAGGACGACGGCGACCCGCTGGTGGCCCGGGTCTGTCCGTGCAGGGTGCGACCCCCGCACGCACCTGTGCGCTGCCGGGAGCTCTGTCTGCACGTGCCCGTGCGACGCTTCGGCGCTCGTGCCGCGACCGTTGCAGGACCCGTTCGGCGCCGATGGGTCTCCGGAGAGCATCCGTGTCATGCTGGAGACGTGCCTCGCGAAGGACGAGTTCGACTGCGCCGTCGTGCGCGCCGAGCCGATCGTGCAGGCCGCGGCGGGGCGCGGGATCGCTCGGCCGTGAGCCGCCCGCGCGGGGTGGTGTGAGTGTGCCTCGAGACTTGCCGTCGCATCCGGGCGCGCGCGCGGGGTCGCGTGGTCGCGACCGCCACCTGTCTCGATGCGCCGGTGTGTTGCCGACCCACCGACGGCGTGTCGAACCCAGCCTTTCGTGGGCGGTCCCCTCGCGTGCCACCACATGGCTGTGACGCACACATGGCGCACGTGGCGGCCGGGCGGGCGCGGCGCGGACCCGCCGCGACGCGAGTACACGCGCGTCTCGACCGTGTTAGTCACGTGGGCCGGTCGAGCGAGCGTCGAACAGCCTGGCAGGGTCCCGTCGTCGCACGTGTGTGCGGCGTGCTCTGCTGGTGCTCTGCGCGCGGGTGTGCGGGGTCGCGGCACGGAGCCGCGGCCGCGCCCGCGCCCCCGGCGTGCCGCGCTCCGCAGCGCGCGCCCAGCCGGTCGGCGGCGGCCGTCCGTCGGGGCCGCGCGGGGTGGTGGCAGTTGCTAGGGTCCAACGCATGGAGGGAAAGTGGCGCCCGCCCCGCGGGGACCGGGCGCATGACGTGACCGTGAAAGTCACTCGACCGCCTTCTTCGTCACATTACGGCGCTACAGGCGCGGCAGGAGGTCCCGCAGAGCCCCTGCGGGGCGCCGGAGCGCGCATCATGTGTGATGCCTTGGGCCAGCAGGGTATCGCGCCCCCCGCGCCGTGCCGTCGGGGACCCGCCCCGCACACCTGCCCGGCTCGTTCCGACACATGTGGACGACCGGTTTCTCGTGTTTGCGGCCCTTCGCGAGGCCTGAGTCGGGCCGAATCGGGGAGATGTTGGTTGTGGGGGGACTCGGGTCGTTTGGCCGAGCACGGCCGGTGGGCTCAAGGGAGCCGCCCGCCGCGCATCTCCTGCACTACGTGTATCGTTGTCGAATAAGAGGAACCATGTCTGCCATCCGCTCGTCGATCCCCACCGCCCAGTTCGCCCGCAAGGTACGTGGCCTATCCACCACGAGGTTGTGCCCTCGCCCGGGGCCGCATCGAGCAGCCCCTGGCCGGAAACGCCATGCCATCGGACTCTATAACGCGCCGGCAGCCCCTCGGCGGCCCCATCGCGTCAGCTCGGCGCCGTGGGCGCGTGCTCGGCTCACTCGACCTGGGCGAGGCCACACGCACCCCCGTCCGGGCACGCGCGCGCGCGACGCCCGCTCCCGAGGGCCGCTCGTTGTTTCGCGAGGCCACACGCGCGCAGCCGGCCGCGCGGGAGGGCCGCATCGCGCCGCTTTCGGGCCAGATGCGGCCAGATTGCCCCCACCCGACCACCTCGGCCCGCTGCCCTCGTCCGGCCCCCGCGCGGCCCGCGCGCCGACCCCCTGCGTCCTCCGCAACCTCTGCGCCTCCCTTCATCCCACACCGCGGCGCGGCGCCGCCCCACGCGCGCGCGCGGTCCGTTGCCCCGTCAATCCGTCGACCGGCCCCTCCCGGCGCTCCCCGGGCGTTGATAGCCGCGATCCGCCCGCGCCATCCCTTCCTCAGCTCCGTTCCATTCCCGGGCGCGCCGCGCGCCGCGCCGTGCCGCCCCGACGACCGCCCCAGCGCTGCCCTCCCCTCGCTCACTCTCGGCCATTCCTTGCCCCCCGCCCCCCGCAGGCCGTGGCCGCCAAGCCGGCCGCGCGCTCGGCCGTCGTGGTCAAGGCCTCGCTGAAGGAGCAGGCCGCCAAGGCCGCCGTCGCCGCCGCCGCCGCCCTGTCGGTGGCCGGCGGTGCCATGGCGGAGGTCGACCTGGAGCTCGGCCAGCAGGTGTTCGAGGGCAACTGCGCGGCCTGCCACGCCGGCGGCGGCAACTCGGTCATCCCGGACCACACCCTGGCCAAGTCGGCCATCGAGCAGTTCCTGGACGGCGGCTACAACATCGAGGCCATCACCTACCAGGTGCAGAACGGCAAGGGCGCCATGCCCGCCTGGGCCGGCCGCCTGACCGACGAGGAGATCGACTCGGTGTCCGCCTACGTCTACAAGCAGGCCGGCGAGGGCTGGTAAACGGCTCCTCTAGACTCGACCGCCCGGAGGACCGCTGCGCTCGTGACCATGCGGCTGTGACGATCTGACGGGCACTGCGAAGTGTGGTCGCCGTATCACCGCGTCGCGCGAACGCTCGCATGTCTCCCGTCGCATCGCGCCCTGTCGCGCCACCGGCACGTCGCCGCGTTGTTCCTGCTGCGCGTCAGCAGTTGGGAGGTAGTCAGCGTGGCATGGAAGCTGTGCAGCGAGCGCCGGAACCCTGCCTCAGGCCCCGACACACAGCCGCGACAGCCCCCTCCCCTGCGCTGATCTTCCCGCGCCCACGCGCGAGGTGGGCGCACCTTTCGCCACGAGCCATGCATCCTCCACGCGCCGCGCGCCGCGCCCAGCCGACGCGGTGCGCGCGCGACGCTCCTCGGCGAGCTGCGCCTGCGCACGGGCGCGGGGACCCGCTCCCGCTCGGCGCGACATGTGCGCGGCGGTTGTGGTGCCACTACGCACCAACCACTTGTACCTGCGCGGCCGCGCGCTGGCTGCGGCGCGTGGGGGCGCGAGGGCGGCGCCGCGGCGCAGTCACACGACCTCGCGGCCGCACGCAGACGCCGTTTCGCTGCACGCGCGCGTCGAGGGAGCGCTTTGCGGGAACCCTACGAGTCCCACCCCTGTGTGGGCTGCGTGCGGCGCCGTGTCGCGCCCCCGGCGGGGGTGGCGCGGACCGGGCGGTGATGAGCGCGCCAGTCCGCAGCCCGATGGCCTCCGCTAGCTCGCCCCTCCCGCCCGCGAGCAGGAGCGTGGCCGTGGAGCTGCTCCTGCTGGTGACGTTGCCCGCGCGCGTGTTCCTCCGGGTCGCGTCGGCGTCGGTCGGCGCCGCGTGGGACTGCTTTTGGTTCTGTCTAGGCATATTTGGACTCGCGAAGCGCTCGGAGGTCCTCAGGCTGCGGCGGGAGCTCAAGGTGCTGCCTCGAGCCGCCGTGGCACGTCTCGCGCGCGTCCCGGGCACCCTCGCCCCGCGGTCTCGGTCCCCCAGTCCAGCTGACGCGCGGAACCGCCGCCGCACGCGTCGCGCGCAGGAGATGCAAGACGCGCGGGTGGAGCTGGAGTCGCAGCTCATTGACGCGCGGGCGGCGTCGGAGCTGATAGAGTCGGAGCGAGACGCCACGGGCGACGAGCTGAAGAAGATGCGGAGGAAGTACAAGCGGGCCGTCAAGACCCTCAAGGGCCAGGTCCCCGCGAACGGCGAGGTGCCCCCCCCCGCCAGCAACACACGCACGCACGCCTCGTGGCACCGGCGCGAACCCCCGGCGCGGCGCCGACAGTGCCCGTGGCCAGGCGCACGCGGCGCACGCGCCCGTGGCCGCGCCCCGGCGCCCCTCTCCGCGGCAGACACACACAAGCGCACACACATGCGCACAGGTCGCGCGCCGACGCAGCTCCTCGTTCCGCGGCGTGCCTCTCGCAGGACGACAGCGAGCGGCACGGCGACGCGCGTCGCACCGAGCCCCTGTCCCACGACCACGTCGACGCGGGGCCGCCACCCGCGCACAGCAACAGAGCACCCGCGCGGCCGACGGCGGCGCGCAAGGCGGTCGCGGGCGGGCACGCGATCGTGCACCTCGTGGTGCTCGCCACGGCGCTCGCGCTGGCGTCCACCACGGCGCTCCCGGCCTCGGGCATCCACCGGAAGCTAGTGGCGATCATTGCAGGTGCGACCCGGGCGGGGCGCGCGCGCGGCGGAGGACGCTGCCGCGTGCGTGCGTGCGTGCATGCGTGCGTGCGTGCGCGGGGGGTTCGCGGGCTCCGCGGGCGGATGCAGTGCAAGCGGGCGGCGCGGCGCGGCGCGACGACGACTCCCCCCTCGTTCCGGCGTACGCAGGGCCGCTGGTGTTCCTGTACGTGTGGGCGATCACGGGCCGGAAGGGCGACGGGTCCGGGTCCGCGGCGCTGGCGCTGGTGGCGATGGGGTGCTGTCTGCTGATGGGGTGCGCGCTGAGCATGCACCTGTCCGCGCTGGGGCTGTAGCGGCGGCGGCGCGCGATGTGACGGCATGGCGGCGCAGGGCGCGCGGTGGCGCGTGGGCCGGCGGCGCGCCGGGCGCGGTGGCGTGAGTACTCCTAGCACGCTGCCGCCTTGATCAGGACGATAGCACACCCGCATTTCGTTTCGTGCGCGGGTGGTCAATTACTACTCTGTGAGGGAGCCGCGCGGGGGGGCGCGAGGGGCGTCGCGGCAGGGGCCCCGAGGGGCGTGAGGGCCGCGCCCGGGGACGTGGGGCGGCCGCGCGCGGCGCGACGTGCAGAGTGGGTCTGCGAGAGGGCGCGGGCGGCGTGACTTGCGGAATATAGCGTGTGTGGGGGTCCCTGGGCCGGAACGTAGGAGCTGCATCGCACCCGACGCGAGCCCTGCGTGCTGTTTCGCGGGAGGGGCCTGCGGCGTCGCGGTCGTCGGAGAAAACGTTGTCGAGCGAATCAGCTGCCGCGTCGACAGGCGGGGCCTGCGGCGGGCTTCAGGCGACGCGTGAGCCCGGGAGCGCTCGGAGAATGTCCGAGGTCGCATCGCACGGCAGCTGACTGGCGGGCCCGCGCCTTTCCGGGCAGCGGCGCCGGTGAAGTCGATTTCGCGCGGCGTCGGCGAGCGGCCCGATGACGCTGTTCGGCGACGATTACCAAGGCAAGGCCTTCTTCGAGGTGAGTCGCGCGCGGCGGTGGCGCCGTCCCGCGCCGGATGGACGCGCCGCGCCGGGCAGCGGTGCCCAGCATGGCCGCGCCGGGGCGCCCCCGCGGAGGCCTGCGAGGAGCGGCCACGGCTGCGCTCAGCCTCGGGGTTTGCTGCCTGCAGCGTGGAGGGCCCGCCGGCCGCCCGCCCGCGTGTGGGGCGGGCAGGCGCGCTGGGCCCGGCGCGCGTTGCCCTGCGGCGGTTGCGCCGCGCGACAGCCAGCCCGGGGCTGCGGCGCCTCGGCACCGGCGGTGTTGTGTGGCACGCCGCGGGGCTGCCGCCGGGGCGCGTCGTTTCCAGCGCGGGGCCCGACCGGCCTGCGTTCTTTAGAATCCGATGCGTCCGTTCCGGGGGCCCTCCCGGCCTCTCGCGGCGTTCCCGGGGCGAGAGCGCTACATGTGCCCCTCTCCCCCAAGACGCGCCCTCCGCCGCTTGGAGCGCGCTCGAGCGCGCCGCCGCGCCGCCCCTCTGCGCTCTCGAGATTCCCAGCGCGCGGTCCGCCCGGCGAGCTGCCCACGCGCCTCGCGCAGCAGGCCAGACGCGGGCGGTTGCCCGCGGACGCGTGGGGCGGAACGCCGCCCCCGCGACGCGCGGCGGAGCGGCGCCCGCCGGCCCCGCCCCGCGCGTGACCCGCTCCCTGCTCGCCCCGCGCCGCAGGTCTTCAACCCGAGGGGCCGCGACCCGCTGGAGCTGTGGAAGGTGAAGCGCGTGGGGCGGTACCCCGTCGTGGAGTTCGACCGCCACGGGCGCAGCAACGTGGTGAAGCTGGACCGCGGCGCGGAGCTCCGGCTCCCGAACGGCAAGGAGCACCGCTCCATGGGCCTGTACCAGCCGTTTTTGGTGCTCCAGGTCCGGCTGGGGGACCCGCCAGCGACCTTCGCGCTGCACCTCGAGGTGACCGACCAGGGCGGCGCGCGGCGGCGCATGGCCTTCTCCACGAGCTTCTCGAAGGTCAAGCGTGAGATCCACGCCCAGATCCCGCTCCCCACGGTCCCGCGCGGCACGTGGGTGAACCTCTGCCTGCACCTCGGGTCCCTCGTGCCCGGGTGCTTCCCCGGACAGGTGCGCGCACGCACGCACGCGCACGCACGCATCGCGCCCACGCTCGCCCGCGGGGGCGCCTCGCCCCCGCCCCGCCGCCAGCAGGGGTGGGCACTGGCCCGCCAACCATCCGGACAACGCGTGATTCCCCGCGCGCGCTTCCTTCCCGCGCGCAGGAGTTCAAGTCCGTCGACACGCTCGCGCTCCAGGCGCAGTGCGTCCTCCGCAAGGTCTTCACCATGGCGTGCCCGCCCGTGGACACCGTCGACGAGGTGCGCCGCTTGCTGCGCCCCCGCCCTCGCCGCGGCCCGTTCGCACCCCGCGCGCGCACCGCACCGGCGCGCACCGACCCCCGCCGCTCCGCCCCGCCGCAGGTCAACCGCCACGGCGCGATGGTGATCGACGCGAACCTGGACTTCCCCGCGGGCGTGGACGCGGCGACCATCATCCTGGACGCGGACCTGGTGCTGGGGGGCGCCGACGCGGCGGCGTGCGAGGGCGACAGCCTGCGCGGCGCGGACGGGATGGCGTCCGCGACGTCGCAGCGGCACCGCAGCGCCGGGACGCTCGGCCGCGGGCAGGTGCTGGCCTTCGGGTCGCGCACGGCCGCGGCCAAGTCGCCGCAGAAGGCGTCGCGCGGCGTGGGGCGGCGCGGCACGCTCGGCGCGAACGACGTGGACGACTCCGGGCTCGCGGCGCTGCAGGCGGAGGGCGAGGGCGCGGAGGCGCTGGCGGGGCGCAGCGGGAGCGGGACGCGCGGGCAGCGGCGCGGCGCGGGCGGGCAGAGCGCGCACGGCGGCAACGGCCAGGCGCTCGCGGCGGGGCGCCTCCCGCGGATGCTCGAGCCCGTCACGCCGCAGCGGCCGCAGCAGGCCACGTCGAGCCGCCGGCTGTCGGTGGGGCCCGAGGACGCGCCGCTGCGGGACGCCGTGTCCAAGCTGCACCAGCGCAAGCCGCAGCTGCGCCCCATCGACATGAAGGTGAGCATCACGGCGCCGCTCGCGCGCCACGCACGCACGCGCACGTGTACGCGCGGAGGCCATCTCCGCCGTGTCGCGTTCGTTCTCCGCGCCGTGCGAGCCCCGCGCGCGCGCACGCGTGAGCACGCAGCGGTCCGCGTCCGTCTCCTCCGCGCAGGCCGTGAAGGACGTGGGGATGGACCGCGTGCAGGTGCTCTCGGACCGCCCGCCGCTGCCCGACCACAGCACGACGCCGCCGACGGGCTTCCTGACGGAGCGCGCGAACCGCGACTCGCGCGGCAACGGGTCGTTCGGCGCGGCGACCCCGCACGCGTGGGGCAGCGCGAGCGCGGCGAGCAGCGGGCAGCAGCGCTGGTCGGGCAGCCACGGGAGCTGGGCCATCAGCCCGACGGCGGACGAGGCGGCCGCGGCGATGTGGGAGGGCGTCCCGCGGCCGCAGCCGGGCAACGAGGAGCCCGCGCTGCCGACCGTGCGGCCCTCCCCCGCGACGGTCGCGCACGGGGCGCACTACCAGTTCTCGGCGGGGCCGCGCGCGGGGCCGTTCGCGCAGCTGCAGGTGCACGCCACGGACCTGTCGCTCGACAGCGGGATCGGAGAGTCCCCGATGGACAAGCGCGGGGCCGGGGTGGACGTCGGGGACGACGAGGACGAGGGGAGTTACGATATGGAGGGTGTTGGGGGGTCGCGGCGGGCCGAGGGCGGCGCGGGCCTCGCGCCGAGCGCCGGCGATGCCGCGCGCGGCGCGGAGCGGTGGTCGGCGACGGCGGGCAGCGCGTGGCGGCGCGGAAGGGCGGCCAGACGGCGACGCCGGGGCGCGTGCGCGCGGGGGGCCGCACGCCGCCCAAGGCCGCGCGGACGCGGAGCCGGACCAAGTCGGACGCCTCGCTCATCGACGTCCGGTCCTCGCGCGCGGGCTTCCCGGCGCACCGCGAGCGCCACGCGTCGGAGATCCAGACGGACGCGGCACTGGCGCGCGCCGGCGTGCCGATGCCGGGGGAGTCCGTCACCCCGCGCATCAACCACGCGCACGCCCAGCAAGCCTGGTACGCCGCCACCTGACCGCCACCTGACCGCGCCCCGCCGCCCAAACACACGCGTCCGCATCTACGCGCGTCGTTGCGTGCAGCATCGACAGGTGCTGTCCCCAAACACACACTGCCTCCCCGCGACGTGTTTCCCTGCGCGCAGGACCAGCGGCCGCGCGGGGCCGGCGCAGGAGTCGGTCGCGTGCGAGGTGGACGAGTCCGCGAACCTCGCCGCGTCCAACGCGGGCCCGATGTACCACCTGTGGGGGTCGCAGGCCCTGGGCGGCGCGGCGCCCGACGCCAGCGCGCAGGCGGAGCCCTCGCCCGACAGGGATGCGCGGCGGCTCGCCCCGGGCCCGCTCCCGCCGCTCGCGCCGGGCGACCCGCGCGACACGCCCGCCCGCGCCGCCGCGGCGTCGCCTGGCGTCGAGCACCCCGGGTCGAAGCAGTCGCGGTCGCGGCGGCGGATCGCGACGGACGTCAACCGCGCCGCGGAGCTGTCGCGCATGCAGGGCTGGGACAAGTCGCTCGAGGACGCCGGGCGCGCCGCGCTGACGGCGGCGGGCGGCCTCGGGATCGTCGGCGTCGGCGTGGACCCGCTGTCCGGCGCGGGGGCGGGCCTGCCGGGCGGGAGCGGCGCGGGCCCGCGCGTGAGCGGCCCACGGCACTCCGGCCCGCGGTCCCCCGGCGCCGCGATGTACGGGCGCGGCCACCGGCGCTCGCAGTCGGGGTCGTTCTCCCTGCACAGCGACGGCGCGCGCCGCCCGCGCCGCGCCACGACGCCCGTCGGACTCGACCCCGACAGCCCCGACCAGTCCGGCCGGTACCTCCCGCAGGCCTGGCAGACGGGCGCGCCCGGCGGCGACGGCGGCGGCGGCGGCGGCGGCGACGGCCACGCCGCCGCCCCGCCCAACCCGTTCCCCGCCATCCGCGAGTCGAGCCTGAGTCCCGTGCCGAGCCCGTCGTACGTGTCGCGGCAGCAGCGGTACCAGCGCGTGCAGGAGTCGGTCGCGGCCGCGAACCTCGCCGCGGGCCTGCCCACGGTGCTGGAGTCGGGCTCGCGGGCGTCGCAGGGCACGGCGAGCGAGGGCCCGAGCAAGGTGGTGTCCGCCACCTCCGCCGGCGCCTGGCCGCCGCCCGCCGGGTCCGGGTCCGCGCACGCGAACGCCTCGAGCTCCGGCGACGTCGTCGTGGTCGACGCCAGCGGCAGCCGCACCTCGGGGGGCGTGCAGCGCTCCCCGCTCGGGCTCGACGCGTCCGCGCAGCTCAGCGGCTCCACGGACGCCCCCGCGCCGCCCGCCGCAGCCGACGTCAGCCCCGAGCTCCCGCGCGCGTCCCGCGGCGTCGAGGCCGCGCAGGCGGCCCCGCGCCGACCGCCGCAGCGCCGCCGGCCGCTGCCGCTGCGTCGGCCGGCCTGGGCGACGGGGCCACGCCGCCGCCGCCGGCGCCCGCGAAGGTCGAGGAGCCGACGCTGGTGCTCCCGCAGGGGCAGAAGCTGGAGCTGCAGCGCAGTGGGAGCCCGTCGCACAGCGCGCACCTGCAGGGCCGCCTGGCGCTCGACCTGCTGGGGCAGCTGAGCGAGTCGGGGCACGGGAGCCTCGCCGGGGGCGCGCCGTGGGCGCTCGACCGCCTGTCGGGGTCCGAGGTGTCGGACGCGGGCTTCGAGGCGGCCGGGCACGTGCCGTCGGGGCGCGACATATATACGCCGCCCATCATCCCGGGGCGCCGGCGGGACGCGCGCGAGCCCCCGCGGACGCGCCCCGCGGTCGAGACGGACGGGCGGGGGGACTCGGAGGGCGGCGGCGCGGTCCAGGGCGAGGCGCAGGAGCTGGAGCTCATATACGACGCGGTGTTGAACTGCTACTTGGACCCCCGGACAGACCAGTACTACATGCTCCGCATATAGCCGGGGACCGTGTGATTCGCACCTTGCTGCGGGCGAGTCGCCGCCGCCGTCGCTTGCGTGGCGTGCCCGGGGGGGGGGGGTGCCGTGGCTTGTCCGGTGCGTGCCGGGCGCCCGTGGTGCGCCGCCGCCCGGACGCCGTGCTTCTGCCCGTCGCGCGGCGATCCGCGGAGCGCCCCGCACCTCGATCAGCGGACGTCCCGTGCGTGTGGCGCTGTGCAGAGGGGAGCTGCAGGCTCTCTGCGCCGGCTCCGTGCGTGAACGGACGGGATACTCTCTCAATACGGGCTGAAATCGATGACGGATATAATTTCTAGGTGATTCGGAAGCCGCGAACGCACCCCGATCCGCCGTAAACTCGCCCGGACGGCCTGAGAGACCAACCACGTCCTGTGCAACATGTATCCAGCACACTATATATACGCAACGAAATTCCCCTTCTGAGCGTGAAAGCATACATGCGCTTGCTTTTGCACCGGCTGTGTGCCCGAGTGGTCAAAGGGGGGTGACTTAAGATCATCTGCACGATGTGCGCATGGGATCGAAACCCATCACAGCCATCAACGCTTTTGGCGGCGCCCCGCGACCGGCCCCCCACACCACCACCTACGCACCCGCCCCACTGCTCGCCCCCCGGCCGCCCACGGCGCTGTTGCCGCGCCCCCGCCCGCCCCGCCGTGGCTCCGGCAACGGCGGCGCCTCCGCGGGCCCCTGGGCGACGCAGCCACACGCCACGGCGACGTTCTGCACCCACAGCGCGCCATGCATACCCTCACACTGACGACCACCGTGTCACAGACTGCGCCATGTGCGAACGGATGCATGCACGGCAGCAACGCACACAGCGCACGTCCGGCGCCCGCTCGCCCGCGTGGCGCTCGCGCGACGTGCTCGCGGGGTGCGTGGAGCCGCGACGCGTGCGAGGCCGACAACGGCCCCCCCGCGCCGCGGCGCCCGCAGGACAGACGGCCCGCGCATCAGAGGAAGTAATCTGGTGTCCGCCTGCGCGCGACGGCCCGGGGCGCGAGCGCGTGTGAGCACGACGCGCGCGCATGATGTGTTTGTGGTCAGCGGGCGGGCAGGCGTCCTGGGCGTGCGGGGGCGCGGCGTCGCGTGCGCTTGCCTGGTGATTTCGGGTTCTCCGCGTCGCGGGGCGGGGTCGAACTGCAGGAAGGTCTTGCCCATCTGTTCGTCGATCTCCATGATGGCGGCGGTGTTGCCGCAGCGGTAGCAGTAGTTGGGCGCGGAGAAGATGGTGACCACGTGCTGGTCGTGGCACCAGTTGTATCCCTCCATGACCAGCTGGTGCGCGCGCGCGATGAGGCTCAGCCCGTTGGTGTGGTTGAACTGCTCGCTGATGTCCTGCCCAAACGTGTACCCGGCGCCGCGCGGCGAGATGCCCCAGCCCATGCGGTCGTCGGGGTCGCTCCAGAGGAGGTCGCACATCGGGCCCTCGTGCGGCACCTCCTGCACGCGGTCCAGGTCGCGGATGTGGTCGAGCGTGTCGAGCGTCGGCGAGAGCCCGCCGTGCAGCGAGAAGATGTCGTTCTCCACCAGCGCCGTGAGCGGGAGGTAGTCGAACAGGTCCGTGAAGTACTTCCACACGTTCGCGTTGCCGTACTTGCGCAGACACTCGTCGTAGAAGCCGTACCTGCACAGGCAGGGCGGGGTGGCACAAACCAAAGTGGGGGTTGGAGGGCGCGGGGCGTGCGGGGCGGCAGGCGCGGCGTGCGGTGCGTGCGCGGGGCGTGCGGGGCGGCGGGCGCGGGTCGGGTGCGTACACTTGGGTGATCTGGCGGGACTCGTGGTTGCCGCGCAGGATGGTGATGCGGTCCCGGAACCGGACCTTGAGCGCGACTAGGAGCGTGACCGTCTCTACGGAGTGGTACCCTCGGTCCACGTAGTCGCCCATGAACAGGTAGTTCGTGTCGGGCGAGTTCCCGCCTATCCTGCGGGCGGGGGGCGCCGCATGCGCACGGGGTGGGTGGGCGCGGCCGGGCGGGGCGCGCGGGGCGCGCTGCGGGCGCGCGGGCGCGCCGGGGCGGAGGGCGGCTCAGATCGGTGCGCGGGGGGCGGCCGGGCGGCGCGGGGCGCGCCGGTGCTGCGCGCGGGCGCGGGCGCTCGCCTGAAGAGCTCAATCATGTCGTGGAACTGGCCGTGGATGTCCCCGCAGACGGTGACGGGGCACTTGACTGGCTGGACATTGCTCTCCTCGATGAGAATCTCCCGGGCCTTGTCGCAGAGCACCTTGACCTGCGGGGGGCGGGCCGGGGGACACGGGCAGCGGCCAGGTCAAGGAGGGCGGCCCGGGCTGCGCGGCGGGGGCGCCAGGGGCGCGCGGGGGCGCGACGGCGAGCGGCGCGCGGACTGGGCTGCGTGCGGGGCCGCCCGCGGGGCATCGACAGCCGCGGCCGAGCGGGGGTCGCTGTGAGGGTGCTCAAAACGACTGCAGGGGGGCGCCGGGGGGTCCGCAGCCGCCCGCGGAGCCGCGGGGACGGTCCGCGGGGATGGAAACGCGTCGAGCAGGTCGTGCGGGGCGCGCGCCGCGCGCGAGCGGCCCCCTACGACGCCGGTCAGTGCGAAACCGCTCGGTCATAGCGCCCGGACCGGGGCTGCTCGTGGCGCGCGGGCGCGAATGCGCGCACGGCGCACGACTCAAATCCCCGCGACGAAAAGCGTCGAGCTTGCACCAGCGCGCGTGGAGCCGGGCCATGGCGGGCCGGGGGGCGCAGGTCTGCACCTGTTCCTCCGTGAGCGGCTCGCAGTTGCGTAGCTTCTCGATCTGAACGTCGAGATCAGCGTAAAAAGCGAGCCGAGCCTTGTCCATCCTGTCCCCGCGCCCTCGGCCAGCGCCCCCGAAGCCCGCCCAGCTGCCTAACCCAAGTCCTCGCTCGGTTCTCTATCGCCACGCGTTCACCCCGCACGCAACCCACGCCCGCGGAAACACGAGGGTCCCACCGCTCACGTCCAGTGCCGCGCGCGCCCCCGCGACGCCCCCCTTGGGCGCACGGGGCCCGAAAGCGGCCTTGTACCGACCACTCCCCCCGGCGGGCGCCCCGGTTGTGACATTGCGGGCCAGGCGCGCCGCGGGGCGCGCAGAGCACGGCCGCACGCACCTGCGCCTCGGGAGCGCCACGCAGACGCGGCACGCACGAGCGCGCGACACACACTCCACAGCGCAGGGCTTCACTCGCCAGCACCGCGCCGCGGGGTCGCCGAGCGCGCCCCGACGACAGCTGTCGGCGTCGTCCAGGCGAGGGAGGGCATCATGAGGTGCGCAGACCGGCGCGTGAGCCCCCCGGCAGCGCAGCGGCGGCGTCGAGGTGCCGCGGAGGCAACGCGCGCCCGCCGCTCCCGCGCCCGGGGACGCCCTCGCCGCCAGCGCGACCGGCCTCGCCGGGAAGCACACGAGCAGACCACCCCGTTGCTCTGACGCTCTCGTCGTCGATGCGGCCCCGGCGCGGCGCCTGCTGCTCCCCGCTGGTTTGGCCGTGGGGCGCGCCGCACCGCGCCTTGCGCGCCGCCCCGACAGACCTGCGCCGCCCACCGCATTGAGAACACCCGGAACTCCCCGGAGAGCGCCCCGCGCCCCCCGACGGAGCACGCAGCTCCGGTGGAGCGTGCCCCTCCTCTGAACCGCGCCCCTCGCCTCACCGCGCCGCCCCCCCCCTCCCCGCAGCGGGCGCCGCGTCGTGTCCGGGCAGCCGGCGGCGGCGGAGGCGGACTTCGAGACGTCGGCGGAGGTGGCGGTGACGAAGTCGTTCGACCACATGGGGCTGAAGGAGGACCTCCTGCGCGGGGTGTACAGCATAGGCTTCAGCGCCCCGAGCGCGATCCAGCAGCGCGCGATCCTGCCGATCATCGAGGGCCGCGACGTGATCGCGCAGGCGCAGTCCGGCACGGGGAAGACGTCGATGATCGCCATCACGGCGTGCCAGATGGTGGACACGCGCGTGCGGGACTGCCAGGCGCTGGTGCTGTCGCCGACGCGCGAGCTGGCGACGCAGACCGCGGAGAACACGCTGCTGGTCGGGGACTTCATGAGCGTCCAGGCGCACGCGTGCATCGGCGGGAAGAGCGTCGGCGGGGACCTGCGCGCCCTCGAGGCGGGCGTGCACGTGGTCTCGGGGACGCCCGGGCGCGTGTTCGACATGATCCAGCGCCGGGCGCTGCGCACGCGCAACATCAAGGTGCTCGTGCTCGACGAGGCCGACGAGATGCTCTCCAAGGGCTTCAAGGAGCAGATCTACGACGTGTACCGGTGAGTCGGGGGGGGGGTGTTGGGGCTCCTGCGGTGCTCGCGGGGGGTCCGCGTGCTGTGTGCTGTGCGTGCGCAGACCGGGTGGTCTGAGCGCGCGCGTGCGTCGGTGCGGCGCAGGTACCTGCCGCCGGAGACGCAGGTGGTGCTGGTGAGCGCGACGCTGCCGCACGAGGTGCTGGAGATGACGCACAAGTTCATGACGGACCCCGTGAAGATCCTCGTCAAGCGCGACGAGCTGACGCTAGAGGGCATCAAGCAGTTCTTCGTCGCCGTCGAACGCGAGGAGTGGAAATGTGCGCGCCCCCCCCCCGACACGCACGTGCACGCCCGCGCCTCCGCCGCGCGCCTCCGCGGGCTCGCGCGCCCGCCGCTCCGCTCCGCTGCGCTCGCCTGACCCGCTCGTTCGCTCCCCGCGCCCCTGGTCCGCGCCGCAGTCGACACGCTGTGCGACCTGTACGACACGCTGACCATCACCCAGGCGGTGGTGTTCGTGAACACGCGCAACAAGGCCGACTGGCTGACGGACAAGCTGATCGAGAACAACTTCACGGTGTCGAAGATGCACGGGCAGCAGAAGCAGGAGGAGCGCGACGCGATCATGAAGGAGTTCCGCAGCGGGCAGTCGCGCGTGCTGGTGACGACGGACGTGTGGGCGCGCGGGCTGGACGTGTCGCAGGTGTCGCTCGTCATCAACTACGACCTCCCGCTCAACCGCGAGAACTACATCCACCGCATCGGGCGCTCGGGGCGGTTTGGCCGCAAGGGCGTGGCCATCAACTTCGTCAAGGAGGAGGACGTGCGCGTCCTGCGGGACATCGAACAGTTCTACTCGACGCAGATCGACGAAATGCCCATGAACCTCGGCGACATGCTGTGAGCCGTGACGTCGGCGGGCGATTTGTGTGTCGCGCGAGGGCGTTCGTTCGTGTTCGGACCGCGGGGGCGGGTGCGCGCGAGGTAGGTTGCGCTGACCGGCGGAGGGCGCGAATTTGCGGGACAGTGGCCTGGCGGCGCGGGTGTCGCGCGAAACGTCGGGCCCGGCGCAGCGGAGGATGCCGTGTCGCGCTGGCGGCGGTGATGGTGGCACCGCGCGGCGCGACGACATCTGGCGCGGAAGGAGCGCGCACGACCAAGACTGGCTCCGCCGATCCGGCGACGACAGCTGCGTCGACGTTTGCGGACGCGCAGGGAAGCTGCGGTGTCGGCCCTGACTCCGCCGACGCAGGTTGCTACGGGCCGGCGTCGCGCGCGACGGAGTCAAGAGCGGGGGGGGCAACGCGGGCGCGATGGACACTCGCAACTCACAGGGCTCTGCGGTCGACGCCTTTCGCGGGGGGGGGGCCGTGCGTCGCTGCATGAGTCGGAAGGCCTTGGCCTGAAACGCTCGAATTTCCGTGCGTCAGGCGACGAGAGGTGTGACGCAAACCACGGGGGAAATTCAGCTCGTTGCCGAGCGGCCATGACCGGGGTCGCGGGCGCGCGCCCGCGGTGTCCGCGCGCGAGAGCTCGCCTCTTTGCCCAACCACCCTTGCTTGCGCAGGCATCGATTCTCGAGCGTTCGGAACGATCTGCCGGACAAGACTCCATCACGATGGTCACGAAGCACGCGAGGAGAGCCGCCAAGGCGGCTGCGCGACACGAGCGGGGGCGCGAGGACGCGCGGCAGTCGTGGTTTGAACCCAGCGAGCCGCACGCGCGCCCCAGCGGCGGTCCGCTGGCGCTCGCGGCGAAAACAGCTGAATCAGGGTCCACTGGGCAGCCGGAGATCAGCTTGGAGGAGTGGGAGGACGCGACGGACGCGCCTGGGAGCACGGTGGACTTTGGCGGTCGCGTGCTCGACCTCAGGGCGTTCCGCGACGTAGGGTTCGTGCTTGAGACCGGCGGCAAGACGATCTCGAACTGCACGATCAAGGGGGGCCTCAACATCGAGAGCCCGCCGCCCGAGGACTGCTGCACGATGACACACGAGCACTTGCGCTTCGTCAACGTTCACTTCGAAGGGACGGGGATGACGACTAGGAGGCGGGACGGGCTCCGGTGCGCGCGCGTCGTGTTCGGAGATCTCTTCATGACCGGGCTGGTGACTTGCATCTGCGCGGACGGCGTCACCTTCGAGCGCTGCTCCTTCACGGGGGCGTGCGACGCAGACGTGCCCGGCTGCCAAGAGGCTCCACGGTCCGGCGTCGTCGCGGGCCTCTTCGTGTCCGACTCGGCCGTCCGCGTGGAGAACTGTCGCTTCGTGGACAACAGGGGTCCCGGCCTGCACGTGACCAACGAACGTCCCCTTGGGCGGGATTCGCCGGAGGGGGACGACTGCAGGGACACCGCCGTCGCCATCAAGGACTCGCGCTTCGCGCAAAACGACTACTGCGGCGTCTTGGCGAGCAAGAGCGCCCAGGTCCACGTCGCGGGCTCGCAGCTGGACGCCAACTTGCTGTACGGCTTGGAGGCTACCGAGGGCGGGTTCGTCCGCGCGGTCGACACCAGGATCCGCGGAAACGTGCTTGGAGGGGTGGCTGCGGGTGCCCGGGGGCGGGTCGTCCTCGAGGGCTGCCGGGTCGCCGACAGCGGGGGCTGGGCGCTGGATGTCGCCTCCCAGGGCAGCGTGACCGCGACCGACGTGGTCTGCTCTGGCTGCAAAGAGGGCGGCGTCCGGGCCAGGGAGGGCGGCCTCATGCGCCTGACTCGGTCCGCAGTGCGCCAGAACGGCCGCACGGGCCTGTGCGCCGTCGACGCGGGCTCGAAGCTGGTCGCGTCCGACGTGGAGGTGCACAGGCAGAAGGGGACGTGCGTGGTGGCGGAGGACGGCGGGGTCGTTGCGCTGAAGCGCTGCCGCGTGGCCGGCGTCGGCGAGGGGACGCAGGGCGTGTCAGCGTCACAGCGCGGGTCGACGGTGCACATGCTGGACGTGGACATGACGCGGGTGGCGCTGCCAGGCGTCGTGGTGGTGGCGGGCGGGAAGATCAACGTCAAGGCGTCGTCGTGAGGTCGGAGGACGGTGCAGGATGGACGGGCGGGTGGAAGGCCGACAGCGAAGGGGGGGTGTCGGCCGCGGTGGCCCGGTCTGGGCAACGCGGCCGCGATGTATAGATGGCGGGGGGCGATGTATAGATGGCGGGGGGCGGAGAATCATGCGGACGCGATGAATGTGACGCTACGAGCGATTTGAACAACCCTTGAAGCAGCGCGGAGGGCGCCGCCAGCGCGCTCGGAGCTGACGGGTCGCGAGCGTCCGTGGTCGGCGGCGCGACGTCCGGCTGGCGGTGCTCCGGAGCCAGGCAAACAGCCTCTCGTGGCTCCGAAACACCACGACGTGTTGCAGCTCGAATCAACTGTGCCCTCTGTCGACGGCATGGGTCCCCACTCCGCCGCCAAAACCACGTCGCCCGCGTTACACACGAAGGGCAATGCATGCTCTGCCCGTCGGAGGCGGTTGGGCTCCTCCCTGCGACGGCCCAGGCACCAGCGATGTCAGGCGGACAGCAGCGGTGCCGGCTCTGTGCCAGCAGCTGGGCTCGTCGCCGCAGGATGTCGCCCACGATGAGAAGAACTTCGCGACGACACGAAAAGTACAGAGCCGCGGACGCTCAGGCACCCGCGGCCCTCGCAGAAAACGTGCAATCACGGCCTTCTGGTTCGACCCGAACACGCCCGCCCGCTCAGCTTCTTCCGCGAGGTGAGCCCGAACGTGGCGGACCAGTGCGCGTCTTGTGGATCTCGTGCCTGATTGCGGGCGGCAAGCCCCGCGACCCGCGAAACACTGCCCCTGACGTTTCCAAGCGCTCGTTCCGGCCACGTCGGGCTGCAGGACCGCAGAGACTGGGTTCAACATGTCGGAGAAAATCAAACAAGACATAGCTGAGCGCCTCGCCCGCTGTACGATCCGCGTCGCGGCGCAAGACCGGCTCGTTCCGCGGCAGGACGTGGTTGGAACCGGGCAACCGGCATCGACAGCGCCCTGCGGCCCCCCCGCGACCAGCGAGGGCACGGAGAGCAAGCCCCCGCGGCAGTTCGAGGTGACCACGCACGAGCAGCTGCTGCAGGCACTCGGCGCGTCCCCCAGCGTGGCCAACCTGGGCGGGCGCACCATCGACATCGCCGAGGGGTGCCTGCAGATCAATGCCGCCGACGTGACCATCATCAACGGCACCCTGAAGTGCTTGAAGCTCGGCGTGGAGGCGTCTGCGGCCAACTTCTGCTGCCGCGACGTCACCTTCCTGGGAGGCGGCGCGGCGACGCGGGCACGCGACGTGGACCTCAAGGGCGTCAAGAGGTGCAACCCGATGGTGATGGTGACCGGCGCGCAGGACGTCGTGTTCGAGAAGTGCGTCTTCCGCGACGCCGACAACAGGAACTTGTCCCGGCAGCTGTTCGGGCCCGGCGTCGCCGTTGCCACGCACGGGCTGCACGTCGCGGAGGCGGCGACCGTGCGCGTGACGGACTGCCGCTTCACGAACAACGTGGGGGTCGGGCTCAACGCGGCCGGCCCCGGCACCGCCGTGCGCGTGGAGGGAACGACGTTCAAGGGCAACGCCATGACGGGCGCCCTGAGCGAGATCGAGGCGACGCTCACGGTCGAGGGCTGCGTGTGCGTCGGAAACCGCCTGGAGGGGCTCTACGCGGCGCGGCGCGGAACGCTCGTCGCCCGCGACACGTGCTGCCGCGACAGCATGGTCGGTGCGATGGCCGAGCAAGCGGGCGTGCTGGTGCTGGACCGGTGCAAGATGGCGGGGAACTCGCAGGGCGCGATCGGTGTGGCCGACCAGGGCTCCACGGCGACGATCAGGGACCTGCAGAGCAAGGGCATGGCGACGTACGGCGTGGGCGCGCACGAGGGGGGCACGTGCGACGTGCGCGGGTGCAGGCTCGAGGACTGCACCATGGGCTTCAGCGCGATCGGCGCCGGGAGTCGCGTGACGGCCGCCGGAGCCGTCGTCAGGGGCGGCATGATGAGCGTCATGGCCGCGGAGGGCTGCGCCATCGCGTTGACGGACGCGACGCTCGAAGGCGCCACCGCGGTGGGGGCCACGGCCGGGGGGGCCGGATCCAGCGTCACGCTGACCGACGTGAGGGTGATTTCGTGCGGCAAGGACGGCGTATCCGTCGTGGATGGCGCGCGCGGCACCCTGCAGCGCACGACCGTCACCGACAGCCGGGCGACGGGCGTGGCCGTGGCCGGACATGGATCGCGCGTCGATGCGGTGGATATCGACGCCAAGCGCTGCGGGTTCAGCGGCGTGGGCGCCAGGGACGGCGGGAAGGCCAGCGTGAAGCGCGGGACGCTGTCGAACAACGGTGCGTTCGGGGCGTCGGCGATGGGCACGGGCTCGGCCGTGACGCTCGCGGACGTGGAGTGCGACGGCAACGGCAAGGCCGGCGTCGCTGCGGTGGGCGAGGGCAGCATCGTCGCGCGCGGGGGCACGCTGCGAGGCAACGCGCAGTTCGCGGCCATGTCAGGGGGGGAGTCTACGAGGGTGGTGCTGAAGGACGTGCGCATGACCCTGGCCGCGGGAAGCCAGCGCACCACGGCCACCGACGGAGGCAAGGTCGTCGAGCGCTGAGACGGGGGTGCGGCGCGGAAGGGGGAGGAAGCGCGACCGCGTGGTGGGGGGGCAGGGATGGAGGGAACGCGCGCGGGGGATGCGCGTCACGCACGCATGAAGTGACGAGGAGGTAGGGGTCGGAGTGGAAGGCGGTGGAGGCGCGAGTGACCCCCGGGGTCCACGTGAGCGTGTGAAACAAGAATCGCACCGTGGGCGAGCGCGCGCGAGCGTGGCTCGGGCGCAGCGCGGAGGGCACCAAGGGCGGCTTGCGAGATCGCACCAGTCGCGGGCCCCGAGCGGCGGGCACCGTCGTCGTGAAGGCAACAGCACGCCGAGCAAACAAGCACCTCGTGCGAGGCTCGTGCGGCCTGGGGGTGAATCTGAGTCGCAGTGCCGTGCTCACACAGCGCGGCTTCCGAACGCGGGGCCCGGAGGCGCCGCGGCGCCGCGCAAGTGCGCTGGGAGCACGGCGCTACGAGCAAGAGGGGGGCGCAGGAAGACGTTCGGCGGGCCCGCAGGCAACTCGCGGGCCTTGAAAGGCAACGTAGCAGAGGGTGAGCTCAGGGCGGGTGTCAAAATCCGATGTTTGCCCCCCCCATTTGTGTCCGTTTGCGCGTTGCCAGAAGCACAGTCCTGCAGCACTGCCTCGTACAACCAGGTGCCCATGGTATGCCCACAGCCTCCCCTGCGCCACCCTTGGCGAAGGTTCTCGCTGCAGATCCGCACATGCGCTCCAACTGCGCCTGCATGTCTCTCGCTGCAGAGCAGCTTTGTCCTCGCGCTCCTCTGCGGCGCCAAGCCGTGAATTCTCGACTCGGAGCGCGGCAGAGGGGAGGTACGACACGTGGTGGGCGCAGCGTCCATGCGCCGCCCCCGATGTCCTGCCGTGGAGACGTGCAGGGGTGCAAGCGACACGGCCCCGGGAGGCCCGGTATCGAGTGGCCTGCCACGCCGCACAGAGCCTGCGGGCTCGTTGCCAGCACAAGCGGGCCGCTGTTACACAAGCAGTTGAGCGCGCCGGTGCCATCCGGCCGCCCACCACCATCGCGTGACAGCCCCAAAGCGCTGTCTCAGAGGTGCGCACACAAGTTCTGCATGTGCTTCCTCGTGAGTTCATCTCGTTCCCCCGGCGCATCGCCCTCACGCCGACCATGCGAAGCTCGACACTCTCAGGCGTCAGCGGGTCCACCGCACCGCGGACCTCGCACGCCTGTGGTGCTCTTCTTGTCTTTCCCTCGCTCCGCATCGCCGTGCGGCATCCTGGCCGCACATTTTCGTGCCCTTCGAATGAGTCAGTCACACACAACAGCTGGGTCAAACGGAGAACCTCATGCCTTGCCCTTGCAGTCAGAGATGGGCGGCACACAAGCGAGATGCCCCTTCTCCCCGTCTGGCTCGTAGTGTCGGAGCGAGGCGGGCCGCGACGCAGCGCAAGGCGTCCGTCAGGATGACGTAGCCACGCCGCAATCCGGGCAGGGCGCAGCCCGCCCCGCCGCGCCCCCCGACGAGCACGCCCAGGGTGCGGGGCCACCATGCGTGCGCGTCAAGGACGCAGAACACCTGCTGGGCCTCGCACGGTACCCTCTCGGTGCCGAGTACAAGTTCACAAGGTGCTCGGGCCGGCCGGGCACCAACCTCGGCGTCGGGCAGGACCTTCAGCCCACTCGCTGCGGCGCATGCACCGCCCGATCCGACGCAGATCAGCAGCGTCGCGCACTGCCGCGACCACGCGATGCCGCTTGCGCGGCGCTCAACGGTGCGGTCGAGACCAGGGCGTCCGCGCTCCACGCGGGCGCCCCGCGCAATGCGTACTGATCGCGGCGTTCGTGCCCGCGCTGGTCGAGCGCCACGGCGGATGCCCGGAGGTCCGCGCGATGCTGGAGGACGTGGAGCAGGAGGTGTGCGAGGAGCGCGTTCGGGCGCACCATTGTCTCCCCCGCGCTGCACTGGCGTGTGTCGTGGACGCGCTGCAACGCAGGCTCTTTCCGGACCTGTGGGGCGCGGACCGCACGGCTCCTCGGCCCCCGCAGCTGCGACAGCATATCTCGCGGGCGGTGGAGGCCCGGTGGCCGTCGTGGCCGCACGTCGAGCGCTCGGTGCCGGGCGCCACCATTGCGTCATACGACCGCCACGTGCGGAAGCTCCGCAGCCTCGGAGACCGCAAGCTGTGTCGCGGGCTCCGTCGCTGCGAAGCGGTCAGCAAGGTGGGCAGCTGCTGCGACGATGCATGAACGTGCGCGTCCGCCCCCTCCCCCCCCCTGCCCGCGCGGTGGACGCTTGCATGCCTGCTGCACTGTGCGACGCTGCGGTGGGCGTAGGCCGCGGTGGAGCAATTGTCGTGCACTGCGCGCTGTACACGAGAGAGCAGAGATCGCTGCGACACCCTCCGTCGTTCGCCGCGTGCGCACACGTTCGCAACATCGCTCGTTCGACACACGCGTGTGCGACACCGTGCGCGGCCGTGGCGCAGCTGCGCCTTCCCTCGCGCTCACATTCCCGCGACCGCCGCGATCTGCCTCGCAGAGCTTCGGGGCGTGACGGGTCTCCACGGTGCGCCCTTGCGTCGTCGGACTGACAGCGGCGCGCCTGGGGGACAGCAACCGGCCCGAGCCGAAGGGCTGCGCGCTTCCCGGGACAGCGGCCACACAGTGAGACGGTCACGTTGAGCTCGGGCAGCCGGACCGCGCGGCTCGGGCGACGCTGCCATCCCGCCGCGGCCCTATCATCTCGCGCTCGGCAGGGGCTCACGGCGGAGCGTCTCCGCGGCATCATGGTGCGCGCCAAGACCACGCAACGTCGCTGATGATTTTTTCAACGGGCGACGCGCAGACGCCCGTGCGACGTCGCAGCTGCTTGTGCCCCTCCTCGCTGTACTTGCCGCGAACCCGCTGCTCGACAGGCTCTGTGCACGCGTGCTGCGGTCTCGAATGCGCGGCACGCGTTTCAGTCGCCGGGCCGAGCGCGGGCCTCGTGTCGCGCTCCGGACCGCGGGGCACGCGAGCCGCGACCGACCTTGCCCCATGTGCGTTGTTCATGACGGCGCTCTCGGCACCCGCGGCACCCGCACCGGCGCAGCTTTCTGTGCACAGCGGTCTTGTCGAGCACGCCCTCCCTGGACGGGCGTCACGGCCCTGCGGTCCGCCCGGGATCGCCGAGGGCAGCTTGCGCCCCACCACATCCGTCGTCTCCCTCACCTCGCTCGAGAACTCACCGCGCTCCGATCGCTGTTGTGCAGGGCGGGGGGCACAGCAAGCACTCGAGGCGGAGCGCACAGCGCGCGGACCCCCCGCGCTGCACCCGCTGCGACCGCCGCTGCAACACGAACAACAACTCCGAGGAGCGCGTGCCCTGCACGAAGCCGTGCGCGTGGGTGTGCCCGCACCGCGGCAAGTGCGTCCTCCCCTGCGGCGCCCCGTGCGTGCGGCTGCCCTGCGACGAGCGCTGCCGGCGCCGCCTCGCGTGCGGGTGCCGCTGCCCGGGCGTGTGCGGGGACCCCTGCCACGAGGGGTTCTGCCGGCTGCACCCAAGGACCCCGGACCTCCTCGCGCAGACGGTCGACCTCATCGCCCTCACGGAGTTCGCCGACCACGACCCCGACACCGACGGCCCGCTCGTCATCCTCGGGTGCGGCCACGCGTTCACCCTGGAGACCATGGACGCGCACGTGGGTCTCGGTGCGACGTACGAGCGCGCCGCCGACGGAACGTGGCTGCGGCCCGTGGTGGGGGACGTGGGCGGCCCGCCGAAGACGTGCCCGGTGTGCCGGGAGCCTGTCACCGGCACGCGGCGCTACGGGCGGCCCGTCGCGATCGCTATGCTGCATGACATGACCGCGGCGTTCCATCGGACGATCAACAACAGACTTGCGGAGGTGTCGGCCAGGCTCGCTGAGCAGGAAGAGGCCATGGCGGCTGTCGACTCAGCGGCGCAGGCAGCTCGATGTTTGGCAACGGAGGCGGGAAGGGTTGTTGAGGAGCTGAAGAAGTCTGTGCAGGACATCATCAAGATGGGCAAGGTGGTCTTGCGCCCGCCGGGGCTCGAGGTCCACGAGGCGGCGATGGCGGCCGTCACGCGCGCCAAGGCCCCGGTCGACGTGCGCAAGGACCAGATCGACGCACTGCGCGGACTTCACGCGGCGCTGGGGCCGGACACCGCGCTCATGGCCAGGATCCTGCTCGCGCTGGTGCGCGCACGGGTGTTGCAAGCTTGTGCCCGCGCTGCTTCGACGACGGGCACGTCAGCAGCGCACTGGCTGGTCAGCTGTGCTGCGTGGGCGCAGAAAACCTGCCGTACGTCGAGGGAGATCGCCGCGAAGACGCATGCGGTGGCGACCATGTGCTCCGCGACGAGGGCGGCCTACGAGGCGGCGAGGACCGCGGCGCAGGGCTACGCGCTGTACGTGGTGGGGGACGGCGGGAGAGCGGAGCGGCCCGGAGACGCCACCCTGCGCGCGCACAAGGCAGCCCTTCTCGACAGGATGCGCGCTGCGAGGACGGAGCACAGGGCGTGCCTGGCCGAGGCTGTGCGGCATTTCCGGAGGCTCGGCGTTCAAGACCGCGCGAACGCCTTGCGGGTGGAGCGGGCCGACTTCTCAGCGGCGGCCGCCGTGCAGCAGCAGATCATCTTCGAAGGGCTTGAGCGGAGCGTGTTGGAGCAGGTGATCCGGGCGCTGGCTGCGGTCGACGCAAGGCTCGCGTACCCGCACCATCAGCACCGGTGCCCGAACGGACACATCTACTTCGTGGGTGGCTGCGGGAATGCGGAACAGAGCGGGCGATGCGCCGACTGCGGCGCATTCATCGGATGGAGGCTGTACTGGTAGCGTGTTGCGGGCCACCTGCGCACGAGGTGCAGCGCAGCTGCCATCGGGGCGCCCTTGCGCATGTAAACGTCGCTGCCGACGAGGCTGCTGCCTGGCACGAGGCGAGCAGGTCGGGTCATTCTCGGCGAACCGCAGGCGTTGGCCGTGCCGTAGCTTGCGCGGGGAGCGTGTTGCAGCACTCAGCTCGCTCTCCCCGTCGGTCGCCCGCCCCGTAGCGCCCCGTCGGCGCGCTGTGCATGCAGCAGGAGCCGCACCGTGGTTCCTGCAGGCCAGGGTGGCAGCCCGTTGCAGGGCCAGCCACGTCTTGTCAGGTGCACGCTCTCACGTGAATGTGCGGGCCCTCGTGCAACGCCGCCATTCGGACGGAATGCCCCACCCGGGGGCGCCGCGCTCTGCCCGCGGTTTGCTTCCTCGGCGCCGATCGAACCGATCGTTGCGCAGCGGGGACGCACTGTGTGTTTCGTGACCACGGCCCGTCCGGATCTGATCCGCGTGGTCGGATCACGCGCACGATGACGGCGCATGTGGTACAGTCTGTGTGAGGGCGGCCCCTGTCTCGGCGTGTTCGTCCTGCTGCGGCGGCAAGTGGACCCCTCTCGGAGCCTGCGTGCGGGCGCTGCTCGAGGAGCCAGCAGGCCGTGGACAATGGCCGGGAGGCGCACGCATGCACTGCACATGCGCGACGATCTTGATAGATGTGCTGTGCACACCGGGGCGCCTCGCTGAGGCCCGTGTCGGGCCGCGGAGCGGCTGTGCTTGCGTGAGGGGCAACTGAACGCTGGATTGAGGAACATCCGACCACCCCGCGTGACCTCACTTTGAGCGAATCACATCAGTGAATCAAACAGTCCCCAGTCAGCCGTATGAGCGCCTCCCCGCGGGCGTCACAGGGCTCGCGATGCCCGGCTTTGACCTGGAGGTGGAGCCCCGATCCGGTCAGCGTGCTGGTCGCCCGCCATGAACCTCGCGGCGCTCCACTTCGAGGGTGACATGCTCGCGGTGCACCGCATGAACTTCCAGTGGCTGTGGAGCCGGCCAGAGTCCAAGGTGCGAGGCTGTGTTCCAGCGATAAGCGCCCGCGCTCGCCCCGTGCACGCTGCCCAGGCCTCTTCGTGGCGATATTTGCGGCCAACGCGACCGTTGATAGCTCCTCGCGAGATCGTGCCGCCCGCCAGCGCGGCGTGCGGGTCCCCGGCGCGCGTGGCGGAGCTGGCAGGAACATGTGTGTGTGTAGCGGCGGGCGACACGAGCCGAGACGTCCCGCGGGCACCAATGCCCACGTCAGGCGCGCCCGTGCGTGTCGCGCAGGTGGCGGGGCTGTGCTGATCCCCGGGCGGCCGCTTGCTGGCGTGCGCGCTCGCGGGCGGTGGGGACGTTGCTCCTCGACGCCGAGTCGCAGCAGGTGCTGGCGACCCTGCCGCCGCTCCAGGCCGGGGGCATCACCGAGCAGCTCTCGTGGACGCAGGGCCCGGAGCTGGGCCCAGGCAAGTGCACGGCGGCCCATCCGTTGTGCTGTTGGTGCCGACTGCTGCTTCGCCCCGCCACGACGTCCGCAGCGGCTGCAGCGCTCCCGACACCATCGCGCGCGAAACCCATCTGTCGCAGGGCGCGTCGGCGGCACCGGTCTCCCGCCCGCTCCCCCGCTCGAGGTCCCGCTGTCGAACAACGGCGCGCCCGGGTCCGGCGGGCCGTACGACGACCCGCAGGAGCAGTGGGCGCCCAACGAGCCGCCGCGCTCCGTGTCGGACGTCCCGAACGCTCTCACGGTGCTCGTGCGCGCCGCCGCGTCGGGCGCGCTGGCGGCCCCCGCGATGGTGGAGTTGCGCGCGTGGGGGCTTGTGCGGATGTGCGTGGTGCGGCTGGGGGACGACGGGGCGCTCGGGCGGATCACGGCGCAGGTGTTGCGGTCGCTCGACTCGCTCACCGCGCTGTGCGGGTCGCAGCCCGCCGTGTGGGGTTGGAGGGCGACGAGGTGCACCTCGTACGTGGCGGTGGACGGGCGAATGGCGCTGAACCTGATCGATATCCAGCGGTGCGTGGACGCGGTGGTGGCGACGCTGCGGGAGTCCCACCGCGCGTGGAACGGCGCTGCGGACGAGTTCGCCGCCGACGTGCAGCGCTGGGAGCGGCTGCTGGTCGACAACGGCGAGGAGGTGCGGCGAGCGACACGCGCGCCTACCGTGGGCTGCTCGTTGCGCTGTGCGGCCTCTCACGCCCCCCCGCCGCCACTCCCCCGCGTCGCTGCAGTGTGGGATGCTGCAGACGGTGCTTCGTCGGATGCTCGAGGAGGGATACCACACGCCCGGCGTCCGTTCGCCGGCTCGACGGGGCGCGACGGCGAAGACGAGGGCCGCGACCGCAAGCCGCTCCTGGATCACTGCCACGACGGGACGAAGATTTGCTTGGAGT